TACTCGGCGTATCTACCATTTCTTCGTCTAAAAGCTCCGTGATTCGGTCTAATATTTCTACTTCTTAGTTAGAAACGGCCGGGATTAATACCGATTATAGAGGATCCCTATTATTTAATATAGTATTACTTATCCCTATAGTAGATCGTGTCGACCTTCTCGGTTCTAGTTAGACTATCTTAACTATAGTACTATATAGGGAGTAATTCGAATATAAGAATAGGGTTATTAGATAGTAGTATAGTTAGATAGAATAATAGGGTATATTCTATTATAGAACGAATTACTACCGAACCCTTTTGGTAGGAATCCGAGAGTATATATATAAAGGGACGCCGATCTATCTAGCACGTGACTATTCACCGCCCTTTACGTCACCTCCTAACCCTGTTAGCTAAGGTACGTGTAGATCGGGTCCTACCTAAGGCTAAGTCCTAACATTTACTAGCATACGAAAGTATATAGACACTTGCCATATAGTGAATTAAGGCCATTACCTATACTAAAGGAGGCATGGAAGGAATTATCGATGGATTTTATTATAGATCTACCCCTAAGTAAGTGTTCTAGGCACATTTATAATAGTTTACTTATAGTTCTAGATAGATTTATAAAGATATTATACTACATCCCTATAAGGAAGATAATCTAAGCACCGGATCTTATAGATATACTACTCCGTGACGTAGTCCGGCTCTATAGTATACCGAACGGCATAGTTTCGGATAGAGATCCGTAGATAACGTCTAAATTTTAGAAGGATTTCTACTATACGCTAGGAATTAAGTAGAAACTTAGTACTACGTTCTATCTATAAATAGATAGATAGATAGAGTGGTAGAATTAGATAGTTAAGGCGTATTTACGCGTATATTATAACTATAAGTAGGATAACTAGGTAAGGTTAGTCTATATCGCGGAATTCGCGTATAATAATAGCTAATATATATTAACCTACGTGAGTTCGTTCGAAGTAAACTTCGGTTAGAACCATAATATATAGTTCTTAGGGACTTAGTTTAAAGTAGAACGACCTAACGTTAAAGTAATAGAAATTACTATAGAACTATTCTAAACGTAAAGAAGCGTTATAAAGTTACTATAAGATACTATGAATTATAGTAAATCGCACTATAATAAGGGTAGAAAACCTATAAGCTTTAATATTAGGGATAAAGTTTTACTAAATAGTAAGAATATTCGTAGTATTAGGCTAAAGAAAAAGCTTAACTATACGATGATAGGTCTATATAAGATTACTTATATAATTAATAACCAGGCGTACGAGTTATAACTCCCTCCTACGTTAAAGATATATAATATATTCTATATTACGCTTCTCGAGCCATTTTATACCTTATTATTACCGGATTATTCCGAATAGATACTATATAAAGTAGTTATATAAGAAGGTATAGATATCTACGAAGTTAAGTAGATACTTAGCTAGTAACGCGCCGAAGATAGCACGTGGCTATATAAAATTTATTAGAAAGGATATAATCCTAACGAAGATACTTAGGAACCTATAATAAATATTAGTAAAGTAGCGATATTAGTATATAAGTAGCGATTAGTAAAGGAAGCCGTAGAATCGTAGAGAATTATACTAAAGTACGGCGATTCGACATTTTTTAGTATAGTTCGGCGCTAAGGATGGCCGCCTAAAAGGAAGAAGGTGAAAGAGATATAGATCTTTAAAATATTCTAAGGAATTAAGGAACTTCCTTAGAAAGTTCGAACTTAGAACTTTAAAAATTTAACTAAAAAAGAGACTTAGAAAAATAATTCACTAAGAGAAATAGATATCGAAAATCGATGCCAATTAGTATAGATCGGTATAGATTACTAAAGAGATTAAAGAAGTTATTATTAAAGAAAGATAAAATTAAGAAAGCTAAAAGAAAATATAAAGATCTATATAGATCTATATAAACTCGTACTAATCTATCTAGAAGAAGTAAGATTACTTTAAAATTAAAACTAAAAAACTAAAAACGCTAGATAAAAGAGATATATTAGTACCGATTAGTATAGATCTAAACTAATTAAGTCGGAGTAGGAGTAGAAGTACTAATTACCGCGATAGTTATATCTAATTCCTTCTACTAGTTCTTATTTAGCATAGTATAGAGCTTTATAATATAAGTCTCTAGCCTTTCGTTCCGACGCTATAAATTCTATATAGCGTGCCTTATAGCTATAAACTCCTCTATAGAAACCTACGGAGCGGTAGAACCCGGGATAGAGAGGGACGGACCGGCGCGGGCACGCTAAGAATTATATAAATTAGCGAAAAGATTTAACGATTAGTATAGAACCATATACCTTTAGTATAGAAACTTCTAGATTAGAGCCATCTTCCCTAAATTTACGGCTCTTTAGCACGCGTAAGGAAGGAACCTTAGCCTTTTTACTAGAACCTTTTCTAGGAATTCTAATATTACTAGTATATAGAAAGAAGTCCGAAGTAGTAGAGATTTTAGCACTATTATAGAGATTAATATATATTAGTAAGAATCTATAACGATTTAAGAAAAACGATATTATCTAGTAATCGCAGTAATAATAACTATAGTAGATTCTAATAAATCCTTACGGATCTTATTAGAATCGTACTCCTAGGCGTAACCCTTACCTTAGGTATATAGCTCGTAGAAAGCCTTCTCTAAGGCGTTACGATTAGTAGTACTATACTCCTTATTAGTAGAGGTTACTAGAGGCCTAGTAGTAATCTATACTAATATAAGTAAATCTATATAAAGTTCTTTAAACTTACTTAAATACCTATAAGTAATAACGCTTCTTAGTCATATAAGTACCGTATATTATAGATTTAGTACCGCCGTAAGTTATATACAATAGAAAGCGATAACTATAATAATATATAGCTAGATTATTAGAGCCCGGCCTAGGTCGGGGTAGATTAATAGCTTTTAATATATTAGTAACGTATATAAGATAGAGATTATTCGAAGGCGCCTATTTCCGCGTCGATTACTTTAGAGCGTCGAGATTTCGGGAAACTATATTAAGATTATTATTAATTTATACGGATTATTACGAATTATATTATTACTAGCTAAGGATGGTATAAAAATTAGTAAATTACGTAAATCGTACTAAATTATAGTAAATCTATATAAATCTATATCTATAAGGATCGGGTGATATATCTAATAATCTAAAAAACTCTATAAAGAGTTAAGAAGTTTTTTAAAGAAAGGAATATTTCTAAGAAAAGATTTTAATATAGGTAGTACCCGGGCTTACCTAATTATATTACGTGATATGCTAGGCCTAATTAGGTAATCTCACCTATATAAGAAGTTAAGATAGATAAAATCTAGTTTATTAGAAAAATACTTATATAAATCTTAGATCGGTAAATATTAGTAAGTATCTAAGACGAAGCGTAGAGAACGACTAAGGTCTTACGAGACTTAGAATAGGGATATAGAAATAGGTAATAATCTAGGTTACTAAGGGTAGCTTCCTAGAGGGAAGGGATAATTATTAGAACTTAGCCTTAGATAGAACCTAACCTACACGTACCTTAGCTAATAGGGTTAGAAGGTAACGTAAAGGGCGGTAAATAGTCACGTACTAGATAGATCGGCGTCCCTTTATATATATACTCTTAGATTCCTACCGAAAGGGTTCGGTAGTAATTCGTTCTATAATAGAATACACCCCATTATTCTATCTAACTATACTACTATCCAATAACCCTATTCTTACATAGATAGTCTAATCTAGTAGTAGCTAGATAGAAAGGATAAGTTTCCTTACCTTTATAAACTCGCGATTAATATACTCTCTATACTAGCTTTAAGCTATAATAATAAATATATATTTAGTAAGGTAGAAGATATAATTATACTATAATAAAGTAAGATAAGTCTACTATTAATTAGCTATCTATAAGATTTAAAAAGTTAGTAGTATTATAGTCTTATCTACGACTAGTAGCTTACGTAAAAGTATACTAGTTAGTTTCTTATTAAATTTAGATAATTTAGTACTTAAATCTACCTAGGTATATACTAAGGTATACGAAAATCGACTATATAGCCTTAAATATACGATATTTTAACTATGTTTACGAGATTCTTTAACTACCTACTAAACTTTAGTTTAACTTAGTTAACTTTAATTCTACTACTAGAACTAATAGTTTAGTTTAAATATATAGTAGGGTAAACTAAAGTACTTTAGTTTAACTTCAAATATAGGCATAGAATTGAACTGATTGTTTGATAGGAAGTCTGACCAATACACTCCGTCCGACCTCGGCAGCGACGTATTTCGATTGCTGAGGTTGTACTCTGGCAGAGGCAATGACAGGATTGGATGCAGTATCTTTCAAACATACCTGAGCGAACCTAATGCCGGGTTGCTAATCGCATGCAAAACCCTGTTCTATCTGTGAAACAGCCTAGAAAGGTCAGCCAAGATTGTCGTCAATAGCCGAGAACTACCTATTACAGGAAATCTTGATGATGCTTTATGACATGTACGCTCTGACACAGAAGATCAGATTGTATAGATTTATGCATGGTGTATCAACCAGAATGATTACAAAGAGTGGAGTCACCAAGCTGGAAGGACGACATAACAGAAATGCTGATCAGGTCATAGTTTGACTGGGAAGGTTAACACCTGATCCCATTCTTATCATGGAACGTCTGGTAGTTTTGCAGCGTCAGTCACTGTCAGAATTTCTTGACGATCATTCCAGATCCCAGGAGTCTAGGCATCAGACTCGATCATATCGCTACGTATGTAAGCCTTTTAGACAGAGCCTGGTTCCGACGCTTCTGGATCACTTAGGAAATTGCAAACGTGAGAGGAGCCCAGATGTCGATTGGTAAGGAATCAGTATTTGCCCGGCTCTTCAGTCGATTCACCCAGCCTGATCCATCTGGACATGAGTAGAAAAGAACATTTCCAGGCTATCCTCGAATTAGTTTCTGCCGATCTGAATGCAACACAGTCAAGATACACTCAGACATATTGCATAATGTCAGCCATGCATGGATATCCGTGATCATATCCTGCGATATATGTCTCTAATTTGTGGGTAATCTTTTGGGCTACGAAGACTATGCTATGGAGATACAATTCGCTGTATGAAGTCTCTCCTGAATTGAATCTCTCCTCTTTCGTTTGCTACAAGAGCTAAGGAGCAGAGTGTAACAGAAGGGCTGTTTCATTACAGACGATGTGCCTAGCCACAGCTTCATGCTTTGAAACTTGAGTATGTAGCAAGTGCTATCGAACTCTTCCACAAGCCCGGCTGAAAAATGATTACAAGATCATGATATGGAACTAGAATCTGGGCAGTAGGTTCTGCGCGCGATAACAGAAGACTTGACGATACTTGATGGATAATTTGACCTTAACTGTGTTACCCACCCACTCGCCACCTTTAGAAACCGAAAACATTCTCATCCTCTACAAAACCCCATTTCCTCAACGCAGGTAATGCTGCCTTCTGAATCATGGCCGGTGGCCCACACAGTAGACTCACTGTGCCCTCCTTCGGCTCAAACAGATTCTCCCGAATCACATTCTCATCAACATGTCCCTTGATCCCATTCCAGCTCTCGCTCGGATGACTCAGTACATGCACGACCTTCAACCTGCCCTTGCCTTTCTCCACAAACGCGTCCATCTCCTCGCGCAGCAGTATATCCGTCTCGCTCTTATTCGCATCGACGACCCTAAGCTGTGTCTCGTCATCTGCAGATTGCAAGATACGAGCGAGCAGCGCATAACCAGGTGTTATACCGCTGCCGCCGAGAATTAGGTTCACTTTGGTGAAAGTGTATTCTTGGGCGGAAATCGTGAATCTGGAAGATCCATTGTATATGATTTCGCCAGTCGGTCCGCGGATCTCGATTTCGGAGCCCAGCGGCAAGCAGTCCAGGATATTGCTCATGGCACCGCCGGGTTGTTGGGAAGTGGGGAAGTAGGTTTTTATGGCGAGATCAAAGGTGCCGGCGCCATCGTGCGGGTCGAAGGGTTCGTGAGTTGAAGGTGAAGTGGCATCGGAGATAGATGGGAGTGTTGGGCGTGTTGGGGTATATGAACGGATTAGCATGCGGTCTTTGAGATGGAAGCCGAGTTGGACATGTTGGCATGTTCCAAGACCTAGTTCGGGTTTGCCTGATGGTAGTTGAAAGGTGTATGTACGGGTATCTTCGGAGAGTGATTTACGGTTGACGAGCTTGACTGAAACCCATCGGTGTTTCTGGAGTGTGATGGTTTTTGAGCCTTCAGATGCTGAGGCGAGCTCTTTGGCTCTGGCTTCGGCGTCTGCTTTGATAAAGTTTTTGGCTTTATCCGTTACTGTCCCGAGGATACATTCTGATGCGTGTCAGTCATAGCCCAAAGCTTGGAGAGAACAAGGGCAGACCTTTGAGCTTTTGGTAAGCGTAGTCGTCGTGCACACTCGAAAACTCATCAGTCGTGTCTTGATGGACTTTCCCGGCATGTCCAAGGATTGCTGCTTTGCCTCCTGGATGCCATGAGAGCACGCTAGTGGCATCATATACTTTATTATCCACTACAAGCCAACAACTCCGTTCATTGTCATGCTTTTCTATTTCCTCTCTTGTAAACTGATTTTGCGGTGCACCGGCATCTTGTCTTGCAGTTGCGACTTGATTCTCGACACTTGGTTTCATCCAGCCTCCTTTACCAGATGGATCAACTGGGTGGCGGAACAGGATTGTAGGGACGTCGCCGTCTTTTTGGTCGACAATTTCAGGCTTGACAATGTAGTAGCCATTATTCATCATGCCCATTGTGTTCCATTGTGGCTTTTCCGGCTGCGTATTTTTAAACACATTGAAGCAACGAACAGTGATGCTTCTTGCTTGCAGAAGATGGGTCATCTCGATGTCAACGTGCCAATGTAGCCAGCACCAGAACTTGTTGCCATGCCGAATGGGAGCATCAGGAAACTTGCGTATACAGTACAACCAAGTGTCCCCATTATCAAGAGATATCTCTACTCGTTGCACCTCATGGCCGCCTCCGTCATATGCGTATCCTTCTATGCGGTAGGTCTTGCCCCTCTTAGCATGCGTCAAAGGTATCGCTTCCCCGTGAGCAGGTCGTACGATCGCGGAATTCAAATTTTGCTCATTGCATGCGGTATCGGGATGGTTGAACAGCGCAGTTGCAAAATCTCCGTCTTTTTCGGTAACGAAAGCTGGTAGAACCCTGTTGTCCCAGATATGGTAATGCGAATCGTTCTCCTTTTCACTGACCCAGATCCGTTTCAGCCACTTTACGCATCTGCCTCCCACGTATCCAGGAATCATGAGACGGACAGGATAACCATGGTCTGGTGGTAATGGAACGTCGTTCATCTCCATAGCCAGTATAACGTCATTACTCACATTCATTGCATAGTCGAAAGGTATACAGGTTGCATACTTTCCCTCGCTTGGTTCGTCGGCACCTTCGAAATTGACCCAGTATCTCTTACCGGTTTCTTTGATGGCATTTTCATCCACGCCCGCTGCTAGCAGTACATCCCTTACTAGTGGTCCTTTCCAGTACGCACAACTGACTGCGCCAGCACCCCAATCGAAGCCTTTCGATCGTCTTATCAGGTTCATTTCACCTCTTCGATTTCCGTCGCATGCCAGGCTGACAGGTATGTTGATTGTGTCGAATTTCCTCTTGAGGTCATCCATAGAAAGGTTGAGCTTCCCATTTTCCACTTCAAGCTCATGAAATTCCCACAGGATGTGTGGGACGGCACCATGATTCCTTACGTAATGAAGCTCATTTGGTGTGATGATTCCAGCGTCAAATAGATGTGTAAGGTTTGGTTCTGCGTTCATAGGATGTTTTCCGGTTTGACGTATTAGATTATTGGAGCGAGGTATCCAATTATCAGGTGAAAATTGATCAGCTTCATCTATGGAGATGTCCCTTTGCTTCTGGTTGACTGGGCTCCTTCGCTTACCATTGTTCTGGCCAAGGGCTTGAATATAGTTCTTTTCATGCTGAAGGCATCGAAGCAGGGCGATCTCCTGTACAGTGTACTTCTCACGTAGCTTGTCATACTCACTTGGCTCTTTGTCATCACTTTTATCACTACAATAGCCAGAGTCGGGTCCTCCGGCGTAGGCATCGTGATGTTTACTACCCTCACCGTTCTGTCGCTTCCAATTTTCCTCAGCTTCACCGTCAGTATCCGAGCTAGTTTGGTTCTGTTCTGAATTCTGCTCGTCGGTCTTCTTTTGATCTTCTTCCTTTTCCTTTTCCTTTTCCTTTTCCTTTCTTTCTAAATTAGCAGGCCAGGGTTGCTCATTCTTTACCCAGTCTTCAGTAGCGTTGAGAACGTATCGCCACCCAAGCGAACGGTTCTCAGGTAGCTTCAGGTGAAGGTCCTGAAGACGATAAGCTCAGGCCAACGGTTTCTATCAAGCGCGACTACTTACTTTTTGGCTCTCAATGAGATCTCGAAAATTCACCAAGTGTCCCTTTTTTTCGCGGTCAAGAAGGTTCTGATAGTCCTTAACTGCGTCCTCAACAGCTTCGTCATGCGCTCCGTCATACACGTGCGTAATTCCAGGTCGTCGGTCCTGACGGTTTCGAAAGCCAATACGATGCTGATGACCCTTCTGCCAGTCTGGTTCGTTTGCAATGTCGTCCTGCGATGAACCAGGGTGGACAGTGACCTTCACTTTCCATGGGATCGGTGGCATTATTGTCTAGACTTGAAGCATACAAGAATGCTGACTTCTGCAAATGGATGTCTTACAAAGTACACAATGCGCAAAGCTACATATCTTCGTAACATAGATTAGCGGGCAGCCTAAGGTGGTCTCGTAATACTGTCCAATACGTGTTGCTTGGGAGTAGTCATGACGTAAGACTACACATCAGAACAACGGCAGAAACAGCACGGACAATAAGAAGACCGTCTTGATCCCGCGGGGTAGACTATAGGTATTATGTTAGCGCTTGAACTATCCAGTTCGGCAATTTCGGTATCGGAAACGACTAGCGCTGGCTGATTATTTGGGCGATGGTGGACTCTGTCTCAGACTTGGGCGACTGTTTGGTTGACAATACTCCGTAGTTCAGAGTAATGTATATTAATGAGTGCACCCAGAAGTCGTGGTCGCTTTTAAGTTGCCATCTCAACTTGCTTGGCATGGTGTTGAAGATGTACGGCGCTCATCCTAAAATAGACTAGTGCGGTATTTAACGGGTACCAACTACATAGTTCGTCTGGCGACAACGACTTTTTACTATGAAACCGATATTTTAGGTAGCATTGGAGTAATTTTGTGATATCGATATGCATCGTCTCCCGGACGAGGTTGTACTCCATATCTTCACATGTGAGTCCCGTTATAGCCCTAGTCAAGAATGTTGCGATCAGTCAACTGACGTAATGCGACAGTCCTCAATTATCTCGACCTCGTCAACGTTCAATTGACCTCTCGTCGCTTTCTCAAAGTCGGCCGCGATAATGAAATCTGGAAGCAGATCTGCTTCGAGCGCACTCGCGCAGGGCTCCATCAACAACGCATGCGACTGCAGGACTCACAAAACCACCAAACGCTGCAGATCGTTCACGCAATGGAAGCGATAGCGGCACAAGAAACGGGCAATCAGGCCAGTATCGAGCCAAGCTCAGAGAGAACAACATATCAAGTAACCGCACAAAGGCGAACCAATATGATGGCCAGTTGGGATCCGTCATATCCAAACGAAGATAGCAACTTCTATCAAGAATTCATCCATCGGCATGCACCTGTGCAACTCAGCTGGTTGCAAGGTGTCTATCGTGGAAAGAATGACAACATGGTCCAGCATGAAGCTACAGGAATGGGGATCCTTTATGACGACTCAGAATGCATGGCAGACAAGCTCATCGCTCCGATGGATGATGGGAGTATATGTATATGGGACGTCTCTTTTGTCCAGGATGCTCGCTCAGAGCCTAATCAGGGCCGTATAATTGAGAAGACTTCTGTTGGACTGCTTGCTGGACTAGATCTAAGGTCGGATCGCAACACCCGGATAACGCAGAGCAAGACCGCCATGACCGAGACGGGGGCAGTAGAGGTGGTCAGCATAGATAACAAGCAGAAGAAAGGATATTTTGGTGTCACGAATATGCTAAACGAGGTTGATCTACATACCATGCAAGTCGTCTCGAGGAGTCCATATCCATTTGCAATCACAGCCCTGTCAGAGGCGAGACACCCAGTTCCATTGACCATCGGTACAAATGGTACTGTGCATCTTCATGATCCAAGACAACCTATAGCATTCACCAACGAGTCTGAAAATACACGGCTGGAGCTTATAGGAGGCACACCACCGAAGAAAAGCTCTTTCTTACCTCTAATGTATGGCGGAGGGCCCTCAGGGGCATATGTCTCACTATCGCAGCCTGGTGCTCTCTCTATACTACACATACCAGAGGGGCAACCTTGGGATGGTAATGGTGACATTTGGGTCGCTGGTCGATTCACAAGCCTACTTAATTACGATCGACGTCTCTTCCCCAAAATCCATGGTACTGTTCACTCAGGCGCCCGGCTCTCTAGTCTCGCTCTCCTCCCATTTCCCTACGTACCTCATGACTTCCGCAATCTGCTTCGCCCGCCCAATCTTTCCGGCATTAGAGAAGCCAAAGCCAGATCAGGTAACACTATCCTCGCTGCGGGAGAATACAAAGGCAAGGGTTCGCTTGAACTCTATGGCCTCTCCTCCGAGCCCAAGCGCGGCATACTAGTATCAGACGCGCGCACGACGTCAAATCCTGATACGTCTTACCGCAACCGCTACTCCGCATCACGCTCCAAGCTGCTTTCCGCTGTATCGCATGGCTGCCGTATCGTATTCTCAGATGGGGACGGCTGGCTAAAGTGGGTTGAGCGCGATGGTTCGACGCCAGTGCGACAATTCAATATCAATGACGCAATCCGAACACATCGCGCAGCTAGAGATCTGGATTCCTTAGTGAATGACCACAGAAGCGCACAAGTCCAAGAGCCTGCCATGGATGCAGCAGAAGGGGACATCGTCCAAAAAATCATTCCTATGGTCGCTTCGGAGGCGACGGGAAATGATGTGCCCCTCGGACAAGATAACCTGCTGGTCTGGACCGGTGATGGAATGCTCGGCATGGTGGGCTTTGGGACTCAGGCTACTTTCTTGGCGGATGAGCTTGACGAGCAAGCACAGGATGCATTGGAGCATGAGCAAATGAAGAGGGAGAGAGAATATGACAGGGAAATGAGAAGGGCGCTAGAGAGACAGGCGGCAGAGTTGAGATGGGTGAGAGGGTACGGGCTGGAAGTGTAAAGATTATTACGTCACGAGGAGAGGACTTGTAAGATACCGACACCCAATACAATACAGTTTATGTTCGGAAACCATGCCTACTAACATTTGATGATGCAGGAGGGCTCACTCCGTAAGGATGTACACATTGCAAGCTCCCGGTTCACAAGGCCGTCTTCAAGAGCATCACATTCCTTTTGGCTGCCATGCTTATGTTGTTTTCTGCCAAATTACTACCAAGCTGGTTTTCTCAGACATGCTAGCCACCGTTAATGATATTGGAACAGTCTTTCGTGCAACGTATTTACGACTTGACGCACCTACAATATATCCAGCACCTCGTCTCATTGGGCCTAGTGTGGTTGTCTGAACGCGTCCTAAGTGGCACAGTCCGGACAACGCCTTCTGATTTCTTACGCTCACCCTCATCCGTCAACAATACGGTTCAGTCTCAGTCCAACGACGCGCCTTCCTGCAACTACTCGTCCGTACTATCAACTCTGGGGGATCCCTTACAGGACCTAGTCACCGAGAGCAACATTCATGTTGATAAGGACTACAAAATCGCGTGCCTGATTTGATCGAGAGTGGTTCTGTGCAGCACGCCTTGAGGCAATGTTTCCCACATTCTGGCTCACTGGCATGGCAGTGGATGAGCAATGTTATAGATGCGTGCTTGTCCGTCATCTTGAATACGAGAGGATTCTCAAGGAAATCTGAAATGTCACGGGCATGTAGGAATGAGCACCAGGCTTTGAAGAAAGACTGATGAAGTACGCGTAAGACGCTTAAGTTACTCATGGCACATATTTATATCTAGCGCGAGTGACCACTACTCTTAGCGCAGCGCTGGTAAACGGGTATTATCTTCGGGCAGTGAACTGCGCCCCGGTCATGTGCATCAGGCGCTCTTACCTCGAACGAAGTTTTGAAAAACGCCCATAGAATCGACCGAGCTCCGTTAGACATCTTATACTTCGATAAACATCCCCTTGGTTCGTCGACCCTATCTCCGCGTAGCGAGGATGACGTTTACAGCCCATAAGGCTCGCGTAGACCCGGATGGGCATTCATTCGCGAAAAGCATATCCCACTCCCCAAAGATAACCTTCTGTTCCTCATCGCTCAGCTCAACGTCAGTCGGGCGCATAGTGGCAATGAAGTTGTGGAGCCACCTGTTATCGACCAAAAAGCTCCATCCTTCTGCTTCGGGATCACAACCACTCTGATAGATGAAATGCTTATCATTGTTGCCGATACGGGAGGGAGCAGGTTCATGATCGACGGGGAAACTTTTTCTGAAGACCTCAATCGCTCTCTCGGCATCAGGGTTGATCCGTACTCGACGGATGTCTTCGAAATACTCCTCCGGAACAGGAATAGAATCAAGCACGCTCTTTCCCGCTGATACCCGAGCCGCAGCGCTCCCGAGCCTCGATCGCGCTTCTTCATCACCTGGTTTGAGACAACAGCCCAGTGCTCGAGTGATGACTTTGCAGAATGCGTCGCTGAGTTCCCTCGACTGGTCGGGAAAAATCGGCCCCCAGTAGCTGTAAATAGCTAATGTGCCAGCCGGGCGAAGAATCGCAGCTGCAGACTTGACGAGTTCTTCAGGATCGATAAAATGTGCTGTTTCGGCGCAAATGAGCATGTCTGCGTCTTTCACGAACTTATGGCCTTCTTCGGCAGTCGCTTGCGTGAAGTCTAGCTTAGTTTGGAGGCTCTGTTGCTCCACCAACTGGCCCAGGTATTTCCGTGCCATCTGATGATTCAAAGGACTGGGATCGAGGAGATGCACAGTGCCAAAGTCTGAGGCAAAGATCGCCGAGGAAATCCCAACACCACCGCCAACATCGACAATTCGTTTCCAACCGGCTCCAGAGTGTTCACTGCGATAGCCATAAATCAGGTCTTTCAGCGACTGCGGGTACGGTGGTCGCCATCGGGCGTAGTGGTCCCAGTCCAAACTGCTATACATTGTTGGTGCATCGTGATTGAGATCCGCCATATTCAAAGTTGAGAAGGCAAGAAGGAGATCAGCAGTCTCAGGGTAAAACCAAACTGAACGGATCGAATCGACCGGCTTTACCTAAGACTGGTAAGGCTATTAGCCTTCTAGACAAGCTGAGCTGCTTTGAAGCAGATATACATCTGCTTTTCGGCTGGATGAACTAGATCATATATACTGGTGCTAAAAGTTTCACTGGAAAACATGTGGAAGAGTCCGTGACACTGTATAGTGACATCAGACTGCTTGCGTCCCGGCACAAGACTGATCACTTATCTATATGGCTAGACTAATTTGGGTGTCGAGCTCGGGTAAAGATATGGTAGCACAAGACAGTACTTCACACCACCGTCTACGCCGGCTCAAGACTATCAAATGCGACAGAGATTCACAACTTGGGTGATTTTGGGAAGTGGCGTGATGACCTGACCAGCTAGTCAGCAGACCATCTCGAAAGTGTGAATGTCAAAAGTGCAATGCTACGATGGCCGAATATTCGTTCACTTATTAATCAGCGTGGCATGCACCCGACACAACCAGAAATGCCTATTCCCGTTTTTCGTATCGTACGAGAAAGTCGCCCGGGTAGATGCACAGGATCATAGGCCCTCAGGCAGCAGAGCTTGTTCATTACCTGTATAGCTTCCGGCAGGTTAAGCAGGTCAGTTCATCACAATTGCAAGTCTTTTCAGCCAATGAATTACTGCTATGCAGATGCATGCTTGCTCCTATGCTTGCCGGACAGGCAAGTTGTCGAGAAAAAGGACAGGGTCAGCAGCTGGGACTAAGTGAACGTGTGTATAGCATGATCTTTAAATGTTACTTCCCGTGGGCTACGGGCCGAGCGGCTCGCAGCACAACGCCTTATCCAGACCCTGCCCCTGCATGCATTTGTTGATCAGCAAAGAGACTAATCGCGTGAAATCTCACGTCGATTTTGACCTCCAAAATAAGTAAAGCTATATCGACCACCAATAAAGAGTATATCGAGCACCCCAACTTTACATAGGCGGGCGATAGCCGCGGGTATCTTCGGCGCTAGCTTTCTGATTGGTTCAAGATTAATTCCCAGACTCAAATCTACGCATACACCTATATATACTCTCTCTCTCTGTCTCACACATACACACACACACTATCTCTCTTTCTTTCTCTTCAGTATCCGGCTATACTAGATCCATAGTTTCTCTTAGCTCTATTGAAGTATAAGCGAAGTCGAATAGATTCGAGTTATTCGGCGGACGATAAATACTTACTACTCGAAAAAGGTCGATCTTAACCTCCGACTATATCTAAAATAGGTAAGTTTAGCCATCTTGAAGCCATATTCCTTTAGCTCTACGCCGTCTTCTAACCCTGGTCCTTAGCTCGGGTCTTAAGTTGGAGGTGGGATGAGACATTAAACACATGGTGAATATTGGGATATTGAAGGTCCAAACGGTCAAAAAACGAACGTCACCTGAGGTTTTGAAAACTGCCTCAGACAGGTTCACTCTGCATGTCCATCCTTTGAATATGGACCAGCTGAAGCTGAAGCCGGATGACTCGCGTCTATGTGGTATGGTCGAGACATAAATGATTGGTGGACTGCCGAGTCTTTATGCTCACAGACATCAATATACTTGCGCCATAGAGACTGATCGAACCAGGGTAGTTCTCGAGGTTTTGACGCCTTTGGGAAACCGCGCGTCTGCAACATCATGAGCGGTATTACTGTTATCAAAGACGGCACCGGCAGTGATGATAGGAAGGGCCGAGACGCGGACACTCGGCATATCACGAAAGCCCTTGAGACATGAGCCCGCCTCCAGTAGCAAATACGGAGCAGATGCTCTGAAATTGACGGTGAAGACCTGCACATTGCTGACTTCATTACCCGTCGGAGATGATGAGACTAATTGCGATAGCCATGGGTGTTTACCCCGGCTCACGAATCGTGAAGGTGAACTGAGAAACATGCGTGATGGCGTGCAGGCTTTGCTGGGCCACCTCGCTGACGGCCTCTATGTCTACGGCACGTAACCCAATCATGTCGATGGCCGTTCTTTTACGCTAATATGTGCTGATGACATGCAACAGGCACGAACACTGGGCTCAGGGGCAGTGTCAACTCGAGAACAGGCGAAACGATCCAGCTACAAGCAGCTTTGCTGCAGCTCACCCAGGCTGGAGTCGGTAACCAGTCGCCAGATGGGTCAAAGCCGGTACAGGCGATGCCTTCGGACTGGCTTCGCGCAACAATTGCGGTGCGCTGCAACAAGACACTTCGAGGTCATACCGCTGTATCGCTCCCTGTCCTGGAGGCAATGGCATGTCTACTCAAACACCAAATCGCCCCCGTGTTTCTGCTCCGTGGTTCTGTCTTTGTGTCAGGCGATCTTATGCCTTTGTCATATATCGTTGGTGCGATTGAGGGAAATCCGGACATTCGAGTCGAGATGGCGCAGAGTAGCGGACAGACTATTCTCTGCGCCTAAAGCCCTCAGCATTAACAGCATCAAACCAATCGAACTCGGTCCGAAGGCAGGCTTAGGCCTCGTGAATGGAACTGCGGCAGCCGTTGCACTAGGCGCGCTGGATCTCAAAGGTACGAAACAAGATTGATAATGGTAGCATCATGGGTCCGCTCATCACAGTTTTTGGCAAGGAGGTTGCTTGATCATCTTGGTGAAATACACACACACACTAACGCACGCAATGTACTGTGTAATAGTAGGGGCAATAATCGTCTATGTCTCTTTGCCCCTAAGTCGCAGCGTTTTTAAATTATAATACCTCGCCTCACACCTAATAAAGTCCAATCATTCCCTACATAGGCGTGAATGACCGTAGTTAAGCACTGACCTGTAATAACAATCTTTACCTATACCACCACAGTATTTTGTTAAAGGCACGACCGGGCGGGGCTGTCAAGAAGTCGCCTCGATTTGAGTCACGCTCACTGGCTGCCTTATCAGGGCGAGCACGTGGGATTGGAACATACCATTTCATATACTTCACCAATTGCATCCGTATCCAGGAACCCTTGAAGATTACTGTCGGTGCGTTTGTAGACCCAGATCCCAAAACTCGCCTTTTCTTATCGCCCTAGCTGACGCTATTCTAACCATGGCGCTACTCAATTCGTAGCGCTATGCGACTGTACGTCACGGTCAGAAAGCATTTCGTACTACGGTCGCAAGGGTGATACCTCCCTTTCGGCCCTTTTCCCCCAGAACCGCTTCTATTAGAGATACATTGATTTGACTTAATAGAGCTTAGTATAGGTAGTGTTAATTAGAATCCTTCTGGATAAGGAGTTTCTAAACAGTAAAGAAGCACTTGAAACCGATTCCAAGAGAGCTTGACAAGTGGGAAGTATTACCCACCATACCCATAGTACGTTCAGCAGGTCTTCCCCTGCCATGTGTCGCATTCGTATAGAACAGTCGAAAATGCTTGTCCTTCCCGTGACCAGTAGTCCATGGCTCTGTCGTGATTCAACCACTAGGCCAAAAGACCAGAACTAGTCAAGTGACCAGTGGTTTAATTACGACATCATCAAGCATGAAAACAACAGCTCTTTTGATGTTCTCTTGTGTCCCGCTTTCTAGACGACTGAGCTGTTGCTTACCATCTACAACTGCCCCCTTCGTGTCTGTCCAGGTCTGCACATAGTTATGGGGTTAACGGCGCCGCCTCCTAACATCGGCCTGTCAGAGCTTCTGTCAGATGGAAGCCCTCGACTCCTGGTCCCGAGAATTGATTATATTGCCACCCGTGAACCCAATAAGGTCTACGCCACCATCCCACACGATACCGAAGACCTTTCCCAGGGCTTCCAAGACATCACATACTCGGCTTTCGCGCGAGCGATAGATCATGCTGCCTGGTGGTTGAACTCTGCTCTAAAAACAGCAAACGTACGATTCCAGACCGTTAGCTATTGGGGCCCTTTCGATCTGCAGTATGTCATAATGATAGTAGCTTGCATGAAGATTCGGTGCAAGGTAGGTTGGCGAATCCCGCAACTCATGAAACGAGCTATGCTGATGGTAGTGTGCTGTTTGTCAGATCCTCCTGTTATCTTGTTATGCCTCCTTCGATGGCATAGTGAATTTGTTCGACAAGGTTGGCTGCCAATGTCTCTTACTTCGCGGAACCCTGCCCACGGACTCGAACATTGCGGCGGTGTTGAGGACCAGATTAGATGTTTGTCAGGTTCCTGTGCCACCATCTGAGAACTGGTTGTCAGTTCCGGCAGGGCTACCTTATCCTTACAATGAGACATATGCATCCTCTGCTGGTCGGGTCGCCTGTATTTTACATTCATCTGGAACCACATGTATGGTCCTTGCCCCAATCTTTGCTCTTTTAGGTCGCTTACCATCAGCAGCTTTACCAAAGCCAATCTACTACACCAACCGACGCCTGGCAGCATTTGGCGCAGCTCGCTTCCTTTCGCAGAAAAGCCCTCAAACCCGAGCTCCAAGATACGCCGGCAAAAGATTGCATACCCATTTTTTCCCATGCCATGTAAGTTTGTTCCCAAGTAGATGCCATAGAATACACCCTCCAGCATGGTGACTTCACCTCTCACCAGACATGGGGTCTTGCCCTCGCTCTTTTCCACCCCGTCTACGATGACGCGCAGCCTATTATCGCCCTACCAAAAGGCGGCGTAGATGTCAGCTACGCTAAATCCATACTCAAGCACTGTCAAATACAGACTATTGCCTATGTCTCCGGTCTTCTCGAATCCATGATCCGTGATCCCGAGGCTCTCTCTCTGCTCCGCGGATTGGAGCAAATCAAAACTGGAGGGTGCCCTCTGGGTGTAGATCTTATCAGAACACTGGAGAGAGATGGGGGAACCGATATCTGTGAGGTCTATGGATCAACAGAGATCTATCCTATGGTATGCTCGCATCTATTCGATGATGCCGCCGGGGAACACAGCTATTTTGCCTTTGGTAAGTGCATGGGGCTTGACTTTGAGGAGCATGGTGATGGGCTCTTCGAAATGAAGATGAAGAAAGTGGCGGGCTTAGAACAGTTCCAAGGCGTGTTTGACACATATCCTCACCTGGAGACATTCCATACGGGCGACCTCTTCGTCCCTCATCCGGACCGTGCTGGCTATTGGCGCATCGTCGGACGAGTTGATGACGTGATAAGCCTATCAAATGGGCAAAATATGGTTGTTGCATTGTTAGAACGTCAAATCGCACATCACGAACTCGTGTCTGGTGTGTACATAGGTCAGTCGGGGAGACCGTGGCCGATTGTGCTCCTCGAGCCGAACGAAAAAGCCTTCCAGCTTTCCGACGAAGACTTTATGAACTCGGTGTGGATGCAAATCCAGAAGGCAAATGAAGGTAGTAAAACATCAGTCCAATTATGCCATGAACACCTATTTTCAACAGGACTAAAGCGAAGGCTTCCGAGAACGGCAAAGCTAGCGATTGACCGAGCAAAGACTGCAGCCGAGTTCAAGGATCTATTCGACCGGGCATATGGCTTCTCGTTGTAGAGCGTTGGTTCGCGGTAGACTTACATCTCTGTTCTATGTGGAATATGAAAAAAAGACGAAGCTATATCTTAGTTAATTTATATTTCTCTTTTTTTGATTCGTTGCCGTTCTCCTTGATTCATACTATCATGGCGGTCTTACGGAGGAGACTACCACTATTACCAAGGAAGACAGTAGAAGATGCAAGTACACGCCCATAAGAGATAGACGTCAACGGAATCAGACCAGGGAGAAACGGGAACTTCGGTAGGTCAGACGTAACAAAGTTAATTGATGGTCCTATCCAGTCTACCTATACTCTATATATATAAGTCTAGTACTTAATAAGATCTTATTAATAAAGATAATATAATAGGAGTTCTATCCCTTCTCTTCTCTAATTGTATAAGCTTCTATAAGATATTAGAGATAATTAATAGAGCCTTATATTAGAGAAGAAATAAGATATATATATAAAATCTCTTTAGCAAGGGAGGCTAGACTATTCCAAAGGAATTATAAAAAGATATAATATTTTTATCTAGTGCCCGCTAGCGCCCTTACCGAAATCTGCCCCTAAGAACCACGGTTTACGTGAATCCTATCTTTAGATCTACCTATGACGTATAATTCTATATACTTTTCATAACCTATAGCGCCGTATTAGCGGACGAGATATAATTATCAGCTAAACAGTCGCCCCTATATACGCGTAGCTTGAAAATTTTCCCGTCTCGGCGTGGTGTATCGTTTTTCCGGCATGTCTTAGTGCCTTAGAGACTGCCCGCAGTCTGCCGGCCGCAGGCCGCCCCTACTGTATATAATAATATTCAAGATACTTAATTACTATAGGCAAACGTTATATTTTCTATAGGTGTGTATAGATGCCAAACGTCGCGCTGAAAAAGTTAGAGACGGATTCGTGACAGACTTATTTACCCGACCCTCGAGCTTTCGCGCCCTCTGACCTACGCGAACATAATCACGATTCAATCAATAACAACATGATGCGCTGGTTCAAATTGCCGTCTTCTTTGTTCAAACGTGGTAGTAAATTCTCCCAAAAAATAGACCATTGCTCTGCTACTCTCGCTGTCAAATCAGCGAGCAAATGTGAAAGCTCACCACTATTCGGTACGACGGATAGGTATTACATTGCGAGCACGAGGGAGATGTTCAAAGACGGACGATATGAAGCCATAAGACAGCTTGGCGGAGGCCGATACTCTCAGGTTTGGCTGGCGAAAGATCTTCAGTACGCTGCTCCTTTGTCCGAATAGCTGTGAATCTAATATTGATTGCATATAGAGAGAACAGATCCGTGGCGCTCAAACTTTTGACCAATGATTGCTATGGGACAGACCATGACATCTTTGAAGTTGAGATACTTCGCAAAGTAACCAATGAACATGCTCGACTCACTGGCGCTAGCAGAAGTCGGTGCATCACCCTGCTGGATACGTTCCAAATCAAAGGTCCAAATGGAATGCACGAGTGCATCGTCATGCCTATCGTCGGAAGCAGTATCATGGACCAGGCGATGAGATTCGCTGATAAGCGCATTCCGGTGTCTATTATGAAAACGGTGACCAGGCAGCTTCTCCAGGGGTTGTCCTTCTTGCATGACACATGTAGAGTCATCCATACTGGTAAGTACACGGCTCACCAATAGCGTCATTACTGCCGACTAAAGAATTACTAGATCTTCATCCTTCGAATATTTGCTTGGAGATCGACGAAGACCTTGTTCAGAGTGAGCTACAGAGGTTGGTAATATTAGTTGTTGTCGCTTACATGCCGATTAGAGGTGTTAGAAGGACAATCTATCAGCAATGTCACCCCGACCATGACGGAAGAGCAGCCCGGAAACATTAAGATCATAGACTTTAGCGTCGGTAAGATGTCAGAACACACACCACTACAGCAAACAAGAGCGCTGACATAATAAAGCATCATGGACTTCAAAACATCTGTCCAACAACATCCAGCCAGAGCACCTTAGGGCTCCTGAAGTAGTACTAGGTGCTCCTTGGGGCCCTCCTGTGGACATATGGAGCCTCGGTTGTCTTGTACGTGGGTTTGAGAACTAGAGAGCTGCTCTTGATACACAGTTCGAGGAAGTGTGACTGACTAGTACAGGTGATTGAGCTCGTCAAAGGCCACGTCGCATTTCCGGGCGCGGCCTGCAAGCGGGGTACCTGGACTTCGAGGATGATCATCTTGCGCAATACATGGAGGTACTCGGTGCGATGCCTCCAAGACTTCTTGAAAGTGCTGCGAGGACTGCGGAGTTCTTTGACGACAAAGGTCGGTACCATTCGTCCATACTTCAGGGTGGTCTAACGAGAGACCCAGGCAACCTCCTCAGGATCCCGTCCCTTCAGCAGACCAACCTAAGGAGATTCCTTGATGGGAAAGAGGGTCCCCTAAAGCGACCTAAAAATATGACTAGCGAGGACATTTCGGCTTTTGTTGACTTCTTGCAAGGCGCTTTGGCACTCGATCCACACGATCGCAAGACTGCCAAAGAGCTCCTGCGGCATGAATGGCTTCATCAGAACGCGTGAGATTCCCTCTATCGCGCGTGGCTATAACACACGATGCTGTACCGCTCTACAATCGTAGGGGTCTAAATACCAGATGCTAAGCGCTAGGCACGATTAACGATCGATACAGCCTCCAGTATTATCACTGCTATGATCTATTTGGGTCGACTTTGCAAACATAGAGCCTGAATGTCCTGCACTATGGAAATACTCAAAACCTTCGACCTTATTTCATTCCTTCAACCACGAAGAAGAAAAGTCACAGTTATCGAAATTTGCCACCCTTTGACATCAGTTGAGGCGCTGGTGCTGTCTTGAGAATATGAATGAGCATCAGACGGTCTGCAAGATTAGCGCTTGAACTATGTACTCAACGCGTGATCTTCATGCACCAAGTCTCATATATGAAGGATTTTTTAATACAGCGATTCAATACTATGAGACCCCTGTAGAGAGTGGTAACGCTGAAATGCTTGCTATTACACAGTATCGACTGTAGATGGAACTACTAATTATCTTATGGCGTTAGTAATTATATCTAACAAGCAACTATCCTAATATTTTATATGTAATAACACATATATATGTATTGTTTTACGTAGAGGGTAGATGGCTAGTATGTAGGGAGTAGGCAGGGATATATAGATATAGAACTCTTCAAGTAAGCTATAAGTAAGTCTGTCTCAACTACTTATAAACTCCTTCTAATCGAGTTATCTAAACAAGCAAGTTGATCAGAGCCGAAGGGCGCTACGTATGGATATGAATGAGTATGCCGGCCAGGAGATTGCGACAAGCGGGTGAACGGTGTACGTCGTGGATGATGTGGTACAAGACGCACAAGCCGGTGGTTCATCCAGGTAATGGTAACAGGGGCATCTTTGACCGACCCAACGGTGCTTAGCCACAGGAAACAGTCTGGGACTGCGAGCCGGGACCATGTGGCTACACGAAAGATATGGATATGGAGTTGGAAAGATAAGACTTGAATTGATTGATTATCTCACATCGCCTAAGCTACAATTAAGAAACTTGCGCTGCGGCCTGACTTCATGGGAGCTTATGCTCTGCCGGAATGTGTGTTCTCCTAGCATCGCGAATTGAAAGAGACACCTAGAAGACCTGAGTTAGGGTCTTCATGCGGGTAAAGAAGTCGATTAATAGCATGTCTTTTTAATGTCAAAACAAAGCGTTGTGATTGTCGCACCACCTGGTATTGTCCCCAATACGCCTTACAATTCATCCGCTGCAAATATCCCGAACGCCTACCAAACTTAAGAAAGTGATCGTTCAGATCTGGTTGCTACCTAAAGCCTCTTTCCTGGTACAAAAATGAAAAGACAGCATATAGCTGCGGTGACGAGGACGACTTCAGCGAAGACCATGTATGACCGCTTCAGCAAAAGTTTCTTCACGAAGGGTTCCTTGATCTTCGAGAAAGACATGAGTGTGTACTCGCTGTATCCAGCGAAGACGAGTATTGGATCGAGAGTGTACTGATGAGTAAAGAGCATGTCTGGAGATGAATTAGATATCGTTTGAAGGATCCATACTGGTGTGAACTCACAAACGCCCAACGAAAAGGGAATTATTATCCACGCACGGGTAGCGTGGTGATAGTTTAAGAATATAAGGATGAATGCAGTCCAGAAACCAGCAAACATGCACACCAGTCCAAAAATGACACGGAAGAACATGCTCGACGGAACAATATTGCCCAAGGCTTTGGCACGTAGAAATCCTGGAAAAGCGTCACGCTCCATAGCTTGGAAAACATAATCCCTCGCGGAATCAAACAGCTCTGGGTCACTGCGCTGATCTGGTCCTTCAATGGCGTCTGTGACATCGTTGAGAATAGACTGTGGCAGAATGATCTCCCGTTCCGATCCAGGGAGCAAGTACGTGTAGAGAATTTTTTCAGCTGAAGCGCGAATGTCGCTACGAGAGATTTGGCTGCCACCTTGCTCGGGCGAAGAGTCGTGGAACGGCGAGCCATCGGCAGAAGTCATGAAGCTATGTCGTCGGCGCTCAGAACGGCTAGTTCCAGTCGTATCTTGACTGGTCGCCGGGGAGTGTTTCCTCACACTTGAGCCTTCATTGTTCTCGCGTAGAAAGGCGGAGAGGCGTTGCTCGGGCGTCCGCTTGTAGTCCTTCTCACCCTTGTCTCCTGATGGACCAGCGAGACCTACATCCTCGAGAACTTGTGACGATCGTCTCGATCCAATTTTATCTGGGGTTTGATCGATGATGGACCTGTGGAGAGTTCGGACATAATGGCGACAGAGAGACAGATGTTGCGAGACGTCCAACCTAGATCGCAACGTCAGTCATCCACCATTCCAGTGTCTAGGTATATTATTGAGCTTACCAAAAGTCCAGGTAATCGACAGATCGCTGTTGATCGCGCATAAAAATATAGAATGAGAAGAGGTCCACGGGCGCGGCTGTTCGTCGACTGAGCACCTCAAACAGCGTTGGCAGTCGGTTCCGCGACATGTCTGGCTCTGGAGTTGGAGTCGACATCTTCAACACCGAAGTCGCGCGCAACTAAAATCCAAAGTTCTGAGTCGAGCCTGCCTTCGCACCCTTCCTAGTAGAAATGACCTTCGGCTTTCCGAACTCTGCTCTCCGGCAATGATGTCGCGTACTTCAGCTCACGCAGATTTACGCTCAACCAATCGTTCCAGTTACTTCAGACTCAATTCGTAGTTCTCCGAGAGGAATGAAGACACTGATGATGGTGAATAGAGCGAGAGTCGCAGAAGTGACGATGTGAACGAACGTGGTGTTAGCGCGAGGGCGAGCCGAGGCGCTGCGGAAAGTCGAAGATCCGGTACGATAGAGCGGTATGAGGTTGAGCGATGGTAGTGAGCGAACGACAGGGGCGATTCTCGCGATCAATGAGATATCAACGTCTACTGGCGATGTCGCTCGCAGGTAAGAAGCTGAGACAAAGTAAAGGACAAAAGTCACAGTCGCGATTTGAAACCTGGAGCAGGGGAAGGAAACTAAAGTGGACCTGTGCGGTGCTTGAGCTTCGTGATGATTGGCTACACACGGAAATTGGCTCCCTTGGTACCATATACCTAGGTACCACGCCATGCCATGCCGTTAAAGCAGCCAACGACACAACCCATCATCACGAATAGTTGATGGTGATGCCACCATACAATTCCGACAGGTTAAACCCATGGTTAGCAATACATGTCACCATAGTCGGAATTTCAAGCGCCGCGAGATGCATTGGAATATTGGACTGCCCATACTCAGCCATGTTCCGTGGCTTCAGCCCCATTAGGCTCGAGCGACTGCCCAGTCATACCAGACCAGGCAGCCATATGCTATTAACCCTTTGAGCTCCGCAGTAATGGCAGCAGATGCACTCTCAGCTTCATTCGTTTCAAAGGCATTGTTGGACGAATATCGCGCTTCTATATAGCATCTCGAGATGCTGACTACTACTTCAGCAGCTCCCGTCTGGAGCACCAAGCACCTCCTCACATCTCCACCACCAGATATCACAATCAAGGACATTGATTTCGATGACACCAACCTCAGTGGTGCAAAATACGGCGGTCTTGACGCCAAAATTCTCGATAACGTCCTCACTGCAGCCGAATGTGCAGCACTGATCGCAGTCGCTGAGACAGTCGGACATTGGGAGCGTGCAATGGTCAACATAGGAAATGGAAAACAGGCCCTGTACACGGACACTCGCAACTGCGGTCGCATAATCTGGGATGACAAAGAGATTGTTAACAGGTTATGGCAGCGCGTGAAGCCGCATATCGAGCCTTGGACACGCCTTGAAGGTAGGGCAGAAGTTACAGGAAATGGGCCTGCTAAGCGCAAGGAAGTGTGGCGTGCGACGAGATTGAATGAGCGTATGCGGTTCTTGAAATATGTCGGCGGGGAGTTTTTCAGACCCCATTGTGATGGAACGTATGAGACACCTGATCGCAAGGAGCGGTCGTACTATACGTTGCATCTGTACCTGAACGATGCTATGAATGCGGCCCCTGGGGAAAGGCCGCTGCAAGGGGGGGCTACGGTATTCCACGACTACACAATGAGAGAGCGTTACGAAGTCGTGCCAAAGGTTGGGCGAGTGTTGGTCTTCCAGCACCGGTCCCTCCTCCACTCAGGAGATGACGTCGTGCAGGGGACGAAATACACCTTGAGGACGGATATTATGTACGAACTGGATAGCATGGATGGTAATAAGGTTGACAAGTAGGCGTGGATTAGTCTTCAGTCATAGCTCCAGTGGTTAGCATCTGACAAACTTCTCTTACCACGCTTACACATTCGCCATCATCAGTTGTACTGTTGTCGCACGTAGGATAATGTTCCACTCGTTCGTCCATGCACATCTCCCACCAACAGAGTCCACTGCATCACCCGTCGTCAAGCGGAGCAATTGTGTGCAGACTCACCACCCATGCGCACGTGTACTACCTTCACGGCGATAAACTTGCCTTCATTAGCATTTATCTTACATAGGAGGATGTTTTGATAGATAGCCTATATAGAACTAGCCTGTCGGGGTCCGGGCAATCGGGTACGTCCTGTGGGTATAGATAGGTAGAAAAACGTTATTCTAGTAAAATAAAAGTAATATACTTGACCCTAGTATCCTACTAGTATGTCGAAAGCTACCTATTGTATGATAGTCTTATCTGTAGTCCTATCTTGAATCTATAGATCCTTATCTCATACGCGTGGCGTCGCGTAAATTTATTGTGAGGAGTCGCTACTACTGTATCAGAATGGATGCCCTAGCAGGCGATTTATGTACGTCATGGATTCGTGCATCTCGGGCTACCTAGGTATGATCCACCACCACGGTCCCGTACACCACCTGGAACACTTTGACCTCAATGAACTGGAATCTCACGCTATTCAGCATAGTATCAATCCTCGCAATCTCAACCCAAGCACTGCACAGCCACTACCATCAACACACAATGGTCAGCCCAGCAAGCCTCAATGGCAAGTCCGTCCACCCACAGCAGACAACAGTATGCAAAAATAAAATTCCACTAACAATTCGACCCAGTCTTCAAGAAGCCCCTTGCTCTTCACTCCACCAGCCCTATGACCGGCTTCCTGCGCGACGGCTACTGCCACGTACCCGCCGGTGACTTCGGTAACCACGCCGTCGCAGCAAGCGTGTCCAAGGAGTTCCTCGACTTCACAGCGTCTCGTGGAAATGACCTGCGTAGTGCAGGGTTGACGCCAGGTTGTAAATGGTGTCTGTGTGCGAGTCGCTGGAAAGAGGCGTTTCTGGCGCGGAAGAATGACACCGATCCAGTGGTACCCAAGGTGTGGCTGAACGCGACGAACGAGAAGGCCCTGGGCAAGGTGGAGTTGGAGGAGTTGAAAAAATTTGCTGCTGACAAGGAGGAATGAAGGTTGAAAACTCTTAGGGCAGGTAGAAGAACGTTGATTGACGAAAATATGATATTGATTAGAATCCTCCTAATAGAGGAGGTTGAAAGCTGGAATCGCTGTGCCCCAACGCCGCGCTATGTGGTTATCTGAAAAGTAGAGGAACAATGAAAATCATACGACTATAATTCTCCAACCAGAGCACCAATACCACCAGTTGCATTCTCTTGGAAGGCATTGATAACGAGATTGCCGGTGTCTGCACCGTGCTTCTTCCCAGCTAGGATACCAAACCGCAGGAAAACTTCAGTACATGTGACCAGTATACTGAGGACAATGAGAACAATGATGATCCAGGTGATTCTGGTCATCTTCTTGTCTGCAATGGAGTCGGAAAGAATCTCTGCGAGGTCGAGAAATACGCGACAACGCTCGTTTAAGACCTGAATACGAGGCTTGATCTCGAGATATTCGCGGACAGCGGCGTAGAGCGGATGCAAAGTCGGCTCGGCGTCCCAAAAGAAGTTTGGTACGTCGAGCATGTTCGACGAGAGGTTGACATCGACGCGACTGGTGAATAGTCGCCCTAGAATCTTTACGACGTCCTCTCGTTTCATGCCCAAATTGCCAGTCAACGCAAGACGTCGTGGGACGTATTGAGCCTCTAACATGGTGTGAGCCATGCGCTCTTCGAAGAAACTCAGTTTGGTGCTTTGCGCTATCGCGTGACTCATAGCCAGCTTAATCATATGATCTCCGCTCCTCAGTGTAATCATATCATTGAACATGCGCGGCCTGGCAATGTATGGATTGTACTCGAAATGGAACTCCTCTGTCTCAAAGTCTTCCTCTTCCTGCGGCCGAGTAACCAGGGATACACCTGTCTCTGATGATGAGAAGGTGAGGTCCGCTAGAATATCTTTCTCTTGCCTTTCCGTAAAGTTCCAAAATACCACCACACCATAGCTAAACACAAACATCTCTCCAAAGGTGGTCGCATCTGGTGCGATCCTTGGTGGTGATGAGGATCGGCGAGGGGAGTTGTCCATCGGATGATCTTCAGAATGTCGACCTCGGCCATCCTCGTCCTGTCTTTGGCCACGCCGATGATGTTCTTCACTGGCACCCACACCGTATTGTTCTGTCTCGCCAAAATATCCTTCGTGATACTCCCGTCGCTCATTTCGCTCAATCTCCTCGTCCAGTATTGATCTACCGCCCGGGTTCTTCAAGACAGGACTGCTCCGAACTCTGTAGCCATCATGACCTGGGAGAAGCGGCAGGTGATATACACAGTATAGACAATCGTCGTAAAGCTTCGTTCGAGCGCTGTGCTGCTTCTTAATAAACTCTGCCGTCGATCTCATCTTATAGGCCTGGGCTGTGCAATATGCTGTTACACGAGCCAGCTTTTCCGTTCGCTTAGCTTTAGGCATCCTCTCCGCGTAGCTTCTATCTTTCAAACCACCCATTGGGGCTCTCATCTGTTCCAGGTCTTCGTCTGTGGGTGGACCGTCCTCTTCACCTGATAGTCCAAGCTTTTCGTCATCTTCTTCAACTGTATCTGGAAGAAGAACAAGTTTTTCGGAGACCTTGGATGTTCTAGTTGGCATATGTTGCGGAACGAGACGTCCTGCGAGTTTAGGGTCTAACGGATGTCTGCCACTGGGCGTTCGTGTGTGGAGAGGTCGAGGAGGAGGGCCTCGTCTCTGAGCTGAGGGAATTTCGGAGGCGTACCCAAGAATGCCGTCTACTGTGAAGCGAGGAGGGGATGGTCGAGGTTGTACACGCCCGGATGAGGCTTCTCTAGAGTCTGTGACCTGCGCGTGGGCCATTGTCAGTCTTATTCGATACTGTGTACAAAAATTGCCGTGGTTTTGCACCAAAAGCAAGGCGCAGCTCCTTAAGACGTACCAAGACCGTTGGACCTCGCTTGGTCTTCGTCGCTGTCGCCATTGCTGATGAGATTGACTCTTTACGTCCCTGACACAGCGTAGAGTTGGAAGAGAGAAGACCTCAACCGCATTGAGGGGCTGCGATAATTGTTGGCGATAAGATTCCACGAGATCATTGGGGCACACCGTGTTAGTTGTTTTAGGCTGAGCTTGAGATCATTGAGTAGCTTTGACGAATCAGGGTGCACACGTGCTAGCCTAAAGATAGCCTAGATGCCAACTCAACACCAGTGCGGAATGTAGATAAGCCGGTGCTTGCGGAAGGCTTCGGACTGCTCACACCACTCTCTATCGCGCCCGTCCACCCCGTCGTTACTTCAACTCAGCTTGACGCGGTGTTTGGCTCGTCATCTGCGACAAAATCGCTCCGCCACATTACGGCGACGAACACCGCGGAGCCATCACAACGCTTGCGTCTCTTACAGGGCTTGGACTTGGTCCCTGCTTATTCTGTGTCGCCGAAGAAGCTTAGGGTCTGTCCCTACTGCTGAGCGGTTCCTTATTCTCATCTTCTAGCAGACGAACTATGGTAGGGTCTCAGATACCGTAAACAGCATCACCGAAGAGCTAGGATGGAATAGTCACACGTCCGATTCGCCGTGCATTCAGGGTCCTGCAACTTGACGTTACACTTGGTATGACGAAGAAGAGACATAGACGTCGTCGCTACCCTGGCTTCTCACCAATTGCATCTGTCATATGGCGCACAAACGAGCGGCTGGTGAGTCTGTACTAATTCCTTACTTTTGTGTCGATGAGCGTCCGCTCTTCGTTCACGGGTCATATGAATCCCAAGAATACAGTAAGCCTGCTGAAGCATTATATAACGGTACTGAAGCTATACGATAACAATAAAGGTACTCGTGTTGAACAGTACTGCAAAATTAATTCAAGGCAGCTTCGCATATTGCGACCAACCAGGTTCTCCGCAGATCTCCGTGGAAGCCGAGATATTGTAAGCTTTAACGACGTTCCTTGTCCAAATGACGGTCAACGGCCAGAACCCGAAACCGGAACCAATAGCGGAGTCTTTCATCAAAACTATAGGCTACTCAGGAACGGAGTGTCTATATTTCTTGCTGAGGTGTTGCACACGCAATGCTAGTGATTATTAGCATCTTGTGTAACGAGGATCAATAACCTCGTGGATCTATGAGCATTTTGAGTAACCAGATACGACGTAATCTACTAGGAATTCCGCTCATGCCTTTCGACTGATCTTGCAAGACTGCTCTACCTAAGTTCCTGTAGATATTCAACTAGTTCGGCTCCACATACATCGCTAAAGACAATTGAGGGAGTCCTCAGGAGTAGGCACCATGTCAGCATTACGATCAGGCGAATCGGTAAGTCGAATCCTTTCCAGCGGCAAAGAATCGGCAATCCTCAGAGGTACCACTTTAGCATTCATAAAGGGCAATATATGGTGATAATGCTATAACGGCTGAGGCCATCGTTTGATAGTGAATCTGCACAATGGAAAATCAGGAAGGACGAGTACGCAGTGGAGTAATATCGACCTTGAACTCGGAAAGTCATATATTGATCTTCCGAGTTACAGCAACACGATACGAACGATAAGTTTGATTCGAGTTAACGCATGACTGTGTTAGGATTCTCGATTTAAGCGACGTTGGTGTCCTCAATCTTCATAAAATAGTCCTCGAAATCCAATTGTTGTCGGAATCTGTACTTGCGGTTATAGTCGATAGGATCACATGATAATCGTACTGAGCAAGGAGTACTCGTGACGTCTTGAGTTCACATAAGTGATCCTTGTCTTGGTTCTTCACTATGTGAATCAAGGCAATGAAGCACAGATGTGATCCAAGATAGTCTCCAAGAGCGGGATTGGAACATCCTAGTAAAATCTATATAATCAGAGCTTGACTGCAGCTGCTATAATCGTTTACGAAGACTCAAAGATACATGTAAGACCCATCGGTACTATAACTTAATGTAGACACTTTCTAATACTAGCCTCATCGATTAAGTGTAAAAGTGCTTCATCTTCAATATGAGCCAACAAGAAGGATCGCCTTAGGATCATGATATCAATAATGAGATCCCTGAACATTGGTTGAAAAATCGATTTTCGGAGTCCAATCAGACCGCCAACCCCAAATTTACTTTCAGGAGGTATGTTCTGTTTCCTATGTTCTACAGTTGTGAAGACATACGAGATTACGAGATGTCAAAATATAGGATCTATGTATCACACATACACGAAATCTTCACGTTTTCGTTTCATATCCTCTACGCAAGCTTCGCCGTTTTAATCTCTACCTTCCGAATAGATTGTTCCTCACACTTCTCAGTCCATCCCTCCATAGCTTTCATTTTAGCGTCTATGTTCATGTATTTGTGGGTTTGAATTTGGATAAGAGTTTCATGATACATAAAGACATGGTTACATTATGCACAACCTTTGGAGAAGTCTCTGCGAGGAGTAATGCCTAGTATACGAGTGATAGCCAAGCTGGATGCATCCTCTGCTTGCTTAAACTGAACAGGATACCGACAATCTTTCTCAACCTCAATCATAGTAGCCCAAAATCTTATTGGCCCTCCAACATACTTCTCTCTCGCCCGGCGTCAACCCCTCCTCCTCCCCATCCCACATCTCTAGCCCCACCGCTCTTCTCTACCAGCACAATGTTAGTTGTCTAGACATATTCCAAGTCTCTCAAAGCGTAACTTACTCCATCCGCCTCTATCAAGCCCTCAAGCTCTGCCACCTGCACACGCCCAACATGCGCCCCCTCTCCACCACCGCCACCAAAATCTGGACTCGGCTCACCGCTAACAAACGCAGCCCTCTGCCGCACCAAGTAGCGCGCATTTGCCTCGGTCAACGGACACGCTGGGATATACAATACACTCGCATCGCTCGTCCCCGTATGCTGCGCGTCAACCGCATGAACAGTATCGCAGTGCCACGCCACATAGTCCCCCGGCTGGACATCCGGCATCGCCACCATCGTGCTCGCAAGCTGAAGATGCGGATGCAGCGCCGGCGAGAGCTCCATGCCGCGTCCCGGTGCGGCACCGTGCAGCCACGCGCTCGGCACATGCTCGAGCGCCCAATTATCCGCGTGAAGATACGTAGGATCATCATGCCCAACAAGCGGGCGGAAGAACGGCCGCAGTAGGAAATACGCCGTCGTCTTGACCAGTAGTGGATTCACACGTAGACTGCCTTGTCCTGCGCGCGCCGTGCTGAGCGCGAGCCAGCCCTGGCTCATGCGGAACGCGCTGCATGCACCGACGCCGGCGTGCAGATCCGAGACGACACGTAGACGTACTTCTGCGTCCCAGGGGTCGAAGCTCTCCCAGTTGCCACGCCAGACGGGGCTATAGACGCCAGTACGACCACCGTAACCGGAGGGGTGCCAGCGCTCGACAGAGCCGCCATCGATATGAGGACCCAGGGCGAAGCTGGTGTCGCCTGGGAGGCGGATGCGGAGACGATCGGCGTAGGTCAAGGGGTGCTTAGTGGAGAGCGGAGTGCTGGTGGAGGAAGTGGTGTGCCATAGGGACATAAGGAAGCGGGATGTGTGTAGGAGATTTGGATGCGCTCGGGCGAGGAGTTGGGCGCGGGACCAGTAGAGTTCGAATACTTGCGGATTGTGGGCGGGGAATGCTACGGGGAGTGAGTGAGTAGGTGAGAGTGTAGAGACGAGTGAGTGAGAAGAAATCGGAACCTGTGCAACGAACCTTTTGTTTGTGGGTTTTCTTTAATATACGTGCTCAAGCCATCTTTCCACTCCTTGGCCTCCTGCTCATCGACCACACCCCTGATAACAGCGATGCCCGTCTCCTTATACCTCCTCAACAACTCCCCGGACACAGTACCGCTTTCCACATCCTTGAAGTCGATCTCCGGCACGATACTACTCCCCAATCTTTTAACTCTCTCCACATCCGTATTCAACTCCGCTAACAGCCTCCTCCAGCTCGCCACTACCTTATCCTCATTCCCCGCGATGAGCTGGGCTTTGATGCTCGCATACTCCGGCTCAAGTGGCGCAAACTCCTGTCCTGAGAGACTTGAAAATGCGTCTGAGATGTCGCCGGCGCGTTTATGTGTTGCAGCTTGTGTTGCAGTAGTGCTGTGAAACGTTCTTGAAGGACAATATACTAAACGGAGTGAGACAAGACATGGGCGGAGAAGACGATTCATGGTTGATGTATCCAAGTTCGATCTTTCTGTGCTGAGACCGGTATCAATTTCAATATTCTGTGCCTGATAGTGGTTCCATGCCGAATCTTATAACCTGCAAATCAACGTTGCAAGAGACGCGCATGCACAACGGAGCATCGAGACGTGTCGTCTGGCGTCGGATGCACTACTACATGGAGTTAGATTACCGCCCAAACCGCGGCTTTTGCAGTACTGCTTCTGCGACGATATGCTGAGATATGCGCCATAGGAGCCCCGCCAAGGCCGACCGACCCCACGCTATCAACACATGGCTATCCGGCTATTCTTGTACACTCTCCCGGAACGACGGGCAGTTTATCCGGCGACTGTTCGCAAACCCCTGACCGTCCATACTGTACATACAGTATGCGACATGACTCACCCGAAAGTTGCAACCGAGTAGCAGCGAACTAAGACCTTCAAGCGATGATGGCGAACCATTGGCAGCTGCCTTGGGCGTTCTGAAGCCATTACTGGCTCGTTGAGACACGTAGACCACGGGATAGGACTGGGGTATCCTTGATTACCCCAGAAGCGAGGCGTGCAAGGCTAGAAGCGATCCGGAGAACCGGCAGAATGGGCCGTGTAGAACGAGAGTGTGTGCCAGGCAGGGTGCGAACAGATGAATCGAGTGGTTCAAGAACCGAGTGCCCGCAATGTCCCTATGGCTTCTTCTGTGACTTCGTCTTTACTTTCGATCTGGCTTCAACAACGCACGATGACGACCTCGAAACTGCCTCAGGACTTCGTCTGGGGCTTTGCAACTGCGGCGTAAGTCTCACGCTCGCCCGCATCCATCTGTCTAGCTATTCACTATTCACCATCATATCTACCGAGACCTAGAGTCTCAACAACCTGACCACTACCATATGACCCTTTCCAAGTACTCTCCCTTGCGAACCCTATAATAACAACCACAGCTACCAAATCGAAGGCGCCCCACACACCGACGGCCGCCTCGACAGCATCTGGGACACATTCAGTCACACGCCCGGTAAAACTGCCGGTGGTGACACCGGCGACGTCGCCTGCGACAGCTACCACCGTGCAGCCGACGACATCCGCCTCCTCCGCGAACTGGGTGCAAAGGTCTACCGCTTCAGTATCTCGTGGCCGCGCGTAATCCCTCTCGGTGGGCGCGACGACCCTGTCAATGCAGCCGGTCTGGCCTACTACAAGACGCTTGTCGTGGACCTAATCGCCGCGGGCATCGCGCCATGGATTACGCTGTACCACTGGGACTTACCCGAAGCACTGGAGGCGCGATACGGCGGGATGCGCAACGGAGCCGAGTTTATAGCCGACTACACGCGATTTGCGCGGGTCATGTTTGAAGCCCTGCCGGAGTGTAAGTTTTGGGTAACATTTAATGAGCCATGGTGTAGCAGTGTGCTGGGGTATAGTACCGGGCTGTTTGCGCCAGGGCGCACGTCAGATCGCACGGTGAGTGAGGAGGGTGATAGTAGTACAGAGCCGTGGATCGTTGGGCATCATATGTTGCTTGCGCATGCGAGTGCGGTCAAGGTGTATCGTGAGGAGTTCAAGGCGCGCGATGGTGGCCAGATTGGAATCACGCTGAATGGTGAGATTACATCTTCACATAGGTCGATTGTCTAAATGGATAGATGTGATATATTGATACGGTCACGCTGCTGATACGCACCACTTAGGCGACTGGGCCGAGCCCTGGGACGCCGCTGACCCTCTGGACGTCGAAGCCTGCGAACGCAAGATGGAATTTGCGACGGCATGGTTCGGCGACCCGATCTACTTCGGCACATACCCGGCCAGCATGCGGGCGCAACTGGGCGTACGCCTTCCCAAGTTTACCGACGCGGAGGCCGCACTCGTGCGTGGCAGCAACGACTTCTACGGTATGAATCACTACTGCGCGCACTACATCCGGCACCGGGACGAGCCCGCAACCGCCGACGACTACGCCGGCAACGTGGATATTCTGCCGACGAACAAAGCGGGCGACGAGATTGGGCCGGCGACGCAGTCTGTGTGGCTGCGGCCGCATGCGCCGGGGTTCAGAAAGCTGTTGTGCTGGCTGAGCGCACGGTATGGACGGCCGGTCATGTACGTGACGGAGAATGGGACGAGCGTGGCGGGCGAGAACGGCCTTGCGGTGGAGGACTTACTGCAAGACGAGTTTCGCTGCAGGTATTTCGAGGAGTATATCACGGCCATGGCGGATGCACGAGCGATTGATGGGGTGGATGTCAGGGGATATACGGCGTGGAGTCTACTAGAGTGAGTCATTACGCGCCGGCGGCGGCCTCCCCAGATGGTTCGACGGGATGCTGTGCAGGCATTCATGTGGGTAGTCGTGATGCTGTGTACGGATGTGCTAATATTGATTCTGTAGTAACTTCGAATGGGCAGAGGGATATGAAACACGTTTTGGAGTGACATATGTCGACTATGCGGGCGGCCAAAAGCGGTATCCTAAGAAGAGCGCACGTGTGATTGGACAAGTCTTCGACAGATTGATCGAGAAAGCGTAGTTAGAAGGAGCTTTGGGCGTTATTGCGCAAGCTTGACTCTGCATTCGCACGCCATTTGGTTGCGCGATATCGAGCATGATCAATAATCGCGCTGACATATGAGCTTCACGCAACATGCTCAAGAGATAGATGAATAAAAAACACATGTTCGTATGCCGGCGCGTCTCTTGCATTTATGTCTATAATGGAGCAATGTAGACATAAACTTGCCATAGCTTGAATGGAGTGCTCGAATACGAAAAGTCCGTGGCAGCATTTCGCAATTTACTATTCTAATATAGATAGCTAAACGGAGCTATACCGTTTACCCCTGACGTAATAGAATAGTGATAGAATAACATTCACTTAGCAGCGCTTCCCTTAATAGTTCTAAAGATGAGTATACAAAGTTATGTGGTCGATTATCTAACCATGTGATTCAAGCACGACTTAAAGCATCTATTTTGATATTTACGTACCTAACTTCTAGTAGTTCTATATAAATAAGTCTAATATATCTACTTCGAAGCTATATACTCGATTTAGGCAATCCATCCTCAAATTTCTTCGCCTTCAAGTACGTGTTCTGTGACAAATGGTCGGCAGATTAGAACCGCAAGCAGCGCACTGTCGCATACCACATCCGTGATCCGCTGACAGGAAGTGATGAGCTGGAAATACTGGAATGCACTAAGGCGACTGACAGGCCCAGCATGCATGAGGAAACAGACTGCAAAGAAACTTTCATCACGCATTGCTGGTTGGAAAGATCGGGGGCTGAGACTGGATTGCGAATGTTCTTTCTGATGACCGTAACACACGAACGTTTCCAGACGCAGTCATACCACGTTGTTAATATAAGGAGTCATGTGCTTAAGGGGGCAGATGAAAGTGAAGAAGTCAACCCAACAAAAGTGGGTCTTAGCAAAGACTGTTCTATATCATATTTGTTGTCGTTGGACGTGATTGGCTCGATTCATTGTAAGAAGGCTTAGATAATCTATAGACATTAGACCTAGCAAAGTGGGGCTCGATAGCCTGACAGCCGAAGGCGCACGGAAATTCGAAGAATTTCACAGAATGTGCCCCTCTTTCCGGGAAAATATTCTTTGAAACATGAGCCAAACATGCCCTAACCTCCCAATGGTCTAGTTGGTTCATGGCGTCTGACTGTAATAGCAATTGTTATCAGAATGTCCCCTGTTCGATTCAGGGTTGGGAGATGTGTTTTTATCAATTTTTGCCTCCATTCTAAATGAATTGTCAACGTTCTCTTTGCTAGACGCGTATTATGCCATGCCTGTCCACTCCCTTCTAGAGAGTACTTATGCTCTGGCCAAACTAATTACACTTTGGTCTAGGTTTTTAAACCCTACATGACTATCGCCTTCCCAGTGTATTGACGCTATGGAGCTCTATAATTCGTACTAGTAGTTCCCATGTTTGACGCAAGAATACCACCAGATCGTCGATAGAACGAACCACATCGTAACGTAAGTTAAGTCCTTATTATTTCTAGCTCACCAATATTTCGAAAAGTATTCTCTTCTTCTTCATTGGCATACATCAGCTTTCGGCCTGTGTATGCCGGCGCACTGGATGCCGATACATGTCCAGCAGATAGCGTCGAACCATTGATGGCGCGCTGCTCAACTAAATGCCGAGGAATTCGAGACTACCGCAAATGTCTAGCTCATCACCCTTCTTTCTTCATACATGCGAAGTGCAAAGGTCAGCGATCCGTAGAGTCCTTGGGACTTAAGCATAAATACACGCTAGTTATACAGGGTCAACGCCTAACCTACGTGTCTGTATCTTCTCAATCAACTTCCTACATAACATTTGAGTATTGCTTATCTAGGTATGTATTCGACACAACGATCCTTTCTGTTTCACTACCGGTTGCTCTTGATGGTTGTACATATCACTAATGTACAATCAGATTATTCTCTGTGGCTCTCCATAGTATAGTCCCTGTTGCATATGTTCTCCGGCAGCATCTTTGTCCTCGCTTGCAGACAGCAGTAGCGGTGATATCCAAGTCCAGAGATGAAATAAATGTAACAAGTGCTCACAACATACAGGACCCAAGTCGTACACGAACGAAATGCTAACTCATCACAGCGCCTCTAGACTTTTGATACATCTGTCTGTAACGCCGGTTCCAATAACAGGATACCATGACCCTGAGTGGCCTATATTCAGGATCCATTGATTGGCCAAGTATTCGTCTGTCTAGTACCATTCAACCTATATTCGGGCCCATCTGATGCGCCAAGTATTTGCCTGTTTGGTAGGTTCAAACGTGGAGCATCCAATAGGTACCCCTGGTCCTCCGTGGATCTTGCAACGATTTCTTTGAGCTCTAGAAAGAGCTGTCGGGATGTTAGCCTCTTGGTTTGATCGATGACTAGCATGCTCTCCATAATTATATCGATCAGATCATGGATAGCTTGTGAGCAGCGTTTGTTCTTGCGGAGTTTCGATGCCCATTTCTCGACACCGATGGTCACAATGGCCTTCGTGTCCCCATTACGATGGACTATCTCATAAAACTTGTCATCGTCGATTTTAAGGGAATTCATCTTGCTACGGGCTTCGGCAAAGTCCTCCGTGGCCTGATTACCGAGTATGAGCCAGGTAATATACTCCATAAAAACACATCCGAGACTCCAAGTATCATACTTTCGGGACACTGCTATTCGCAGCGCACATTCTGGAGGCTCATAAGTTGGGGTAGCTTGGGCGGTCGTCGGGCGGACTTTTGAGCGGGAATCGCGACCGTGGAATCTTCCCATGCCTGAGATGCTTAGCTAGAGCACCGAACAAGGATCAGCGTGAAAGGAAGCACTCACCGAAATCTGCAATCTGCAAGACCCCTCCATCTAGATCTGAAAACCACAAGAAGTTCTCTGGTTTGATATCGCCGTGGCGTCCAAAGTGCTTTTCATGGTCAATTACTCCTAGCCTCTCGTTCTGGTGATCGAGCCTATCAGATAGGGGAAGGGTAGGATGAGTAGTATAGTTATGTATTAGTGATAAGGCTTGCGCGATACCTTTCATTTGCTGCAAAGACCACAAGACTGTGCTTTGGTCGAATTTGGGGTGCTCTTTTGTTTCCCAATATTGGCGAAGATTTGCATCAGCCCAGTGGAACATGAGATGTGGTTGGCCCCTGAAAGTGAAGGTGTCCAGAAGCTGTACCAAGTGGGCATTTTTGCGGACTCCCAATTTTCGCAAGATGCTCACTTCCTTTTCGAATTCTTGAAGGTCTCCAGAGTTCAATCTTTTGACAGCCACGTACCTTCGACGCGGCTACAGGTATGTTAGCCTTATTTGCAGCAGCTGCGCCTTGAGCTAAACGCTCACCTCCTGCGATTCCTCCTCCCAAAAATTGTGATGAGAGGGATGTAGTCGGCGCTTCACCACCTCACTGTAGCCGCCTCTATCGTTCTCAACAGGTCTGTGATCTTGATCATCCCACACATATGGCAAGATCGTGTCATTTGATAGCTGTCCTTTTGGCTTATACCTATCAAAAACTGGTGCAAGCATCCTGAATTGATATTGTCCGAAGTCTTTCAGATCTGACTGTGCCCATCTTCTCATTGCTTCCACGGTCGTTTTTGCTTCATCATTCCGGGCTAGACAAAATTTCTTCTCGCCGATCCTATTACTCACTGGAGTCCTTACCAGTGGCAAGTCTCTGTCCGACAGCCCATCGTCCAGAAGATTGCAAATTTCACTGTCCTTTTTGCCACGGAGAAGAGTCGCGAACAACGATATTGCTGTGGTACAGATCTGCTCTGTATATCTCGTGACTAAATCAGTGGTTCCCCTTTTCTTCAAGCTGCGCACGTGCAGAAACACTCGTTCTGCGGTAATTATTGATCTCTGTTCTGAAATCGGAACATAGTAGCCCCAACCCTCATTATCTGATGATTGTTCTGCTTCTCCAATAAGCTCTCGTAGTTTCTCTGCAATATCGACATCGCTTGATTCACTGTCTGATTCGACCATTGTCGGTAAGGGCAAGTGGCTTATTTATTCACAATGGTTGGAAGAGAATAGAAATATGAGACGAATTATATCGTCTAAGGTTGACAACAGCAATTCTAGCTCTAAGAATATGACAGTGCAACTCAAAGACAGGAGTTTGGTGACCGATACGCGGTACGGTGCGGCTCTTGTAGATAAACTGGGAGTAAAGGAGTGAAGGACTAGTCAGTGGTGCGTGAGATAGGCAACAGCTTTTTCTCTGTCTTATATTGGTAGATGTGGCAGGGAACATGGAGTGGAGCCAATCCAAATTCAAGCTCGCGACCGGTCAAGACAAGGCAGACGTGGAGATTGGAACTGATGACTCGATTTGATCCCTCAGAAGGGTATCAGGCAAACTGCATAGAGCCCGACAGTCCAAGCCTGTATTGAGAGGGGGTCAGGTGCGGCCCCTCATTCGTAATGAATAGTAGGTGGGGTTATAGACGAGGGAAAGGCTATGGGGGGCTGCTGATGTGCTGGGCTTGCATTGATGCAGTAGGGGGTGGTTCAACCACTCATATCTAGGTCCTGGACATCCATGCAAACCAGTCTAGCCGAGATCGTATAGCTTGTCATGCACCTAAGTCTGTCATTGTCTCCAGCAGGCATCATTCCGTCTTTTCAAGGTGTTGTTAGGTCGGTTCGGGAGACATCGTCCAATTCCTCACCTTGCTCAAGATCGGCTCTGTGGTCCTGCGGCGTAGTTCAACCTTACCATCTCCACTGCCACGATCTGGTCCATGGTACAAAGGAAGTTGGTATTGGTCCGGGGTCTTTGTACAATACTGCCACAAGATCCACAGAGCGATAGTGAAGAGTGTAAGAGGAACAGAGATGGCAGCGAGAAGCCAAGTGCTTCTTGATATTTCTATACCACCATTGTCGTTCGTTTTGATAAATTCAGTGGAAAAGAAATTCTTCGAATCACTGTTAGTGCCGAAGTGAAAGGTATCTTTCGTGGACTTACAGCTACGATTGTCGTTGGCAGATATATGAGACTTATGACGGTCAGAGCCTTCATGGCTGCTGCATCTGTTGTACTTTTTTTCTACGTCATTGTGAGGTTACACCGGTACGTAAGGGCTCATTCGATACTCACTGTTAGTTCATGCATTGCCTGGCTCTCAAGATGAGACTGCTCCGCCAGCAACACCAAAGCTTTGTTATCCTCATAGTTCAACAAATCAGAGAGCTTTTACAGTCAACAACGTTCGTCATTTTTCGAGTAGAGAGCTACATACCATCTTTCGGACGGACCTCGCTCGCTCGCGCAGGTTCACTGTACATTCCAATAGAGCATCAATCTGGCTGATTTGCTCGCCCATCGCTGCAATCTTATCATCGCATTGACAGAGGCCGATCGATATGTGCTGGTGTGCTTTGCAAGATATTGCACAGACCTTCATAAGTCCCATTACGTTCCTCCTAGACAGAGAGAACATTGCATTTAGGTCCGTGATGTAGTCCTCGAGATCCTGTAGCTTTTGACGATCATTGAAGCTGATTTTTATGTCAATGCCGGGAGCTATCGACGCACTCTCTCCGACCATAGTGTCAGACACAGAGCCAGTATCCGTCAGGACTGCTTTGTTAAGCTTATTGGATTAGCATAGATTCTATATTTTAGATTAGAAGTGATTCATGCCAGTCAATCGACAGACATGGCCATGTGAGTGACATACCAGTTGACGTAGCTCTGTTTCAATCCAGGCCATATAATCAGGCCAGTTGCTGAGACCTTCTTCGACAAGAGCGATGTGTAAGTTCCATGGATTCGAATCAATCTCCTCCATAAAAGAGACCATGTTTTCAATATTCGCAAGAATCAACTTTGTCGCACTCGAGGGCGCAATGACCAGGGACAACGATTCGAAAGTGGGGCCTAAGACTGGTACATCGGTCATACCACTCATCAGTCTAGAGTTACAATTCTGAAAGTTCTGATAGACCCCGCTCTGTCTGATCGACCAGGGTGAACGTTCTTGAAGACGATTCGTGAACTCTACACGTCGAACAATGTATGCAATTTCTGCCCTCGATCAGTCATCTAATGCGAAAAATGATTACAGAATACGGTCTAGCGATGATTCTAGTGGTCAATCTACACCAGGGCGTGGCTAGACTTAACCAGACGTCCTCGCCTACGTCCCACTTACCATATGATCCTTGAGTCATCTGCTGCCACTTGAATCCGGGAAAACTCTGTTCATTGTTTTCAGTCGTGATTCCGAGGACCATCATAAGTCTCCAGATGTGGTTGAACACGTCATGTGATTGTATGAAGGCTTCAAACATCGTTCGACTGATGTTCAAGTTCGACCACGATCGGTGCTGGCCAATGGTGAATAGGCGTGTGCGAGGACAATCCTAGGTAGAGGTCATTCTCTGTCTGCGTATGCCCACATCGACTCATACTCACCTTATTCAAGTCCTCCAGTTGGCTTATATCATGGATATTCTCCAAGTTTGGGGACACTGTTTGCCCTGATTCGAGGTGTCCTCCAAACCCCACGTATGTCAGCTCTTGCATATCATTCGATCTATTAAAGATGCGACCAGCCATCGTTTCAATTGTTTCACGGAACGTAGCATTTCTGAACCCAGTGAGCGTTTCCATTGTTTGAACGTGCAGAAGCCGTTGTAGTATCTGTGGGATGCTCCTTTCCTTGAGGTTTTGACATACACTTCATTCCCTCCCATTCCGTGCTCTGATATCTGGAGCGGGGCATGATGTGCACCAATTACAATTAGATGCAAGCCAAAGTAGCTGCATAAGCGAACAGCACAGCAACACGTCACAGAGCTGTGAGCCTTGAAGCGACATTGGGCCCATGAAAAGGTACGTCCGGCTGATTCCGTGGCATATCGATACTGAGGTTGTACGGGACAGTAATACACATATAAGGAAATTTGAGTATCTGGCAAAGCTGATACTGACAGTTAGTGGACTCATGAAACTCGTGTCTTGAACTTTGATCCCATCAGAAACTTGTGTCTGGAACTTTGATGCCATGGAAGTCTGTATAGTAGAAGGGTCTTTTACAAAGTATAGTACTAGGACATTAGTCTGGGAACATTTCAGGTAAATTTCATGTGAAGTGCTCCCAGACTAATGTCCGTTACTATACCTTGAAAAGGGTGTTCACCGCGCCTTCTCTATATGCATTGACGCGAAGTAATTTCTAGCGCAGTAATAATCCTCTGCTACTCCCTGGGAACTATCTGTACAAGGCTGAACACGCTCTGATCTCATCCTGTACCCTTTCTGTGAGCTGCCGGCATGTAGGCTCGCCAGAGACTGACCTACATTGGTGAGGACCCCTTTGTCTGGAGAAGCGTATATCCTGTAGTGATTCATGCGCAGCTAGTGAAGTCAATACAATGATTTTCAGGTGGGAAGGTCCAGATCGCACACCTTCACTTGAAAGTCCTTCTCGTACCTTCTTTCAAGACAGGTGATTAATTTCCGTGGATCGACATAACGAGCCTCTATCGTTTGTTGGTGCTGTTGATGCTGAATAGACATGGCGGGCAACGCTGAAATTTTGGAGTATGGGGGCGAGAATGTTCGTTTCTCAACTGGGGAAGAAGTAGATTATAACAAGCAAATTGGTGTAAGATTGTGGCCGAGCGGAAGAGGACACTGTCGCATCGTGGCACTGCGCCAAGTAGCTGCATCATGCAGCCAGGACAGGGGTGGGGGCCCCTTGATCAATACAACAGCTTTCAGTGGCGCTTGCGCCAAATTCTTGCCCATCAAGCAAGGACACATGGAGGCGCAGTGATCCCTCTCTCTTCTTCTTTGTCAGTTGGACGTAGTTGGATCCGTTCGTGCAAACCGATCGATTTCTTCCTGGCATGATCGTTTAGCTCGGTGGTGACTAGACCTTCATGAGAGTGCCTACATCTGTGACTTCCTCCGGAGTGTTGATTATGACCTTGCCGTTCCGCATCTACAATATTAGTCAGATAGTTCTTGTTCAAAGGACGGTACACCGGCCCGGCGGTTCAGCTTACGTACCTTGATGGAATAGTCTTTCTTCGGAAATCTCTCGTCCAGGAGAGCTTTCAACCTTGCCCCATCGATGTACCTTCGTACAGCTTTCAGGTAAACTTGTGCCATCTGTAATGGATGAGTAGTGCGAAGTGTCCTGTCACTGGTGTCAGAAACTCCTTTGCACAGCCCATCGAGACGGCTGATAACGGTATATATAAAGCCTTGACCAGTCAGCTTGACCTGCAGATTCGTCAGGCTGGGTCAGACGATCAAGTCTTTATTACTTACATGCAGGTAAGAGGCAAAGGATCTTATCACTAGCCTATCACAGTGGAAGAACTTCCCTCTCAGACTCTTCCTAATGACCCGCTTGCTGTAACAGCATATCATGCTGTGTATCCATGGAACATTACAGAGTCAATAGACTTGCGCCTTTCATGTTCCTCTTAACGAGCTTAATTCTACCCTTGAAAGCTCTCATTCGCTGTCCTAGTCTCACGGAAGTCTCTAGATACCCCTCAATACAACTATGACTAATGGTATACCAATGATTCGAGCCTCTTGCAAATTCGAAGTCCACGTGTCGATGCATTATGCCATAACGTAGGCAGACAGCTTTGGCATCTTAAGCTTGTACATTCAATTTATTCTAAAACTTGTATACCTGATCTTTGCTGTACCCAAGTTCCTTGAGGACTCCGTCAAGCTCTCCCTGGTCTGATGGGCTCTTCTTAGTACCACTAAGCGCTTTGTAAAGACCTGGCGGACCGCAAACGAAGACCTTGACCTTGTCGCCCTCTTTCGGTTCAGGTGCGACAGTCTTGACAAGTTCTTTAGTGATGAAGCCCTTGCCGCCCTGCCAATTCTCTGAAGGCTTGTCAAGGACATAAAATCCACGGAACCGACGTGGGTATTGATTTTCAAGCTGCTCGAATTCTTTCTTCAGAAGAATGTCCTCCTCAGAAATGTTGCCAAATATCAACGAGACCCTAGTCTTATCTTCAGGATTATTAAAAATGGCTCTTACGAGCTGGTACATTGGCGTGATGCCGGTCCCTCCCGCGATAAGGACGATATGCTCGTGTTTGTTAACCGACCATGGGTACTTTGGCAGAGGTCCCTTGAAGTCTAGTCGCTGACCTGGCTCCATATCGTGCATATGTTCGGACATAGGACCGTTTGGGTATTTCTTGACGAGAAGATCGAGGTATCCCTTCTGGTCTGATCCAATGTTAGATGCTGGGGTTTGCGACTGAACAAGAACTGACCTTCATCGCTCACCGGGGTGTAAGGTCGAAGAACCGGCTTTTCCATATCTGGACCTTTGTACTTGGTGAGGAGCGCAGCTGGAAGATCATCAGTCAAGTGCGACCAAGTAATAGGGTTTAAAGTTACTGACAAGCGACATGGAGGCCTGAGACGGCATCATCTTCTGGTAGATGAAACCGAAATTTCTTGGTATTGTGGTTGACATTTTCGACTGATTCGAGCTTCAGAGAGATAAAGCCCTGATCGCCACCTGTAAATGTTTTCTTGGATTCGGCGCCCGCAAGACTTTTCGCAGCGTCGACCTTTGACGCGACCTGCTCTTTCGCATTACCAGTAAGGTAGTACCAAGCACCAGCACCGCCCACAGCAGCTATACCGGCATACATAAGAGGGCTCGGCCCACCTCTGGCTGGTGGCTCTGTCGCGTATCGGCGGACGTGCTGATATGAGGCATCAGCTATCCTGTGGAGGTGCGCGCACTTATCGCTAAACTTACACTCTGTAGTGTCCGTATAGGGCGGAACATCTGTCTTGCGAGCATTGTGAAAAGAATAGAGAATGACAATGGAAGCGTTGTGATGCGGTTATGGAGACAAGAATAATTTGGGCGAGGTTGAAGCTCTTTCGCTCAGCACCTGAATGTCAAAGCTTCCTGTCGCTACTAATGACGACATGTCTTGGCGGTTGGTACAGCCCTTGAAGTGTTCAACTGAGCTGTGGACGTAGGTGTCAATGACAAGCCACGATTGTTCATAATTCGTTTAAGTTTTCAGTTCTTGGGTATACATGTTTGTGCTTCGATTTTAGTCGATCACCCTCCAGGTCCAGCCCAAATCCCATTCTGACCGTTTACAATCAAGACAAGCAAACTGTCCATAAACCCACCAAGGCGCCGCGCTATTGACCATCTATGATCTCATAAAATAAGTCGTGAAAAGGGGTAAGGTGATGAATACAAAAATCCACCGATTGACCAGGTTGGCCAGTTCAATTAACATCCATACCTTCGTCCTCACCATCTTCCTCACCATCTGCTTCATCCCCAGTTAGGGCGCCGGCAACGCTGCTTCGCTTTCGTGAATGGCCACCCTCACTTCCGAATCTGGCACCGAATCCCCCAACAGCTTCCAGCTCATCACCGCCGACGACTCGCCCTTCAGCATCAGCAGTTTCCTCGCAGAGCTCCATCAGGCTTTTGCGACCTAGGGTCCGGAAGCCTTCGGTACGTACTACCCTTCCCCAGTGCAGCATGCAGAAGGTCGCAGCACGTTGTCTGAGCCACTCTTCATTTGCCGTTCCAGCACGTTCCCAGATAATCGCCGCGTGCTCAACGTCCAACTCTTTCCCCAAGCGATTTACGCAAAGCAGCCTGAGTCTTGGCATATCGTAGATATTTGACATGACTAACATGCCGGCTACATCCGCAAGCGTAGGCGAAGGTTGAGGATTCGCTGGTGTCGGTGGCGGGGTGGCAATACTATCCGTGTATAGATAGTAGAGGAAGGAGCGAACAGCGGAATAAGGCTCTGGAAGATGTAGCTTTTTGTTCTGGTATTCGAGCATTCCGGATGCATACAGTCTCGCGAAATGTGGCCAGCGAGTAGTCAGAATCAAACGATGGACATGAATGGGCTTAGACGGATTAGCAACCACGATATTGTGCGCATCTCCATCCATAGTTATATCGTCAGCAAAGTCGTCGTCTCGTTCTGCAGTTACGACGAAGTCTGCCCCAGAGGACCCATTCTCGGGCGGTTGGTCAAAAGCACGCGCGAAGTCAGCGCCAATGCCCGACAGATGTGATCTAATGTTGGAGTCCGAAGAAATGGACATCCTAGGATTATCTAGGCGAGACTCCATGGTCAGGTTGTTTCCGAGTAGGCCAAGCTTGCGTAGATCAACAGAAAGTACATCACTCAGATACTCTCCTGCACCTTCAACAGTGGTGTTGGCGTCAGTGGGGCAACCAAGTAACCACGCCTGGGTGCCATCCTCGTTCATGGTGCAATATTGCCAGCGATAATTGGGACTGAAGAGGTCTTTGCCATCGGCTAGCTTTTGCCAACGCATCGTATCAAGGTCCAAGGAGGATAGACTGGTCTCATACGAAGACACGAAGCTGGCCGGGGTGGCGAAGTCCAGGAGAGAGCCGGACGAAAAAACATGGAAATGAGTGCCTACATTCTGCGCTGGGAGATGCGGACTTGAGACAAATCGAAGGGAAGAAATGGTTCCTGGCGCCACGGTCGAGTTCCTCGAGGGTACCTGAGCAGCTGAAGTCTGTACACTACTTGAGTTTGCTGCGTAACCAGTGGTGCTACTAGCAGACTGAAGCAAGCCTTGGCTGAACCGATGCCGTTGAGCTCTCGGACTAAGCATCCACCTATTACCCGTGCCGTAGCTCAGTGGACCTTCGTAAGCCGGAGTACCTTCGAGATCTAGCCACCAGATCTCACTAGTGCGTTCCATATCTTCACCTATACCGCCGTACACCCAGATACGACCGTTATAGATCCACGAACTGTGATCATAGCGCGATACGAACCTGTAGGACTTTGACCAAGTCCATGTCTTCAGGTCAAGATAGCAGATATCATCAAGTACGTGCGAAGTCTCCTCACCAGCCATTCCTCCAGTTATGAAAAGCTTGTCATCATATATGACAGCAGAGTGGCGAGCTCGTCCTTTCGGAGCAGGCCCATTCAACTCGGGTTGCTGCCATGTTGCGGTCTTCAAGTTGAAAATGATGACATCGAACAAGTACGACCGATGCTCATTCTCGCCGCCGAACACAAGCAGTTTGTCGCCTTTCCATAATGTGGTTGTATGACCTGTTACGAAAATTAGATTTATGATCATACATCTTCATAAGTGGCCATACCCATTCTCACCCCAGGTATATCTCCATAATTATCGACCAGATTCCATTGTCGCGTTACGAGATTTAGGCGGAGGACGTGGTTATAAACTGTCCTCATGTGAGCGGGTCCCAGAAATGAAGTGATGGGAGATTCGTACCTTCGTCTGTGTACTGGTCGAACCCTCCGAAGGCATAGATCTGGTCGTTACCAACGTATGTCACGGATGCATTGACCAGGCACGCCGGTTTAGCACCAACTGTCGTTATGATTTTCGGTCGATATGTGTCATCGCTGGATTTGCGAGCTCTGGAAGGACTGATAGACATGAGATTTGAAGTATTGGGCTGCGCCGATGCGGACGATGGGGAGGCCAAAAGGGCTTGGGGGTGGGGGGCCGTAGTGGCAGAGGAAGCGGGATATGGAGAGATGGAAGTGGGTGGACGATCCATTGAAAACTACTGAGGGTATACGCTATCGAGCGAGGACGATGAGGGGGCCATGTAGAGCACAAGATAAAGTGCTTATAACATTAGACTCTTCGCGTGGATGTCGGTTGCTCGCTCACTTGAAGTCAGATTTCACACTGTTCGAGGAAGTGTTACGAGGTGGTGTAGAGCTGGGTAGGGCTGATATCTGCCGAGAAACGACCGAATTTGATGCGTTACCGGAAAGCTAGGCCCAGGTCGGGCTCCGGATGCACCCACTCTCATATCGCTGTAGCAACAACAACAACCGTGCACGAATCAACATCACCTTAAAGTAGGCTGCGAAGCCGACTTTTTTCTTCTTTCCTTTACCATACTCCCAACCCACAAACCATACCTCTTATCATCCATTCTACCGCTCATAACCTCATCAAATCACTACAACCTTACAAGTTTAACAACTACATTGGTTAACAAGCGAAAAGATACTAATCAATAACACATAGAGCAAAGAAGAAAATCATACTTGTAAATCCGAGCATCTACATATTCGAGAGCCTGATTTTAATCACTCCAACAGATTCCACCGCACACATGGCTAGTCCGGCCGTGCTCACTCCTATAAAGAACCGAAATGGCATCTTTTCCACCCGTACCGCTGGCGGTCGGATGCCTCTCACCCCGTCACCTCGCACACCAAGCCGCCAAGTTCGCGATGTAGATGCACAAGAAGGTTCAATTCACGGTAACAACAACCTGATGTCACGATTCCAACGCTCGGTTTCGAAGCAGACGCGCGACTCTCCCAAGTCAAACATTGCTCGTCAGGCAAACTCACCGCGCCGGCTGGAATTAGGGGTCTCCGATTGGACATTAACAGGCACATCTGCTGCCACCTCGAAGCAAACACCATCCAAGAAGAGAGAGGTTCTTGCTCGTGCTCGAAGTGGAAAGACAACCACCCGCATTGCATACAACGCTGCTGATAGATTCATCCCTAACCGGACGGCGAGTGAGGCTATCTGCAACGTTGGTACCGGAAAGCTGGAGACCGACCAGCAATCGAGACCAAAATCCAGTTCCAACGCTGAGGGTTCTTCAGTCCTCGCCAGCGCTGCTAGTGCTTTTGATGTCGGACGTGGTGCTGAAGAAGCTGCTACACTGTCACTCGAGGGCCTCAGCCTGGGAGACGATGAGGACGAGAAGTCGTATGTCAAGCCCGGCCCAGATACTGTGGCATACCAGTCATCGATAGCCTCAGCCTGTGGTGTGAGCCTCAACACTCGCATTCTGGCTTTCAAGCCAGCACCTCCAGAGTCTTCCAAGCCCATCGACTTGCGATCACAGTATAACAGACCTCTCAAGCCTGCGGCTGGCGTATCAGCCCAATTTAGACGCCGAGTGGCAACTGCACCGGAGCGTGTACTTGATGCACCAGGTCTTGTTGACGACTACTACCTCAATCTTTTAGACTGGTCTTCGGGCAACCAAGTTGCCATTGGCCTGGAGCGCAATGTGTACGTCTGGTCGGCTGACTCTGGATCTGTTGTTCCTCTTCTAGAATGCAACGCTGATACATACATCTCGTCCGTGAAATGGAGCGGTGACGGTGCTTACGTTGGTGTCGGCCTCGGATCGGGTGAAGTTCAGATTTGGGATGTCGAAGAAGGCACTAAATTGAGAAGCATGTACGGCCATGACACACGCGTTGGTGTCATGGGATGGAACAAACACATCCTTTCCACTGGTGCACGTTCAGGACTCGTCTACAATCACGATGTTCGCATCGCCCAGCACAAGGTTGCTGAACTTGTGTCACACACCGGAGAGGTCTGTGGTCTCGAGTGGCGCTCGGACGGCTCCCAACTGGCTACTGGTGCCAACGACAACCTTGTCAGCATTTGGGACGCTCGATCGCTCTCTGCCCCCAAGTTCACCAAAACCAACCATCGCGCGGCTGTCAAGGCTCTTGCATGGTGCCCCTGGCAATCAAACCTTCTGGCAACAGGAGGCGGTGCCCACGACCGACACATTCACTTCTGGAACACGACTACTGGTGCTCGCACAAACTCTATTGATACTGGCTCGCAAGTTACCAGCCTAAGATGGAGCACTGGATACAAAGAAATTGTCAGCAGCGGTGGCTTTCCCGATAACAGCCTTAGCATCTGGAGCTGGCCCAGTCTCGTCAAGAACGTCGAAATTCCCGCCCACGAAAGCAGAGTCCTCCACTCATGCCTGAGCCCAGACGGTCAGATGCTTGCAACTGCGGCCGCAGATGAGTCGCTCAAATTCTGGAAGATCTTTGAGAAGAAGCCTGGCGCCGCTACCACATCCCGGGACGCTGGTGCATCTTCAAAGGCCAGCATGGTGAAGCAGATGACCATTCGGTAACAAGCTCTCCATTGAGTACGGATTTTGCGTTTCGGCGACAAGAGAGATAAAACGAAGACGTCTTTGGAGACACGGTGGACGACAAGCTAACTAACGCACGCTGGATGCAGCTGCAACTAACACTACTAACAACACAGGCACGCACAAGTGTTGTAGAACTAGTACTATCGACACTAGCTGTCGGTATGACTGGGTATACTCATCACATGCATGGGTCTACGGACGACATCACAAACGTCATTTCTTTTGAGGTCGGGCTGGAGTCTTCCCCGCGGATTAGGGAGGTATGGTCCTCTGGGTACGGCCACTGAAATGATTCTCACAACTATTGTTGTTGTTGGTTCGGGACGAAGTTAATGAAATGAAGCGATTCGCACATGTCATGTCAATTAATTTGGGTTACGGGTTCTATAACATTACGGAAATGCTCCACTGTTTCAAAAACGTATTACTTCATATTCTGCTGTGGTCCTAGAGCCGTGATGTGTCATTCGTTTACTCCTACATTCATCTGATGTTGAATGAGCTATTCGTGAGAAACCAGGCTTCAGTCCAATTGAACTTGTCTCAATGTACTTGTCTGGTACCCGCCATGCATATTTTTCGACCTATCCGTACTTCTTGTCTGGTGGGAAAGTACCAGGAGGATATGCCTGGCCTTGTAGTCCGCCAGATCCTAGAGGCTCACCAACCCCAGAGCTGACTCCTGACGGAGCCGCATTACCAAATCCGATAATGCCTGGCTCTGGCTGTCCAGCAGTAGCACCGGCACTCGCACTATTTGAGACGCCTTGTGGTTTATAGTCTGAGGGGATGAGTGGTGCGGGATCTCCACCGTTGCCACCACCCACAATTACCGTTCCTCCGCCCCTTACCTTGCCAACAACCATGCCTTTGGCGACCGATTTAATTATAGCACGACGTGAGACACCAGCGACGTCAATGTAGACGAGGCCAACATTCTTTATTCCCGATGTAAGCTCGTTAGAGAGATCTCCAGCCTCTGGACCATACTTGTGACCGACGACGGTGTTGGCAGCCGTACTCGTATTTGCAAGGAGGCTGCGACCACCAGCTTCGATGCCATCCACGACAGTAGAGAACGCCATCATAGACTTATTCAGAAGACCAGGCTTGTAGTCCTCAACTGGTTTTCCATCCTTATCGTAACCTTTGTGGGGTCGGTCCTTGTGTCCAGCCAAGCCAGCGACTTTGTTTTGGATCACCTTGGAGATTGATCCAACTGTCTTTGCCGACATACCAGCAGCACTGGTAGTGAATTGGTTGATTTTGCGAGCGTTGGTGTGTGTTGAGGGTTTAAATGACATTGGCTTTGAGCTCGGCTTGGACTTTTGCGTAAAAGTATTTGCTTGATTAACCATCACGCTCGAGAGGTAATTGGATCCAGTCACAATTAAACGCGAAGCAGCAGCCGCGTTCTGTACCAAGGTTGACTTGGCATAGGCAGGATGACGAGAGTCGTTCAGGTAGTCCTCTGTCACGGGTCGTACCTCAATGCGCTTACCATCTTCTGAGATCTGGATCTCGACAGGATCTACATTTGGAGTTAGCATCGTACACCGGGAAGCTATATTTCCTGGATTACCTTTTCGGCCAGGCTTCAGTTTGGAGTCATCAACTATCATATCACCCTCCGTCAATTCACCAACAACGCTTCCATTCTCCTCGTCCACAAGCACAACCTGGCCATGGCTTGCAGGCTTTGAAGATGATCCTGCTGTTACATAGCCCTCCCCTGGCTTATAATCTGCTGGGTTGTAAGGTCTGGGGGTGCTCTTTCCAGAAGGTGGCTGGGCACGCTCAAGAAAAGCTGTGCACTGCGCCAAAATGGTTTCGAAAGTGTCAATATCCTCTTGCGATACCTTGTGAGTGCCAGTTCCTATAGCAGGGAATTCGATGCGCAAGAAGACGCCATTGTCAGGACCAAGCTCCCAGCGTGGAATTAAGTAGCTTCGCGGTGGTTGGTGATATATTTGTGTCGTAGCTGGCAGTGGCATGTCCAATTCTGGCGGAAGGTTGAGGTGGAGGTAGAAATCATCGGCAGGAGCAGCTTCATTTTGAGGAAGAGTGCTGCTGAGGTCGGCGAATGGGGAGTTTGTTGGGACCATCAGGAGGGAGAGTGTCTGTGGCCCCGAGGGCGTGAGTTCTTGTTCTTCTCCATTCTGAATATGGTATGCCTTGACTCCTTCGATCGAATAGAGGAGGCGGGGCTCGTAATGGGCCATGATCTGTGTGTGGGGTATGAGTAGGCCAAGGGTCTGAGGAGGTACACGGATTCGTACTTGATGAAAGGCGCTGCGAGAAGACAAGAGTTGTTCTATGAAGGACTAAGAGACAGTTTGAGTTGTGAGAAGAGAGAGTCTAAGAGCGGCGTCCCTAGAGCCTTGGAAGAGAAATCAAAAGCCAAGCGCGCCTAATTCGAAACTGAGGTAGGTACGTCAAGAGTCCGATGTTGCTGTTGCTTGTTGCTGGGCGGCAGTTGCGCCTGACGTAATTAATTGGGTGTTGTAACCCACCAAGAGGGGTCTTGTGGCTAGGACTATCACACCGCCACAGCTGCGCCACATCCATCATCCATCTTTTTGCAAAAAACCTGTCCTTTCACTTCTCTCCAGCTATAGACTCCGCAACTTATTCGCCTCATACAACAGACAGTACGTGCAAAGGCACAAGGCTTACTTGATGCAGCTACAGCCTTGCAGATGGTTCAACAGGTATGCCCAACCTTTCCGACAACAAGGACCCGGTTTGGATCTCTAGGCGCCGGATTGCCATTGCTACCCTTGAACCTAAGCAATGTCGCGCCCGTCGTATTGGTACAAGCAATAATGATAGGCTCTCGCAGAGCTGTGCCAGCGAAAGTGTTGGGTGTCCTGTGCTATGAAAATCTTGAAGTCACCTGGATGCAAGTCTTCGAGGCACAGTCACATATTTCTACAGCTGTCACAGCATCACACCAACAAGTGCGCCTTCCAAGGCCATGATCACAGCAGCCTCGCTTGTTAAGCGAGGGCAGTGCTGTCCGCCGTCATGGGTTTTCGCGTCGACATGCGCCGCAGTGCCCTTGCCCAGCCTGCCGTCTGCACACAAGTCCTCACAAAAGCCTCACGGACTGGTTGATCTCACGGGTATTAGCCCAGCCCGGATCGATCTGTACTTGAAACCAATGAGTAATTGCGCTGGGTGGCTTCTCGAAGCTGGCTAGAAGTTAGAACTAAATGTCTAGCTGGAAAGGTCTGAAGATTTCTCAGCTCGTTCAGGCTTAATGATCGGACTCTGCTGGCTCACAAATAGGCACTCTCTCATGCCAGACTTCGGGGGGTCTTTAATCAGTGAACGAATAGCATGCTTCGCATGGCGTCAAGCGAAGACTGAGGATTGTCATAACATTTGCCTTATGAAGTTGCTTGATCGACCAGCGCTTCGGGCAACGCCACTGGTGTGATCTGATCACTGGTGTAGGCCTGGACTTTGGGTGATCGTCGCTGCACGCATCACTTGCTCGCCCGTTGTTGTGGGCCTGAGATGCTGTAAATAGCCCAGAGTCCGCTCATTGCTCCGCTCACGGATCGCAGTGAATCTTTGTTTTCATAGATCAAAATTCCCCCCTTGGGTGGCTTCAGTATGAAACAGCCTCTCGCACGAATCGCAATTTCCGTTCTTCTCGATTAAAAGGGATCTGTACGACTATCGATCTCTCGACTACAGCTATGTTCCAGAACTTCTCCTTCGATCAAGCCTCGCAATACCCATCTCACGTGGGCGTTGAATCTGAGGCTAACGATACTTCACCAGCACTATCCCCAACATCAATACCATCACAGAACTTCGACATGCCACTTGCCACTACCAGGGCGACAGTCAGAAATCCCTTGGTCGACTTACAAGAGCGTCTGCACAGTTGTCATATCACGGACCAGGCAATGCCATCCTCTTATTTCGATTGTCTTCGATCTTCACAGCCGGAGATGGATAATTCCATCGCCGATTTGAAATTTTGTGGAACAAGACACACGAGTAGTGGTTCTACTGCACACTGTATCCACGACCGCAGGCTCCAACGGCAAAGGGACTCACGCTTGCAATGCACTCCTGCACATTTATCCAAATTGTCGGCCTTGCTTGACGATATGGTCTCACAGGGCGAGCAGTGCTATTGTTTACGACCTGCTTCAATATCTACATTTTCCACACCTTCTTACGCCTCATCTGAGGCTAGCGAATCCGATAACACTTCCCAATCTGAGCAGGTACGTTCTCGCCTGTGCAGCGATTCGAACATTGCGCGACCAAACTCACCTCTACGTTATCGCCGAAGTGGCGACGCGAGACGAGAGGGTACCGTGGTCGTCAAAAGCGTTCGAATACGAAAGCGCAGACAAGGCGGAGAGAGACGCAGTAACGGGGTCAGATGACTATTCCGAGAACTACTAGGATACAATTGTCACACTATACAATCTCGTGCGTTTCGCGATGGGATTCGTCGAGGGTTCACACAGCGACGACCATTCCGACTACACGCTTTACGACACTATCAACTACGCAATCTCATATCATTACGATCTTGGTTATAGCATATTTTCACGCCGCTGCAAGAAGGAAGCGAGTGAAATGGAAGTACCAAAAGCGAATATAAGACTGTTGACGAGCCACACGTCTTCACGAGGGAAGGTGGTTATTATAACAGAGCTGGTCCACTAGCCTCCTCCATCATGTATACGCGAGGCAACGTTGCGAGGAGCAATAGTTGCCCACGAACATATAGATGAGATACCGTCATACACGTTGGCGTCACTAACAAGATCACATTTCCACGTATTACTTTCTTGCTGTTCTTTACTGACATCTGCTTCTGCCAACATACAACATCCAGCCATGAATTGCCAGCATAACAACTGAAACACTTGCTTCCTACACGGCGCCACTGCAGTGCACCTCAACCACAACTTCAAAATACAGCTGTGCTCCCATGGATGCAAGCAGCAGTGCGACATCGTCAGTAATGCCCCCCGCATACAAAGGATTACTCTGACACTCCACCTGCCAATTGGCAGGATGAGAAAGAAAAGGAGTCACCTACCTCAAGCACGCACCGAGCTCAACTATCCAATTGCCCAAAGAGGCAAGACGCAACCCATGTCCCAGCACCCGCTCGCTGCGGCGTCAACTCCGCGCTTTCTCCGGGCGCCGCAGGATCGCCGCCCAAGCCTCGAGGGCTGGGACGCTAGACTTCTGCCTACGAATGCTGGTATCATTAAATCGGTAATGTGGAAATTTGCGCGTATTCTCGTGCTTTCTCGGTCTCGGATGTCCCTCAGTGATTGATGCAATGGCATGAGGTATTTCTAAACCGGACTTCCCTTATCATATACTTATGAGAACACTTGAAGCTTCCACCTACTTGAGGGAGTCCGTGTTTTTGAATGTGAATCGAGATGTACCGGTGTATTAATGATTACTATTGTCAGCGGCAGAGTTGCGCGCGAGAGACTCAGCAAAGGGATGGGAGTGAAACACCTCTTCGAGTCCTAGGTCATGCAGCGAGATGACCTGGCTATATTGCAATCAGTACTCACAGAGGGAGAGGAGCTTCTCTCGAAGGCTTGGTAAAGGGATTTGGTAAAAGTGTTTAGTAAAAAAGCGTTTGGCGTTTCTTCGTGGGTCCTGGCTACTGAATTTGGATTGCATAGAGGGAGCGAATACGACTTATTGGCATGAAGTGGATTGGGGTAAAATCTGGAGCAAGGGTATGGTTTGGGCCGGGTCTTTTCGGTGATGAGCGGAGACTGACGAATAGTAGCGTATGAGCTCCAAAACGTATTGGTTTTGGCCCAGACTTTGGAGGCTCTTTCTTTGCAATGCAACATTGTTGACGAACGACAATGGGCTAGACTAGCAGGTAGTGTGACGACGAGGGTCTTTCGATGCAGCTAAAACAGTCTGATATTATGCTCACTGTCCTCTTACCCTGATAGTATCAGATATACTATGGTAGCGCCAAAGGCTTAATGCCAAACAGTTTGTAGAAGGTATTTGTCGGGTCATACTGTGCCTTCAGCCTCTGCAATCGATCGTAATTGGCACCGAACACATCGTTGGAGTTTTCGTCGTATTCTGCAAGAGCCGAATATTAGCAAACTACAGGACATCTCTTCTGACACGGGGGCGAAGACTTACGATCATAGTTCCCGTACATCATGACCGCACCAACATCTGACTTCTTGGTTGGATATTCGTTCCCCTTGGACACAACCTCGCCGTCCTTCTTTAGCTGCTCTTTGAACAGGGCCGCCATGTCACGAGCCCATTGTCGGCATCGGTCATCATTCTCTGCTTGCGTCCACATGGGCCCGACCATGGCATTGAAGTGATATCCGCGGTTTCCGAAAGCCATGTCTGTATTGCTGGCACTCGCCACAACTTTACTCGGATCATAAAGCTCAAACAACAGCATACTGCCTGCCGCATCATTCACTTCTTCTGTGAACTTGGCGTACTGGTCAAGCACTTGCTGGGCGAAGGTGACGGATATTGGCAAGTTGAAAGCCGCCCCCTTCATGCTCACTCTCAGGCCATACGGGATGCCCATGAAGCTGTTCATGGTGGGATAATCCACCATTGCCATTGTGTTCATGACCGGGTCGAGATCAAGAAGATCCTTATACGCTTCATCGCCCGATGCTTTGTCGCCTAGCCAGATGATCTGCTTTATGACGAGCAGCTGGCCCCTGGCCGGAGGCGGTCGTGCGAACGCTATACTCCCTGCCCCGTTAGCATCCAGACTATTGTCGCGGCGATATATCTTGTTGCAGGCCGCAATCACCTCTGCCAACTTCTGCGGCGGCCACATCAACATCCCAACATACGCCTGCCCACCGTCCGCACCACCAATCCTCTTCTCAACCGGCCCACTCCCAAACGGATGACCCTGCAGCACAAACATGACCGCGACACCAAAATTCTGCCCTGCGCCCCTGAGACCCCAGAACAAATCCGGATTCTCCTCCTTGCTCGCCACCACAACCGCCCCGGACGCCAACACAAGCGTCACAGATACCAGCTGATCAATCGTCAGCCCCAGTTTGCCCGACAACCACCCATACCCGCCTCCCAGGGTCAGCCCGCCCACCCCGGTGTCCGCAACTGTCCCGCCCACGGTCGCAAGCCCCGCCTTGAAGCCGGCCTGGTCGACTTGACCCCAGACCGCCCCTCCGCCGACGGCCAGCCGCTGCGTCGCCGTGTCCACGTCGACCTCTGTGAACTTCTTCGAGCTGCCCAGGTCGATCAGGAGCCCGCCATCTGTGCTGCTTGCACCTGCGGTGGAGTGACCGCCGCCGCGCACGGCGAGGTCGAGGCCTTCGGAGGTGGCGTACGCGACGGCAGTTGAGATTGCGGCGACAGATTCGGGGATCAGAGAGGCCCCGGCGGGCTTTTCGGCGGCGGAGGACCAGCGTTGGATAGTTTTTCTGTAGTCTGGGGAGGAAGGGGTGATAAGGTTGTGGGGAGTGGGCAGTTTTTCGAGGAGTTCGTTTAGGGCGGTGATTTGGGAGGCGGTTATTGGTTTGCGGGTTGACATGTTGTCTTTAATGTAGGTGCTTTCGCAATCTTCTGTCGGATTCTGGTGGGTGTTGTGGCGTGGTATCGTCGACGCAGTCACAATGTACCTGGCAGATTTGTGCTATTTCAACGCATTATATGTAGTTACTGCTCGTCAAGTCGAGTTTTGAAAAACGATCCTTCGAATGGATGGACTGGTCCCTGGCTTTATACAGCTGAGGGTAAGGCGTGCTACCCCTCTTTCGGTGGTGCCCTTCTGAGTTTCCCGGACCCAAAGATTGGAGACTAAGTAAGCTAGAAGCAAGTCAGCTTCGTCTGCTCGAAACTCCTTGTCAATTGATTCAAATTCATGGTCTTCACCTAGGGACCGGCTGGCATACCGTTGGGCGAGTACTAGGCCTTCGAGTGTTGTCAGCCTTAGGCAGAAATGACAGGCAACTAATTACACCCGTTTGTTGAACCTCAACACTATATCTTGTGTAACAATTCAGAGCAAGGCTCGAGTACTCTCTCGTACAAACCTAGCTCGTCCACTCTGCGTCTACCCCTTCTTTTTCGATCATGAACGTACTCAAAAACCCTCGCTCATTGATGGGTGCTGTTCCAGTGACCGCTCTACTTGACCTCGGAAATGGATTAGGAAGACTCCCCCGAGCCGTCCTCTATTCAAGTTCCGGAGGCGATCAGTCAATCCTGGGAGTATTGAAACACCTTGCTTGCCCTATTCGAGCTCCGGGAGCGGGCTTCCACATTCTTGCCACAACTTGGATGCTCTTCTCCTAGCACGCCTGCGATACCCAATGCCTCTGAGATCGACGATGTTTACGGGGGCGGGGCGTTGTATTTGAAGTGTTCCTCGGTATGGGGCACAGGTGTGACAGAATGGGATATCAATGGCCCAGTAAAAGTTTCTCCGACCTCGCAGATCATACTTGGTATATGCGAACCACAGTACTGTCAACTCACCAATATTGTACAGCAGACGAGAGTCAAAGATCGAGACTCTTCGTGGGCGAGTTTCCTCTTCTTGATGGTCCGAGTGGTGCTATGTTCTATCAGCCTGGCATGTCCAGCTACGAGGCGTAGTCAGCCAGGACGGCTTGTTCCACACCGACAGTCAAGCAAATTGAGTATGCGAATAGAATTCCATCGGCGACTCAAGCCGTATCATTACAATCGATTCCATGGCGTAGCCGAGTGTCTATGATGGGCAGCGATTCTGTCTCCGGGGTGCAGCTGGCGAGCTGTCCTGTGCAGGGCGGCTGATGTATTCCACACCCCATGGTCCTGTCATTTGAATCATGACGACCTCCATCATCAGCAGTCTAAGCGAGAGAGTATCTCATCAGATTTTCTATTCGCTACGAAGCCTCTGACCAGCACCTCGTAGCATTTACTGCATCCCTGACTGTTCTATTAGACCCTCACAGGCAGAGTTTAGCACTGACATGCCCCCCCCCCCCCCCCCCAGCACCAGTGGTTGACCCAGTGGCTTATAAAACAGGACTACCAACGTGTCGATTCCATACGAACATCAACTACCCCATACCATGGCTTAGAGCTGCACGCCCAATATCCTGACCTCATCAATCTTCGCATGTTTCAGGGAACCAAGGGATAGACGTAGACTGTATCACAAACCTCACTCCACTACCACCGACTATCAAGACACCTGACAATAAATCAAACGTCTTGCCAATGGCCACACACAAGCTAACAATCCCAATTAGAGAGACTACTGTAACAAACAATCCGCAAGGATACACACACGAAACAGCTCACAACAAAGCCAAGATACACACATGCACACAGTCATCGCCCAAACCCCCTATCTACTTATCATACCTAGTAGCACAGTCCGCCCAGCCTGCACGAGCAATCTCACAGATATATTTATACAAGGACTCGTACAGGTAGGTGACAGGCCAATACTGATCCACCTTTTAGGAAGAAAGAAAGAAAGGGGCGGCAGGTATCTATCAGTATCTAGCCTGGCAACATTCCGCCCATCACGCGACCTCTCCGCAATCCTCCAGGCCCACATCACACACACACACACATCATACACACACCCTGCCAAGAGCTCCACAATCCACACTCCACAATCCACACTCCACAATCCACACTCCACACTCCACAATCCACAATCCACAATCCTACTTACTTACCTGCCTACCCACCTACCCGATTCATCAACACCCACACCATCCCCACACCCTCCTCCAAGGCAAGCACAACCCTATCACCATCCCCCGAATGACACACGACACAAGCCGTCAGCCCTAGATGATACAAGCCAAGCCCAGCCCAACCAAGCCCAGACTTCGGCACATACAATCGGATACAATTAGGGGATTGCATGATCAGTCACCCTCAAAGTACGGATTGAGCTTCGGAATCTGCGCCAAGGGATTGAGATTGCTTGTGTTGAAATGAATAAAGTGGGTGTATATATATATATAGATACACCCAAGGCTATGATATAGCTGTCTAAGAGCCTTAATATTCCTGCCTAAGGCTTCCATGATACCTGATACCTGAATATAGCCAAGATAAGGCTCTAGGCTATATCTAGGAATATACCCGGCTTCATTCAATCTAACACAAGCAATCTAACCAATTAGATTAAAATATCTGGAGAGCAGATTGAGCTTGCATGGATTCGGATTGTAATTATGTGCCCGAAGTCTGGACCAAGCCAAGCAAGCCAAGCCAAGCCAAGCCTAGCCCTTCCTCTCAGTGACGTAGCATCTTCGATAATACCATCCTATCCCATCCCATTCCATGTCATGTCACGTCTACCGCCTCCCCGAGCCGAGCACACGTATCCACACACGCACACATTCATATATATCCATGTATCTATACATATATCCACAACAAACAGAGCCGCCAAGTCTACCCCTCCCGCGCTCGGATCCGGGGAAGGCAAAGGGGGTGCGGGGGAGGAGCGGGGAGGGAGCGGGGGAGGTGGAGGTTGTGGATAGATAGATGGATGGATGGATGGATAGATGGATAGATAGATGGATGGATAGATGGATGGATAGATGGATGGATAGATGGATGGATAGATGGATGGATAGATGGATGGATAGATGGATGGATAGATGGATAGTTTAGTAAACTAGTTGTTTGGCTTGGCTGGATTAGTCGGCTTGGCTGATTTGAAACTTGTAGTGCGGGGGAAGAAAGAAAGGAACGAAGGAAGAAGGGCCCGTGGCTGTGGCTGTGGCTGTGGTTGTGAATGTGCGTGCATCGGAGAGCAGCTCGGATGGGGTTTTTGCCAGCCGGGCTGTGCTTTTGAGGAGGAGGAGGAGGAGTTGGTGGTGTGGTCACATGGGGTAGTGTTGTTTCAGGCGTGCCTGGGAGGGGGTGGGGGGCTGAGGCTAAGGATAGGTATGTAGGGCAGCAGGATGGATGCGTTTCGGAGCATGGCGCGTGGGAAGTAGCTATTCGCCAAGCATCACGCGGGGAATGGAGATTACGGATAGGTGGGTGGTAGGTGACAGATGGCAGACGACAGGTGACAGGTAACGGCTGCCTGGGGAACTCAACGGCGACTCCTTTTTCTCAGTATATCGACGAGTGTGACTGTGAAGCGGACTGGAAATGTAGCCTGCATAATGCGTGTGTACTGCAAGGGATATCCACAGATAGTACTGATTATCTCGAATAGAGTATATACCTATGTACATATATACACATATATATATTCCTCCCAAGCCAAAGCCAAAAGCCACACGGAAACTCCAGCGTTCTTTCCCCGATCATCGGTGGGAAATAGCCAGCTAGTAGCCCCGACAACACAAGAACGATGCAACGCATTCATGCTCAAAAAAAAAGAAAAAAAAAAGTCAACTAAGTACAGGGAACGGATTATGATCAACCAGGACAAGCCGGAGCCAGACCGGACATGATATGCAAGAAAAAGATGAACAAAAGGGGAAAGAGCCATGCTTTGTTTCTCCCCCCCCCCAAAGATATTCATTCATCCTCTAGGCCTCCAATCGGGGCCTCTCTCCCCCAAGCGCCAGACCAGAACCAGAACCAGACCAGCCCTACTGACAGCGCCCGAGCGCCCAGCGATAATTTCTCGTATGCTCGGTCAGATCATAGATCGCATGCCGTTGCGAGCCGCTAAACTCCTGGTGATGAAGTTCTTTTTCGCACTTGGCGTCCTCGCTGTCCTCGTACGAGTACAGGCAGTACGGGCCACAGAAAGATAGGCCGCCGCCGGCCTGGGTGAATTCGACCTTTTTGGCGTCGTGGACGGTGAAGCAGCCGGGGTTGGAGACTTCAAAGTGGGTTTTTGAGACTATGTTTTTTTGCTCGTCGCGGAAGATGGCGAAGACGCTTGCGGCGAGGGTGGGGGTGGAGAGGGCGCTGAGCAGGGCGATGAGGGTTGTTGGCCGCATGGTGATTTGGGTGTGTGGCGTGGAGGAGGTATGTAGGGAGGTTTCCGGTATTGATTGTGATGTTGTTGTAGATGTAGATGTGGATGTGGATGGATATGTGGATATGGATGTAGATGTGGATGTAGATGTAGATGTGGATGTAGATGTAGATGTAGATGTAGATGTGGATGTAGATGTGGATGTAGATTCGTTGATGTAGATGTGGATGTAGATGTGGATGTAGATTCGTTGATGTAGATTCGTTGATGTAGATGTAGATGTAGATGTGGATGTAGATTCGTTGATGTAGATGTGGATGTAGATGTAGATGTAGATGTAGATGTGGATGTAGATGTAGATGTAGATGTAGATGTAGATGTAGATGTAGATGTAGATGTAGATGTAGATAGATGTAGACGTGAGATTCGTTGATGTAGATGTTGGTAGTGTCAGTGTCGGTATTGATGATAGATGGACGGATGCAGGTGTGGATGTCGAATGTCGAATGTCGTGGATTACTGGTATAGCGAAATTGCGTGGGAGGAAGCGGTATGTGTTCGTTACGCGGTCGTCGTATGCCAGCAGCAGCAACAAAGCAAAACAGAAAAAGAATAGAATCGGACAAGACACAAAACGCGCCAATTCGAGAGAGCTGTACTAGCACAGGAAAACCAAGAAACGAAGTGATTCCAAACGAATGGACGGCATCGCGAACGACGCCCACTATTGTATGTATACTTTTGGCAAGCCTTATCTCTTGAGGGAATCGACACACACACGCGACGACGTGCAACCAACCCCCTGCCTGGGTACCCCCCAAGCGCAATCAAATTTCGGAATCTTGACCAAGCTTTGGTCGCGACGGGGATGACCTTGCGGCCGGCATGCCAATCGACGTCTGGCGAGATGACTGCACCGGTGGAGAGGTCGAGATAAGATATAATTAGGTATATGCTGGGAGTGCGAAAATAGGGCCGAAAGCAGCTTGCCAACGATGCTGGACTGACTATTATAGACGACACAGGCGTCGTTTACTGGACGGAAATGCCGCACCATTGCAGCACCACAACGGCGGCCTAGGCCCGAAGCGGCAATCTGGCATCTGATCACCCACAGCACTAGTATTTATCTCTGGGGTCTCCAGGGCTATAGAGGGTGCAGGGGGTCGAGAACAAGCTTTTCTGGTTTAGGGAATGCGGAGATGGCACCTCTATGGTTTCACCCTCACCATGGGACGCGCTTATCTCCCAGACGTGTGTTGGGTATGAGGGAAGGCTGGGTCTAGAGCGGGCTTGGATGATGGTACGTTGATAGGAGAAAAACAAGCCTCAAGCACGCACGCCGCACGGTGACATCGATCCCCACGAAACCGCAATTGAAGCTGTCGATCCCACGTTTTAAGAGGGCTGAAACGTGCGGACGGACGTTGTGGTAAGGCTGGCTGGCTGTCAGGTGCCGGCAAGCTGAAACGACGGGGCAGGCCAACGCGATACGCATGCTGGGCGGCGATGACAAGATGGCGTGGCGGGTCATGGATAGTGTAGGCCATGGATAGTGTAGCCATGGATAGTGTAGCCATGGATAGTGTAGCCATGGATAGTGTAGCCATGTATAGTGTAGCCATGGATAGTGTAGGCATGTATAGTGTAGCCATGGACAGTGTAGGCATGTATAGTGTGGCCATGTATAGTGTGGCCATGTATAGTGTGGCCATGTTTCGTGTAGGTCATGTATATTGTAGTTCATGTTTCGTGTAGGCCATGTATAGTGTGATTAATGTATAGTAGTTCATGTGAAGTGTAGTATAGTATATAGTAGTACATAATCTAGCATATGGTAAAGTATGTAGCATATCATAACATGGCGCAATAGAGTATAGACATCCTGTATGCAAACACCATCTCCATCACCATCACCATCACCATCTCCTCCGCCTCCTCCTCCTCCTCCTCCTCCTCATCATCACCCAGTATCTCGCTCGCCATCTATCTACACGTTATGCCAAAGCCTTAGTCAAAACATCCCCAGACAGCCCGCCTTATCATGACCGGGCACAGGATCAATAGGGCCGAAACAAAAAGGTGCAAACCCACCAGCCCACTACAGCCCACAATCCCACAAAGACGCTCACGTGGTATGGTATGGCATGGTATGGTCTGGTATGTATCAGGACCAGATCACGAGGGCAGCCGCATGACACAAGTGACGCCATCCCATACCAGTAAGTTGTAACCAGTCGCGCCAGTGGACGGGGACCTCACGCACGGGCCCCCTTGCTATCGCGCATAGACTGCCAGCAGCCATCCACTCATCGCGTTCCAATTCCCATCTTTATGCGCTCCGGGAACTGTTGCAGTTGCAGTCGGGGTTAGGGTTAGTGGCAGTGTTACTGTGGCAGTAGGTAGTAGTAGTAGCAGTAGCTAATTATCGCTGTCGCCATTTGTGCTGTTATCGTCGTCATACAGACAGACAGACAGACAGGAACTAATTACTCGAGTTTCTCGAATACTCCATCCATCGCCCGGACCAGCTGGCCGCCGTCTAGTCGCGCAACTTCTACACTCTTGATCGTTTGTACGTCTATTACACACTCACAATCAACAATAGCAACAACGAGAACAATCGCATCGCAACGCATCGCATCGCAACGCATCGCATCGCAACGCATCGCATCGCATCGCACCTTCCATCGCTCTCCCCGCATTGCGTCATCACCGGCCCGGACACATCTCCGATCTACTCCCATCATCACCCTCCTCTCCACTCCACTCCTCTCCCACTGCAATCAACAAGTGAGTGCAGTCTGAGACGCTCGGTGTCGCACATCCATCGCATCCATCCACCCTCATCGTCCACAGCACAAAACACAGCACCACAACACAAACACACAAACACAATCACAGCACCACACGATGCCCTCCCTGCCCATCCCCATCCTCCCCCTCTCCCACGCCCTCCCCCCTTCCCCACCCGCCCACAAACAAGCCTTCCTCGCCAAGCTCCGCCACGCCCTCCTCACGACAGGCGGCGTCTTCTACCTCTCCGAAACATCCGCGCTCGTGCCGGACACACTGATCAACGATGTAATCCGCGAAACGCATGCCTTCTTCGATGCCGACACGGCGGTCAAGGAGGCGGTGGAGATGAAGCGGTGTGGCAGTTTTCTGGGGTGGAGTCGGGTGAGTTTTTTCGCTTTTTTTCGTATTTCGTTGATTTTCGTGAGTTTTTTGGGTTACTGGGGTTTTTCTATTTTTGGAGCTGTGCGTGCGAAAGTTGGGGTTTGGGGTTTGGGTGGGTGGGTTGTGGGGTTTTTTCTTGAGGTGTGAGGGAATTTGAGGGGTGAGAGAGAGCACGTGGGGATGGATGTGGGATGGACGGATGGAGGTGAGCGCGGACACAAGGACAGAGATGCAGGACAACGTGGACGGGACTGTGCTGAGCTGTACGGCGTTATGTGCTTGCCATGCTCTGCAATGCAATGCAATGCTGTGTCCTTGTTTATTCGGCAGGGCAAGGCAGGGCAGGTACGATGCAGTCAGTCAGTCAGTTATCAAAACACACGCCGGAGCAAGCCACCCGGACCCCATCCATCCATCCAGCCGAACCCGCGGAACGCCACCACACCGGAACCCCCGGCCAAACAACACCGGAAATGCACAACCGCATTACCTCACACCGGAACACCACAGATATATAGCCTAGCAAAACAACAAAAACACAAACTAACAACATCCCCCAGATAGACAACGAAACAACAGCCCACCACCCCGACCACCGCGAACAACTCGACCTCTCCACGCCCCACCCTCTCCCAGCCCCCACCGCACCCCTCTACCACAACCTCCGCGCGCCAAACCAATGGCCCTCCCCAACCGCCCTACCAACCTTCCGCCCCGTCCTCGAAGACTACATCGCCCGCATGGCAGCGCTCAGCACGACATTCACGGCCCTCATCGCCGAAGCACTCGGCATGCCCGCCGACACCTTCGCCCGCTTCTTCGACGCAGACCAGCAGCACAAGCTCAAGATTGTCAAGTATCCCGAGGTTGCCCTGCCTTCAGCCACGGACGCAGAGGACGAGAGTGCAGACGCAGCGAGGCTACGACAGGGCGTAGGTCCGCACAAGGACTCGATGCTAACTTCCTATCTCCTGCAAGCGTCGCCGCAGCCGGGCCTACAAGCGCAGGACGCGAGCGGGGAGTGGGTTGATGTGCCGCCTATCCCGGGCACGCTGGTGGTTGTTATCGGGCGGGGCATGGAGGCGTTGACGGGGGGTGTGTGCGCGGGGGCGATGCATCGGGTGTTGAGTCCCGGGGTTGGCGAGGGCCCGCGGTACAGTGTGCCGTTTTTCCAGGGGGTGAGTTGGGATGCGCGGATTGATGGGGAGGGGGAGGAGGAGGGGGGGAGTGTGGATGTGCCGGAGGGTGTGCGGGCGGAGGCGGAGAAGGGATGGAAGGGGAGGAGGGAGAGGGAGAGGAAGGAGGTGGTGAAGGAGGAGGGGGCGTTTGGGAAGAAGGGGCGGTGGGGGAGTATGGGTGAGGCGACGTTTATGAATCGGATTAGGAGTCATCCGGATGTGGGGGAGAGATGGGTGAGTGCGTTTTGTTTCGTTTTGTGTGTGTATGTGTCTGTTGAGTGTGTTGCATTGATTGCATTGATTGATTGATTGATTGCTGGCCATGACGGGACCGACGACGGACGGACGGCATCGATAGTCAAACGCCGATACCGATACCGAAGCCCGATGCCGAAGCCGATGCATGCATGCCACAATCACCGTCACTAATGCCGCCCGAAAACGAACTCGAGACGAGACAGACAGAAAGAAAGACGTGGGCTAATTGAAAGGACACAGTACCCCGAGCTCTTGGCGCAACTCCGTGCGCAAGACGCCGCCGACGACGACGACGAGGCGGCACAGTCGAAAGCGCGGTAATAATTGATGATTATGATGAAGATGATGAACAAAAGACGATCAACCGATCGAAGTTGAGTGTAATATGATAGAATGCGATACAATGCGATACAATGCAATGCAATGCAAGCCGGGGTTATAATTACAATGGGCAGTTTACTAGTTCTAATCAGGTGATGCCGGTGCTCTCTTTTTTCGTGCAGTAATTACTAGGTAGGTAGGTAGGTATATGGAGCAGGATGATGCCATAGGGCGCGCGCATTGCACGTATCCATGGATTATTAGTGGGGGGAGGGTGGCGGGCGGGCGATGAGCGCATATAAGGCTGAAACACGGCTGTTGTTGTTGTTGTTGTTGTCGCTCTCTCTCGCTTGTGCCATTTCATCGACGATGAGATGGTGACCTGTGCGTGCGTGAGGGTGCGTGAGTGCGTACATGAGTGTGAGTGTGAGTGTGCTCGTGCTGAGGCGGGCGGCGGCGGCGGCGGCGGCGGCGTAGTAGGTAGCAGGATAGATAGTGAAGCTAGGTAGTGTGCCTGTAGGAAGAAGGATGAGCATTACGGCGTAGGTGGTGGCAGTTTGGCGCGGCGCAGTCACTCTCACATACTCTCACATAAGCCAGGCAATGAAATTGGAAAAGCGACAACAACGACAAGAACAAGAACAAGAACAACAACAGGGTAATTAATTCTACAAGTGGAAATGCCGGCTGCAGCACGGTATAGTATAGTACTGTACCGTACGTAGGAGGGCTAAAAGTAGAAGCGAAAGGGGAGAGATGCAAGATGACGCGCCCCCGCCTCGTGGACGGGGGCTGCTGGGCTGGCACCGACGCTGGGCGAGACCGAGCGCGGGAGTGGGTGGATGCAGTGTGTGGGTGCAGTGTGCAGTGTAGTGTGCAGTGTAGTATAAGGTAATTAGGGAGGGTGCTGTGGGTGAGTGAGAGAGCTGAGTGTGTGTGTGAAATGTAGTGTATGTAGGCGTGGGTGTAGGTAGGTAGTAGGTAGGTAGTAGGCAGGTAGGCAGGCTGAGAGAGTTGCTGGCCGTCTCTGAGTAATTAGCTGTCCTGGCTGTTGGCCGTCTCTACAGTAGCTGTTCTGCCCGTCAACTCTGCCTGCCCTTCTCCCCCAATCCATCAGCAGCAGCAGCAGCAGCAGCAGCAGCAGCAACAACATCAGCAGCCCCCAGTCGTCGTCGTCGTAGTGGGCACCGTGGCAGCCCCCCCCCTCGCCCCCATCTACGCCCACTAATTAGCAGCAAGCAGCAAGCAGCAAGTAGTCATCAGCCCAAGCACACAAGTAAGTAAGCAAGCCAGCCCAGTTTAAGCCCTGCACCACCACCACCACCACCACCTGCATATCGGCGAGTAGTCCGACGTACTCCAGTACACTACACTACATCCAAGCAGGATGGATCGCGATGAAAGCGGCGTCGTCGTTCTGTTTTGTCTGTGTGCGTGCGTGCGTGCGTGCGTCGATGGATATTGTCGGCCTGTCGCTTGTCGATTGTCATCGTCCTCCTCCTCCTCATCATCGTCCGTCTCGACGCTGCATTTCCCCAGCATGTCATCTGCGCATGCCTTTAGCATCAGCATCAGCATCCTTTCGCGTGTCCATGTGTCCATGTTGTGCGTGCGTGCGTGGGTGCGTGCGTGCGTCCATGTGTGTGCGTGGGTGCGTGCGTGGTAAGGAGTCCATCCATCCATCCACATACTTTGCAAGTAAGCTCTTTTCGTTTCTCGCTTCTCGCTTCACTCACTCACCGCCCGCTCCGTGTCGCTTTTGGAGGGGGCCGCGGCTGGCCAGCGAGCGAGCGAGACGGGGTTGGCTGTTAGGGGACACATACACACACACGCCACACACTCAATACACACACACAATCCATACACAATACACACTACACACTACACACTACGCCTGCATGGATATCCTTTTGCGAGCGCGCGCACTGGCGATGCTGATGGCGATGACGTTGATGACGTTGATGACGATGCTGCTATTCAATGCTGCTCCTCTTTTGCTTGTTGCTTAGTAGCTTGTAGCTTGTCTTGTCTGTTCATCTAACCACCACCACCACCACCACCACCCTTCCCTTCCTCCTGTCCCCTTCCATGCAGGGCCAGCATATATGCAGGGCATAACGTGGCCAATGTCCACAACAATCATCAACAACAACAACAATCGACGTCATTTGACTGCTTGCTGCTGCTGCCGACTTGGACATCCGACGTCGTCGCAGCATGTCCAACAAACGTTCTTGTCAAATTCACTTCTTCAACACTTCTCTTTCGCCTCTCTCCACTCCACTCGATGCCTGCTGCGCATGGCATCGCGTGGCCGGCGCCGCTACTAAGCACTCTAGCATCTGTAGCTGCTGCGCCATGTCCGCCGCCGCCCCCTTTTATTCTCCTCCCTCCCTCTCTCTCTCCGCCCATTCGTTGCTCGGCGCCGACTTGACTCCCACCAGAATCATGTGTCCTGTGCTGTCTTGTGCTGGCCGTCGACAAGCAAAAACGTGTCGACTGCCAATTTGTACTCCATCCGAGTCCTCCACCACGCCATGCCATGCGCCAGAGTAACTAGCCCAGCAGTCAAGTCGAGTCCGTCCGTCTTGCCTTTCTTGGCCGATCCGGCTGCTGCCACCACCCCATTCGGTGCGATAGAAGGTCGAGCGAGCCCTTCCATTCCTGCTGCACTGACCTCCCCGACTTATCAAATACTCCACCCCCCGTTTTATTTCCCTAATTCCTCCCCACTCTTTCTCGAACCCGCCCCGGCTCCTTTTTTGTTAAATCAATTTGTTCCTCTCGCTCTCTCCCTCTCTCTCTCTCCCACTGTCGCCCTGCCTGCGCATGACGTTGCCTTTCCTACGCGCGTCGAGGATCCATTGCTGCCGCTTCCCGTAGGTCAGAAAATGGGCTGATTCTTACGACCGTCTCCACCCCTTTTATGCGCGCGTGCGTGCGCGCGCCCGCCGCCATCTTTTTGCCCCTTATCGCATAAATCCACTGCGGCGAAGCCAATCCATGAAAATTGCAATTTCCAGAAAAAAATGTTTCTTCAAGCATCGCACATGCCATGCCATGCCATGCCATGACATGCCCTCTCACTGTTCCACCTTCATGTTGTACATCATGTGCCCGCCCTGTGGTTGTGCTGCCGCCTGTTGGTGCATCATTTGGAGCCCCTCGCCGCCGTGCTGCACCGCTCCGGGAGCCGCGTGAGGCGCCGTCTGGCCCATGTATGTTTGTTGATGCCCATAGTGAGGGTATGAGGGTGCTTGGCTTGAAAGTGCGCGTTGCTGGCTATACTCCGGAACGCTTTGTTGGCCGCCATGCGGATGCGATGTGTAGCCGTATGTCGGCTGTGACGCTGGCCCCTGAGCTGTTGTGTGGCTCTGTTGCTGTGGCGGCCCATTCCCGTATGGGAGACTGTGTTGGCCCTGCGTGCCTTCTGAACTGTACGATACCGATCGTGCTGCGTGCTCCGGTTCGTAATAGCCAATCTGCGGCTGCGGATACGCCGCTTCTGGAACTGATGGAAGTGACTGCGTGACTGATGTGCTGCTGTGAGGACTCCAATGTCCTCCACCGGCTTGCCCGTGATGGCCCGTCGGCGGTCCACTCTCCATCGGTGACGACGTCGGTGCTGATGTGTAGCTGCTGTGCTGTGACCACTCGCCTTGAGAGACAGGTAGTGAGGGTAAGCTACGAGCCGTTGGAGTCGACGATGGCCGTGGCGCTTGCATCAAGCCGAGTCGATCTGACGTCGAGAGACTGCTGCCGGGGGTATCTAACAGACCTGTGTCAGATGCTTGAATGCCTGGATGCAAAAAGAGATAGCATTAGCCATCATATGCTATATATGTATACACTTTTGCCGTCATTGAATTTTGCCAGTCTCTTGTCACTTGTCTTTCGCAAAGTGATGGGCGCAGCACTACAACGACATCACACTGTGCCAGACAGAGGGGACGATATGTAACATGTCACAGAGATTGGGGGGGGGAGGAGGGAAGGAGAAGGAAAAAAAAAAGCGACATACCTGATCCCTCCATGCTATGCAACGAATTCAGAGCTTGATGTAGCCGGCTGCGCAACTGTTCGTTTTCCGACTCCAGCGCCGTGTTGCGCTCCAGTGTCGACATCAGCCGCGCATTGACGTCGGTGGATGTGAGCTCGCTGATGCGACGCTCCAGTGACTCGATATGGTCCTTTGTTCTCTGCCGGATGGCTCGCTGGGCCTCGCGATCGTTTGCGCGTTTGCGTTCCAGCTGCGCGGCCGTCAACGTGGTGACGCTGCGGGTCCCCGCGCGCGAAGGTCGTCGCTTTCTTCCTTGCGGAGTCTGTAGTCCGGCTTGCTTCTTCGACTCCGAGTCGGCCGACGAGTAGCCCTCGTGCGAGGGCGTTTTGTTGATTGACGACATGATGTTGATGTTGGGGTGTGCAAGAGCGCTGCTCATAGGATAGACGTTCCAGCACTGAACGATTGGACTTCTGATCTGCCGCATTAGGTGAAAGCAAAGCAATCGACAAGTCGGCAGAGTGAGAGTGAGAGAGTGAGAGACAGGCCAGGGCGCGGGAGTAAGGGTGTTTTTCTTTTGTTTTTCGGACAGGATCGTGTTCGGGATATAAGAGCTGGCCGATCTAATGTAACTATGGAGCTTGGGACCACGGAGCTTGTACCGAAGAGGTCGTACAAGGGACTTGATAGTAGAGAGACGTCTGCTGGTCCAGCACTTCTCCAGGACAGGGAAGATGGTCCGCGGTCTTTCTGTTGCAGGCCGGCCAGGTCAGATAGTCGGTGCACCGCCTTTTGTAGATCAGAGGCGCCAGATGTGATTGCATGCGGCTCCCGACAAGTCTTGCGCCATTCGCCAACAAGGCCAAGCCCCTCGAGCCAGAGACGAAATAAATTGGAGCCCTAGGAGGGGGGAGTCCTCTCAGCAGTGTGGGACTCTCTCTTCACAGAGGGGTGGGAAAGTGAGAGCGAGCGAAGGTGGAGGGAGGATATGCGAGAGAAAAGTAACGTACCGTCCGGACGGGACGAGGCGTCTCGTAGCTATTAGTTGGGTAGTGAGAAGGTAGTGAGTTGTTGGTGGGTTTTGACTACGGCCACACCACACTCTACACCCTACACACCTACACTACACACACACCATACGCCGCCACACTACACAACACTACACACACCCGTGACCCAAACCGGACGGCTGGCCAACTACAGTATGAACAGAGATTAACCTTGAGACGCAGATGCACAGACGTTCGCTCGATGTTGACGTTGACACGCACATACAGCCGCTCTCATCTCGCTCATCTTGCTCGTTTCCCTCAAGTCCGCACTCAGTTGGCCAGCGGTCGGCGCCGATGGTTGGGTAAACACGACCTTCTGCTCCACAAAGACACACCCAGACGCGATGAGGGACCTCTTCTACGATCATCCCGGCATGCCCGCATCCCTGAAGCGAAATGCACAACCCACAATCGCAAGCGGCTGGAATTGGAGTTTGGCACACGTGCGCTGGCTGCGGGGACCTTGAGGCAGAGGCTAAAATTACCTTGGGGTGCTTTTGTTTCAGCAATCGCTGCCATCCTTCGTTCACGCGCCAGATAGGTGGAAAAGCGGACGAGCGTGCTACCAGACCACCGGCCTTGTCCTTTCATGTCGCACAAGAGGCTTCAGATTACGACGCTTCCAGGCTGTCGCACAGAGGCTTCAGATCGCGACGCTTCCAGGCTGTCGCCCCAGGAAGATGCTCGCAAAAGCGCCGGAATGTCGACAAGCAAGCAGCCAAGACACACACACACATTGCGTAGTGCGCGTGTGGGTTTTCCGACAGTCCCAAGTAGCGTCGCGTCGACCGTGTCCGGTTCAAGTATCAAGCATCGATAATGACAATAAGCATCGACTATCAAGCATTGACTATCGACTATCGACTATGGACTGTGGACTGGCTGAGTTCGTTCGCATTCTAAATTGTGCCATATATCACCTACTGCCCCGTGCGGAGGACCACGCGGTTTGCTACTGGCAGACCAGAAAAAAAAACACCCTCATTGCTGCAGCACGCTGGAATCGCTGACGGACGGGGTAAAGAGATACATAACATAACCAGCGCCGGCGAGACATTGTTCTGCTGCGAGACATGCAACCGGAGCCCTGAAAGCACTGCTCACGGACCAAAACGTAGGCTGAAGACTGCAGATAATTAGTCAGGCATCATCAATAATGAATGAAGTGAGTTTGGCCTTGGAAACTTGGAAAGGGATGAGAGGGGGGAAATACGATGGAACTAATAACTGGGTAATTATGACTTCCATGCCACACACCCACCCAACCCACATAGTTTCTGCTGCCCTACCGCCCTAGGCCTTACCGCCTTAGCGCCTTAGCGCCTTAAGCCACCGCCTTGCCTAGGTAGCGACCAGCCCGGGCCCCTGGGTGGGTAACGTTTAGCTGCTAATCCGCAGTAGTGACTAACCCTATCTAGGCAATTACGACCCAGGGCTCAATCTGGCAGCGGACACAGGCGTCCCGTAGACGATGATGATGATGGTAGTGACTGCTAGTTCTGCCCCCCCCCCCGCGTGTCCGGTACTATACCCACATCTAGTCATTCGGACACGCAAAGTTAAATCCTCTAGTCCGCACCCTTTCACCCTCCATCAGCCATCACCGATGCAATCCCATCATCCATCATCCATCATAATTAACCCCATCAACACAATTTTATCATTGACACTTGCACAACAAAAGCCAATTCCCCTCTTTAGCTCACTCACTACACACCCAGTCAAACTTCTGTCCCTGTTCCTCCTTTTCCTGCTGCCGCGGTTAAGCGAAGCCGTCCTTCTGGATGTTCCACTGGCACACCAGCCGCGTACACTCCCGAGAGCGTCAGCCATGTTGACAGACCGCCAGCCCTCCAGCTAATGAGCTGCTTACGGGACAATACACACACTTGCAACCAACCGGTGGCAGTTGGAAAACGTGCGCCTCGTGCCTAATGATCCTATCGGTCCCATCGACACGTTTCACAGCCGGACGCCTTGTCTTTTTTTCCCCGTCCTTTCGGCTGCCTGATCAACGGTCCTGACACCAAACCTGCTAATAGCTGTACCACTGCAGCTTTGCAAAAGACCGGTACATCACAAATTCCTGTGCTGCAGCAGCGCACGAAGGATTTCCCACCAAGCCTTGTTCCACGTTGCTTTCTTGGCCACTCACTTGGCTCGGCCGAGTCCTCCTTACTGTGTGTGGCAGGGCAAGTGTGCAAGCTGGAGCCAGGAATCGTGCCATGGAGACGTCACCGCCATAATAAGACCACTAACGTCCCACCGTGGATAGATAAACATTGCATGGATTGGCCAGTGGCTTTTGATTATTCCAGTCCATGGACCTAGCGTGTATCAGCACGTTTACAGTCCACTTATGTATGACATGTCCGTTATCCGAACGTACTATCCCCGAGTCCTTTGCCCATTAGCCACAGCCGAAGTACTCACCCGCAGCACCACACCTGGTTCAAGGAGGCTGACACTTATTTCTTCATCAATTATATTGACTGTGTGTGTGTATGTGTGTGTGTGTGTTGTGCAAGCAAGTATATCCAGAGGCCAAGGCTGTGATATGTCTGCCCCCAATCGGACCCACCACCGCGCTATTGGTGTAAGTGACGACGCCACGGCACGAGCAGCACGTGGCCTGCAAACATGCAAACAATCAAAGAAATGACCACGTCCCTCCATTCAGCTGACCAGCTCACATATCACATTGCCCAATCGCCATCCGCTCCTCCAACGTCACCTGTGAACGAGTGTTCTTTTTATATTATCATCCCTTATCGCCATTAAACCCTTTCATCCTCGCCAACCAGCTTAGGCCTTTTACCCCTTGGCCATGTTATCCATGTCTGCTGCCGACAATCATCACCTATGGCAATGCTCCCCTACGGCCCCCCTTCCTTATGCTTATCTCGTCTACGGGATCTTAGCAGCCTCCATCAGCTGGCAATTGTCCGCTCTTGATGTCGCCGATGCGGGTCGGTTCGGAAGATTATGCTGCTTAGTTGAGGGTCCAACTCCACTTTAGTCCACTTTCAGCCGCCGTGGACCTTGACATACGTACCGATGAGGACGAACAAATCCGTCTGGTAATTAACTGAATAACAGAACAGGCCAGGGACGCTTCCAACTTTGCCTGATCTTGCCCATACCGACCCGTAATGCCCAGCAATTCTGATGTAAGAAGTTAATCACAGGACTCTGAAGGACCCATCTGAGATGCTCTACTGCCTCGGGACTCTGAATGGAAGGTAACGGGTCACATTCTGCATGCTGTGAATGCGCCGATGCAAACGTCATTTTGATTCTTCAATCCAATTCCCGAAACCATATGCCACCTCGCCGGTTGGTGGGATCCATCTGTGCTGCTACAATCGTGTGCAGGGTCCGAACAAGCCTCTGCCGAGGGGGGTCTGCGGTGGAGCCTTTTCAGCCTTGACCTTCACTTATCCCCCACTAAACTCAGGTAGTTCTAGCTGGCTGTTCACCGGGAAGCCTGCCGTAGATTCCTCTCACTCTTTCGACTCATGATTCACTTCCATCATGACTCTTGTCATGCCTTTGCTGCTTCTCGAATCTCTGCCGTCAACATCATCCCGGTCCGAACCTCAACAGATGTGGCCCGAACAATGATTCTTACACGCCGCCTCAGGTGCAATGCCGACCATGTCAAGTGCCTGTCGAGAACCGGCGGTGTCCAGTCTTCTGTTCTGTGCACGACCTGACATCTCCCCAATTCCGAACATCCGTGAAAATGGCAAACACGCAACAGGCGTTGAGCTTGCTCCACTGTCATGTCATGCTGAAGGCAGATATGAGGTTTTGACATTCATGGCTCGATAGAAGCAGTTCTAATCTCTGATCTGGCCGTCGGCCGTGTCGAGTCCTGCCGCTTTCCTCCTTGGACTAACTATTACCTTTCGCTCGCTAAAACTACTACCAACTCATCAGCATGCTTTCCAGGTCGGCTTTACGGATCCATCACAGGCATCACAGGGCCCAATCCATTCACTCCATGTCACACAAAAGGCCTTGCCGCCAATCTTCTAGGGCCTTTCTGGAACAATTCTTGCCGTCTTCCACTGGCTGAGCCAAGCTCGCACAGGCCTTGGCGTACCACCACTGCTGTCAATATCAAACAGATCCCGACACGACGTTCACCGATATATGACAGCTTTGTATTCCAAAATAGACGTCCTACCGGGCCCCGGTGCGGTGACACGAGGTTTTGTGTCCATCATTGGTCCCCCAAGCAGCAGCCAGCAGAAGCAGATGATCGACGCAGGCCTGCCTCGAGTCTCGAGTGCGCCACCCGAGCTGCGGACATAGGTAGGTAGGTGTGTGTGCATGAGGCAGCCCGAGCATGATACCAACTGCCTTGACGAGACCCCACCTCGGACCCCAATAGCCGCAATTCTCACTCTCTCTCTCACTCTCAGTAGCGTTCAACCTCAAGCAATCAAACTAATTGTGCTGTTTTTCCATACGTCCTCTGCCCGTCCTGCATGGCGCGGCATGGGCGTAGCACTAGAACTAGTCCTCGACCCACTCTGTCGGTCGCGGCTCTTCAGATGGGATCTACGTACTCGACCATACCCAGTTCCAGTTTCGCGAACCCCTCTCTCTCTCTCCCACCCCTGGACCTCGCTGTGCCCCTGCGCCTTGACAGACGAGGTCATCCCCGTCTCGTCGTCGACTCTCTCTCGTCACCAGAAAGGGGAGGGAGGGGGGAGAAAGCGCCACTCTTTTTTTTTCTGGCCCTTCTTACTTCCTACTACTCCTTCTTCTTCATCGTTTCACAACCTACGGACATTGCTTCCAAGTCGAGGCGGCATCGCCGCGTCTCACTCATCAACTCTCCCTCCCTCCCCCCCCTTGCTTTCGCGCAGACTGCAATATGGAAAAAGTTGGTCTTGCGTGGCAGCGAGACATGTATTTTTCGGCTATTCGACGAGGCGGGCGTCGCCCGTTTTTCATATACGCAATCGCAATCGCAATCGCAATCGCACAGTGCGGCGCGTGATGCCTTTTTTTTGTTGCTGCTTTGCGAGATCTAATAAACAATGCTAATGATAATAGCAGCAATACTAAGATAATAGCGCCGACGCCCGGAGGGACGATCAATCGATCGATGATCTCTCTCTCTCTCTCTCCCTTTCTCCAATGTTGACAGCTCCCTCCCCTTCATCTCCCTCTCTGGCGCACCCTCTGGCGTCGTCGCCGAAGCGGAAGCTACCGGCAGACGTTTTCCAGAAGCCGGGTTCCTTGCTCCACCCATCCATTCCATTTATCCTCAGCATCCACTTTTTTCTTTCCCTCCTTGCAAGACCCCCCTCCCCCTACCCCCCGCCGCCGCCTAAACTACCTCCAGATGTACACAGAGCGGAGTTTATACTGTTCTGGGACATGTTTAACGAGGAGAGGTGATTGCAGGTGAGGTGGGCGCAGGCCTTTTGGTTTTTTGGTTTTCTTTGCGTGTTTTGTTTTGGGGGGGACCAAAGCCCGTCCCCCCTTTTCGTATCCCGGGTCGTGGGATATCGTCATCCGTTTTTGGTTTGAGGGAGCGGGTCCCGTTTGCTGTTGCTTGGCTGGCTGGGCCTGGGTAGTGGTAGTGGAGGGACGTCGTAGGTATGTAGGTTGGAATGGATGGATGGGTGGATGGGTGGGTGGATGGAGGTGGAAAGCAGGTTTTTTTGGTTGTGGGGAGGAGAGGAGAGGAGAGGAGGTGAGGTGAGGTGAGATGAGATGAGATGAGATGAGGCGCGAGATGAGGTTGAGTATAATGAAACAAAGGGAAACAAGCCACAGTGAATATACGTCCTAGGCTACACAGCCATACCTACCTACTCATAATCATCTCACATCTCACGACGTAATGTGCTATGCTGTCCCAATCTCTCATCTACTCACCTCTACCTCGCCTCTACCCAGCCATGCCATGCCATCACAGCATGCTCAACGCAAGAGTGAAACGAGAAAGTAAACATACCCTAAGTATAACTAACCGCCATGATGGAACACCTCTCTGCTGAAGTGTTTTAAAGTATCTCTCCTTTTTTTTATTCGATTTTTGATTCTTTTGGTCTTGGGTTTGCATAGTTGGGAATGTAGAGGTTGTATATACTGCGGGTTTGCATGGCTTTTGTTTGGAAGGTATGTTTGGTCGGGGTATGCTTCGGTCGGGGTATGCGTTTGGTTGGAGTATGCGTTTGGTTGGAGTATGCGTTTGGTTGGAGTATGTGTTTGGTTAGAGTATATGTACATGCGTTGCTCTGCTCTGCTCTGCTCTGCTCTGCGTTGCGTTTCGCATGTTGCATGTGTATATATGTATAGTAGAACTCGCGGTTGGATTTGAGAGCAATGTATGCCCTACCTCCCTTTACCCATCCATTCACCATCCAATCCACCCATCTACCAAGAGCCTCCCACATGATCACAACAACAACAACAAGCTCCTCTCAAAAGAAAAACAAAAGCCCATTCTCCAGAACCAATCAGCACACACCAACCAAGAAATCAATACTGCAATACATCATATGGCACACGACCCATGAAACACAACACAGAGCTCAATAATGCACATGAAACATAAACACACACAACAACCCAAACCCATAAGCCCAAACCCCAAACCCCAACAATCCCCACGACTCGTACGACGGGGAAATTAACAACGCCCCCTTTTCTTTCTCTCTCTCTCTCTCTCTCTCTCTCTCTCTGCCCCTGAGTTTTTCCCCGCCGGTACATAGACTCATGAGTTTTGTGGGGTAAGGTAATCAGGGAGATTACAGCAGGGTACCTAGTTGAGGAATGGACACACACACACACACACACATACACACGTACACACACAGCCAAGACAGATATTATTAGGGCGTTCGATTTTCGATTCACCCTGACGACATGGCCGGAGCCGGCCGGAGATGGGGCTATAAAAAGTCGATTCACTTACGGAAGAAAAGGGAAGAAAAGGGAAGAAAAGAAAGAATATAAACATATATATTTATTTAATGTTTTTCCAAGGTACAGGACTGTTCCAAGTTTAGACTGGCGGACTCCTCCGATACAGCCCTGATTCAGTCCCACCCCCCTCCTCCGGGAGGGGAGGGAGGCACACAGATGTTGGGCAGACAAAGGGCACATAATGACAATGAGAAACAACAAGCTGTCATGAACTCAACAAGGCTTTTGTATTTGCACTTTTAATATCGTAATCTATTCATCCAGTCTACGAACCAATGCTTCCCCTGTGAATGCCAGGGAGCCGAGTCACGGAGAATGAGGGTACCTGATACCCAGGCAAGGTCCAGCGTTCGTCCCAAGCATTCATGACGCAACACTCTCCTTCCTGACCTCATCGACAATGACACTGCGGATCCCAGCCAGACTGCGGTCCTGCGCAGCAATCAGCCTGACCTTGCGTTCCTTCTGCTCCAAGCCGGCGAACTCAGCGGGGATAATATCGGCAAAGGTATAAGCCTGCACGCCCGAGAGCGCGAGATCGACGGCGTTTGCAAACTTGGCCGGGTGAGCGGTGGCGAGACTGACGAGATAGCGCCTCGTGTGCTGCGGGAGCGGGTCTTCAAACGTCTTTGCGATGGAGCGCAGCGCGGCCGTGACGCCGATGGAGGAGTGCGGGTCGAGGATGTAGGCGTCGTTTCCGGCGTAGATGGCCTTGATGGTCGCGACGGTTTCGTCGTCTGAGACGCGCTCGGCGCCAAAGTCTCCGAGGGCGGCCTGCAGGACTGGCTGGGAGACTTCGAAGGAGCCGCTGGCCTTGAGGCTTGCGAAGAGGCTGTTGATATCCTTGCTAGCCTGTCTTCTTGCGGCGTCTGCTGTGTTGCCTTCTCCGGTCGCGGTCGCGGTCGTGGTGGCGGGCGCGCCGAGCTGCTGCTCGTACAGGAGGATCCAGACTAGACGCTCGAAATTGCTACTGACAAGAATGTCCATGGCAGGGCTGAGTGTCTCCTTCACGCCCTCCTCATGCGCGGCCGCCCCGTCTGCAGCTATTCCACCGTGGGTGCTGGGGTCATTCGGCGGAGCATACTTCTTCTCGTACTTGCCGGCTTGCCAAAAGCGGTATAAAATGTCGTTTTCGTTTGTGGCTACAACTAATTTCGCGATCGGTAGACCCATGCGCTTGGCAAAGAACCCGGCCAGGATGTCGCCGAAGTTGCCCGTCGGCACTGTAAATGTTACGTGTGGGGGTTCGCCGTTGGGGTCCAGTCCTTCTTGTCGGACCAGGGAAAAGTATGCTGAAAAGTAATACGTGATCTGTGCCAGGATCCTGGCCCAGTTTATCGAGTTGACAGCAGCGAGGTGCTGCGATTTTCGAATCTCAGTATCCGCGAACAGCGCTTTGACCATATCCTGACAATCATCGAATGTGCCCGCAACAGAGAGACAATGCACGTTGGGGTCTAGCACTGTCGTCATCTGCGCTTCCTGGACGGCAGACACCCGCCCAGTGGGAAAGAGAATGAAAACTGACACGTCCTTCTTATTCCGAAGGCCATATATCGCAGCAGAACCAGTATCTGAGCCTGTCAGTATTGGTTGTGAAGCATGTGCAAGAGCCATGTACCTCCGCTGGTGGCCCCAACAATCGTCAGATGGTGTCTCTTTTCGCCCTCCTGTAGATTGGCATTGCGCCTGACAAGGAAATACTCGAACAGGTTGCCTAGGAACTGGAGCGCTACATCTTTCTAGTGTATGTCAGTGGCATTTCATCACCATGCCATGAACAGACACAGGACACGGGAAACCCACGAATGCAAATGTCGGCCCGTGAAAAAGTTCAAGCAGGTATAGATTCTTGGCTTTGTCCAGTGGTACCAGAGGAGTAACATCTTTGTGTCGGAATGTCCCATAGCTCTTTCTGACAATCTCTTTCAAGCTTTCTGAATCTATCTCAGAACGCGCAATATACAGTGACATGATCTCAAAGGCTAGATCTTCAAAACTTAAGCTTGCCCACTCGCGCCAATTGGAAGGAAGTAAAGGTATCGATTGGGGGACGAAGAGACCGCCATCTTCAGCGAGACCCTTGAGTACTACGTCTTCAAATGATAGCTCCCGTTGCGATTAGCTGTGCTCTTCAAAGTCTTTGAGTCTGGATGCTTACTCCCGACGAACCGCCTCTGGTGCTTGTATATGTCTGCGCGTCGCTGGACGACATCGCGACTTCTCGGTTCTTCCGTTGGGAAGTGAGATACTGCCCTTCGGCTGGATCGTCTGTATTGCAGAACTGCAGGCGTTATTTCTTGAGTGAGCTCACGGTAGTCCACGAGAATCTGTTGCGTAGGTATATCGTACTGAGTCAGCGCAATGGATACCTACTATTACCTCAATGGAGGCACCAATAATTCGAGCTCAAAATTGACTGCGTTTCCGGCGATATCGGACCGAAGACGAGGGGCTGTTTGTGGCCTGAGGCATCTAGAATCGCGCGACATATATAGTACATTTCATGCTGATATCCACCTCACCCTCGTTAAGCAGCTACCTCACGCGAAATTTTTGGAATAGCCCCTAGACCAACCTGGTCTTACCCGAGATGAAAGCATATGCTCTTGTATGAATTGGGATGTGCGTCATCTGTGAGGTCGGACCTATCGAGCTCTATAATCAATGTCCATATTGCGTTTCAGCGAGGTCAAGAGTTGCATATGTCTGACATAGTAAGAAGAATCTGCGAGGGTAGTTCGCGAGGTATGGCTCGTAAGACGAAGTTTCCGCTCTGCGCTATGTTACCTCAGGTAATAATCAATTTACGATTGTTCTCTCGTCGCTACAGCCAAGAGCATAGTTTCCCTACGGTACATACGCACTTATTTGCAAGGTTCTACTTTTTTCTCTCGTAGCCACGTTATTTTCATTCTTTTTGGCTCATATGCTACCTTGACGCTCGTCCCATGGTTCTGCTCGTCGTCTACACTTCGCGATTGGCGTGAACGAGGTGAATATGGTGGACAATCACTTGACGCGTGGGAATCGCAACTTCTCTTTGAAGAAACAAATCTCACGTTTCTTGTTCACTCCCGTGTTTCTACCCCACTTTCAAACTTGCAATTCATCCCGCGGACCCTATATATCGAAGATCTTCTTCAGCTTCACTCCATCTTCGTTGCACCTTCTCGCCCAAGTTGCATGCTTTCGTCTGTATGAGCCAGGCATGCCGCCTCAATCAGATACTGGCCCGATGCCTTCTAGCTCCATCCCGCGTGGTCCTTCACTCTACGAGTCGCTCCGCAAGGGACGCAAGAGCTCTAGTGAGAGTAGACCACCGATGGATGACTTTTCCCAGGGCTCGTCACCTAGCTTCATGGCCAGCACGAAGTCTTCGCGTAGCGGACAAGCACCCGTCTCAAAATTACCACGACGAATTCCAAAGACAGCTCCTTCTACTCATCCTTCTAGAACTTGGGCCAATGCTGCCAGGAAGGTTGGTATTCGGCGCCCATCTTTTGGCCGCAAAGACAAGGTTGAAGAAAGTTCACCTCCTTCGCTTCCGCGACCGCCGCGGCCTGTTGATATACCTCATGTAGCTAGCACAGTAAGTGATAAGGCCAATCTGTAAGCGACTTCTTCTGATGCGCCTTCTAGGACCGGCTCTGTGGCCGAACTGTCCCTACACCGAATTTTGCATACAATAAACCTTTGCCAACTGATCCTCCTCCCTATCCCCCTCCCGACAAACCTCTCCCAAGTGTTCCAATTGCTGTAGTGCATCGCGGCAAAACTCCAACTAGTCGAACACTGCTCGACGCGAGCGACAGACCGCTAAGACGTTCGCCTGGTACACCCGATGAATGTGACTGGCCTGCGCTTAAGCCGGAGTCTTCTCAATCCTCCTTAGCTCACATGGCAGGCGGTAAGGTGCAGTCACAGGTGGCATCCTTCAGTAGCTCTACTGCTTCTGTAGCTTCTGCTGCTTCTACGAACCACAATTTTGAGAATGCCAATATCTTTCACGACTCGGGTAGCATCAGCGAGGCTGGCAGCAGAAGCACACGTAAAGATGGAAGTTTCAACTCCCGGGAGAGCATGCCAAAAGATTATCGTACATGCATGCCCTCGAACGGTTTTCTTATTGCTAATTGAACGACAGCTCCTCCAATCCCTCCACGTGGGCTCTACCACCGCGCCAACTTCTCGAGGTCTACGTCGCCAGAATCATCAAACGTTCAGGTCGGCTCGAAACAGAACTCTACAACCAACTTTAGCTTTCCAAAAAGCAGCTCGGCAATGCAAAGCAGTACAATTCCAGCACTACCGTCTGGTGGCCCTCTCTACCGCAAACCCATGCCTAGTACGCAGTTGAAGAGAGGAATACCAGTGACTGTACGGAATCGAACGCCTACTGTCAGCACCGGAGCGAGAACATCCTCAATCCCGAGTCTCCGCAAGGCCTCATCAGCATCATTCCGATCGCAGAACTCTACAGGTAGTCCTTCTAAGCGCATCAGCAGCAGCAATGGATATCTCCGAGACAAGGCTCGCATGGATCAGCTAAAAGAATGCTTGGAGCCTTCTACTCAAACAGCCAATAGGCGTGGTAGTGTTTCCCAGCAACCTCTAGTACCCGTTGAGTTCACTACAAACGTACACGATGCGTATATTAATATTGAAAAGGTCATATCCAGCGATAGGTCGCACTCCAATGTGGAATCATCGAGGCCTCCTGCCAAGCGTCTGGCCCGTTTATCAACAAGCTCTACCGTCGACGGCATCGGCGCAACCTTGACCATCTCAGAGGATGCTGACAGCGTCATACTGGGATCGGTGGCACCTGCCTTGCAACCTTCGGAGGTCTCCACAGTGCCTGAATGCCTTCCAGACCGTCGGTCCACTGAAGACAGCCAAAACCCCTTCAGAGATGACTCTGCGTCTAGCACCAGCTCCTCGAATTCGACACAGCTACGTTTCAGCATGGTCCACCCAGAACAGTGCATGAGCAATGCCCAAGCGAGCGCCAGCGTTTGCGAAAATGATCCTGTTAGGGGTCACGAAACCCGTAAGAGATTCGTATCTGTTGATTTAGACTCGTTTCACTCCAACCTTCGCGTGTTTGCCCTTTCGCCACCTAGACCCGTCGCACTGTTAGAACAAGTTCGCTTACAAGATCGTGCTAACGCCTTATTCACGCTCGAAGGTAAAGGTAGGGCTTCTACTCCAACTGAGGAGAGTAGCTCTTCCTCTTACCCTTCTTCTTCGTACAGGTCCACGTCTCCACATGCCAATCTTCTCCTTGGGCAGTTTGTGGACAACCCGGTCCCAAACAAGCATTTCGAAACCGCGACTGGACAGGGCTTGGAATCTGAATTATCTCTCATCGTCCCCGAAGAGCAACACTCCAAGATCTCACAATCGACTGCCCCAACTTCCTTCGCTTCTTTCAACGCCAACCAGGGCCCTTACGATCTGCTTCAGGCCCCTCAGCCTCAATTTCCAATTGACAATTCTTGCATTAGTAACAGATCTGTTCGAACTATATCGAGTGCATCTAGCCATGCAACTGTACACCGACGACAGGACTCATCGACCCTTGTCCATCAAGGACAGACGAACGCCTTTGTTCGACACCCGATTCGCTCGACAGCCAACCAAAGCCTTCTTTCCAAAGGCTCTTTCAACAACGATCGAGCTTCCCATTTCTACGATATACCTCGGATGGCATCAAGCACAAGGCTTTGTGAACGCACCGCGTCAAGGTCTCCTTCAAAAGGCATTCGTACCAAGATGACGACCCTTCGCAATCTGTTTCATCACAAGCGGGACAACAAAAGTCAAGCTAAAAATGCTGGGACCCCTCCTCAGGCTTCGACACAAACCGGTGACCGCCAACTCATTATCAGTTCAAGTGGTAGCCCGATGCCCGTAGCATTCGGACCACCAAGACTACGTGTCAACACCACAGCCGCTGGGATGATGTCAATAAGTCCGAGAAGGCAGACTATGAGCCGTCTTCCGGTCGCTATCAGTAGCAGAATCGTGGCGGCAGCTTTGGGGCCCAACAGAACCCTGTACTCTACGGTAAACTCAATCATTGAACAAGCCAGAGAGTCACCGAGTCTTGAGAACACTAAAGCTTTGGCCGTGGCGAAGGTATGGGGTCCTTAGTTTTTCTCTCTAGTAGACCCAGGCACTAACACATCATGGAAGGCGTTGACCGAAGTGTACGAAAACACAAAAGCTGCTGCGAAGTGCTTGGAGGAAGCTAACTTGGCAGCACAAGAGGCTAAAGCTAATTACGAGAAGACAGAATGTGCTGCACGTCGCATTACCACCTTGATTCAAAATACAGGAGGATTTGCCAATCTTTTCAGCTCGGACATGAAATCGAAGCCTTCACGTCGATAGTGGTTGGTCATTACAGGTCTAGTCAATTGTGGAAAGATGACTTTTGTACGCACGACATGGACCTATGCCTGGTTTTTTATCCCTCAAGATGACTTTTGTTTCTACATGTCGACATCATTCGCTCGAGGTCGCATGCTTCGATTTACTAAGTACGCCTCCGACATGTAAGCTTACCTCTAGTCCGAGTGCTAGAGCTTATGGCTTGCTATCGATATTCTGTTCCAGATTGCTTCGTTCTGCGTCACCTGCTCTTGATGGTATTGCATATCGCATATGAGCATTGGCTTTGGGGGCTTCAACCCGAAAGCAAAAGCACCATGCTCTTTACGTTCTCCGCTTTTTTGGTTTTTTTTTCTTTTCTGTTCAATTGGTAACCATTTGGTACAAGCACTTCAAGAAAACATCGGAAATTTTCAAAAGCCTGGCAGGCTTGTTCTTTGGGTCATATTGTGTGGTCAATTGTTGGCAACTTTGGAATTCATCCTGGTGGAGATCAGAAATTCCGGGCGGCCGGTGTCTAGAAAGCAGTACGGCAGTACTGGGATGGGAATAGGTAGCAATGGAAGACGTCTTCAATCTGTGATTCTGTCTTGATTCGAATCCATGACATATAATATGAGGATAATCTGACCACGGAGTTGGGATGCCATACATAGCAGGTCGAATGCACCACAACGCCTTCTCTCCTATGATACATTATTATTCGGCGTTGATATAACCAGCACTTTCTCTATACATGATTCGTATGTCTTTGCTCTCGTGGTTGCAGAGCAGGCTAAAGGGGTCTTTCCTTTTCGTCATATCACATACCACCACCCATCATGCCGCCCATACCTCCTTTGGCAGCAGCTTCACGTTGCATCTTTTCCGACACCTTCATATTGACATCGAAAAATTTGGACACGCATCGATCGAGGCACACGGACTCTGCCGTGTTGAGATCGGACTCGCGGTATTGACCAGCGATACATTTAGCTGTGCAGGACCGAGTTAGACTGTATTGTGATTAGCAGCGTATTACAGTAGGCGTAGATATGCGTATACACACCGTGCGAACATGTCTGAAACCATTTCAATCTCAGCCTCTGCTGCTGCAATCTTTTCCGCGGATGATGGCTGAGCTCGGCCGCCACCCATTAACCAAGACATGACGACAGAATATGAAAAGTATGTTTCAGAAGAGGTTCAATGGAGTAGACTTGAGTCGTAGAATTTGGCCTGTGTGACGACTGCGTTGGAGTCTTGAAGTGAGTGGTGATGACAATGGCGAGCAATGAGGTAGGTCCTTCTAGTTGGTAGTAGGAAAAGATGGCTCGTGGAGCTTGGGCCAGTCTTGGCATGGAGTAGACATGTCTTAAAACTATTTCTTCCCACGGAATATTCCTTGATGGCTTCGCTCACGCAACAGCGAAGCACCTCAATGCCAGTCCCCGCGATACCTTCCGCTCCAGGTATGTCAAAAGTAAAATTTCATACAATCACCTCTCCCAAATGATGAGACGTATAAAGCATTAGAACCGCTGCGAATGACATCCGCATTGTGGATGATTGATTTCTCAACTATACCCAAACTGATATTTGCAACACATCACTGAATGAAATTCATACGACTTCATATGCAGTCTGCTAACGCGATCTTAGGATGAGTGGGTATCATCTCCCACTATTATACCCCTTCCTACAGGCCTCCTGCCGGCCCGTTGTACCAAAACACTATTCGCGAGTTTACAGGTGTGCCAAACATCAATCGTGCAGCACACCAGTCGATATCCCGGCACACCATGGAATTGGGAACAAGAATTGGATAGCCTCTAAGGTTCATAACCACGATAGAGATCGCCGCGTTGATCAATTGCGGAAACACGGAGATCTCTCTACATTCTACCCGCGGCAAACAAAACTTCTTTCTGACATTCCTGAATACCACTCATTCAAGAGACATGGTCAAACACCGTCTGGGACGTCTATTAGAAGTGCCCAATGTCACCTGAACTCTACAAACGATCCTGTGGAACAGAACCAAGGGGAACGCGAAGAAGTTCACCAGTGTTTGGGTGAATAACCACAGAGTAACGACTTTCATTTTGGAAACTAATAGACATCAGGACGAGTAACTGGCGTTCGAAGACATGGGTCCAAGTTAGCCTTTGTAACTATAGAACGCAAACATCGGTCAATACAGGCTACGTTTGAGTTCAACAGACTCGAGAGTAATGGGGTTACTCTAGATGAATTCAAGTCTTTTGCAAAAGTTGTACGAATAGGAGATTGGTATTGTGGGTGCCGCAATAACTCAGAAAACCTTTTCAAATGCTAATAGATAAGGTATCACTGGCACTGCTTTCGAAAAGAATGAGCAAGTCGAGCTTATGGCGACATCACTACCAACGTGCCTGGCGCCGTCCTTGCATCAGATACCAGAGGACTTGAAAGACCCTGAAAAACTTGCAAGATATCCTCATGTTAAAGCCTTGATGAATCCGTTTCAAAATGACGTTTTATATTTACGGTCTCTAATACAGCATGAGATACGTTCCTATCTGCAAAACATGAATTTCATGGAAGTCGAGACGCCAATACTAGAAGGAAGACCAGGTGGTGCGAATGCGCGAGCATTCGAAACACGTGTGAATGCCCAAAGAATCTATGATACGAATCTGAAGCTGAGGATAGCGCCTGAGTTATCCTTGAAGCGTCTCATAGTTGCAGGCAACGATGCGGTTTTTGAAATCGGCAAAGTCTTCCGCAATGAAGGTAATGTGGGACGTTGTCAGATTCCGACGACTTGGGCTTACGTTTTTAGGAATCGATGCAACGCACAATCCCGAATTCACCATCTGTGAGTTTTACGAAACCGGGGCAGACCTTCAACGTTTGATGAGTAGAACTGTCGAACTTCTTCAGAGAATCCAAAATGCCGCCAGATCACTCGAGGAACGTTCAAACCGAATGAGACCGAAGCATTTCGATTTTGGCCAGGGGGTTGAACACAGGTTTTCTGTCATTGATTTTGTCCCCATACTCGAACGAGAGACTGGTCGGACTCTTCCCGATGTAGGCTCGCCACATAGTCTCGCTACTCTTTCACAGTACATGACAGAACTTGATATGGCTGTTCCGCTCGAAGCATCAGTACCCCAACTTTTGGACCTTCTCGCGGACAAATATTTGGTACCTCTCTGTAAAGAGCCTACGTGGATCAGGCATCCCCCGGAATGCGTTTCCCCCCTTGCGAAATCAAGCTACCACGAGGAATCAGGGCGTGTCTGCGCCAACAGCGCAGAGCTGTATATCGAATGCAAGGAGATAGTCAATTGCTATGAAGAGGAAAATTCACCGTTTGAGCAACGGCGCAAGTTTGAGGATCAAATCAAGTTTCGAGCAGGACGTGATGCGGCAGCGCATGAACTTGACGTGGATGAATCGTATCTCGAGGTACTTGAATGGGGCATGCCACCAACAGGGGGATTGGGCTGCGGCATTGATCGACTGGTGATGCTCTTCTCAGGAGCCGAGAGAATAGCAGATGTACTGCCATTTGGCTCACTGCGAAACTATGTAGCTATGTCTCGAAATGGGCATGCGCAGAATGAGACTCAGAAGCAAACATGAAAAGATGATTCCTGCCATTGTCGTTATTACCTGCAAACCTAGCCCACCCAGCCCAGTCGAAGATGTTCTTGGCAGTCATCAGCAATCCGTGCCGCGTAGGGTACTTTCAATCTTTGGTAGTCATGGCGGCCATTGAGGTTGTAAGTGTAGCTGGTTATATGACAATGTATAAGGGTACTATATAGATTTACGTCCCTATCCACATCTACCTAGTGGTGTGTGTGGTGTGGTTTATGGTTACGCCCGTAATACTGACACTGGGCTGGTCCAGGCCGCTCAGGTCCCCCAGGAATGCCCCCAGGTCCGACCCACTTCTTGCGCCTCTCCGGAAGCTTTGGAGGCATGATCGTCGCAAAAATCGACCTTTTAGGTACAACCTTGCAGCACCCTGTCAAAGGCTTCTCCAAGCAATTCTCCTTTCTAGCGGGCGTGGGGCGGAGAATGGGATGGATCAGTAATCTCCTCGTCTCTCCGTAAATCTCTGGATCCTCTCCTCAACTCTACAACTTCGCATTCGTTCCTAGGGCGATGATAGTACTCATGTCGAACCTCGTCTAGTCGGCTTCGGATCAACTTATGAGCATTTTGCAAGGTCAACTCTGTCATCTCGAAGAAATCTGCCTAACCGATAACCTCGTGGTGACATCAATCTTCCGACCACAATCTCTACCCAGAGCTTCTCAAACACTTACAAGTCGAAACCGCATCACGTCTTACCACATAGCAACTTACCCTTCCAAGTTGTTTCTGGGATCAAGTCATCTTGGCACCTGGTTACTCAGCCTTAGTCCTCACTTCTGATTATCAAGCAGCACCTCAATACGCCATTGTACCACGCACATAGACGTATGCTTGCATGGTGATGGGTGGTCCTCGTACGCCAAGCGGTGTTTACTTAGACTGCTGAAGCTGCTGCAGTCAAGGTCAGGTCTACCCGATCTGGTATACTACTCAGCGGGGATTCCACGTCTTGTGTCTGCTAGATTACGCACGATTCTTGATTGACTTGATTGACTCCAAGTGCCATCTTGAGCCATCATCGAAGTCACCATGGGCAAAGATTCCCATTCTTCTGACAGCGAGGAGCAGACTAATCCACGGAAGCGATCAAGAAAAACACTTAGTGCCGAAGAGGATAATGGTTCCTCACACAAAAAGAGAGGCCGACCACGTGTGGATACTCAAGATGCCACTGCCGCAGATGTGAGTTCCCATACTTCTAGAATTATTCATCTATCGTGCTGGATCACATTTCAGAATGCATCGCATACTGACGGTGATTTAGCGTCGACGAACACAAATCCGTCTTGCTCAACGAGCCTACCGCCAGCGTAAGGAGTCCACTATCTCGTCTCTCAAGAAGCAAGTATCTGGCCTTGAAAGTGTAGTGGAACAAATGAACAAGACACTTCTGCAATTCAACGACTCAGCTATCAACTCTGGTATTCTTGCTCTCCGCCCCCAGCTCGCGAAAGAACTCCAAGCCGCGACTGAGATGTTCGGCCAGCTTGCTCAAGACACTGCTGCCAACGCGTCACAGGATGATGATCAAGAAGGTATTGAAGATGTTCAGCCCGAGCCAACTGTATCTGAACCACAAGCACCACCACAAAACAACATTGCCATGCCACCTACTCCAAACTTTGCACAACCAGAGCACGATCAACTCGATATGGGCTTTGGTTACGCCCGCATGTTCCAAGGCCGCGAATATGATCTTCACCAACGAGATGTCATATCATCGTACCTCTCCGGCCTCCCTACTGATCCTCTTCCTCCGCCGCCAAGCCATCATCAGTCACATCATCACCAAGACCTGCTGCCCTTTGGCCTCATCTCCCATGACCAGCATACATCGTATCACGTAAACAATGTCTCCACCCCTTCACCAAAACATGTACCCTCCCCATATGGCGACAATATCCTCGCCACACCCTGTACCTACTCCTTTCAGGAAACGACTTTCGCCCGCCGTCTTCAGCGCTACTCCATCGAGCGCGCATACCAGCTAGTTAGTAGCAAAGCGTACCGTCCCGGTCGTTATGAGAAGGTTTTCCGTCTCTCTCTCCTCACTGCGCCACACGAAGAGATCGCTGGGCGCTTCCAAGCGCTCCTGAAACGCGGTCAACACGAAAGTCTGGAATTCTGGGAAACACCGTTCATTCATCTAGGCGGCGCAGGCACGCATTACCCACGGCGCGACGTGAATGGAAATGTGCTTCCGATCTTGAACGGTTGGACAGTGCGGCGCATTGGACCAATTCCGTACCGGGGCCTCCTGATGGATGACAAGGGGCATATGCGAGATATCGAATTGGATCTGCGCGAGTTCCAGGGCGATTGGTTCGATGCGCATGATGTCCAGGGCTATCTCGAGGAGAAGGGGTGTCGGATCGATCCGCAGAGCTCGTTTGCGGATGCGCTGCTTGACGCGCCGCTATCGCGCGCGTTTGAGGATGTCAGCGGGCCACTGGCCATGGATTTGGGGATGATGAATAATACTGCGATGTCATTAGCACCACCAAGAAGCAGGAGTGGGAGTCTGTTGACCAGTGTGGATGGGAATAGGAGTGCGAGCTTGACGAGTGGTCATTCGGGTAGCTATCCGCGCAGTGAGAGCACAGGGGTACACACGCCGAATTCAACGAATGACGGCCAACCAGAAACGGGATTTGGCTTTGGATCAGGCATGATGGGTGCGATGAATATGGATGGATTCTATAACATGAGTTTCCCGATGAAGCCGAACAAGCCCAAACGGTCGGTTACGATTGACGTGCAGAAGCTCTGCGAAGGTATGTCGCCCAGGTCTAGCACACACAAAGGATAGCTGCTAATTGCTCTCCAGAGCTTGTGAACAGATGCATGTGCCTTGGACGCTCGCCAGGTTTCCGACCTAACGATGTAGACGCTGCCTTCAATGCTTCTATCATCAGCGCCTACTGAATGGCGCTCCGAATGCTTGTATCACTATCCTGGAGCACGACACAATCTTATGACAGCGTTGTTTTATAAAATTGTTGGAAGGAGTCGGGGTATTGGAATGGCGTTACAAGTAACGGATTCTGCAATCTCACACGTGATTCACGGCCTTTGTATGTACCAAGCAGCATTGAACTCATACAATTCAGGAGTTTGGAAGATGACCGTGGTGCGGGACGGCGATCGTTCGGGTCGTTCAGCGGCGTCTTGGTGCCCACGGAGCCCGGACAGCATGTGTCGCGACCAATTCATCGCAACATCGAAGTGGAAAAGGGACCTATTACCTATGTAGTAGATGGACTTGGTTTATCTATACGACCTCGTAGCAGAATTATTCAAGCTACCATTCTCATTTAAACCGACAAGTCTAAGGTGAAAACCTTCCAATAAATTCGCTCGCGTTCGCCAAAACCCCGCTTGCAGGGCCTAGACTAAAAGCCTTGTCAGTAGCCTTAGATGCCAGGCTGTAAAATTCGCGACGACTATCCGGGTACGTCAGCGCCACATCAAGCTTCAGGGCTGATTTGGGTCTGACTAAAGTGGAAATCGACGATGTATGCTGAATCCCAACGAAAGATATATAGATAGTTGGCGGCGAAGAGACGCCAGGAGTGGTACGTTATAGTGTGAGGTCTCAGGTGGTGGTGGTGATACGTCATTTGTTCAATTTTGGGTTGAATTCCCGATGCTATTAACGTTGCCGTTGTCTCCGCCCTATTATACACTACACTACTACAGCCTACTCAACAAGCCCGCGCAGGCATTGGAAAATTTGTCTCCCAATCGCCGTCAGCCATTGTCGCGTGCCTTCGTCACCTTTTCCGTAAAAAGGGCACACGAACCATCCATTCATCTGTAATCCCTGCCTATCATGTCCGACACCTACGCCTCATCCGCTTGAGACCTCGTTCCAATACGACTGCGCCTCACACTCGTCTTCCTCCTCACTCACACGCTCGTCTTCGTCTGTCTTTCTTCTCGTCGTCTCATACCTCATAGAAACGCGATGTCGTGGCTTTCGTCCCTCAATCCAACCCCGGCTTTCCCAGCCTACACCGGGCCATACGCAGTTGGTTCGGTAGATGTCGAATTACCTGCTGATCAGCTTGATACACCCAGCCCGGCTCCTGTCGGTGACGATATTGGCACTGTAGCCTTTCGAATCTTCTATCCATGCGAGAAATCTACGACTTACCGGCCTGTGCGATGGTTACCTAACCCGCAAAAGCGCTACGTAGCCGCATACTCTCAATTCCTCGGAGCAAGCTCAGCAATTGCGGAAGCCATCTCGTATGTGACTATAACATGATCATTGGCAGTATCTACATATACTCATAACTACTGCAGATTACTGCCTCAGCTCCTCTCCTATGTAACAATACCCGTCCACCGTAACGCACCGCTCCTCCACAACACAAGTAACACTCGATGGCCTGTCATGATCTTCTCCCACGGCCTCGGTGGCTCGCGCAACGCATATTCACACCTGTGCGGCTCACTTGCCTCTCACGGCATGGTCGTCATAGCCACCGATCATCGCGACGGTAGTGCTCCAACTGCGCACATTCGAGCGACTGAAAAGACAAAAGCCCGGACCATTCCTTACATCCGCATGTCTCACAACCCATCCCCGGAACTCTGGCGTGCGCGAGATGAACAGCTACGAACGCGACTTTGGGAAATGGGTCTCGTTCATGACGCCATCGTGAAGATCGACACCGGCAGCGCGCCGAAGAACATGGACCCGAACAGCGTCTCGTGGCGCCGGAACGACGTGAACGAAGTGCTGTCCATGTTTAAAGACACACTCGCCGTGCACAACCCTGGCTCCATCGCGTTCGCGGGTCACTCTTTCGGCGGCGCCACTGTCTATCAATTCCTCAAATCCGTCTTCTATCGCCCAGATCCTGAGAAAGAGGGATTCTCTCCGCTCTACACACCCCTTGAGTCGTCTTCGCTGGTGCGGCAGATCACACCACATACGCCAGCCACTCTCCTTGACCCCTGGTGTCTACCCATGCAATCTCCCAGTACAGCCTGGCTATGGTCAAAACCGCTGCCGTGCTTCACGCCTGGCGGGCCGGGCGGCGCAAACCTGCTCGCCATCCTCTCCGAAGGCTTCTTCAAGTGGAGCGAGCACCTCGCCGTGACAATGCAAGCCGTATCCGAGAACCCGGCTGCGCCCCCGAAGAACCCGGCACAAGCGCCGCCGCACCTCTTCTACCCAGTTGGTAGCGCGCACCTGAGCCAAAGCGATTTCAGCATCCTCTTCCCTTGGCTCACAAAGAAGATGTTCAAAGCCGAAGACCCAGAACGTATGCTGAAGCTCAACGTGCGCGCCATACTGCAAGTGCTACGCCAAAGCGGATTTGACGTAGCGCCGACGAGCGTGATTGATCGCGAAGAAGAAGAGCACAATAACGACGCACAAGTCGTAGTCAACGATGATCAAAGGGGCGATTGGAAGATCTTGGACACGAAGGGGGGCGTAAAGGGCTGGGTGGCGCTGAGGACAACAGACGACAGCGAGGAGGTGCTCAAGGAAGTCAGCTCCGACTCAGACGGCGTCGGTAAAGGGGCGTTGCTGAGCGAAGTCATAAAGGACCATGGCGGCTCACAACAGCAAGCACACCAGCCTCAGGAGGTGGAAGCGAGAGGGTGAACGTTCCCCAAACCTCTCAATCACGATTTTACCTTGCAGCATATCTGGACAGCGATTTTCCTTTTCTTTTTGGAGTTTCAGCATCTGTTTTTTCCACGCGCGGAAAAGGGTATATGTGTTTAGGATTTGAGTTCTAGCGGCATTTTTGGTACGTGCGTGTATAGCAGCAGTACAGATGAGATGGGGATATATGAGACACACACACACACACACACCTACAAAGGTGCTTGTTAGAGCGGTAGAATCTACTTTTGAGATATCCTGGGAAAATAGAGAACTTTTATTTAGGGCTACGAGTTGCATTACTATCAGGAGTTTGCAATGGCAGTTCGCGTAACGTGATGTGATGCACGTTTCCAGGAGATGAGAAGATATCAACACCAACACATAGCTAGAAAGGGAAACAACTAGAATCCCATCCATGGGAAGTCGTGAATGAGATGTATGGCGCGTAACTTTGAAATCAGGGGTTTGATTTTTTCGCTGTTTGTAGCGCCATGCGGGCAAAATTCTGTCCATTGCGAAGGACTTGTTCTGGGGAATATCATGCTTAGAAGGACTAAGATGTAGGGTATCATACATGTGTAATTCTGACTCTCCAATCAACTACCTCGCAATTCATCCTACCTCACAAATACTGCCTTCTCCGTCATCTATAGCAAATACTACGCCGTCCTTTCCATAACGCCGTACATCCCATACCCATCAGACATATCATATATCGCATAAGTCATATCGTCAATAAACCATGTGTACTACATGGCACGTTTTCCTGTAGGGTGATTCCGTTGAATGTTCGTGTGGAGTCTTCACTCCTACCCTACCCTACCCACCCCTGCACTGCCTTCGAGTATCCGATCACATCCAGATCCACATTCAATGCCCTCAGCATCATGTCCAGGGTGAAGCTCTCATCGCTGTTCACCTCCATACTCGCTGCGTAGTCCTCCGCCCGTCGTCGCTCGCGGATCTGAGCTTTCATCGCACTCAGTCGCTCGCGTGCGATGGTGCGAGCTTCACGTCTAGCCTCCCGGCGCATATCTCTCTCCTCTGGACTCAATCTCTTATTCTCACCCTCGTCGTCGCCGTCGTCGTCGTTCGCTCCGTCCTCGTCATCAGATGCCTCGGAATCCGAAGATTCCAGCCCGTTCTCTTCGTCGAGTCGTTCTTCCTCCCAGGTGAGCATGCGTGTGCGTCCCTCGCGCTCTTTGTCCTTCCAGGCGCTTACGCCACCCATGCGCTGCACGCGCTCGCGGGAGGAGGCGAAGAGCTCTTCGGCCGCGAGGCGGGATGCGCTGCGCCATTTCGAGGTCAGGTCGAGGAGGTGGGTGTCCGAGTCGGGGTTGGAGAGCAGTTGGATTGCTTGGTTGAGAGTGTGGATCTGGGTGCGGAGATGGGAGGTGCGTAGGGAGAGAGAGGTTGACGTGGGTGTTGAGACGTGGGATGTTTGTGGTTGAGGGCGAAGACTTTGCTGTGGCGCGTTCGGACGGGCGATTGACTGGGGAGTTCGGAATGGGGGAGGATGCGGGCGTGACTTTGTGGTGGATGGTGTGGAGGGTTGGTATGGGTTGCGGAATGGTGTGGAGACTGTTGGCTGAGCGCGTGGTTCTGAGGTTGTTGTGGAGGGTTCGTCGGGCTGGTCGCTTTTGGGTTCGATGTTGTCGCTGGAAGGAGGCGTGTCTGGTGGATTTGAACACGTCGCGAGTGCTGTACGGAAAGGTGACTTGAATGGCTTGTGTAGTGCACTTGGTCCGTTGAGACGTCGGCGTTTGGGGAGTGGTGTGGACATTGTAATTAGTGACTGGATGGGCTGAGGAGCGCCTTAAGTAGCGAAGAGCTGAGACTGATGAGCTAGCATCTTTTCGAGATCGTGGAACCCAGATATCCGGGTGAAACAACTGGAACAGACTGAAGCTTGAAGCGTGAGGTTGTATAGTATGTAGTGAACTTGAGTTAATCATCAGAATTCGGAGGAATCACAAGCTCCAGAATTGCGACGTCAACCGCGGCCGCCCGACCCACCGCTTGGACCCACCTATCTGCAGCCACGACGCCAACTTTCAAGGTGCACCCGGACCCTTGATCCATATTCATATCAGGATCAGGGTAGTTGTTCAGCCTGTGTCCATCTTCGACGACAACGTCCGATATCTAACTTCACACCCCCCTTTCATAATGGCACGGAAACGTGCTCCGTCAAACGTGTCCATGACCTCGGAGCCAGCCCGAGACCAGGTACAACCCTATCTCTTGAAGCGATGCGGAACTATAGACTGATAAGCAAGCAGGAGCTCGGGGGCATGTACGACTACCTCGCAAAGGTGATACTGCTGGGTCCTAGTGGATGTGGAAAGTACGTGAGCCTTTTTAAAGGGACTGGCATTCGGGATTTGGAGATCTGATCATTGCAGGTCTTGTTTACTGCACCGCTTCGTAAAGAATGAGTGTATGGAGTCGTCCAAGCTGTGGGAGGGGCACTGCTGATCCTGTTTCAGGGCGAATACTATCCTCTCAGACTATCGGCGTTGAGTTCGCCTCAAAGATTGTCAAGATCGGCACAGGCACACGTAGAAAACGGATAAAACTGCAGGTATTTACACGAAACAAGACAGGACAGATCAAGAACTCATACAATGAAGCTCTGGGATACGGCAGGTACTGAACGCTTCCGGTCCGTCTCACGGTCTTACTATCGCGGCGCCGCTGGTGCCATCCTCGTCTACGACGTCTCTTCGATCGCCTCCTTCCAAGCCCTCCCAACCTTTCTTAACGATGCACGCGCTCTGGCATCTCCAGATCTTACTGTTATCTTGGCTGGTAACAAGGCAGATATAGAAAATGAAAGTGTAGATCCGCTGCCTCCCCACACGCCTTCGAGCTTGTCCTCGAAATCGTCATCAATGTATTTGAACGACAATTACTCAGCATCGTCACCCACACCAAGAACACCGAAGGTATCGAGAAGTTACTCTGGTCTGGGAACACAATCTACAATGAGTACTGCGCCATACGGTCGCGAGGTCCCCGTCGAGACTGCTTCGCGATGGGCAGGATCACCCGCGGTGTCTATACCAGTATGTGTGGAAGTCAGTGCCTACACTGCAGATGGGGTGGATGAGCTATTCAATAGACTGGCTCGGATGATATTGACAAAGATTGAGCTAGGAGAGATTGATCCAGATGATCCAGCGAGTGGAATACAATACGGCGACAGTGGGGGATTCTGGGGAGAAGATGGAGGGAGCATAAAGAGTGGAACAAGCATGAGCTTCGACGATGGAGGCACGCGGAGAAGAAGGAGGAAAGGGAAGCAGGGGACGGTTTCCTTGGGCGACTGGGGAGATGTCTTTAGGAGGCCAAGAAGAGGTGGATGCTGTTGATTGGCTTCTTTTACCGTTCGAACGGTGTGGTGGATACCCAAGGTTGTCTGTGTTTGGAGCATCATGAGCATGGCGTTACGTGTAGGAGCGAGCACTTTGACACCTTGGCTGCGATTTGGCACCCATACGACTACTAACATCTGAAGCCCTAATATGACAATAATTGAATCGAAACTTGCTGCATACCAGGTCAGTCATGGGATCGAATGGACAGCTTATGGTCGTAGATGTGAATAAGCTTTGCCAACTCCTTGCGACCCACAAAGCTTAGCGAATGCGTCACTCGCAGCATGATATTGATCCTTATTCTGTTAGCAGTTCCAACAGTTGCATCAAGATATAGATTGGCCCCAGCTGGAACACCAAACAAACAGAGGACGCGCAATTGTTTACGGCCGAGGCAAGCCACGAAGTCAGGCAGCGGGGAGACAATTGCACCGCCTTGTGAAGATCTACGTAATGTTAGCTGGTGACGCGGTCCCCAGCTAATGAGCCTAAGTCAGGCTTCCTTCTGCTATACAAGGATACATAATAACTACTAATTATCACTTCTCTTACACTCTTTACTTTCGCATCTTACTACCACTCAGTCTATCTTGGCCCGGCGAGTTGAACATACGTATTCATTATATTCCGCTTTGCCCCACCATCCATGGCAAGCTCCCCCCTCAGCCCCTCAGTCATGGACCACAACAACCCAACCGACATGGCCGGTCTAGTCTCTCCTCTCACCCCAAACACAGCAAACAACAGGACACTATCAAACTCGAATCCTCCATTCACTCCTCGCTCAACGACGCATTACGAGTCCGATTCCGAGTTTGGCGACAGTGCACAACACATCCATACTCCCGAAGCTTCAGAAGACGGCCCTCACTATGATGACCTCCCTCCAACCTACGAGCAAGCGCAAGCCTCGGTCCCCTCAGGGAATGGTTCTAGTCTCTATCGCGCGCCTCCAGCTGAAACACGTGTCCAGCCAGATGGGGACGTGGGCGACCTACAGCGAAGCTTCTCTTTGAATCGAATGGTATACGATGATTCCTTACCCATTCCTCTGAGCAGCAATCAAAACACCCATGTCTCAGGACGTGGCAATGTGAGCAGGGACAATATTCCTGTGGATGACACTGCAGCTGGACAGCAATCGAATATTGCTGTAAATCAGCTACCTAGCTATGGCTCGGTCACATCTGGCGTCCGGAATGCACAGCCCGCCCAACAGCACCGAGACCCGAGGGAGAATATTCTGGAGCAAGCATTATCATTCACTTTGACAGAACCAGACCCGGATGTCCAAAGAGCGCCAGAACTCTCGCGGAAAATTGCAATCCCACCATCTTCGCTAGTAAACGGATCCACACAATTCTTGAGGGCATACAGCAAAGCACTCAATTTTCACGCCATCAATCCTGAGCAATTCGCTGCTTTCATAGATGGACTCAATGTCATCTGTCGCCTTGAAGGCTTCTCTTCGGAGAATGCGGCTGAATTTGACAACTCGGAGTGTCTCCTGGCTTCCTATCTTGCTGGTGCAAATGAAGGCTTCTTCGCCCCTCGGGGTCTGAAAGTCAGGCTCAGCGATCTGCGCTCTCTTCTAGCAGCCCTTGGAATGCTCAATGAAGAGCGGATCAGTCAAGTTCTTCTGAGTATTAGGTCATTCGAGTCTGATCCAAAGCAGAAAGCAGATGTTCTCAACCCATCTGCCGAACCTCTCAGCTTCGATGTGCCCGAACCAGGATCCCAGACCATTGCTTTGCATGCTCAAGCTGCGCACTTGGCTCCTCGACGTTCCAACACGGTCTCTGCCCGAAGTGTTCAGGAGAGTGTCCCCGAGTCAACTGTGTACCATTCCGCACAATCCGAGCTCCCAGCAACCCGTTCAGTTCAAGAGCTGCCCAACCCAGCAATTCACTCTCCTGTTCAGAACGATGTCCCACACCACGTCCACTCCGAACTTCCTGCCGAGCGTGAACCCCTCGAACTTGACGCTGGACCAGTACCGAATTCTCCCTCAAACCACCCACACGCTCCTCGCCCTCTCGAAGCCAACCCGGTACGAGATACCCCTGAGTCAGCCAGCGGCAAAAACAACCAGACATTGGCTGCCTGGGGCGAAGATTTTGGCGCACGCATCGGCAAATGGGGCGAGCAGTTTGGCCAGGACATGGCTAAAAAGGGTGAAGCATTCGGTCAGGCCGCTGCGCAGCATGCTGAGGAACTCTCCCGACATCTAGCCTCGTCCGCAGAGAGCAGTGCACAGGGAGCGCGACGAGGCTATGGTAACCGTTGGGGACCCTCGATGGGAGGACCGTTTGGCCGTGCACCGTTCGGCGGTCCATTTGGTGCTGTATGTAGACCTGGCGGTCCCTTTGGAAGATCGCCATTCGGTGGTCCATTCGGTACTGCTCCGTTCGGTGGCTCTGCTGGTCCATATGCCGGACGAGGAGGCGCCTGGGGAGGCGGATGCCGCCCATATGGAAACCCATGGCTTGCACGCGGTGCACACCACGTCTCTTTGGCCGGACCCGGCGGACCACATACGCGACACTCTACAAATGCCCAACAAACCGGCATAGTCGACGACAATGATAACGACAACGACGACGCCCTCTCCATATCCTCCTCGTCCTCCTCATCATCATCCTCATCCGCATCCTCATCCTCATCTCTCGAGACCGCCCAGAAAGAGCACCTCAAACGCATAGCCAGCATCAATGCACGCGCCGCCACGTCACAGTCCAAACACATACCCACCATCCAAATCGAAGCCGACCGCGCCCACGCCCTCGCCAAGGCTCAGAAAGACCTACAGAAAGCAACTACGAAACATGCGAAGAGCGTCGCCAAGCGGGATATTCACCGCCAGGTGCGCGCTATGGAGCGTGACTTGCACAAGCAGTACCGCGTGCGCCTGCATACAGCACATAGGGCGCTCGTGTCTGGCACCGCCGCTGCGGATGTCGAGCTCGCGACTGGTGGAGGTGTGCGGGCGAGGGGCAAGGGCAGGAGGGATATCAAGGCGGAGAGGAGGAGGTGGAAGGAGGAGAGGAAGAGGATTAGGGATGTGTACAAGGCGAGTGTCAAGGAGTTGAAAGGGTGGAGGAAGGATATGGAGAGGGAGCTGGACAGGAGTATGGAGAAGGGGGTGCCTGTGGGCATGAGTGCGAGTGCGAGCGTGGCGGGTGGGTTGGAGGTTGATGAGAAGGCAGCGGCGCGGGCGATGATATCAGAGGCGGAGATGGCCAACATGCCGAGTGAAAGGAGCAACGAGAGAAGTAACGTGGATGTTGCCGATGAGATATGGATTTTGGTCGAGAATCTAAGGGATTGAGATGGAGATAAGATACTAAGCTGATATTTCATATCCGGCGGACTTACGCTTTTTGTGGTCTTGTCAACCAGCACGATTACAATCTTTATAGCCTCCTATGACCACCAAATGCCGACGTTCTTAATGGAAGAGACACCAACGCCACGTCCCGCCTCAAATGGGAGCATCACCTTCCAAGCCATCTCACTTGGCCATCCCCAAATTCAGATTCATGACATACTGCATCACCGTACAGTCCTCACACTTGACCAACGCACTCAGCGCCGCAACCTTCCTCCGCAACCCCTCAATCTCATCCGCCATGTCGCGCTTATCCCGCTCCATCTGCCGTATATACGCCGTCGCGCTCGCCAGGATGACGGCCTTGGACGGCTTACTCGGCGCCGGCAGATCCTCGATATCATCCGGTTGGACGACGGCGGCGGCGCACGGCGTCTTGGGCTTCAGGCTGGGCACGACCTTCTTGAGGGACTCGAGCTGGGTGTTGAGCGATTCGCGGTATTTGCGCTCGACCTGGTTGTGCGGTTGGCGTTTGGGTGGTTTGGCGTGGGAGGAGGAAGAGGATGAGTGGTCGTGCGGTGCTTCTGGGGATGGGTCGTCGGCCGGGGGGCTGTTGCTGGAGGTGATGTTGGAGTGCTCTGGTTTGGGTGGGGTTTGGGTTGTGGTGGTGCGGCTGCCTTGGGGTTGGGCGCTGCGGTTGCTGTCGCTGCGCTTTAGATGCTGGTGTGATGGAGGCAGGTTGGCTGGCGGTTCGAGGGTGTCTGGGTCGATGCTTATTTCGTTTGCGGGGATGGTGTCGTTGAGTGCTGATGCTGGGGAGTCTTGCGGGTCTCCGAATAGGAATGGAGCACATCCGCCTCCGCAGCTTGCTGGGTCAGGAGGCGACTCTCCCTGACCGTGGTTGTTTGGGCAAAGGGGGGATGTCCAGCATGCTGAGATGTTATCGGTGCTGTTTTTGGTTCGCTTCGTCAAGGGGCTTTCTTGAGTCTCAAGTTTCGATGGAATGGAAGGGTTATTATCTTCATGGATTACGGCCATCTTTGTTGGGTCTGGTTTGGCCGGGCCGAAATTGATATCGCTTTGCAGAGGTCGCGACGTGCGACGTGAACTGTCTGGGAGTGTTGTGTACTCGCACTGCTCGTATGTGCTGTCTTCGTAAGGCGTATAGCCATATGATTGGGGGTCATTCGCTGTGTGCAAGTCGGTGTTGGTTGATAGCGGTGGCATCGATTTGTACTCTGCCGACTCAGGCCATTGCGGGAAGTCGAAGGCATCACCAACAAGAAACTCATCCCAGTTCAACGACATGCTTAAACCCGAAAGAGACTTGGGAAACGGTTGCGATCGAGCTAAAGATAGCTGTATATCAGGCGAGTCTGGTCCGATACTGGCCACTGACTAGCTGAGTGTATCCTAAGTGGATTCAGCCACAACACCAACCCGGTGAGCGCACAGTGGCTGGTATCGCTTCATTGCGCATACTTACAGGACTCAAACTCAGTATTCACCTTATTAGATGCGGTAGAGTCTACTCTGCTGATGTTAGAGTGCTGGAACGAAGTATTGCAACTCGGAGGTGAAGATCCTACTTAGACTTCTTTCTTCCGTTAGCAGACAGGCAGATGTTTGAAGAAATACGCGCACTCAATGCCAATCTTGGCTGTCATACAGTCTTGCAGAAGCTGCCAGACATCACCCGTACCAACCTGCCGGTTGTTTTGCAGGCAGTGGCAGTGTATCCAGCACGTAACGAGCGGCACTTATGATGCGCTGAGATGAACGATTGGCCCATTGTCATCTTCGTTTCTTAAGCACCCTCTTGCCCGCCTTTCATGACGGAACGATACGGAAAATGGTAGGGGGACACAAGGGAAGAACAGGTGAGAGTGGCGTGATCTTTGCTGCAGTGGGGCCAACTGGGCTGGTGAAACCTCCGGGGTTGGTCTGGCCTTTCCCATAAAACTTGTGTGGAAATTCTTGCTATAGATATTTGCTTCAACTCATCAAACATGCACCTCATCCAGGTCTGCTGTGATAGACTCTTGACGCGACTCGTTGGCAAGTAGGATTTTGTTCTGTTCTTCCAGGGTCGTTTGCAGCATGAGACTTGACACAAGCAAGATATACCCGTGCCACATCTAGGCGGTCTCCGACATCTAGCAGATCGAATGTAATCAATGCAATCGTGCGAGAGCTTTCGCCAAGCTGGTGTCATTGATAGACCATAGACCTGCGACGATATATTCTACTATCATCTTTATAGGCTACATGACTGAAGATAGAAACGAATGGTTCTACTACTGGTCAGACGTGATCAAGCTCTACTTGCGTATATAACTAACACATGCAACCTTCCTCTCTCTCTACAGTCTATCGTCCAAACTATATTAATACAACTACAGATTTCTATAATATCGCAAACGCGACCCTTAATACACTCGATATCGCTGAAATTGACATACTTCTGCCAGGTTCTGACAAAACTTAGTCTAGGGCGCGAATACCCTCAACATGAAGTTCTCATTCGGCATAGCCGGGCCAGTGCCTGTCTGGGTGTCAGTGATCCATTTGCCAATTGCTATCAGTCCTTGTTGACATACCGCTGACATCCAAATCATTGCCTGCGCTACAAGTTTTCAATATGGCCGCGAGACCATTCGCAACATCGGCACTAGAAGTACTCATTAGTCGGAGCTTGAAAGAGATGAAAGCATCACTTACCATGATGCTCCCTGCTGGTACGGTATATGGTTATAGGGAGGTGCTTCATTCTGCTCGGCCAAGCGTTCCTCTAGGCCCGCCGCCCACACCTCGAGCCGCATCTCAGGAAAGTCGCAGTATGTGTTCATGCTCCTTTGTGCAAGGCAAGTTGCCTCCCTTTGGTTACGCAGATACTTGATGCATTGCTTGATGCCGTCGCGATTGGCTCCGCGCAGCATCTTGGGATTGCACTCGATATTCTTGGCGAGCGCCGTACTTTCTGCCGCTATATCGGCACTGATCATGAGGTCCCCGGTCGAGGTCCCCTTGTTTGGCAGTGCACTGACTGCCAAGACTAATGCCATGATTGTGGGAAAGAATCTCATTGTGGAGATGGAGGTAATAGTATTCTGTAAGCTGGAAGTCAGTGAAACTGCCTAGAGCTGCAATAAATACGTAGAAATGTGCTGCTTCAAGGAGATGAAACACAGTAAACATCTGCTGGAGGCAAGCAATATAGATGTTTGGATCAGGTAAAAGTGCGCGATGTTGAAGTGACATTGTATAGTCGTCTCCCTCGTGGCAAAGAGATGTGTACGACCATATGTTGTAAGCTCAGGAATTGGATCTCCAACTTACGATGATGTTACTTTGAACGTTAGGAGTTGGAAGTAAAGTAGTTGTAAATGAGTCATTCTATTGTGTATGTTGTATGATGTGAGATGAAGATAAGGAGGAAAAGATGCGCGCTCGCGTGCCTTCTTATAGACATGGCAGTGTAAACATATCAACTCGTCAAGAGCATTGATAGTGCCATGTGGTCCTGCCATCAAAGCCAACTAAACACTTGTTCCTGCGAATCGGCCAATTGGGTAAGTTCCTCAGACATCCGGATGATTTCCTGGGTGAATACATGCTCTGTAACTAGATGCACTTATGGAGTATATGATTAGGAAGCACTAGGAAGGTAAAGTCAAGCTTCACATAGTTTCGTTTGCGGTAAGTTGCGTATGCTTGCGGTATAGCGTATCGTTAGCACAGCATCCGCAATAGGCCGCGTCGTCAAATGAATATATATTCAAGTGCTGGTCAAATCTCATTATTCGCCTTCAACGACACGCTACATACCTTCATTTCTAAAGAATTTTTCTTACTCTTCGATCTGAAGTAGACCTCTGTCTGTAATTAGTGATTTACAATGACACCTTTACAGCTTGCCTGCAGCAAGTAGCCTGCCTCTGCAATCTTGGTCACACACCATCGTATGCATAGGCGTAATGCGTCTTTATCTCACACCACGATCCTTCGAAGGAGAGCCTTCGGCATTCGGCGGCATCGGCATCGTCGGCTTCTCCATGTCTGTACTGTTATTTCCCAGCCGACGGCTTCGACTCTGGACCCGGGTCCGGTGCCCAAGAATACCCCTCAAATGCTTGTCCCCTGGGCAGACTAGCCACATAGTCGCCGGTAACCCGTGGACGCGGATACAGAGATACTGATAAGTGAGGGACTTGGCACGTTTCTCCAGATGTAGCTGGATGACATAAAACAATCCGTCTCAAGAGATGTCGACCGCGTTAGCACGCGTGACTTGCAAGAAGAGCGCGCCCTTCTAGAGAGCGATATCCATTCTTTAAACCGCGGAAATTTGACCGTCACACTCTCATAAGAATAGCCACTAAGGGAGTTCTACTTAACCTGCACTTGATCTGCTATCTTCGATCGCATGTTACCTGAGACGGCGCCGAACAATGTTTGAAGATAGACGCAATAATTTTGCAGCCCGAGTCCGTCAAATCCAGACCGAAAGCTGTTTCTGCGCCCATATCGTCGGAATATGCTTATAGTGCTGTATTATCTCATTACTTCGACATACGAATACTCTGCGATCGTTCTTTTGTTGCCACACATATTGTAGCAATTCTCGCCGGTGTTGGTTTTCACAAAAGGTAGTCAGATCCTCCGCGTATACCTACCTAGGTCTGAGCATATCAATCTGTAACATTGACATATCTGGTGATTTTAGCACCAACAGGCTAGAACTGAGCTGTAGCAATGACGTGAGGCTATAGGTATTCTCAGGTCGGAGATGCCCGCGCAGGGGCGCAGGGATTATAAAATTTCAGTATGCGGTAGACATACAATTGCAGAGGTGCATCATTTGTACTCCAAAGATTTATGTCCATCCTCAATTGGTCGAGGTATATAACGGAGAACGGAGTCTTGAGCTCGACCTCGCATACCAGTCAGCAATACTCTCACGTGGAATTCCTTTTTAAATGATTATGAAATCATTATGCTCGCAGGCGAGGAGGCATTAGCTACGCTGGCGGAGGCTGGCAGTGGAGATCCCAACGGGTGCCAAGGACAGATCCAAGCGTGCCGACTGGTCACTAGCAGTAAAGATGTCAGCCACTAATTAGTTGCTAGAAGAGTCTTGCGAAGGCTTGTGCAGACGTCGAAATTATCAGTAACATAAGTGAGAAGATTGTTCGAGGTGATTTAAGCATCGGCCAAGTTCTCTCGCCGTCAAAGTGTCGAAACACCAACAGCAATCGCGCATGGCCTCTTCTGGCCACCTGTGGTTCATCATGACGACAGTATGGGCTTGAGGTATGATTGGACGTGACGAGACGACTTACTGCTTCTAGAATAGCTCCTCAATACGACGACCACTTTGAGAGAGGCAGATGTCAGCCAATACCAGATGCCTTGACTAAGTGGATGCTGATATATCTCTGATCAGCAAATTCGAAAGCTCTTTGCTTTTGCCAGGGCAAAATGCAGCTAGAACGCTCGCGAGTTTCCATGAGACGAATGACAGCTACCACTTAGGTCAAACAGGGATACAGGTCGCATATTTCATCGTGTTCCGTGACTCTACTGCTGTCGATTGTCCATATAGAAGCCTTCGACAGGACAAAGTAGACTGGCCGTTTCGCTCAGTCAGATATCGTGAAATTGAAAAAAAGACATAGAGAAATAGGAAGAGAAAGAAAGATAGGGAGAGAGTGTGTGTGTGTGCATGTGTTCTCTGCGTGTGGGCAACGGAGTTGTAACCGCGGAAGAAAATAAATGGAGGATGAGAAGGAGAATGCAGGTGTGAGAAGTACGCACGGACCCGCCGCACAGCCCTCCCCCGCTAACCTGAACCGGACTTCGTTGTTACAATAGTTTGTAGGTACCTTTCACTTTCATACATGCGAATTGCATCTTGCACGATGCAATATCATTTCGCCGAAGACTCTATACACCTCCAAGCCCTATACAACTGAAAGATCTCAATTACTACGTCTGTCCAGCCAGATGCCACACCACAAAACATGTAACGCTATGAGTTCAACGACCCGTAGAAACATGATTCTCTGCGATTCTTGGTTGGCATGCTGCAATTATTACCGCCAGGCTGCAAAATATGCCAATCGCAATCGTCGAATCTACCGCTACCTCTTCCCATCTCATCCGATCCCTCAGGACCTGAATCCCTGATTGGCGAGAAGACCCGTCAGTGTGGAGCTTACTACCAGCAATCATGTCTCATGGGCCGCTAAAGGATGGTAGAACACGTTTCTCACTTTCTCCCAGGCTTTCAGAGTTTTTGATTTTGGCATAGTCGCCATATATTAAGCAGATAGTTACCCTGTCCAAGTTTTTTTATCACTGTTCCTGCCCTCCTCAAATCACACGTTCTTGATACCCGTTCAAAATCTAGTAACACTTGTTCGCAGCAATATCTCTCACACAGTGGTAGCAATACCGTGATCGCAAGTGAGCCCAAAGCACGAAAACGTCCTAATCGTCGACACTGGAGCTCTACAGGCCTGCTTTGCCCTGACACTCGTCCTGATAGTCGAATATGCAACCAAAGCGTCAACAATCGAGTAGCCAAAGCATCAAGCCCCTTCTATCTTCAGCTAATACTACTACGATGCCGTCTATCTTCACTTTCAATCTTTCTGGCAAGCAAGACATGCCTGAGTACCCAGAAACTTTGGTGAATTTGGGGCAAACACCACGTCGTCCGTTCGTGAAAAGTAATTTCTTGGACTGTATCACCAGGAAACTCAAAATCACTGGAAAGTATGATGAGAAGTCAACAAGATCTAGCGATAGTGGATCGAGTGATGGCACCATAGTGACACTTGAGATATTAAAAGCAGAAATCGAAGCCGACCTTTCTGCCTTTGGCGTCAACAGCGCTTACGATCGTGGGTCGCATGATTCCTTGCATGATAGCCAGCTGCTTCTTGCCACTCCCCTCGTGTGGCTTAGCTGACGCTTTATAGGCAAGTCTAAGGTGATCAATCGCGCTCTCAATGATATGGGAATGGGGAAGTATCAGTGGCAGTTGTTTACGTTGTGTGGGATGGGTTGGATGGCGGACAAGTACGTGCCAACAAAGTCATTATTCCAGTCATAGCTAATCATTCGATAGCTTGTGGTTACAGGTGAGAGATATCAAGAGAACTAATCAGCACCAAATTAATGCACGAAGTAGGGCGTTGCCATTACACTCCCACAGCTTAGTGCAGAATTTGGTGTTTCCGAGACCAATGTACGCTTTACCACTCTTGCACTATTTGTCGGCCTGTGTCTGGGTGCATCTTTTTGGGGTATCGCAGCTGATGTTATTGGACGCCGTCCGGCGTTCAATTTCACACTCGCTATTGCCGGTATTTTTGGACTCGCCGCTGGGGGTGCTCCAAACTGGATTGGTGTTTGTGGTCTATTTGCTTGCGTTGGTCTTGGAATTGGCGGCAACTTTCCTGTTGATGGCGCGTTGTTTCTCGAATTTCTTCCACACGATTCGAGTGGCCTCCTCACAGCGCTGTCAGCATGGTGGCCGGTTGGCCAATTCATATCCAGCATATGTGAGTTACAATTCCCGGTACGTATATTGTGCTAATAGCCGTCAGTGGCTTGGGCATTTATCCCAAATTACCCTGTTAAATGGGGCTGGAGATACACAGTCCTGTCATTGGGAGCCATAACTTTCGCAATGTTCGTCTGCCGGTTCTTCTTCTTCCATCTCTTTGAGTCGCCGAAGTTCTTGCTGTCTCGTGGGCGTCAGACCGAAGCCGTCGCCGTCATCCGTGGCATCGCTCATCACAATGAGACCCAGACGTGGCTCACGGAAGAGATTCTCAATGCCATTGGCGGTGATCCCGAAGTCGTTGGTGCTCAGGCTCTCAACACTTCAGAAATTGTCAAGCGCAACCTTAGCAAATTTTCTACCAAGCGCATCGGTCCTCTGTTCCATGGCTGGCGCCTTACCACGACGACATGTCTTCTCTGGTTCATCTGGGCAACTATTGGCATGGGATATCCCTTATTCAACGCATTCCTCCCGCAGTACCTCGCCAATGCCGGCGGCGAACAAGAGAACTCAGTCAATAATATCTATCGCGACTACGCCATTACCTCGGCCGTTGGAATTCCTGGAAGCTTATGTGCCTTGTATACGGTTAATTGGAGATACATCGGCCGCAAAGGTACTATGGCCATATCGACCGTCATCGCCGGTATATTCATCTTCCTCTTTACCGTCTCGTCCAACAACAAGTTCCAACTTGCATTTACCTCACTCGAGGCCTTCTGGCAGAATATCATGTACGGCGTCTTGTATGCCTACACCCCTGAGGTCTTTCCTGCTCCCAATCGCGGGACTGGGACCGGGATATCGAGTTTCCTAAACCGTGTTGCAGGACTGTGTGCGCCGCTGGTAGCTATTTACGCGGGCGAGGCTAATCCGAAGGCGCCGATTTATGCTAGCGGGGGTCTGATGCTTGCGGCTTTCGTAGCGATGCTGTGCTTGCCAATAGAGACCAGGGGCAGACACGCTTTGTAGATGGTATCGGTGCTTGAGGTTCTGCATGAAGAATGGCAATGATTGTGAGAGTTGAGTTGAGAAAGGCTTGCTTACGTATATACCCCAAGAGGTAGGATCTGGATGCATCGAACGGCGTTGCAAAGAAGCGGATATTGTTCACATGTATGATGTATCCACCTCCAGCTTATTGTAAGAAAATGGTTGTGAAAACTACACATGATACTTCAACAACCAGAGGGCTCAATCTCATATGTAGGTTAAATTGCAAAACCCAGTGACAATGATGGCCACCGTCGATCTCTGAGCATAAAGATCAGCGGTGTCCACTGCGATGAGGCGCGTCACATCATTGGCATGGTTCGAGACGCGCGCGTCTAATGACATCACATTGCACGTCATGTTGACGATTGTGTCTATGATACAGGTCTAGCCGATCAGTCCTGTCACCGGTGGTTGCAGTGGTAGTGGTGAAATGAGGATGTGGACGATCAGGAATGAAGATCCATCATGATGGATGAATGGAAGGGAAGGGTGTTTGCGCGGACCGCTTGGCAAGACCTTCCCCTGGCTCAGCCCTGCCCGGAGCGTTGAGCGGACTGCCCAGGTGAGTAGTCCGGATACACCCGAGTGGCCTTTTATTGAACTCCTGTCGCTGGATCGTGCCACCACTTGTATTCATTCTGGCGCTCCTTACTCGCCTATAATTATACATACCCTCACACTGTCTAGCTACAGATGCGCAATGTATCGATCGCAATTCTAGCCAGCTTCGTATACGTCTGCGATGAATGTCCGCTCGCGCGAGCCTACAAACTTTCGAGCTACCTACCACACCGCAATCAAATGGCACGACAAGGGTTGTGGCGTAAGGCAGTAGAGGACAATGTCCGACTCGATACTAATACTAGTGCTCTAGCCATATAAGCAAAGTCAAAATCGTGTTGACGTGGCCTTCGACTGCTTAGGGAGCCTACATGCGCAATCCTCGAATTTCTCGATAAGCTGCAGCTGTGGTACTCAGAGGCTTTGTGAATTACTAGTTGCTATGAAAAGGTATGCCTACAAACAAGTTGACTGGTGTATCCTCATGACGGGATTTCCCTAACCCAAGGGAAGTTGGACTAATGAATAAGAGCTGCACTGAATGTACCCTGTCCGCACAAGTTGCTGTCGTTTCACAGCTGCATATTATAGTATCGACGTCTGCTGAAGGCACTCTATGCTCTCTCTAATCGCTCATCCTCTTACGGGTTCCAGCACAGACGCATAAAATCCAAAACGATTGAAAGGATCATAGGCTGCCTTCAAAGCTCTCAATCTTCTCAATCGCCATGGCTCGAATCCATACAATTCTTGTGGACTCTCCGCTCCTCGCGCATAGTTCGGATATGTTCCCACCGGGCCATACTTTTCCGTATCTTGTCCGGATTTGAAGACCGCCGTGAGCTCAGCTGCTGTAGCATTGGCTCTCTCAAAGTTGGACCGAGAAGTATTATGGATGAGTTCAAAACCCAATAGAATATTCGCACGTCGCTCTTCTCCAGATACAGCCGTGCTATCTGCTGCAACTGCTTTGACACCTTCAGTCGCGTAGGACTCAAGCAATCCATAAGCTCCACTGAATTCTGGCATGCTGGTGAGATTGGCGAAGATATCGTATGCTTTCTTCATCGTCGTAACGTTATAGTTATGTAGGCTGACGCTCGCCATGATAGAGTCCGAGCGCCGCATACAAGAATATCCTTCGAGTGTGAATCCGACGAGGCCTGGAACTTTCGTGTAATCCGTTTCCGTGACCTTCTGAATACTCAAAGGACCGATTGACTCATATCTCTCAGAAAATGGAGCGGCAGCCTCAGACGTACCTTCATAGATGATGTCCAGTCGAAAAACAGGCTACGAATCTTATTAGCAGTCAAGTACAGACAGCAAGAAGGATAGCCTCGCACGTTTACAGCGTCGAGTGAAGGCACGTGTGCGATGTTACCCCATTCCACCATCAGCTCTGGGGGATGATTTCCAGGCGCATCAGTGAGTTTGTTAGATACTGTCAAGGCCTCCTCAAGCTTGTCTTTGTTGAAGTAAATCAGGGTATGCTGCCATTGAGCATCGCGCGGGATGTCATATACCCGGTATCGCACAGATGTGACGATCCCAAAGTTGTGTCCTGCACCCCTCATTGCCCAGTATAGTTCTCGGTGAGAATCTTTGCTTGCAACAACAGCTGTACCGTTCGCGAGCACGATATTTGCAGATACGATCTGGTCGCACGCTAATCCATATCGACCTTGCAGAATGCCGTGACCGCCACCAAGTGCTGGCCCGAGGAGTGAGACACATGGACATATGCCATGTACTAGGAAAGTGAGCATGTTACATATTGCATTGCAATTTCTCGACCAACCACTTCGTTTGCCCTCTGCGGCAAGACCGTTCAGTACCTCATGGACTGATGCGCCACCCCCGATGGTAGCAGTGTTGTCCTCATGGATCGCGATAGTGTTCAATGCTCGTATGTAAATCTGGATCCCGTGACGAACATTGCTTAGGTCACTCCAAGACCCATGCCCGCCATTGTGTGCCAGAAATGGTATGTTATGGTGATTGGCGAACTTGATCTGGAAAATGGTTAACCATTGATGACGAGCTTTTCCTTAGTCCTACCACTAGTTCCACATCCTGTTCGACTCCTGCGACGACGGAGGCGACATATTGAGGATGAATGATACCCGGATCGATATGATCAGTCACATTCAGCCACTCTGGGGACGAAGGGGTGTAAATAGCAGCATTAGCTGACAACAGTGGGCCCAGTTCTTCGTGGATACGATAAGGGTCTACTGAGGAAGAGCTTGCGAATCCACTAAAGAGGTTTCCTAGGAGCCATAATATTGCAAAACTCGACTGCATGGTTCACTGATCAAAATACTGTACATTCAAGTTACAAGAGTAATCTTTCTTTCTTTCTTTCTTTCTTTCTTTCTTTCTTTCTCTGTTTGCACTCTGCGCGTTGAAGTTCTAATGAAGGTGACCCGCTTTAATACTAATTAGTCTTCATACAGATATCAGCCCCTGGTACACGACACATCTCCCTGGTGACAAAGGCTTCGTAAGCCCTATATGTTGGTTGAGACCCTAGCGCCCTCGCTAAATACCGCCTTCATCAAACGTGGACTTTAGCGGCATCGACAAAAGCCAATGCCTTGGACTAGTACAAACGCGTATCGATCCATCACAGCCCCTTGATAAAGCCATTGATGGTTTCGTTGTGCACTCTTAATGTCGTTTATATCGCAACTCCAATGGCCAGAAATATCACTCCTCGTAAATTGCACAAGCAGCGAGGGAAAGTGCTACACATAGGTGCAATTATCACTGGATATGCTCGTCACTATTATTGGGGCTGGTTGGAATGGTTGTCATCTGGCGTGCGAGATAGCGGCTGTAGGCTGTGAAGTCGTGCTTCTGGAGCAAGGTAGTCAACTCCTCGCAGGTACATCAGGGTCGTTTGGCATCCGACTACATAAAGGTATTAGTGTACAAGGGATGAGTATGGGTCAATGACTGACGAATTTAGGTCCGCATTACCCACGATCCTCAAACACGAGAGCAAACTGTAGGAAAAGGCCGGTGTCCTCAATGGTCGAACTTGGAGTTGCAGTAGCTAACAGTTACCAGCTTTAAAAAGTTTCGACAAAAGTACAAAGACCTCGTTGTGGATCATGAATACTCCCTTTATGCTCTAGGCACCATTGAATCTGATGGTTTCGCGTCGAAAACATCGTCTAGAGAGTTTGAGAAAGTGTGTCAGGAGAACCCTGACTGTCAAGCGGTTGATCCATTGGACTATGGACTTCTTGATACGCACTGTACGTACAATCTTGATGAGCCCAGCATAGCTATCGGTTCACAAGTACGAAGCTACTTCGCGCAGCGATTCGAACGACTCGGCGTAAAAGTAGTGCTAGAGACTAAGGTACTCGCCGTCGAAAATTATGAGCTTCAACAAGAGGGTACACCAAGTGCCACGAAACACATACGTACAGTCCATCTTGGTCAATCACTCAACAAAAGCTTTGTATCTGATGTTGTCGTCAACTGTACTGGATTTGAGGATCTCGTGCCAAGAGATAGCTGGTTACACTCGTCTTTCGATTTTGAGTTCATCTACCAGGCCTGTCTTGCCCTTCGCTTTCGAGACAATGCTCCAACCTCAACGAAACCAATGTCACTCATATTTATGGACGGCTGGTTCCCATGCCTCATGCCAGCCATTTCTAATATAAATTCTGGTGCGCCCCAACAGGACTACATCCTTACTCACGGCGCATATACGATTCTCGGTTCCTTCGAGTGCCCACAGAAGGCGCGATTGCTGCTCGATGAATACCTCGACGATGCTCTTGTAGATGCTATGGCCCGCGTTCCAGCAGAGGCTGAGATGCGTCGCTTCTGGCCGGCATTCTCTGATCGTTTCACGTACGAGGGCTGGTATGGCGGTGTCTTGGCAAAACCGAAATGCCCTACCGAGTTTCGAAGTGGTTTCGCTTTCCAATATGATGGAGTTGTTCACGTCTTTCCGGGAAAGATTAGTAATGTTATAGACGTTGGTGAGGAAGTCCTCACCTTGCTTGGTCTGGGCAGCACGGGTATCAGGGTCTTGGAGCAAGACGGATGTCGCTACGTCGAGAATGGCATCTTTCATCAAGGACAGGAGGAACTACAGAAGATGAACAAAAGAACAGACAGAAGTACAAGCAATCTTCAAACATTCAGGGATGTCCTTGGCGCTTAAAAATGTGTCACATAGATTGACTCCTCCCGGCTGTATCACCACGGATAGCCATATCAAGATTTTGTGGGACACTTCTTTCATGTTAGTTGCAGTGTATATCGCGTGCAACCAAGCTAGCGCGGCTGATCATCTGGTCCCATATAATATAGACTTCCATATACAACAACATAGACTAGAGATTTAGACGATCACATCACACAGGTGGTATATGAAATCCCGCTAAAGACCTTTAGGTACGGTGAGGAACAGAGATTCATAGGAGACGAGGTTGGAGCCAAATACGATGAATGATCAATATTTGAAAGTCTCGATCAGCGTTAGTAGTTGCAATATAATTTGACATGAGTTGAGCCAACTTACTGGTCATTCCGCCGTTCGGGGTGCTTCTTAGAATGTTTGATATGGACTTGAGCGAGGTCTTAGGGTCAGTGGGGGCCCCGGGTATCTGTGAAGTATTACTTTTATTGATGGCGTCCTGAGACAGCTCCGACACTATAGCTAGTAGGGCTAGACAGGATGACAGATGCATCTATGCATACGAGTCCAGAATGCAGAAACCTATCACTTGAGGTATTCTACAAGTAATTTGTTCGTAACTCTGTACTTATTGGCGAGTATACCACATGGTTAGCATAAGGAGGAAATCGTTTGAGGCACAAGGGCCCTGTGGAGTGTGGTGGACCCAAGAGTCCCTCCTCATCTGAAGCATTGACTGATGACAGAACGATGTAAGACACGATCATGTATCATGACAGAGGAGGCAGTTCACTGCAATGATAGTCACCTGAAAGAGATATTCCATGAGAACAATTGACAGATGGGCGACACAGCTCGCATGATTGACTCGTAATTGGTTCTTTACAGTTCCATGCATGACTTGTCGATCGATGTCGTCCTCTCTCTGGTGTTAAGAATGACCTCAGCAAGCCTTCAGATTCCCTCCATGATTTGACCGTTTCATGCCAAACTCAACGAAGCCTTACGCAATGATCGAAATTCTACCTTCGACTAGGTTTCGCAAGGCTAAGAAGTAGCACTCATTACACTCTAAGAAGAGGAAGTCTCCTATCCAAAAACGCCATTGGATTGACCAGTCGTTATTATCTCTGTGTTGGCTCGTGTTGGAGGAGCTTATTGCAGTGTAGTTTGTGAATTTGATGTACCTAACCTAGGTAGAGTCAAGTTAGCGGCAAATGTATGGATGCGCTAAACCTAGAATGGACGCAGCACACCCGCAGCGACTTGAGAGATTTGATGTTATTCTTCGCCGTCTCATCCACCTGTGATCAGTCTCAATCTAACGCACATGTGCCATGATCCTAATGATCCCAAGTCAGGAATGTACCCAAAGATCTATACTTTGCAACCATCCTCAGTACTGTAAGAGCTAGTGCAAGCTTCACTGACACTTCACAATCAATACAAGGAGGGATAGAATAATGTTCTAGCCGCTAGCGCGTAATATTCGTGGTATATGGATTACCAATTCACCTGACTGCTTTGCGGAGTAATCTCAGCGTCGTCGCACCTGGCAGAGCCCTACATTTATCGTCACGACAATGGAAGCCACTAGCACTCTGTCAACGACTGTAGTCGGTGATGGAATCCCAGTCTTATTCATTCACGGATGGGAAATGAACGGCGCCTCAGAGGCCTTTGACTACGAGCCAATATTCAGTACCCTCGACGGCTACAAACGGATTTATGTCGATCTTCCTGGTATGGGCTCGACGCCAGCCGACGGTATCAGGAACTTAGACGACATCTGGGCTCGACTCACAGACCTTGTCGACGCGCAAATCGGATCATCCAGATTCCTCGTTGTTGGTGCATCGTGTGGTTCCTATCTGGCGCGCGCTATTGCACAGAGATACACGACACAAATCAATGGTCTTCTCTTACGTGTTCCTGTTACTGATCCCGAGAACGAAAAGCGGGATCTTGATGTCTTCCGACCACTCTTGAGCAACGCAGACGTAATGAGCAAGGTCCCAGAGAAGGACAAGACTACAATGGGCGATTTCCTCGTCGTCCAGACGGCAGGCTACATACAAGCGCTGCTGAACAAGATTGCGGCGATAGTAAATCCAGCAGTAGAGCAGGCGGATATCAAAGTCCTCCATACGATTCGGAATGATCCCAAAGCGTATCTTCTGACTGCGCCTCTCGAGATCACCCCGTTCCCTGCACCAGCCCTCATTCTGACAGGCCGGCAAGACACGCATGTCGGTTACAGAGATAGTCTGCGGCTCCTCGGATCATATCCGAGAGCAACACATGTTGTGTTGGATCGAGGATCGCATGCTCTGCCTGTGGACGAACCAGAACGAATACTCTTCGAAGCCCTGGTCAAAGAGTGGTTAAGCCGCGTCCAGGAGTGGGCATGCCACAGAGACTAAAGTAGTCATGCTCAAGTAATTTAGCAGCTAGAATCAATTGAGCATGTAGTTGTGAAGACAGCGCAAACAGAAGTGTCGAAAGCTGCGCGCGAGATAGTTTAACATTCAGGCGTTGTCTGAGACTTCGACACTCGAACTCAAGGTATTATACACAACGTCAACAAGACTGGGACCAATCTTTTACAACACGAGATCACCATCAGATGATGATTCATGACAGCCTCATCGGGAAGGCATATGATCACTTCGCTGCAATCCTCGATCCTGAAGAGCTGCCGCGTAACTTTTCTTTCTCCAGGCCAATTCTATTCAATAAACTCAAAAGTATTACGACACCATATCCATAACAACGTAGGCACCCACCTATCTGGGGTTTCCACATGCAGCTGAGCAGACCGGTCAGCGCTTGGACGGCACAGGCGGCATATGTAGTACTGGTACAATACGCCTGGGCCATTGCTCATGACGGTATGCAGCCGATGGAGCTTGAAGGAGCGCCGGCGTGGAGGTCATATTCTAGCTTCGACACCGAACCCGCTGTCAAACCAGACGGACTGCTAGCGGACGCTAGCAGATTTGTTGGTGGCCTCTATCGATAAGCGAGGGGAAGGGTGCAGCGAAGATGAGAGACAAGGGTGCATTCTGACGGAGAAAAGGCGGTGATGGTGAAGGCCGATGGTTGTTGTGCTCTTGACAGGTCTGGGAGATGACAGACTCCGGCGGCGATGGAATGCACAGCCAATAGGAAGCGCCGAGTAGACGACGAGCAAGAGCACTAGTGGGGACCGAATATAGGCTGCACTTCAGCTGGAGGACTGTACGTGCCTTGAAGAAACCCGAAAGGTTGAAAAACGTTAGTCAGTGTTTCTATCTTTGATCGAACTATATCTTATAGTGCGGGCGCTCACAGCGGAGAGGTGGCGGTTCAGGAATAGTGGCCGCTGCCATTGGGATAATACGCTATAAAACAGGTTACAGCAAGCTAGTTCTGTAGATCATGGCATCTAGTGTTACTGCTGGGCTTGTATAGACGAGGGTGGTGGTCATGATGGTGTGACCGGTGTCTTTTTTACTGGTGGTATCTTCCAAACTTCCAACTCTACACCGCAGCACGCAGTGTGCGGGGTTTAGAATACGTAGCCGCCCAGCCAATCCCAGATGACCGTTGAGCAATGCCATGATTGGATGGACTCCTGGACGAGGCGTAAAAGCCTCAAGGAAGGCAGAATACATACATGACATTAGTCTACTATGTAAATGGCTGCGCTCTAGCCCTTTGGGCCCACAACGGCACAACGTAAACAAAGTAATAAGGTCAGAGAATGAGTGAACCAAAACTATGATGGTTCGTACGCAGGTGATTCGACAGAGGCACAACATGAGGCACAGGCTCGTATCTCTGCTATGCCAGTGAGATCCGGACGTTGATGTTGAGGCTCTTAGTCGAAAACTTGCTTCTTCTACATGTCATAGATCGTCTTTCTCCTGCACGATCGATGTTGGCCTGTGGGCATGATCTGATTGCCTTGCTCTTGACATAGGCTAGTATAGCAGACTACCGATGATGCTGCATACTGATTGACTTTCTCTTCAGTGTTTGACAGTCTGAGCGAGTGGCATGAGGGTGTGGAATCGTGTGATGGAGGGCATGGAGTTGCATATGGCTGCCCCGCCTTTTCTGCCGTGACGGTCTGACGCCGGCTTTTCATTGGTCCGCTGGGGGTAGACTACTGGATTTAGCGGCTACTGACTACTGCACGTCAATGCAGTCCTGACCAATCACAAGCACGAATGAAGCGCTGGCAGAAAACAAAACACCTCCACCACAAATCCATCCACCATTCACTGCCCGACCTCCTCCTCCAGACTCCCACCATCCAACATCCACCATCCACTGTCCACCGTCGCTGTCCAGCCTTTGTGTGTAGACACCCATGCCGCTGTATCCTCTTCGACCCGGCTTTGCAGCTAGCCATGCCCTATGCAGCAACGCCATGGCCATGTCAGGTTACTTGCCGGCATCTAGCATCTACTTCGCATCTAGCTGCAAAACTCGTTTCCTGGCACCGCCGAACCACTCATAAGTATGCCTTCCGCCGCCGCATCGTGGGACCTTTCCTTTCCTCTTCAGCAGCTTGCACAATCTTGAGAGCCTGGTATTGGGTTTTTTGTTTCCTCTTTTTTACGTCTTTGTTTTTGTTCTCAGTTCCTCCATTCCCCCGTAATACTACCACTCAAAGGCCTGGTGCCATAATCCAACTGCCCTCCATATCACTTCAATATCAATCTTCAATATCATTCACCATTCGATCGTCACTGGCTGGCGACCGTATACCCAACTTAATATCAGCTCTCTCTTGCTCAGTCTCTCGAACCTCAATTCATTCGTACAGTCAACAACACACGGCCTCTTCGGACCAACCTTTCAATTCTCAGACTCCTCGTAATATACACATTGAAAATCAAATTTAAGCCTTCACATCATCCACAATGGCCGCGATCCAGCTCAACTTCACTCTCCGTACGTCTGCAAACTGCAAGACTGTCCATCTACTTGGCTCCTGGGACAACTACAATGGCCAGCTCCCACTCAGCAAGGACTCTGCCAAAGCAGGCGCCTGGAAAGGCACGTTCCGCTTTCAAGGCTCCATGCTCCAACAGGGCCAGCGCTACTGGTACTACTACATCATCGACGGCTACCATGTCTCACACGATCCCGCACAGGAATATACCACCGAGCCCACCACCGGCCGTCAGCTGAATATCCTCGACATTCCTGCTGGCAAGACCTCGTCACAGTCTGCTTCCCGCTCTTCCAAGCGTCACTCCCGTCGCGTCTCGCTCGACATTCCCAAGGGTCGCGCCTTGTCGCCCAGCAAAATTCAATCTCCGCGACCTATGAAGCCGTACGAGACCCGTGAGGTCGTCCAGCAGAACTACTCCCCTGCGACGCTAGAGGCCCTGACATCGCGCTTTTCGCGGGCCACAATCGAAGAGAGCAGCGAGGAGGACTCCGACTCCGATGCAGACTCTGACGTGCCATCCCTCACATCGCGCAGCTCAAACAGCTCGTCACCATCGTCCGTCAGTAGCACCAGCTCGTGCTGCACATGTGAGCGCTACGGCATCACCCGCGCTGGTGACCGCGTCAAGCTCGACTGTGGCGGTGCTCGTTGTGGATTCTCTGATGGCAGCGAGTGCTCAAGCGAGGACGAGGAATACTACAAGGCCAAGACCACGCGCAGGCAAGGTATTGTTGTGCGACGCTGATCCCGCTTCACGCCCACGTACACTACATTCCTGCTCCGCGAGCCTTTCTCGTATATCTTGCATTCCCGCACACACTCGTTCGACCTGAGTCCTGTCGCTAGACAACGGTCTCCACTCGGAGACAGTATGGCAACAACACGCGCACCCCGCGCCATTGCACACTCATTAGGCCCGAATGCGTCCCAACGTGGTCCTTGACGCATCGTCAGGATCCGCAGCAGGATCGTGATCTTTTCTTTTCTCCATGTATATATTACGAAGTCTCACCGTTCATACAGCACACTACGCACGTCACGCTGGTCGTGGGCTTGTGGTGCTGTCCGGTGTTGTTGTTGATTAATCCCACCCGCAAACACGTTGCACTCGCAAATGACACAGGAGGAGCGAGTCCTGCAACTGGATATGTACATGTAGCATATTATAGCATAGCATGGCATGGTATGGTATGGCAATTGACGACCACGAAGTCTAGCGAGCGACCTGTGATTGCGGCTGCAGACTTCGCCAGGTCTTGATGACGATTATGAATTATGTCTCTGCGCTCGGCCCATTTGTGACTTGTGCCCTCGTGACTCCCCTCGTATTCACACTTCACTCTGGCCTTATCTTAACTACTTCACTACGCCAGTACTTCGCCATCATATGTATTCTATATGTGTATGTATCATTCCGTATATATGCACTACCCTCCTATCTTTTTACTGCGTCCTTCCACCGGCTCTATTCACAAATCGTTTCCTTTTCTACACGCCGCTTGTATACTCTACGTATATATTCTAGTATTGTTTTAAGGAGATATATTCTAGATATAGACAGTCTTATTAGAACATGAGTTTATCATATATATGATGATCTAATTATGTCGAAATGATTCATATATATATCTACTTTCCTCGTGACTTCTATGTTCAGTATGCACATATAAAATCTGACTCATGTTTTATTCTTTCCATTACTTATACATGGCCTTTCGTATATGCTTTTCTAGGAACAGAATGCAAAACCTAGCATGGGCAGTTCATACGCTTTGGAAAATCTAAGTTATAGTTTTTTCCTCTATTTTGTATCTTATTTCTCTCTCTCTGTCGACATTATATGTATGATGTAGTATGTCAGTGAAAGCATTCCCTAACAGTGGTCCACATACATTCGCTAAGCACTTATTTACCACTTTCTATAATCTAAATATGTAAAGGTTTTAGAATTTTTGTTTCTATTGCTTATCTAGTATGGATGAATATAAAACAATCGTATTTGTTCTGCTGGTCGCTCTACTACTTTATAAACTATCAATACACTTCGCATTATGAGATCTTTTCTTTTTCCAATATGCTCCGCCGCAACAAGTGATCACGCGCCTTTGACTGCAGATCCATCATCCATGCCATCCGGCTTATATAACAACAGCGTTATATCCAGGGACAGGGGAGGGATTATGTGCTGACTGTATCGCCCAGAGCGGTGAAGGAAAATGTGTGCCAAAGTCGAATAGCTAGCCCCCTGCTTCCCTCCTGCCTAAAGCTAGCTAGCATGTGATTCAGAGACGTGATCGAGGGGATCATAGTGTGATGTGTGGCGTATGTATGTGTGTATTTATGTAGTCGGGCTAACAAAAGTATATTAGAAATAGCTGGGGAGCTGACACGTTGTCACCGTGGTAGTTTAGTAGTTATACGAGAGGTTGCCCAGATACCACCGGATTCAGATGGCAATATTCAAGAAAATGAGAGCAGACACACATGCGTTGCAGTCCATTGGAACATGGCTGGTCAGCTGGTTGTACGTGGACCTTAGAGTATATCAGCAGACCAGTATTGGCAGATTGCGATCTGGGCACAGACAGCTACAAGGGAGAAATAGACTCTGAGTTCCCTTTGCGCAGGACTTTTGCAATGAGGAAACACCAGATACAGCGTCCTGTCTTTCTGCTCTCTACTTCTCTGCACGTATCCAGGATATCAGGAAATTATCTATCTCGTCGAAGTCACTGATATGTATACAACTCAAACTCACTTCGACGGCATGGTCCCAGAGTGCAACCTGTCGTGTGAAATCGCGAGTTTGCGGCGCATGGTCGTAGTTGGAATGGTGGGTGGGAGAAATATCATAGATAAGTAAGCGTATAGCCAACGTGACGGAAAGGGTTAGATATCACATGGAAAGGGACTATGTAATTGTATTTAGGCGACGACTGTCTGCATTAGGCTGTCTGGTTTCTAATGACACAGTCTACAGTACAAAGTCAAGCGATTCTACGACATTATTCTGTTTGTAAGACGATTCTTGAAACATCTGTGCTATTAGCCAACGAATTCTAAAGTCTACATGTAACATCGACCACAGGTAATCAAATTGCTATATACCAGTTTATGGTATAGAAATGAATGTGTGATTGAAGACGAACACTAGACCACGAGATGTCGTAGCGGAAGATGGGAGAACAAGATGTCAAGATAACGTTAGAAAAACAATACCTGAGGAGAAAATACTCGAGCGTACTGAAATGAACAAATTCTAGATTTCCGTCTATTTCTGATACATTGAAGAGGTGTTGAGCCTGTGAACCACGAATTTAAGTACTAGCTGATACGTAACGAGAGTAGTCAAGTGAGAACAAAGATATATACAAGAATGAGACTCGAAGGGTACTCGTATTCGACTCTGGAAACGTAAAGTCGTAGTTGGATGCATTTGCGACGCCACCCATTTCAAACATCGTGCTGCGTCTCCTCAACGGATAGTCCGGCCCGAAAATCCCCAGAGACCAGATCAGATATAGCCAAGGGACTCACTACCACATTGAAATGGCTGATTGTACAAGCTACCGCGGTGTATCTACCGATGTCCGGCTGAGTATCAGGAGTCTGGTGAGGCTCTTTGGCCTGAGCTTGACGCCTAGTAGGCATATGAGGCCGAGTGACTGTGACAGAGGTAGCCGACAAGTACAGTCCTCTCCTCCGCATAGTGGCCAGGGCGCCCAACCAATGGGCATGGGTCTACCGCGTGTTTAACGTGCACACACCGGCAGACCGAGAAGCGCTCAACGACTAGATAACACATTTCTTTGGCGGCGGGAGTCGAGTAAGGAAGAAGTGATGTTGTCGAAGATGTATCGAGTGGAAATGTATTGAGCAATGGTAGTCCGATTTGAATCTGATATTGACGAGTCGACGATTGATAGATATGGAATGAGTATATTGAACGGAGGAGGAACTGATAGTCAAGGTGAAAAAATGTCTTCTTGAATCAGTGAGACTGGATGTACTTATAAATCCAAATTGGCGAGCAGCGGTGAGGATGTTTGGCTGTGTTTGTGAGATACAGAATCTAGAAATTCAACATCAGCGAGTGATGGTACCATAGATATAGAAGTGTGCAAAACTTTGCCGCATCAGCCAGGGCAACAACAGCCAGGTGAGTCGAGAATAGCATATTCCGTGCCATGTGTGTTGTTGGAGTGCCTAGAACAAGTGAAGGACGCAGTACGGCGAGGTGTAAAGCTGGACCTGTAGACGGCACAACAATACCCGGGTAGGGTGCCGTTGTGCGGCAGTCAGACCGTTATTTCGTGAAAGTAGACTCATATCCATAAGCTGGGATGTAGTTCGTAGCCTAAAGAATGTGATAACCCCCACGAAGGCGACGGATTCTAGGACAACGTCTCGAGAAGTATGGGGCAGGAGATCATGCAAATTACTCGAAGTACATTCTATGCAAGTTGTAGGCGTCCGTACATTTCAACTAAAGGCATCATGGGGACTAGAGATACAGTGTGGCGGTACTTGTTAGCTTGTGTAGAGAGTCTGGAGAGGCTCAGAAATAGCCGTGAAGAATACAGCGCAAGGGCACGTTGGAGGCGCAGTATTTTACTCGATGACTTGAAACTAACATGAAGATTGCTGTGGTGAAAGTTGCCGTTCTTGCAGGAACAAGAACAATGATGGGCGTTAATGAGAAGCCCTCTCATATCAGAGGCAGTACTCTTGTAAATTCGGCACCTTAGTGGTAGATAGAACTCGTGGTCATTGCTCAGGATTCATTCGAGAGAACGGCGCTAGCCCCAAAGGAGAGTGGCTTTTCCGTCGCGAACCTAACTCGGGTACGTATTACTAGATTGATCCCTACCACCAACACAACGCAGCAACTCCTCCCTCCTACACCGAAATTTCGTCCCATCACGCCGCCCCTATACCTTCAATCTCCTCACCTCCAGGCAGCTCCTGCGCGCATCGATCCTGTCTTCATAGATTAAGACGGCTGACGCAAGAATCACAACCCCTTCATCAGCGTACCTGGTAGGGCTGCATGAGAGCACCGGGATTCGACAGGCTGAGATGCTCAGATCGACCCTTGACTTGCAGCATGACGACTCGGCGCATCATGTTTCATGCTCGCCAGAGCCGCTAGACGCTGCCTCCGCGCACGTTCCAAAGCCTCATTGGTGTTGAGAAACAATTGCCGGTGTGAGACTGCCAGGCAGCCTTATGCCCGCTAGGGCTGTGGCTGTCCTGTGATCACACTTCACCACGCCACACGTGGGAGAGGTTGTGCATCGTTCTTCGAAATCACGTCGGTGATGTAAGTGGCACACGGTCTGATCTTTCTTCAGCTTCAAAAAGAGTGCTGCCTTCTCTAGGCGTTCTACTCTCTACCTCGATGTGCAGAATTGATTGCTGGACGGTACAATGAGACCTAGTATAGGCTTGGCCAGTGCTTAGAATGTATAAACGAAATGGAAAACTCGTTGCGATCAAGGGTTCCATATCACTACCGCACTCTTAACACATAAAATATACGGTCGTGGTGGCAATATTATTGAAGTCTTATAGGTATCCATCTGATCCTCTAATACATTAATTGGGTATCACGAAAACAAGTCCGTTAAATGAAAGTTCTCCTCGCCAACATCTGCAGAACGGCCCTTTGAAAATACGATAGCAATTCCTTAAGCAAGGAGCGCATAGCTCATAGCAGCACCAAGAATCAACAGCCCGGCTTGTTCAAGCGGCGCGTTGCGACCGCCAGCATCATCCACACCACCCGGCGCAGTTGTGCCATTAGCCAGCGTGCCATTGATAGCCAGCGTCCTCGTTCCATTTGGCTCTGTGACTTGCACCAGGGTCTTGTTCAGCTTGTTATAATCCCCGTCTCCAACCAAACTGTTGATGTATGTCTGGTCCGTATTCTCATCACACCCGCAGCTGAGGAACGCGGCACATATGCACTTTACCGGCAATGTGGTCGTGCCGTTCTGTCCTGCGCTGACGTTGCGGAACGTGTACCTGCTGCCATATGGATACATGTATGCGCCATACGCGAACGTGCCAACGAACAGCGCGCTCAGTGCCGCGCCGCCGATGAACACCCCGAGAATACCCTTAGGACTACGCGCGGAGGACTGGTATGGGATCGCAGCACCACCGCCGTAATAGCCTCCGTTGCCATATGCGCGTGGGGTGCCGGTGCCAGAGCGTGTTTGCCCGCCGACATTGGATGAAGATGAGGTCCGTCCACCGCCTCCAGATCCGCCTTTTCCTCCACCTGAGTAGATATGTCAGAGAAGTGCCGTTGGGATATCGGTGTGTATTCAACTTACCGCCACCGCCGCCTCCGCCACGACCTCCGCCCCCTCCGCCACCGCCGCCCTTGCGCTTAGAGAGTTCTGGAGCTGGGTGGTATTCTTCAAAAGACTGCGCAACGCGCTGAACATCGCGTAACACCAGAGATGCAGAATCTTCGGTGTCTGGTATCGAAAGCGCGTTGACCGAGGAAGTGGCCGCGAGGGCGAAGGTGAGAGCGTTGGAGAACTTCATATTATTGATATGTGAACAAGGTATATCGATATGCGGTAGAAAGCGTCGTGCAATTCAGACCTGGTGACGCCGAGAGTGAGTAATATGGTTTCGCAAATAATTAACAGAAGGCGTTTGCATTCAAAGATGATGCAACTGTAAACGACGTGTAGCAACGAGCGTTGCCCACGTCTATATACCTCTGCTGTTCTACCTAGGTTGTTCCGGTCGCTAACTAGGATTGAAACTGCCTAGGCAGGATTAGATCCGGAGGCGGGGCGACTGGGAATGGAATGCTATGATGCCCGCCAAGCAAGGCTGAGTGCCTAGCGTGTGAGTCCTTAGTCATCTAGTCGCCAATCAGAAGTAGTGGACTTGCTGACTTTCATGAATTTTTCGCCATTGCACGAATCATAGCACCACGTTTCATGCCGTCCAAGCCGATAGTTATCCTTCAACAAGAGCTTCCAAGCGAGGCGTGACGAAGGAACGCAAAGATCGTTGTTGTCATACCTTAAGCCACTACCGCCACAACGGCTTGATTGGGTTGTGGCTGTGTCTCCCTTCGACAGAATCCCAGTTCAAAGAACAAGCATGGAATGTTCGATGGCTGGAAACGGCAAATCTCCACTGTTCTTCAGAACCATGATTCATGATCGCCAAAGACCTTTCTTTCGGGACTCAGAATGGTGTAAGGCAGAGCACAGCACAGCCTCCACTTGGAAACGGCTGCCTTCTTCCTCGTTCCAGCGACGTAGCTCGAACAAGGCGAGAGTTATTTGCACGGAAGAAGCGCTGTCACAGGTGGAGAGAACGGGAACGCCTGGAGTCTGCCTGGCTTATAGTTCCCTCTTCCATGAGCTATGGTATGAGCTTAATTCGCCGACGTTGGAGAACCCTTATTTTCTACTTTCACACCATTGGAATTTAGAACTCCTATTACCCAACCTTGCGTGATGATTTCGATCAAATGGCCCCAAACCATTTATTTTCCCATCGCCACAATGCAGGGCCTCTCCAAGGCATCACGTTGCATTCTCGTAGCGAAAGCTAACACATAAATTAACCAGGATAGTGTACGCCATCGTGGCGCTTCGGCAGAGAGCTCCCTTACTTGATAGCAAGGAATTCAGTCAATGTAGCCACGAAAAATTGGTCAAGACCGTTGTTTTGTATGTGGTCATTGAATGAACACCATCTGCGTGCATTCAGCATCGTGACCGCAGCCGTCCACCACATCATGAATGAGCTATAAGTTCGTAGGTCTACTGTCTACAGGTTATCATTCACGTCAACATATCCAGATCTTTAATAGTTGTTGATATCGCAACCAGTATCGTACTCAAAGTATTTTACATATTCCGGGCTTATCAGGAACTCAAAGCTTGATGTTGTGCTACCTAACTTTGACATCAGAGGAACTAGGCTTGGCGCATAATTGTCAATTGCACTGGAGAGCGGTATGCTGCAACTCGCTATCACTATCATTAATGTATTGGGGAAATGTCAGTCTTAATCGTAATTTGGACCGGAGATCTGACTCTACTAGTCTAAATGAATGCTTGTAGTTACGATTGCTCTGGGCTCACATGCATCGAGTGCCTAGCGATCTGTTGAAAAATAGACGATCAAAAAAGGAGACGTAACACTCTGTATATCCCACCGTACAACGCCCAACACCAGGCTCTAATGTGAACGTCGCTGATTACTTCAACTTTTTGCGCGATCTTAAAATTATACTTGCGCCTGCGTATAGTTGAACGATAGTGGCGCGAACTCTAACCCAGTCTTACCACCCCGCAGGTTTTGTACATTGCTCCTCTGGTCAGGTTCCGGCACTGTCGCAAGAACTTGCTGATCTGGAACTGTAAGCAAGTTGAAAGTCCTTGTCGCGGGTAATGTCACACGAATGATCTTCGCAATACTAGGCGTGCGATCCGCCTTCATTGCAAAAAGCATATAGTATCCAGGTAACGCGATCCCTGAGTCAGTGGGTACTTTTATAGTGTGTGAAGTGCCAACTACCAAGCCATCAAAAGGAATCCTCCGCTGATCGGTGTTGACGGTATGCGTGACGGATGTCAAACGCATGAGCGCAAGGTTCGATGTCGGAACGTCCGTTTTGATGGTTAGGGTGCCGCCCACGTTAACACTTTCCGCACTGATAGATGTGATTACGGGTCGTTGGCGGAGGGAGCCGTTGGAGTTGAGTAGGTACGGCGGCACAAAAACCTCGCCGTCGTTATGGTTTTGGTCACACCCGTCGCCGCAAAGGCCACCACCGGCATGTAACACTGTCCCATCGAAGAGGAGGACGGCAATTGAATGGTAGTTACGAGCGGTAGCATGGGGATTCAGTCGTGTGTACTGTCCAGTTCGAGGGTCCCAGAGCTCAGGGACAAGGACAGCGTCGCGATCGCTGAACAAGTGGCCAATTGTGTTGCCACCAAGTATCAAAGTAGTTCCATCTGGCAGAGCAACACCGTTGTGAAATATTCGCGGGAAGTTCATGCGTCCGATGGCGTCCACGCGAGGATTTACATTTGGTTGATCGAGAGTAATCACGTGGGCGTTGGATGAGGCGATTTCTTCGTCGTAGTTTACTGCACCCCCAGAGACAAATATTTTACCCGCGGGAGCGTCATACATGACAGCAATACCGCACATCGCATCAGGATCCTCACCACGAATTCCTGCGGCTTTTTGGGTACCACCATTGCCAACCCCGTACCAGTTCATTGCCGAGGCAGGCCCGGCAATAAAAATTGAGGTCTGCTTCCAGCGGAACATCCAGGGGTGATTATCTTGACGGTACTGGCCAAGTTTGTCCTTTGTATAGATTGGCTCCGGTATACACCCTGGTAGCTCTGTCCATTTATCTCCGACAACGTCATAAACTTCTCCAAATTTTCTTTCTCGAACAATTTCGTCATGTCCACTGAAGGAGCCACCCAAAGTAAATAGGCGACCGTCAGAAAGAAGCGTAGTGGATTGGTAGCCGCGAGGAACGTTCATAGGAGCGCCTCGTTTCCACTGATTGGAGGTGGGATCGAAAATACTAGTAGTCGTAGCGCTGTCGCCTCCAGTGACGATATACCGCCCAGCAGCGTCCATCGAGATTCCGGGGCAGAACATGTCGTGCTCTGTCTCAACAACTATACGCTGCGTCATTGCATTTGTCGTTGGTGACCATAGCGTTACCCAAGTCTGGCCAGTGACAGGGGACGGGAAGGGGAAATTCTCGCGGCCACTGGAGGACCAGACAAGGATCTCCCCTGTGTCATACATCTGGGCAGCAGCAACAGGAACAAGAGGGAAGTCGATAGTATGCATCCATAGACCGAGCCTCGGGTCAGGTGCCTGGACTGCTTGTTCCCCAGGGGAGAGAATATTAAGCTCCGCGATGCTGGTCCAGGGATTGTTGGGATTCTGTGCTTCCGTGACAGCGGTGAACTTCACGTAGCGAGCCGATCTTGTGACAAAACTTGTTACCTTTGTGGTCTTATCGTTGAAATATGTCCCCAACGCGACTGGAGCTGTCCATGATTTTCCATCAATACTCAATTCGATGATGTGCTGCCCAACATTGCCTGGGTCATGATTTAGAACAGTTCATGACCATGTTTTGAGTATCAACATACCATTGTTGAAGTTGTCTTGGCGAGGCTGATAGCTAATGCCATTCACGGGATGTTGTTGCTTCATGTCTACAACCACGACGTGTGGAAGTGGCGAGTTAGGTACGTATTCCGAGTGATAGAATGTGTCTGTCCTGCCGTAGATCGCCAGTTCTGGGCCATTTCCCGCGTGTGAGTTGTCTGCAGTGATTGTCCAACCATTGCGGGCGATCGCAGCTCCAGCTGCACTGACAAGAACTATCCTTAGGAGAAGAAGTATGCAGAGAGGTTGGAAAGACATGCTGGAGAACGATAAGGCACGAAATATGAATATATACAACTGGTAATGATAAGTTAAAGCTCTTCGCCGTCACAAGATCGATTGTAGCCCACAGAAAGGAAAATGCAACTTTGTTGCTCGCATTTAATGCCTACTTCCGAAGGAGTCGTCTATCTTTATCCTTGGATTCAGGCCATCGTTGGACCCATGCTGCACGCGGACAGTGATCACAGTAAGCCGCAACCGAAAGAAAATGCTAGAATAGAGAGTAATTGTGTTCCAGGCTATTTTCAGGGCGTTATCCGCCGAGGGCATTACAACAGCGTAGCCAGGATCATTCACACATAGGGCTGAGGTGTCATTCTGATGCGGTGTTGCTCGCGCGACATGGTTTTGTTCGTTATTGGCTACAGGTAGCTGCGCATAACGGAGCGTAGCGTAGTCAGTCTGCTCAACCTCTCAAGAGCCTGGTAAAGGATGCAGCGAAGACCAGTTGTACTACAACTTAAGTACCATTCCGATTACAGGATTATAGCTGAAGTGAAGTGATTATGATGTTGTCTGTCGTTATGCAAATTCGATATCTGACGGCCTTGGCACTGTCAGCCATGACCCTGAAGTGTGTGCTCTAGATTATTTGCATCTCTTGCTCGTGGTATCTGGAATAAACGGAGGCGAATGATCACCCTCGCTCGAGGCGTCTATACGGTCAGGGGTGCGTGCTGTGTAGATCAGCGGTATGGTGTACAGCAATCGGCTATGATGACTTTCGTAAGGGTGAAGCAAGGAGAAGCTGCTTACTCGTTCTGATAAAAATACTTCGCGCCCACAGCCTCTTACCATGTCCTCAACATCGGAGTATTGATAGTCGCGTTTCAGACTCCCATTCCCGTTTGCGTTCAGCTTTCACAGCACGAATACAGGTTGTCGCCATGTTTCTTCCTTCTAGACCAATGAAAACCACCCATACACTAATGCAGTGCGAGATGTATAGCGTTGATCACGAGGTAATACGACTGCTTTGGGAATATGCAGATGAATTTCGTGCCAATACAACCTTGCGTCTGAGGATCCTAGGTTCGTAATTGCCAAAAATTGTAAGCCATAAAGGAAGCTGTGTTGTGTGGACAACCATAAGCAGGATGACATGCTAGCAGGAGCTAACTCGAATCTCACGAACACTATTTTTGTGAGTTCTTGCTCTGGCCGGTATCGTGACATCGTAAGGATGTACTTTGGGAAGAGCCCATGTTTCGCATCGTGTACCGTAAGCAGCGGCGCATCCACCGTGCAGGGTACGACGGATCATGTGCATGGTGACGGGCGTCCTATATCAGACCCTGACAATGGAAACCCTCCTCAACCTTCTGACTTTTTGAGGATACTGCGAGTCCGCAGCAGAACATAAGCGCGGTCATGATCCTATCCTTTACCGCCGTACGCTGCTGAGAATTCGAGATATAAAGTAATTGAGTCTGCCATGTTACCTCGTGTCGAGCTGGGATGCGATCCCAGGTTCGGGGATGCCGTTTGCCGTCATCAAGTATAGTAAGCGATACAAATATCGTCGACCACTGACTGAATGCGCTCTCGAGGAGGCATAAACTGAAAAAAAATGCGTGCGGCAGATACTTTAGATGGCCGCATATTCAATTATGAGACGATCCGAAACAACGCGGCTGGATTGGACGCAGTTATAACAACATCTCAGTGATATGAAGCCAGAGACATGGAGGAAACGAGACTGCTATTACACGTGGAGCCACATTGTACTAGTACCCAGTTGCGCTGTAAAGGTAGAGTAGGTGTAGGCGGTTACGTAGTACATCCGCTACGGTTGCCAAGCCAAATTATTGGAAGCGGTGAGGCGCAGTCTAGATCTCATACCCAGCCAGAATCCGAGTTGTAACACCTTGTGCCGTTTCAAGAACTCATAGCTGCGACCGGGTGTGGTTGTAATGTATTTTTCTTTCAAGTCACGGGATGTACAGTTTATCCCGGGTCACGTGTATGTTTCATCTAATACTTCGGGGTTCTCGCCTCTCAGCCTGCTTGACAACTCTTGCTAGCTGGAGAATTCACTCAATTGAAGCTATACTTCTCAAACCTCATATCCAGATGCTGTACTGCGCTCCTCCATGAAGATCCTATAATCGGGGCATCCACGTGATACACCAAAGACGAGATGGCGTCGGATGACATGACATGATAGGAATTGCACTTCGCCTTCCAATAACGGCACGTCGTCTTCCTGCCATCCATCTCTGGTATATAGCATCAACACCTCCGTGTGTATCGGACGTTCTCTTATCATCGCTCTCGTCTTGCCGACAACACAGATCCAACACAGCGTATTTCTACGTTGCACCTGAATGCAGCCTTAACGGCATAGAATGATGCACTAATCTGCTTGTCATACTACTCATATTTAGTGACCTGTCTCATACAACTGAAAAATATTACTAGTCTATATAACTGATCTCGGTATAGTATATATAGAGAGCTTACCTAGGCTTAGTAGCAACGAAAGTTATCCTTCTTTCGCACCTCTGTCCAAATGCTTATACTGCTTGCCGCCTTTCGAGCCCTTCCACCGTTTGCGGTGTGCCTAGCAAGGGCAATCATCAAACGTCGCTGGGATTCCGGCTTTCTAGCAAGGGAGGCGGTGTTTGTTTGTTGTGCATGACCAGAATCTGCAGGTAGAAAAGAACTCACAGGTCGCAACTTCTGTGCCTCTGTTCTCCTCCTTTCCCATTCTCCTTCCCGACATCACGGCGCTCTGTTTGATCAACACTATGACCGACGCTGATGTGCATTCGCACCTGCTGGGGCCACCTTCAATTGAGCACATCATGGCATCTTCGAATGAATCAGCTGGGTTTGAAGATGATGGCCCTGATCTTTCAAGACGATTGTATATTGGCAATATGCCTTATAGAGCCCAAGTTACGCATGTCCAAGAACTGTTGGGAAGGCACGAGCTGCCTTAGTAAGGTCTTCCGAGGCACCTATCTGGATGTTTAGATGCTCACTAAATTTGCAGTAGAAACATTGACATCTCAACGGATCCATTTACAGGTCGGAATCCAGGCTACTGCTTCGTTGATATGGAGACTTCGGAAGAGTGAGTATTGAGTAATCTCGCGATTCGTTTCATTATACAGCATGATCTATGACATTACATCAGTATGCCTTCTGTTGTTGGCATGAAAGTCTCGTCTCGCTCATCAATCCTGCTCTAGCTTGTTATGCTAGATGATATACCAGTCAACTTCTTAAGAACCTCTTACTTACCAGACTCGAATGAAGTCTTACCCATGCCCTCACCATACTCTCCTCAGAGAGTATCCTCAACCGGTACATAAAGGTCAACACTGTCAAGCCAAAGCGCAGTAATCCCAATGATCGTAGACCACCGACGCGCATATACAATCAATGGCGTCCGCAAGAGATTCCGACGCGAATCCCAGCAGGACATGATCAAAAGTCTCCCTCGACCAATGAGTCCGTCCGCAACACTGCGCAGAACAAGCGCCCCCGCTACGGTCCCACAGATACCCCATGTTACGACTATTCCAGATCAAACTCGAATCTCACCGCACTTCCTGCAGACGTCGATAGTGCTAGTGGGAGTCCTTACGCATTCGATCGCTGGGCACGTACCGATGCAGCCGTCCACTGGATAGCGCCCGTCGACGAAGGTCGCAGAGTCTATGTCGGTGGCCTCCCACGAATGCCACGCCAGGATGCCGTGAATCTGGAAATACGCGATCTGTTTAGAGGATTTACGGTTCAAGCAATCAGCAAAATCATCTCGCCGTCGGCTACCGCGCGCCGTACACCGGAAAATCATTACTATACTTGGGTGGATCTAGGTTCTGCCTCGGAGGCACAGCGTGCTGCTTCGGCGCTGAACGGCATGATGATGAGTTGGGGTGGACGCGTGAAGGTAGCGATTGCAATAAAAGGATGCGATCGTAAGGTCTTACGTGAGCAATTCGGGATAGATAAGACGGAGAAGGAAAGGAAGCAAGGGATGAGACCCCGTAATAGTGCCGAAGACTTTGATATTTCTAGGATGGCTAATTGGCGTCAGTAAAAGTAATAGTCCCATCTATATGCAGACGATGTTTGGGCAGGATTGTAAAATATCGATGGAATATGCTGTAGAGTGGTATACTCTGTAGCCATACAACGTTCTCTCCCTATAAGAGAAAATATACTATACTTTCCCTAATGCCTTCTTTAACATCGTCTCCGAAAGCGACGTCAGAGTTTGAGCCGCGATTATCTCCACCGTTGTGACCTCAATCCCCAATTCCATCTTACTCCAGTTGGAGAATTCTACAGCGACAAGGGAGTCTATACCATACGAAGCAAGAGGTCGCACAGGATCGAGGGCCTCCTCAAGTCCCAAACATTCCTTGAATTTTCCGTTTGCAAGCGTTACAATCAATTCCAGAAGAAGTGTACGATTGTTCGAGGCAGTGGGGGAATTTATCGTAGCTCGAAGTGTCGCTAGAGGCGAGTCTTCCGACTTGACTGCCGCACTGTGAAATGATTGTGATAATTTTACTGTGAGGGCATTAAAGCGTGTATGGTTCCGCGCTGGCAAAGTATCCGGGATGGGAATAGGAATCCCTGTAATAAGCTGAGACCCACTATTCACATTTATGGGAGTCTTGCTTTGCTGGAAAATTGAAAGCGCGAGGACGTCGCACAGCGCACGCTGGTCAAGGCACCTCCAGCCTTGGTAGAGAAACCGGCGGTACTGGGTTTCCCGCTCTTCTGTGTTGAAAGTGCCGACGCCTTCAATTATTCCCAGATCAATTGAGTGTGCTGCAAGACCGAGACCAGTCCTATATGCGGCAAACGCATCTAGGAATACGTTTGCGGCACTATAGTTGGCTTGCCCTGGCGCCCCAAAAACGCCGGTCATGCTCGAAAGCATGGTGAAAAAATCGACGACACATGCAGTTTCAAGTAGCGCTTCGTGGATGTTCCACGATCCTTGAACTTTGGGCCTCACCGCGGTATGAAAGTCCCGACTAGTCATGGTACTATATACCTTGTCCTATGAGAGGGTAAGCCTTCATAGCCATTATGCGTAAACATGGCATCGCTTACCTGAAGCACCATGGCACCTTGAACTACCCCTGCCACAGGGAGAGGCGACGAACGGATGGCCCGTACTACGTCCTTCTTTACCGTAACGTCACCTCTCACTAGTATAATGTTCGTTCTAAGAGATCTCAGATTTGCAACTACACGCTGCGAGACTTGGTCTGTGCAGTTGGTGCGGGAGAGAATTATAAGATTTTTGGCTCCCTCCCGTGCAAGGTAGAGCGATAGACTACCACATACGCCCTTCAGGCCTCCGACTATGAGATAGGCGGCATCAGGGTTGAGAGGTAGTCTTGGAACAGCGGGCCGGATCTGGAAATTGTTAGATAACAAGCTAAACAACATAAGAGTTCAGGAAAGTTTACCGGTACATGAACATCTCCAAATGATTCATTGCGTGTTAAGACAGTCTTTCCAATGTTATTTCCGCTTCTCATGTGCCGGAAGGCGGCATGGACGTCGTTGAATCCAAATCTCTTTGTTATGGGCGGTATTTCGATGAGACCTTGCTCTAAAAGCGAGAGCCATTGTGTCATCAATCTGTAGCAACCCATCAGCCATGTCCGAAATAGCTGTATTTCCCCTACCTGAGCCTCGTCTCTGGTCTAAAGCAATCATTCGACATATCCACTGCGCGATATGAGGCATTCCGCCCAAAAGGCTCCATGCTCAAATGGTTCTTGTCCAAAATGTCTCGTTTTCCAATCTCAACGAAGGTTCCTGAGGTGGCAATGCAGCGCCAAGATTCATGTAGTAGCTCACCGGAAAGTGAGTTTAGTATACAATCTACCCCGCGGTAATTGGTGATCTTCATGAGACTTTTCGTGAAGTCAGTCGAACGAGAAGAAAATATATGGTCCTCAGGGATCCCGTGATGCTTTGTCAGGTACGCCCGTTTCTCGTTGTTACCAACAGTGCAGTACATGTTCGCACCAATATACTTACAAAACGAGATAGCTGCTAGGCCGATGCCACCTGCGGCTGAGTGAATCAAGACGGACTGTCCCCTCTGAAGCCCTGCAAGGTCGACAAGACTGTATATGACCGTGCTGTAAACAACATTGCAGCAAGCTGCAGCCTCAAATGACAGCCAGTCCGGTATGGGATAGGCTTCCCCGAAAGAACCACATCGCAATTTGTTCGCCAGGGTACCTTTCTTGTTAAGGAGAACTCTTTGCCCGACGTGCAGATTTGACACTACTTTGCCGATCTTTTTTATGACACCAGCGCCCTCAAGACCAAGCATTCGTTGATCTCCTGCGACAATGCCCATGGCAATTGCGATATCCTACAAGTGGTTAGATAATGATTTGATGAACATGATGACTTACTTTGAAGTTTAGTCCAACAGCATGAACGTCAACTTCCACATCATTGTCAGCGAGTGGTGTTTGCCATTGTGTCACTTCCTCCCAAGAAAGACTGTCAAGTGTACCAACACGACTACTGATGAGACGGACGTAAGCGTCAATGTCAAACAATGACTGGTCAGTCAGTTCCATCCCAGCCTCACGGCACTTCTGGAACGACGCCAAGACATCATCTTGTACTATCCTCTCAATATGCAGCATACCGTCTTTCTCCACGAACTCACAGTCGGCACCCATAGATCCCGTTGAGACCTTTACCCTGTGGAGTACCTCACTGATTGCCCTGGCTGTAGTTTCATCAGAAACTGACTCAACGTCCAAGGTCATCAGCACATTTTCAGGGTTCTCTTGTCTAATTGATCGAGAAAGGCCCCAAATTAATGCTGCTGATGGGTTTTTGACATTCATTTGTGCTTTTCTCGTTACCCAGAGTATTTTGCAATTCATGGACACCAGTTGCTGTAAAATAGTCCATTGTACGTCATTGACCTCAAATAAGAGGTTGTTCAATATTTCATCGAGTATGAGAACTGTGCTGTTGGGTTCCAATGACTCGACAGATGCCGGTGAACTACTAATATTCCATCCCAGATTTTTCAGAGCTTCAGCTACGGGCTCGACTATTGCTTGCGATTGGGCAAGCTGTAGGATGTGTATATTGCGGTCTGTCAGTGGCGCTCGAGAATTTCTGAAAGCGATTTTAAGAGCGCACTCCTTCTGTACTTTGCTATCAGTATGTATCGATTCAAAGTTGAGTTCCATGTTTTTGTAAGACGCGAAAGAGGAATGTCCATTTGTAATGTGATGAGGAGGGCGATTCGAGTCGTCTATTTGCCCAACTTGGAGGAAAATGCCGTTCTCACGCAGCATTTTACCCCATTCATCTGAGAAAAAAGTTGCATCTACGGTGGAGAGCGGCGAACGAAGAATGATAACATCAAACTGTTTCTGTAACATCAGTGGTGAGACCGGGTTTGCGCTTGTAATCACTGAAACCGAAGGATATTTTTCGTAGATACTGCTCGTTCGGGTCCACGCATCCCCTGGCACCGACAAGGTGACAGAACAGCTTTGCGAGTGAACGTTGAGCTGAGTTTCTTGACGTTCAATCCAAAGGCTGTTGTGTTCACCTTTTGTATCTACCTCTAAGACTTGAAGATCAGGATTCCGGAACACGAAAAGGTCGAGCAATGTGTATATAGTTCTCCACGTTGGTTTACATATTTGTGAATTGTCCGATTTGTTTCGGATCAAAACACTGCGAAGCTGCTCCCGAGAGAATGTTGTTACATCTGGTTGCCACGTAGACCGACAGTATTGCTGTATAGGCTGGGAGGATGTTGTGTCCGTTGAAGAGTGAGCTTGTACCTCTAATCCAGTAATGCGAAAGAGGAGACTACCTCCCTCAGAATCATATAATGATACATTAGACCTGTGTGCTCTTGGATCGCTTTGGCTACCAACCCCCATGTATTTGGTGTCGGCCACAGCTATACCTGTGTTCGATCTGGTAGCCTGTGCAGGTATGAGGATTTCGTCTACTTTGGAGGGTATAATGGCTGGGCTAGTGAAACTCTTCACTCCATGCCATAGAGCCGGAGCCACTAACTGCAGACATCCATCGATAGAAGCTGGATGGAGGATATACTCAGATTGACCAAAATCAGATTCAGGAGGTACCAATGATATCGTGGACCGACTTCGTGGTATGCCCTCTCTGGACTCCACGTGACGCTGTGTCTGAAACAATGGTCCATATTGAAAGCCTTTGTTTTGTAAAGCTTTATACCACACTGTAGCCGGCTCAGCATGCTCCAGAGGACTTGTTTCCTCGTCACTGCCTCTCTTAGTGACATCCCCGATTATACGTATCAAGCCTTTGCAGTGGTCAAAGAGGAAATCATCAACAACAGTTGAGATTCGAAGCTTGTACCAATGCTCTTTATTGCTTTGGAGAGGGGACAAGGATAATGTAACTTTTGCCGGTGCTCCTTGGACATCAAGAATGAGTGCTCTTTCAATTGTGATGTTCCGCAATAGATATGTCGCTTGTCGTATCTGTGTTGAGTCTGCTAGTACGCCCGTAGCCTTCCCCAATTGAAACATGGCTTCAGTAGCCATCGCGATATAGCCAGCCGCTGGAAACACAACGTTATTGGCAATCTAAGTTGAGAGTCAGTAGATGGTATATATATCGAGAGATGTCAAAACTAACCTTGTGGTCTTCCAGCCAAGGTAATTCTTTCAATCTGATAACCTTTCTCCACACTGGCTGCATCCAAGGCGTTCCAAGTACTTTGCTGCCCAAGATATCATGATGGAGGAATTTTCGGAATCTCCAGTCCTTGCTAGAATCATTCTCGTGCCAATATTTCGTAGTGTGATTCCAAGCATAATTAGGAAGGTCAACCACAACACGCGGTTTAGTCCTTTCAGAGTCGGCATTAAATTTGGTAAGATTCACGCTACATCCACGTATGGCCAGGTTCCCAAGAAGATCACATAGTGTCGTAAGGGCCAAAGCGCCCCTCTTCCATGAGGAGAAGTATAGGATAGACTGATTGAGGGACTTCATGATCTGCTTACATGGACCAGCAAGAGCATCACTTGGGCCTATCTCCACCAGGATATCTGGTGTCTCCTGCAGGGCCATATGAGCTGCCTGGTCGAAAAGAACTGGTGATCTCATGTTGTCGGCCCAGTAGCTTGGCCTTCGGAGCTCGTCCGAGATGGGCATACCGGTAACAGTAGAGAACATCGTTGCTGTATTGTAGGAGGAGCCAGTCCAGTCGCAGTGTTTCTCCATCAATATTTGATACTTGGTCGCTGGTTGTGCCATGTAGCTCGAGTGGTAGGCAGCTTTGACAACTAGCATTCGTGCAAAATATCCATCCGTTTTTATCTGACGCTCTAGATCTTCCAGTTCTCTTTTGTCTCCAGAGAGTGTGACACTCGATGGGCTGTTAAAGCAAGCAATCTCGACGTGTTTGGTTGACAGAAGATATTGGAGAGCTTGCTTGGAGCTCATACCCACAGCAAGCATCCCGATTTCTTGATTCGACTCACTATTCGAGGCCACTAGCCCTCGGTAGAAGGCAATCTTGATTGCTTGTGATCTTGTCAGATTACCACTTGCTACAGCTGCCGCTATTTCACCACTCGAGTGGCCTACGACCACTTGATAAGTGACACCAGAAGATTCTAGCACGACTAGGAGCGCAAGTTGTAACGCTGTGACCAAAGGTTGCGAGTATTCTGGAAGACTCATATGCTCTGCCGTACGAGGTTCTGTCAACTCCTCTAGCGCCCATTCGTCAGTAACTAGGAAATACCGTTTAATGTTCCAAAAATACTTACCCAAAAGAGTCCAGCTCGGGCCGTGTGGCAGCGTCCTGAGGACACCATCAAGCTCATGTATACACTTCTTGGCCACGGGAAAGGTTTCGATGAGAGATTTGCCCATCTCGCTCCATTGTGCACCTTGCCCTGTAAAGACGAGTCCAATGCGAGGGGGCGACGGTAAAGCCGTGGCGAATCTGAAGTCCTGAACCTTAAACATGTGGTTTTTGGCGATTGCATACCCTCTATAGTAATGTTTACTGCGTCGAGCCGAGAGTGTGTAAGCGATATCTCGTAACTCAACACGTACAGCAGGGTTTGAGAGATGCTTTCTCAGCGCGGAGCAGATACTATGCGCAGAATCTTGGTCGTTGGCGGAAACAAAAATAATGTATGGCCGAGAGGCCGGTCTCACATCCTCGAATTGATTATCCTCATCAATAAGAAAGGAGCGAACGTGGGATGTGATAAGTCCTGGAGATGCCTCATCCAGTATTACATGCGCGTTTGAGCCTCCATACCCGAACGAATTGATGCCGGCTCGTCGGAACGGAACATCGGGCCATCTGATGGAGAACCTAGATGGTTTCACGCCAAGGGCTTGAAAATCAATTGCGGGATTGGGGTCAATGAAGGTAGGGTTGCCAGGGATGACTCCATGCTCAATTGCCATTAAGGTCTTGATCATTCCAGTCAAGCCTGCAGAGGCCTCAGAGTGGCCTACATTTGCCTTGCTTGATCCAATGTGTAGAGGTGTATCACGTTGAGAGAAGACTGAACCAATTCCAGTGAGCTCAATGACGTCACCTGCCTTTGTTCCTGTTCCGTGGCATTCCAGATAACTTGTCGCGTTGAAGTTCGTGATCTGAGCATTTTCATCTGCCTTCCGAATTGTTGCTGCCTGAGCTAATGAGTTCGGGCTGGAGATACCAACTGTCCAGCCATCACTTCCCGAGGCCGTTCCGCGGATAATACCGCGTATCGGGTCTCTGTCTTTAATGGCGACATCCAAACGCTTCAAAATTATGACAGTAGCACCTTCTGCTTTCACGTAGCCGTCTGCTTTGATATCAAATGTATGACATCTCCCAGTCCCAGATGAAAACCCACTCAATGGTGGGGTTCCAATGACATGATCTGGGTTAAGATATAGATTACACCCCCCGACAATGGCGCCTTCTATCTGGCCAGATCTCAAATACTGACAAGCAACGTCCACACAGGTAAGACTGCCGGAACAAGCGGTATCTATCGTCATACTGGGGCCTGAGATGTCCAGAAAATGACTTATACGGTTGCTGAGCATAGCACGACCAATACCGAGTAGCGCGTGAGGTGCTCGATCTTCGGGGTCCCGAGCCTGTATGTCCCCATAATCACCTGTATATGAGGCCATGAAACAGCCAATTGGCTGTTGGCGTATAGCTTCCAGGGTCACGCCGGAATTCTCCATCGCTTCGTAGGTCACCTCTAGAAGTTGTCGCTGCTGTGGATCCATACTAATAGCATCGCTTTGCAGAAGCTTGAAGAACTGGGCATCAAGATCGGCGCCATCAATATCCAGAAACATACCGCCAGGAGTAGCCATGGTTCCGTGTCTCCTCGTACCGTCATTGTGAGTGTCAAGTCGAAATCTTGATTTGGGTGGCTCCAGGCTCGCAATTTCTCCTCTCTCAAGAAAGCGCCAGAAGTCCCGAGGGGTATGGCAGCTTCCGGGAAGACGGCAAGCATATCCAACAATAGCTATTGGTAGTGCTGTCCCACACTGTTCGTCTACTTTAATGGGATTCTCAGATGTAAGAGTGACAGTCGAGCTAAGCCCAGCATCACCGTTTGACATCAACCATGACATCTTTTCAAATCGATTTCGAACTCGTCGATGCGCTGAGATCTGCACCAGAGTTGACAGATTCCTGCTAGGCTTTCAAGAATGTTGTTGAGAGTGCAATTGACGTATACATGAAAAGGAGGAGTAGGAGTTGGCAGAAGCTGGCACAGACAGAGAGCAGTCAATGAAATCTAGTCTGTGTATAGTTCTCATACACGTTTTGTATCATATAGTGTACCATCTGTGTCTGTGTGAACCAGATCTGTGATCGTACAGCTAAAATCAACTCACGCAGCTGACGTGAGAGTGCTGTATGACGGCATTAATGCAGGTACGAGCTCACTTGATAGCGTATATTCACGTGAGCTACTCTCACAAACCTAACCCGGAGAAACTAAAGATCTTGTCTAAGGTGTCGTGATCATTCTAAAAGTACTCGAAAGTTGATATCCTGCTAACATTCGACCCTCAACAACTTGCTTAGTCTATTCGAACTTAACACAATGGCAACTGAAAAGAAGGTAGAGTTTCTAACGATCGATGGTCTCATGCTTCGTGGGATCCTATTTGAGGCGCAACAAAAGGGCGGAGGAGTTGTCCTCTCTACAGGCGTAAGTGCATCATTTTCCCACCACTTTCGTTTGGGGTGGATCTAATAGATCTCTAGTTCAACTGTGTTAAGGAGATGCTAGGCCAGACACAATTGGCTCGAGCATTTCAAGATGCAGGAATCACGGCATTGCTTTACGACCCTCGAACTACTGGCGAAAGTGACGGACAACCGAGGAATCACATCCAACCATACAAGCAAGTCGAAGATATATCAGATGCCATAACGTATCTAGCGTCCCTGCCCATAGTGGACCCTAATTTCATTGGTGTCTGGGGCATGTCGCTCGGAGGCGCAACTACTCTATGTGCGGCTTCGTTCGATAGACGTGCGAAATTCGTCATAGCGATTTGTCCAGCAGCTGGTTATCAGTTCTCAGAGGAGAGGCTCCTCAAAGTACTCGAAAAATGCTTCCAGGATCGCGAGTCCCAAATAAATGGCAACGAACCGTTCATGATCCCTCTAGTAAACACCGATGGTATCAACCCGGCGGGTTGCTCCTTTGGAAATGAGATGGAAGTAGGCAAAGCTGCGCGGTTTGCACAGGCACACCTTGATCTAGCCCTGGGATGGCCCAACAAGACTACCATTCAAAGTTACCATCAGCTGATGATGTGGACACCTTGGCCCACATGGAAGCATCTTGATCAGACACCTACCATGTTCATTGTTCCAGAGTTTGATCGAGTATGCCCAGTTGAAAGCCAAAAGCGGCATTTTGAACAATTGAAATGTCCTAAGCGTTTGATCTTGGCCCCAGACAGTGGTCATTTCGATGTTCTGACTAATACTCGGTCTGCGGAAATCATAGAGGAACAGATACGGTTTATTATGGATGTTTTCCATGAAAAGTTCAAGGAGTAGTATGGCGTATATCTAAGTTTCTATCTTAGCACTAATTGTTTGCCAACGAGGAGTCCCTCTACACAAGCTGTTAGTAGCCTTGAACTGAGTCAAGATATTTACGTGATATCATGATCATATATACTAGAGTTCTCATTAGTTTGCACTAGGACGATGCAGCAAGCTGTGATAACGATACCTTGATTTCATGAGCGTTCGGACTAGTGGGGTAAAAACATTAAACGTCAGTTAGATCAATCACACGCTATGCAGAATACCTGCATTGTGAAAGCATTGTTATCAAACGAATTAAACAAGTCTATTGGCGAGTGATATATTATTACGTTGGCCGAAGTGAGCTGATCTATTAGATTAGGTGAGATCCTATGACAGTAGTAAGTATATGTGTTGATGAGATCACTGTGCAGCAACCTAGATATAACAACACCCTGACGTGATCGGAAACAACGTACTACTAAAGCTACACCTGATTATTACGACATACATTATAGTGATATTCTCGGTATATTGGTCTGATACTTATAGATAAGATCGAGATTCTACTATTAAGTTATTCCGCTCCAACGACATTCCTGTTATAACGATGCATTCATCGTGGTCGTATTCGTATCGTTATAACGTGGCTTGACTGCATTAACTTTGGTCCGTAGGACCCATGCTAGCAGACTCGCGGCGTAACTTATCTTAACCTCTTTATGGAGGACTTATCATAAAGCATTACCTTGAGGCATCTACCATAGGGGAGTAAGGTAACAGTAGAATTGATGACCTGAGGGGCAAGTAATTCAACATGTGAGTGACAGATACAGAGACAGGTATACTAGTTTGGCGAGCGTACTGCTAACCCTAACTCGGTCTACGAAATTTCAGCGGAAGTCTTGGATGTATAGGCCGATGCCCTAACCAATAACTTGCCAGCTTTCTTAGGGAGGAGGAGCGCCTCCTTCACTTTGAACTGTATGAATGTTCTATTATCTGCCTATAATACTGTCGCTATCATCCTGATCTCCTGAAGTACATCTACCTTGCTTTAGTACGCCTCTTGCACATTAGCTTTTGCATGCAAGAGCATCAAGCATTGGCTAACCTAATACCCCTTATTGCTTCAGATAAAGTCCAAATGGCCAGTGCCAATAGCTGGAGTACCCTGCCCTGTTCAGACGAGGAGGAGGCTGATCTGAGAGCGCAAGCATCAAACAATACTGATCTCTGGCAGGGAATTCTACCGCCGATCGTACCCCGTGATACCCTCAAAGGACTATGTAGAATCGATTCGACCTTCCTCGAGCAAAGTCCGGGCGTCGCCAACTCCGTTGACATGACTTAAGTGGTGAGACAACGTTTGTTACTTAGTAACTTCTAACTTAGCCTACATGAATCTGGATATTAGCCCCTGCCTCGAGTAATGCTTCGATGGTTTCTTCATTAGACACTACCACAGCATTGTGTAAAGCTGTCCGCCCGGACTTGTTCTTGATATCGACAACAATTCCAGGGGTAGAAAGCAGGACTCTGACGCTCTGGAGATCACCAGTGGCGACTGCTACATGCAGAGGAGTATCGCCAAGATAGTTCTGACTGTTTATGCAAGAACTCGAGGCTATACATAGAAGACGAGTCAGTCTTTCATCATGTTTCCCAGCGGCGAGGTGTAGAGCGGTTCGTCCATGAGCATCCTTTACATTTGCATCAACTTGTCTCCGCAATAATGCGGTGACAATGGGCGTACTAGCCATGTCTACCGCAAGATGAAGCGCAGTGGCACCTGCTGAAGCACAAGTAGTAGTGGACGTCGATCTCTCCACTACTTCATGGTCTGATGACGGCATGCAAGAGCATGACTTGGTGCTCGTATTGACCTTACAGGGCTCAGAATTACGCCGCATTGTGCTCTCATATAATGCAGCTACAGGTGACGAGTGTTTGTAGTTCTGTCTCATAGATTAGTTAGTATTAACATATATGAAACCAAGCCAAGACCTCACCTACGATAGGAGATTGTGGATCTTCTACGATCGGGGCATGTTCATGACTTTCATCGTCAGCCACCATAAGAATGCCATTGTCCTCTCTGGGACATGCCAGCTTTCTCTGGGGATCATTCAACGGCGGGTTTTCTGTACTAGCAAATGACTTCGTAGAAAATAGGTGGTGGTGGTCCGGGGAGAGAGAAGCACTGGAATAATCAACAGGAGGCAAACCACCTGCTTGCATCTCCAGGTTACAGACAAATCTCGGCGAAGCGGGAAAGATGAAGCTTGTATCCTCGTGAAAGACAGGATCGACGTATTGGCCTGTCGTGGCCACGGCCACTTCTCTCCACTTTTCCAGCTCTTCAAGTCGATGCTTCATCTTTTGCCCTGCATAATTGATGAGTTTGCTACGCATCGGATCCATCAATGAACAATCTTACGATATCTCTTCTGCGCTTTTCTGTTCTGCTTTCGTTTCCGATCCTGTGCATTCATCTCTTCAGTGTCGCTCCTTTCCATATTGTGTTTGCAATGTAACTATAAATTCTGGATCATGTATGCAAATTACAAAGGTATCTTTCAAAGATGTCTACGGATATAGAGCAAGCTGAGATATCAGGCCATATGTTCAACATACTTAACCGCCGCTAGTGGTCTGAAATGCTCTTTTGATAGGGCTGTGCTAGATCGTATCACTCCACATTAATTCTCCACATTACGGACGCACCCTCGACCACCCGTTAGCCTACGATAGTACTTCGTGGCCAGGTGGTGTCGATCAGCTGATACGTCATTCGATCAGTCTCTAATTGAAATGCTTGCTCGTATTGATCACAGTCTCGCACGCGCTTAATAAATTAACCTTTGCAGGCTCAGAGGTAGAGCTTCGCACATAATACAAGTAGTAAACAGCATCCTCATCAAAATTCATGCGCACGAGTCCGTAGATCTTTCTAAAGGTGTATTTGTCATTAAAATCTAGCTTGGATATTAGACTTGAAGTATCAAATGATAACAAAGGCTTAGATCCATCATAATTAGACCTGGAGCTGAATGACCATAATTCAGTTCAAGGCAATTAACGACCTAGGAAATCCCTATACTAATGTACTTTAACTATAGTAAGTACTCGAGCCTAATATTAGTAGAGCTAGTAAATGCAGTATTTCTCTTATAGATATATACACTACATATTATATAATACTAAGAACTAGTAGTATACTAGTCTATTATAATCCGGATGTAGTCTTAGTGGTAGATAGCTAAGAAGTATATCGAGACTACCTGTCAGACAGCTACTAAGTAGTAGACTTTCTATTTTCATACTTATATAACCCTCTCCAGCGTAGTTTATAGTACACCAATTACATCTAAAAGCCTAAGTTTCGCATTACATGATATCTACGCAGAACGTAAACAGGGCTATGCGATTCACGAACTACGAACTCCTAACAACTCCATCGATCAAACTGTACAAAAAAGAATATCACACTCACGCTTTGACACGTACAACTACCTTCTAAAGTGCACTAACTGTGCTCCAAGCCGTACTGCAAGCTATTTCCCAAGCTGTAACCCGAGGAGACCGAAGCTCAACTCATTGCCGATCGTTCACATTATATCAGATCACCAACCGCCCCATTGAAAGCCCTTGATCTTCTCCTTCTCTCCGCACCAGGACTGTAGCCTTGTTTGGGCTTAGGCTTCTTCTCCTCCAGAACAACATGCCCCTCATCGCTACCTGTTTCCAATAGCTTCTTTCCGTCTTCCGTGCCTGCAAACTCTTTAACCGCGTCCCATAACCCCTTAACACCATCTGTTGTTGTATCTACAGTCTTATCGAACTTACTATCTAATATCTCCAACTCTGCACTGATTTTACTACTCATGCTATTCTCTTTTTTCTTCTCACCACGCGCTTGTGCCTCAGCGAAGCGCACGTCCAATTTCTGCTTCAGCTCATTGATTTCATTCAACATATCTTCCTTGCCAGCAAGTGCGGGGACAGATGTTTCTTTGCTTAGTAAGTCTGTTAGCTCGCGCGCATGCATTTCGTACTCAGTCGTGTCTTTGAAGCATATGCTATAGGTCTCACAGAAGCACACATCTTCAGCAGCACAGCGCGTTTCCTCACCACTCCATAGATAATGCCACGCGTGACTCCAAAAGTTGTCCAGTTCTTCTTCACTAAAAGCGCTGGCAGCGAGTCGCTTGAGGAGATACTCATATTGGCTCTTCGGAATGGCTTGGATACGTTCGCGCGAGAGGGCATATTGACCGTATGCGGGTTCGGCGAGGCGCTTTGGGGGCTGTTGTGCGCCGAAGAAGTCTTTCCACACAGAGTTCATGACAATATCTTGCGGATGGTCCTCGTATTGATCAGATTTGTTGGGAAAGATGTCTCCTTCTGTGGGGCAGCCAGGGGAGAGCGTACAGCGTAGAGGTACAAAGCCGTCTTCAATGACCTTGTGGTGGTCCAGGAGGGAGATAACGGATTGAGCAGAGTTGTTCAGGAGGCGGTCGAGTTGCCATGCCCCTTGTTCGGCATGCATGAAGAGGGTAATCTCGCGAAGAGAATTATAGTGGTTGATGATGTAGTCGAGGTAGACGGACGATTTACCGTATGAGGCTGGGTGTGCGGACTTGTCGTCATCGAGAATGTAGGTTATGCTGCCAAGAAGAGATTCGCCGGTGAGAGCTTCTCGGATCCATTCAAGATTGCTGATCTCGTCCTTATTTGCCATCAGGACAAGCATGCGAGAGTATTCTGAGGATGGTAGCGTGGGATTACCGGGGCTGAAAGCTGGGATGGGAAATGGTTGCGCGGGCGGAATCTATGGTATTTGTCAGTTGACAAGTCTCAGGCACGGGCATGCTGGGTAGACCTTTAGTTTATTCTGCTCCTCTTGTTTCTCCTCCTCTTCCTCCTGCTCTAGAATCGTTTTATACTCCAGTTCTGCGTTCGGCGTTGGCATAGGAGTGCCTCGTGTGGCACCCTCAGGCAGTTCAGCATTGACCTGACCCAATGGTGGGTTCTTCATATAATCATACCACGCGTAGTCCATACGCGCGGATTCGGTCTCGCGGTCGGTGGAATACTTGGGGTGGCGCATTTGGCGCTGGACATCTTCGAGAGAGACTTTCTGGAATCCGAAAAAATAAAAAGTAGAGACTACAGTGAGTGCGATCATAGCAATGAACCAGCGGCGAAAAGAGAAGGCAATCATGACGCAGGCGAGCGTCGTGCACTAATGAATCTGCTGTACCGAGGGATTGCGCAGTGATGGTGGGCGCGCGCGCTCTCGCGAAAGCATACTTTTGTAGTGCGACTAGGGACTGAACAGGAAGGAAGAGAGGACGTATAACAATCCTGAAATGTTGTGCGTGAATCAAAAAACAAGAGGTCGCAATGTGGGCCTAGTATTACTAGAGAAAAGGTGCACCGAAGATGGAAGTCGGAGAATGCGCATGCGGGAGCCAAGAACCAATAGGAGCCTCGGCCGTTCCGGGCTTAGCCTCGGCCGGCGAAGATCTAGCGGTGGTAGAGTGAGATTCGAATTATTCAAAAATGAAAATCTCCGACTAAATCTAAGGTTGTTAAGGTGTCGTCAAGTAAATGTTTGTTCAGTGAGGTAGATGTGAGGACGTGGATTCGGGCCGTGCCGAAATGTTCGCCTATAGATCCATCCATGTCATAAGTGCACGTCCGCTTCATTGGCCCTTCAGCTCTTCAGAACCTTCAGCGTGATATACATATTTATACATACATGTCTATATATGGCTTTGGCCCTTCGCATTCGGGGGGTTTTCCGCCGCTAGAGCCTGTATTTCACCATCTACGAGCCACTGTCGGACGCTCTCCATAACCTTCTCGAGTGCCTGCCCACCCGCAATCACATCGTCAAGATCATGCAGGGTAAGCCCGCTACGATGATCTGTCACGCGCTGTTGTCCGTAGTTGTACGTTCGAATCTTATTCTCGCGGCCCATCTTACGCACACCGACAATGTCTCGTCGTGTCTGCATGATCTCAGCCTCACGAATCTCTCTCCTACCTTGTGCGACTCTCGACCTGATCAACTTCCATGCAGCTTCCTTATTCTTCGGCTGGGATCGATAGTCTTGCATTGAAACTGTGATACCGGTCGGTATGTGCACCAGACGAACAGCCGACTCTGTGGTGTTAACGTGCTGTCCACCAGCTCCTCGCGCCCGCATGATGTCGACACGGACCTCTCTTGGATCTACGTAGTAATCGCTGGTAGGATCTTCGAAATCGCTTGCACTACCACCGTTTGTAGCATCAGGGAATGATGGAAGAACAAGAACTGCTGCAGAGCTGGTGTGTGTCCGGCCTTTCGTCTCGGTCGCGGGAACTCGCTGTACACGGTGTACGCCTGCTTCGCTGCGAAACCGCCCATAGGCACCTTCATCCGTTACTTCTAATATAGCCACTTGTAGTGGCGAAGCTGATCCATTGGGATCAGCTGAGCCCTCTGCAGTGTCGAACTTTACGAGCGTTGTCCGCAGACCATTAGCGGAGCAATATGCCTGGTACATGCGCAGCATATCCATCGCAAATAATGCCGCTTCATCACCTCCATTCCCTGGTCGTATTTCTAGTAGGCATGGTAATTGTTCGAAGGGGTGCTTTGGAACGAGACTGAGTGTGAGGGATGCCGACGCTCGTTTTAAGTCCTGCACTGCAGACTCCATGTCGTCAGCTGCAAGCTCGCGGAGCTCAGCGTCAGTTGTCGAGTCTTTCATAAGGGTTTGCAATTCATTTATTGACTGTGTTTCGTAAGCAAAGATGCATTTATCACTGTGGGTGGTACATACATCTCTTGCTTTATCCCATTCGTTCAATGCGCTGGCCACTGGCCCCAACTCACCGGCCTTCTTAGCTGTACTCGAATCGAATGAGTCAGACAGCTCGCTTTCGAGTCGCGAATGTTCCTTCGCCAATTCGCGTGCTCGCGATATGAGCACGGGAGAGATGCCATCTTTCTGGTCTACTGTGCGGGCGATGCTATAATGTTGTTGACGAAAATTGAAACGCAGTATATGCCATCTGAGGGCCCGGCAAAGACATCTCGTGTAGATCCAGGATGTAGTACGGTGGGACATTGAGGTTGCAGTGTCAACAGTAGCATCTTCGCGTGCAGTCAGACTTCTGCTCCGCTCCGAGGTTTTGCGCGCTCCGAATAATTTATGCTTAGTTATTGTCGCAGGTTGTTCTCTTCTGACATACCTTATAGTAGTATGAACTACCGATGGACCTAATGATAGTTTAATACTCCGAACTCTTCCGTTCTATCCTCCAATATGAATGAGCTCCAGGAGTGATAGCTCCACTATATCGTGGATTCATTCCTGGTGCGAAACGGTACAACAGTACTCCGATCTGAACTTGCAGCCCATTGGGCCATCTCTATACCACAGGTGCCCCACCAGTCGGCAAACGGCAGTGCAAGCTCAGCCACGACGCGATGATCTAATGAATGTCATGTTCGCTGTACTTCAGAGTAGAATCTATACAAAATACTTTCGATATTAATCCATTCGTCCAGAAGCACTTTTACAATCTGCTACAATGCCTCTCAGTGCTAAGCATATCTATCCGGCATCGGACCCGCAGTTCATCACGTTTCCAAGTCGACGAAGTACCGTACATAGCAGTAAAGGCATTGTGTCGAGCACACAGCCGTTGGCTACACAGGCAGGGCTTGAGATTCTGAGACAAGGCGGGAATGCTGCGGTAATGTCAACTCCTCACTCCTCCTTTCAATAATTGACGACATTACAGGACGCTGCTGTGGCCGTTGCTGCTGGTTTGAACATGACCGAGCCCGGCTCTACTGGCATTGGTGGCGATTGTTTCTGTCTCTACTACAATGCCAAGACGAAGAAGATATCTGCTATGAATGGTTCTGGTCGTTCAGGCTCCAAGACATCACTAGAACAGGTTCGGCATGACCTTGGTATTGCGGACGGAAAGGCGGGCAGCATACCTGTCGAGAGCGTTCATGCTGTCACTGTTCCTGGTGCAGCAGCTGGCTGGGTTGACACCGTGGAACGATTCGGCAGTGGGAAGCTTACATTGGAACAAATCCTCATGCCAGCGATTGAGATGGGCGAGAAAGGCTTCCCAGTCTCGGAGCTGTCATCAACCTTCGTGAGCGTGTAACATAATGTCGCCCCTAACCTGCTAAGATTCTACAGTGGCTAGCCAGCGAGGACAAAATTCGCAATGCCTCGCCCAACTTCGCTGAAATGTTGAAGAAAGACCCATCCGCCAAAGATGGATGCCGTGCGCCACAAGCAGGCGAGATCATGAAGAACCCGAACATGGCTAATACTTACCGCCTCCTTGCCAAGCATGGCAAAAAAGGGTTCTATGAGGGCCAAGTGGCTGAAGCCTTAGTTAAAGTCGTTACTGATCTCGGAGGTCATTTGACCTTGGACGATTTGAAGGACCATGCCACAGCAGGAAGCGAAGACGTCGATGCCATTTCACTAGTGTACTCAGGGCATGGTATCGATCCTGTCAGAGTCTGGGAGCACCCACCTAACGGCCAAGGCATCGTCGCCCTGATGGCTCTCGGTATGCTTCAAGAACTCGAGAAATGTGGCAAAGTGACGAAGTGGTCCGAAAAGGACCACAATAGCGCGAAGTAGGCCCAGATCTTACATTGAATCGTCGTAAAGCACCACTGATTCAAAGCAGACACCTCCACACCCTCATAGAAGTCCTCCGTATAGCCTTCGCCGACGCTAGGTGGTGGGTCACCGACCCCAACGTCGTCAATGTACCCACCGCCGAACTCATCTCTCCATCATACCTATCTTCGCGCGCATCACTGTTCTCCCCGACCACCGCCTCCGCACTCATATCTCATGGCTCGCCTGCCCACAACCACTCCGACACAGTCTACTTCTCCGTAGCCGACGCCGCCGGTAACGGCATCTCATTTATCAACAGCAATTACTCCGGATTCGGTACTGGCATCATTCCCGCGGGCTGCGGCTTCACCCTGCAGAACCGCGCCGGAAATTTCGCGCTGCAGCCAGCCGACCATCCAAATGTGTACGCACCGAACAAGAGGCCGTATCACACGATTATCCCAGCGTTGATCACGAATGCGGAAGACGATACGCTGCATAGCGTGTATGGCGTTATGGGCGGGTTTATGCAGCCCCAGGGGCATGTGCAGGTATTGCTCAATATGACCGTATTTGGGCTGCATCCGCAGGCTGCGCTCGACGCGCCGCGATTTTGTATTGGGGCAGGGATGCCGGAGGCCGGAGATGTTGCGGATCGCACGGTCTATCTGGAAGACGGTATCAAGGATGAGGTCGTGCAGGAGCTGAGGGCGATGGGACATAAGGTTGAGGTTGTGAAGGGGTATGCGCGGGGTTTGTTTGGGAGGGGGCAATTGATCAGGAGGCACGAGGATGATGGTCAGCTTGTTTGGAGTGCAGGCAGTGACCCAAGGGGTGATGGATCTGCAATGCCGCAGTGAAAGAGCATGTCTTGCTCGCGGTTGAGGTAGAGGTTTTCGTACGGGTTCGAGAATTCTGCCTAGCAAGTCTTCCATAACACTCTTTGCTCTGGGATATTTTCCTATCTCATTTCGAGATTACTTGCCTCGATGACATAACCCATGTCGAAGGAAGCATACTATGTCTCTAAAAGGCACCAACACTGATCACCTCATATTTTCCCCGACTTGACTTACAAGGGCATTGTAACCATTGATTTGGAGCACAGAAAACTCATGTATGAATCATCGCAGCTCGACGAACCAAGATGCGGCACTGGAAAGGGAGTTTTATGGTAAAACAACAAATTTGTATGAATAGGAGAGGGTGTTGGAGTGGAAGGGAGAAACCGTGTGAATGCCGGGGACAAGAATGGTACTATGAACGGGCCTATAAATGGATAGAGGCGTTACCACTGGTATGTATCTTCACTATCGACAATGAACTGACAAGCTTTGCCTACCGGATCAGGCACATACTTGAACTTAAGTTGGTTTATGACACTTGCCATATCTGAGCAATCGATCAACGTAGCGCCGAACGCGGTCTCAGGATGGTTTACTTCATTACTATGCGAAAGATTAGAGGTAGCTAGATCCCGGGTATCACTGCTCTCTCAAAGTCGATTATGCTCGGTGCTTTCCATATCCTTGACGTCCTCGTCAGAATCTTCGCTATCGTCATCGTCAGAATCGGCCTCAACGTCGTCCTCGGGTTTCTTCCTGCGTTGGAAGTCTGCTCTGTGGGCTGTCTGTAGCAACGTGCCGACCGTATGGAGACCAGAACGCTGGCTATCGCGAGTAGACGCTTGCTCCAATTGGGCCGGCGAAGTTGGTCGTGCCTCATCTGAGGCGGTCTCTTCGCTGATACGTGGTGCAACAGACGCAGAAACCTTATAAGGAAGGGGCTTATCTTTGTGAGCTTGTCGTAACTTCACACTATCTGATGTCAGTATGCGAGAACAGAGCATTGCTATATCGAAAGGCTTACTTCATCGTATGTTCATTCTCGACTCTGAAGATCGCCCACATGCCTCTCCGGAATACCTCCGACAAGGCCACGAAGAAAGAGAGCAAAGCTGAATGCTGCACTTCATCGCCGAATATGGCGTAGAATATCCAATTGAAACGCAAAATTGGATCGACGATGCTAGCCAAGTAGTATGGCCAGCCACTCTTAAAGCCACGGGTTCTTCTTAGGTACTTAGGATGCGCCGCAGGGTTTCCTAAACTCCAGTCTATGAAGATATCCCAGAAAACTGAAAAACAAAGCGTCAATTCAATAATTGTTAATCATAGTCTCCAGAAGACTTACTGCAATAAACAGAGTTCACTGTCGCAAAGGTAATGAAGATTGATTTCGTCGCAGTATTCTGATTGATCCGATACAGGCTTAATGACATGTAAAATGCAATCGTGGCAAAGTACTTCGCCAGGTTGTACAGTTGAGGCCAGGCTTTCCTTGTAAGATATACTCGATGACCACATTGGATTGCTCGTATAATACCAGGCACTGTTGTTAAAAACCCAAGTAGTGCCGAATTACGAGAGTTGCATTGTGCGTTGTTAGTCCATCCGCGGGCATATAGGCAGAAGAACAACTCGATGTTGCCCATAACGTACGTAAGGGAACAAAGCATATCACCGAGAAAGAAATCGCGAAATTCGACCGAATACCAGAATGGGAGCAGGAGGCGGAAGCTGGAATAAAGCAACCAGATGCGAGACCGGTGCATCAGTTGTGGTATAGGAAGGGCCAAGAGCACAACTGTTAGTCCGACTAACACCACCGGCCAATATATAAACATGTCCTCAGGGAGGGCTGCGTTGAAGTTGAGATAGAGTGTGAGCCCTAGGAACGAGAAGAACAGGCAAGGTAACTCAAAGAACTCCCTGTAATCCAAGTGGTGACGGAGGTCAAATTCGAAAATGAAGGAGTAGTTGATGTTATGTCGCGTCCAGAATCGGGAGGCGATGCCAAACATCATGGACAACAGTACTAGGAGCAGGTACCCACCATAAATCTGCTCTACTGTTAAACGGTGTCTAAAACAAACTGTGAACGGACATACCTGTAGCAAATAGCTGGTATTTTCTGCGACCCCAACTTCAGTCGATAGTGAGAATGTATGAGCTTCAGTAAGGCCCAGTATACCTGTTGTCAGGCCAATACCGAGATATGCACCACTTAAACCAGCGCTCAGCGAATAGTCGTGTCGCTTATTGGCTTTAATTCGCAGCTTTGAAATTGCGACTTTCCGATTCCCCGCCTCGAAATATCTCGAGTAAAGATCCTCAACGTCTTGTATGTGGCGCTCGAGTATATCGCTTCGCACAAACCACCGAACGTTCACCTTGTCTGACATATACTGATGTTGTATTTTAGCGCCGACATTCTTGTCAAACTTCTTGCATATTTTCTTGAACGCTTTTTGGTTGAGTAATGCATATGATCTGAGCAAGTCAAGCGAGCGGTAGTACTCTTGGAAAGCAATCTTCAGTTGTCTCTTGGCTGCTCTGTACGACGACGTCCGCGTATAGTCGCTAGCTACACCACTCTGCTCACCTGGATGACTTTGCAATGCAGGGGGTGTTGCTAGATCTCGAAAGGCTTTGCTGTTCTTTCCTAGTCTTCCGTGTCGCATGACATGCAACACATGTGAGACCCGTACCGCGACTCCAGTAGTTTGGGACGAGGGTGTTCCAGACTGCTCTGGATTGCTGCTGGACATGTCATTCAGGTTTTCTGACCGCTCTGCATTTCGGTGGTTCACGATCCATCGAATTCGCAATTCTCTCATCATATGCAGTTGTTCTCGGAGGAGATCAAGTCGGGCTGTAGCGTCTCTCTCACGATCATTGTAGAACTTCTCGACTTTCTCAACTTCAAGGTCGAGAAACCTGAAGAACTCGCTCTCACGGAGCTCCATTTCACGGTAGTTTCTGAGAGATACGTCGGTCCCATCATTCATCTGCGAAGTTGCACGGGTCCCAATTGACAATACACGCTTAAAAAGAGGCCGGTCGTTGTCAGTAGTATGAGGAGACGAGATAGTTCGCGTTGGCGTCAAGAGCGTACGATACCTGCTGGGAAGATGACCATGCTGTGGATGAAGAGCCTTAGTTTTGCCAACTTCGTATGCGTTTCTCCCGGAAGAGTATGAAGCCAGGGAGAAAGATGCGCGTCGATCACTGCGTGAAATGGTAGGTTTCAGAGGGTCTAGGTGAGGCGAGACCTGGTTAGGGTCCAAGGCTGGATCAGGCAAAGCTATGCTTTCAGGCTTTCCACAGTCGTACTGCGAGAGGTATCGTTCAGGGGTGAATGGATCACCGTCTGATGGACTTCCGATGATGCTGCCATACCTTCGCAAACCCCGTTGCATATTACGATCTGGATTCAGCGGAACTCTTTCTGGATGCAAAGGCTCGCCGAGTCTATCCCTTGATGGCCGTCTGATAGTATGATCACGCCTCTCGGACGTTGCATTGGTAAATGGTATGTTTCGCGAGCGGTCATACGTCTCGTCTGTGTGTGAGCGGGGTGGATGATCAGTACGATCGGTCGATGCTGTGACGTTGATAGGTTCGGAGTGCGCTACTCTTCGTCGTGATGGCGTGGAGCCATTCGCATCTTCTGGCAGAGATGTACCAGATGTCTGAGAAAGCTTGTCCAGTTAGCACGATTAGGTACACTGAATGATGTTCGCCAGATATCTTACATGAGCATTATCTGTTACAAAGCCCTCCGCAGTGGCAGCACCAGTGGAAGATGAGCGATAGGTTCCACGCTGACGGATAGATCCACTTCTGGTTGTTCCAGCAGCATGCTGGGCTCTTGTTATGGCCTTCAAGAGCTTCTTTCCTTTCTGTGAGCTATCAGCATAAGGCCTGCAGAGCTTCACTGGGGCTGCTGACTTTGTAATTGAGGTACGTCGAGCGCCATTCGGGCACGGCATCTCGATCGAGCTCTCTGTAAGGTGGTCAGTGATAAGTGGCTACACGTTAGAGAAAACCAACTTTGCGAATTTCATTGCAATGCCGATGGAGCTATCCAGTGCGGGCGAAGGATAGCCGGTGTGAACGATAGGTACGGAGGCGCATCAGCCCCCCAATTAAAGATATGACATATCTCGGCGATAACAGGTACAGACGAGCGTTGAGGTGGCACTCGAGAGACTGACATAGGTCCCTAGGGGTTGAGATTGTGTGGTTCTGTTCTGCCCAGGTTGTAGATTACTTCTGCGTTCTGATAGGTGTTTGCGGGGACGCATGCAGAATGACGATCCGCATCGGAAAGTTGATTCTGGGGATCCTTGAAAACTTCTATCTCCGAACAATCTCCACTATCTCGTGACGTGCCTGAGGTATCACCTGAGGTACTAATTATCACTGTTCGTCATCGTTCTCTGTTGATATTACGCACATCCATCGAAGCAACACCTCCACCGACCCGGAATCTTTAACGAACTACCGCAGAACCTTATATAACATGATCTAGAATCAAATTAACGTGTCAATGCTTGCGCTTGATTTTGGTAGACATGATTGCGGGACATAGTACCCGACATCACGCAGCCACGTGCAATGAAGGTTCGCATCTACCTGCTCACTTTCTTCAAAGTAGCATTATAAGCTTGTCTGTACATTTGCCAGTAGAATCGAACCTGGACATCCCATTGAGCTTGCCCATTTCTCTTTAGCCATATACATATATTACCTTGTCATCTCAGGGTGCAATCATCACTCGACTCCATAAAGCAGTCTATCTACAAACCGTTCGGGTATACGACAAACTTTGTTATGGAGTCTAGAATGACAAGACACCTTTAGAAACCGTTCTTTCGTTTGGAAATCTAAATGAAGAGCGGACTCGTTTCGCAAAATCCAAAGCGACATGTATCTGTAGCCTGGTCTATCAAAATCCGGATTGTCGCTAGCACCCATAGTAACCCTTGCCTCCAAAGCTTCCCGGTATCTAAATGATCATGCCTTTCAAATTCAGTCAAGTCGTATCTCCACGTTTATGTTGGCGGTGCGTTCCAAGAGAGTTTTAGGAGCTTGTTCGTTTATGCTAATAAGACCTACAGTTTAAGGTAAAGCTAATGGTGTAACAACATGTTTAGACTCTTGCAAGTCTCCGTACCTGACCAGGGTAAACGAGAAAGATTCTGAAAATGGATCCCGCAATATTCACGTTGTTCGTACCCACCTCAGATCGTAGACGAGAGCAAAGAGCGATGTCGTGCTGGTTATTATACAACTCAACATTAAACCAAGCACAGATCCAGATATATAAATAACAGCGGCAGGGAAAAGTATAAAGTTCCCCGGCATCTGACATCAAAGCAGTTGATTATCTTCACAAGTTCTCCGTCTATCTCAGAAGTCAAGACGTCCCCTTATTTCAATTATCATTCACCGCCGTCGCCCTTGTGGTCCTCATCGTCTCGACCTCAGTATAAGTATACCGCTGCAAGTTTGATCTGATCGCAGACTCCCAACCTCAACTCTGCTCCGACTCTACAAAGTTAGCGACCAAACCGAAAGCAACTCATGCTCCAACAAGCACTCCAACTCGTACTCCAAGGTTCACCATGGCACGCCTGGTGACACCCAGTGTAGACTTCTCGTTACCCCTGGAAATGGATGCGATGCCACTGTTACAGTCTATAAGGATCTACTATGCACACATGGGATTCGTACTTTGAACCGAGAGAGCATAGCTATATCGTGAGATGCAACTAGCATCTTGAGCTTGTGGACGTCGATACTAAGAAAGATGGTTCCGTCGAGACAGTCTAGCTAGGTGGTCAGCTGTATATGATCTGTTGTGTTTTATTTAAATAGTTATAAACTTCCCTTACCGCCACTTGATCAAAATTCCGACTTAGGATAGATATTTGCTATATGTATTATATAATAGCCAGATGTGTCCCAAAGAAGAATCATGCATTCAGATGTTACAACATGCGCAGATGCTTATACTCATTGCCTCATGGTTCCCGAGACCTCCCCGTTCCGGCGGCTCGAGCAGTTTACCACCCGCCTCAGGGTTAGCAGGTTCATGAGGGTTCGACAATAATATGCTGTAGAGGTAGTCCTTAGGGTCATTAGTAAGGAATGACTGTTGTTAAGTTAAAGATGCAAAGCATGAGAAAAGCAACCAATAAGTACGTGCCACTCTGACATAGGAAGCAGCTACAAGCAAGCATTCTATAGCTCTTCCTATGTTGAGCGACGTATGACACAAATAGCTTACAAGCTGAAGGCCCTACGGCTTTGTGTTCTCCTGCTCCACTTGAAGCAGAAGCGAAGTAAGAGCGTTCAAGAGTACCGCACGCAATCTCCGCCCCAGAATGAGAGCCCATCTATCTCGTTACATAACTCCTGTTTCAATGTTTTGTAGGCACCACAAAGACTTAAGCAAGTCAATCTTTCCAACCCTCGCTGTAATATATAACTATTGTGATTTAATCCCCCAAAAACACAACTGTCGGATGTAAACAGAATGGATGATCTCACACCCTTATTGCTGCCACCATCATTACCATCGCCTCACAGCAGTGACTCGGACCTCTTCTACGGGTCATCATCGTCTTCAGAATCATCAAAGTCACTAGCATCATCAGAGTTACTAGACTCATTAAAGCCACCAGGCTCACCAAACTCACTAAAAGCAGAACGGCTTGGGTTGACGCTTTATCAAACATGGCAGTCCGATTCATGGCGGGCCGAAGCAGAGCGAGCCCGAACGGTCGAAACTGCGACTCAAATATTACCCTTTTTGCGTCTCAGTATGGAATGCCGCAACATGATATACAAGCTTCATTGTGTGTGGTCGCCTTACACTGTCAACGAAATCTCGTGCAGTGTAATCTTATCTCATACACCTCTTCTTCGAGTCAGCAAACAGGTGCGTAAGGAGGCTATGGACATCTTCTGCCGATTGAATGTCTTTGCATTGACGTCAACATTAACCGTCAATTCTGACAACGGGTATCAACCATACGACCAAAGACTGCGATCTTTGCACGGGTTCCAAGCTAACTTGTAAGCCTCATTACACTGGTGTAGGATGACTTATAATAGAACTGATATGCACAGATGGACCTTCAAGATACCGACCGGAGATCTTGGAAAAAATATCAAGCACCTACGAATCCACCTCCCAATAGACGAGTTATCGGATAAATGGATCGTTTTTCCAGCCTTGAAAAAATGCGGTTTTGACATCCTGGAATCGTTGACGATTATTGACAAGCAAAGAAATGAGGTGGTCGACCTCGAACGTAATACATGCAGTCTTATTAGCGTGTATGATCCTTCTATTGAGCGCAAGCTTCTCCGCGGTATTCGGATTAGGACAGGCGGCTTGGTTCTGAAAAATGTTGGTAAGTATACAGCATTGGGAATACTCGAACAGATCTTCTTTGTCAAACAAGAGAAAAGACGGCACCCACTCAATTTTAGGACGTGGTGGCTTAGGGTTCAAAGCAGTTGCTCACTAAATGACAAAGTATAAATCCGAATACCATAAGTCGCGGTGTGTGTGGCCTTACGGAAGGTCTTGCATCAATTTTTATGTCGCCTTCTGATCGTGATTAGCTTGATCTGTATGATCTTACGTATAAGTACCTCCCTGATTTGAAACTAGGCTATACCGACGGGTTCAAACTCGATGCCTATCGCCACCACCGGCCGAATCAAACAATAGAAAGCGACGCCCTTTTGAATTTTCTCCACATAGACATCTCACTTGACATTTGCGGTATGATATCATACTCAAGCATAAATCCTTCTTGCGTCATCCTCATCATCATCATCATGCACTTCAATCGCAGAGATGACCGTCTGAGAATATGCAGCATCCGGCATGGGTCAGGGTTCAAGGTTGTCCCAAGGAGAACGCCGTAAGTCGAACGAGACGGTCGGCGTGGCCATGTCGATATTGATGGGACCAGATGAGGGTGCGGAAGATGAGGCGTCTAGGGAGATTGCGCATATCTTCGATACACCCAGATTCGGCTTCATTGGTCGTATATATCGGGACAATATCGTGTAAGAAAGACAGTGGACAGCAGAGATCGCAGTATGAGGCGGCACTGGAGTCGTGTATAGTCATTTAAGGCTTGTAATTGAGCCGTAAATATCATGTCTTTGAAGTGATGCACATGTTGTGGGTAGCTGGATTATCTATAGTATCGTAGAAGTAGAAGACGTGTACTATACCTCAATCCTATTGCAAGAAACGAATAGTCATACAGACATGTGATACCATTAACCGTTGTCGGTGGAAGACAAACCTTTTGATTGTAGACTAGACACGTTCTGTACAACGAGAGGGTGTTGTAGCCTTCCACCAGAAGATGCCCGTGTAGCCTCGACAGTCACTGACTATGTATAGATAGGGTCGCGCTTGATTCTTAGGTGTCAGCTGTTACCTATTCTGATCGGAATCCAGTGTGAAAAGTGCTCGGTGGTGGACAGGCTTGTAATATAATTCGCTCTATAGATGCTGATGCTATGCTGGTGATATGGCTTTATGCTATGCGTGCTAAAGCGCAAATAATTGACTGCTCAGAGTACCCAACTTGGTACGAGGGGGGCGAATTTATGTTGATCTAATGAAGTAACCCTCTTGACTCCTCATTCTGCGTTGAATGACCACGTAGTCTGCTCCAGAAGCTTTCATCTTGATTTCTACTGTTGTGAAGCTCTCGCGATACTTTCAGGCCCCAGTGCCACAACATGCCGGCCACAAAACCTACGAAGTCATTCTTGAAGGCAAGTAGTCCTGCAACGGTGACTAGCAGCACCATCCATCGATCCGTCTTTTCGGCGTCAGACAGCTTCGGTGCTCTATGACTAAGATCGCCGTCGTCCTCCGTCACGTCTGCATCAGCTTGAGTGTCATTCAGACTGATTCCTGCCCGCGCCAACTCGATTCCCGCAGCAAGAACCATGATTCCCAAAATGGAGCGTGGAAACTCGCCCAGCAAGCGCGCCACGCCATGGCCCCATCGTAGACTGATGCCTCCAAGCATCATCTTGACAGCACCTAGAATGATGACGCTGCTCCCGCTACGTGCACCGAAACGATATTGACCAGCTAGACCACCAGAGCCGTGGCACGCGGGCATGCCGCCGAACCAGGGCGCGACGAGGTTCATAACAGCAATCGAGATGCCGACTGTGGTTGTAGAGGGCGTGGGGCGCGACGCTAGGAGGATGTTGGATAGCGATGTGACGGCGATAATGGAGTTGAGAATTGTGAGGGGCAGTTGGCCAAGCGCGGCGGAGAATGTGCCCTCGATGAAGTCGGCACCGTGCGGAACGACGGTGTGAAATCCAAGTGTCCTGTGCGGGAGTTCGAGCTTATCATGCGATGTGTGGATTCGGATTACGGCGAGGACTAGACCAGTTACAAAGACGACGAGTGCATAAGGGAAGCGTGGGAACGGAATGCTGAGAAGGAGCACGAGTGCTGCTGCAAAGGCCCAAATGTAGTTATCTCCCAACCACGGTCCTGCTGTCCTTAGACCTCCGATCAATGTCGATGCCCCAGCGCTGATACAAAGGCTCAGTCCAGCACCGACCTGGATTCCACGTATCACCGCTGCTGGAACAACTCTTTCTACCCACTTCAGCAGGCCTAGCACGCTCAGCGCACCTACAACTGCGCCCATCACGATGCCACTAGCAGCCATGGTCTTCAGTGAGAAGTGTTTCGCAAGCGCCACTGCAGCGATGGCTTTCATTGGCTGTACTGGGAGTGGCAGGCCGAATGTGACTCCAGTCACGATGTTGGCGGCGCCTGTGAAGAGAAGGGTCACAGGGAGTGATATGGAGCCGCGCAGGGTGAGAGCTATCATGATTGGGAGAAGTGTGCCTAGGTCACCCAGTGAACCAGATATCTCTGCGAGAGGCGAAGTCCGGAGTGTTTTGAGGTTGTAGGCTTGTGTTCTGCGCAGGTGCTCCCGCATGGCGGTGACTTTCTCGGCCATGATGGTAATGTGGAAAGCTGCTCGACTGGCGCTGACTTAGTCGAGACCGTCGATAGTAAAGGCAGCTCTCGGCTCGAGGGGCAGGGCGAGGTTGAGGTGTCGGAGAGCGATGAGAGGGATTATTTCGTATTTGTACGACAGCGACAACGACGAGGAAACGCGTCACGTTCTTTGACTCTGCAGTAGTGCGACCACCCCCAAACGCTAAAGGAAGTGGGCCAGTGCGCCATTTCGAGGCGGCTCTAACCTTGGAACAGTGACAACTGAAGAGTCAAGACATCCTTATCATGTATTCTGTGAAATTGTTAGCAAGCCGGCAGGTCAAGTCGTGCTTCGAACAACCCGCTGAAAGTTAGTATCTGCTTACATCCAAGATATGATCAGGCGGTATTTGGGGCGAGTTCATCGATGGATGATAACAACAGAATTATTCTTCACTTTTGGGAGAAATGAGAGGTCAACCCTATGCTGAAATGCCGTGAGATAGTTACTTGAGATTCAAGAATGCAATGCTCCTACACCAGTCAATATGCGCAACTGCTTTCCCTAGCGTCGAGCCCTTTCCTATCCATCTACTAGGAAGACTGATTTTGGGCATCATATACTGTCTCCCTAGTATCTATAACCATAGTACATGTGCGATTGTAGCGACCACCAAGTCAGTTCAGATGTCGACTTCAAGGCCAAAGTCCATAGCCGCAATGACATCGTCGTCCATTGCCTTCTTCTTGAATGTCGGTATAGCGTTGCGCTCTTTCTTCTGCAATGGCGTGCCGGCTCGTGAGAGTTCGTTGCCGCCGGGTGTAGCTGTTCTACTGATGTCGCTACCATCGAAGAGGTCATCGGTTGGTACAGCAAGCCTTGCTTTGGTGGTTTCTTTCTCAGCCTGGGCCCTTTCCAATTTTTGTCTCTCTTCATACTTCCTCTGTGCTGCCTGCCGTCTCTTTCGTTCGACTCTTCGCTCTTCTAGAAGAGCATTACGGATCTCCTCGTTATTCTTCCGACGATTCTCAGCATTTAAATTCGCCAGTCTATCAGCTTGCATTTGTGATTGGCTTTGTCTCGCTGGCAGAGCTGAGGCAGTAAGCTCCATGAGCCTAGCTGCATATTTGTCTTGACGCTTAAGTTTTTCACTCAACTCTTGGTCTGTAAATCGCCGATTGAGCAGATTCGTTATGTCCTCGAGCTTTCCATGCACGACAGACCTAGTTGGAAATTTCTTCCCTTCTGCTGCTACCACAGCCTTGTACCTGTCGAATTCGTTCTAAGAGTAGGTTATTAGAGTAATGCAGACCATAGGATAGCAAGACAAACCTCGGTAGCTCTCGAGTTCGATACGTGCGAGAATGGAACGGTTTTGACATCGCGCCCATGCTTGCACGTAACATATAAGTCTGTCATTATTTTCTTTCCTTTATCATTCTCGACCACGTAAGGCTGCTTCGTCTCAAAACCTGATAAGTTGTAAGTTGATGCAAAGGAAGTCTCGTGAGGTGACAACTACCTGTGATCTGACCAATACGATAGGTGTTGGCTCCATGCTCTCCAGGCCCAACACTCACGCGACAGAAGCAGTCTAACAGCGCTTTCTCAAAGTCTGGCCAGAAGCAGACTTTGGCGAAGTTTTCTCTCTTGATTAGCGCATGCATGACGTCCTTGATATCCGCGGGAGGATCCTCTTTAGGCGGAACTCGGCGATTCTCAGCATATTCGACTTCGTCAGAATCGCCATCGGCATCTTTTTCTGACTCTGGTCTGGCCGATGATGGGGAGCGAGAAGCCCGGCCCCTTCTTTCTTTACGCTCACGTTGTCGCTGGAGTTCTTGACCTCGCTGTTCTCGGCTGCGCTTGTAGCTCTCGAGTGGATCATGGGCCTTCACCTTCGGGCGACTGGTCTTTCGTTGAATCTCGTCAAGCTCGGCAGCTTCGGCGTTTCTCTTCTTGTCTCGTTGCTGGAAAAGCTGTTCCAGATATTTGTCTTGTGTCTGCTTCTCAATTTCTGCCGCACGATCTGCTAAGATCTGTTCGCGCTGAATTTCAGACAAACCTAGGATCTTAGCCTTGTCACTCGCGTCTCGATATTTCCCTTCCAGCGGGTAAAGAGAGCCTCCATCTTCGACTATGGCACCTTCGTCGTCTGACTCGGACATTGCTCCAGAACCTAGAGAGTCAGGTGAGCCTGGCGCGGACGCTTCCCCCGATTCTGCTTCCTCCTCCTCCTCCTCCTCCTCTTCGTCAGCGAGCGCGAGAAGCTCTGCATCGAGGTCTCCATTGTCCGACATCGTGACGGTGTTTGTAAGATGGTGCGGTGAATGCTTTTTGTCAGTCGTCTGTAGACCTTTCGTGAAATCGTGTATGAGAGGGGAGTGTTCAGCTGGTATGAAATGCAGATGGGATGATGAGAATCGGACGAGGGATGGGGTATATGGTCCAAGACTGAGGGGTTGGTGAAAAATTTGCAAGAATATCGTGCAAGATCCCAAAAGTAGCTGGTGAATGGCCTGAATTGGATTGACGAAGGCTGGTATAACAATGGGAGTGAACAACGAACCACTTCGTGAATAGGCAAGCCTGGAGCAGGGGGACGCGAACGCGGCAGCAATTACCCCGGCATTTTGCCGTTTACGCGCCAAGGGTTGGTTAAGGCCACCACGTGACTACATCCAAGACGTCAATGATGCGTTTGGTATGGGCTCTGTTAGTACAATAACAATACACTGAGACCTGCTGTCGCCCGGAAAGCTGAACGGCGACGACATGGCTTCAGGTTTAATCGTCCGGAATTGCCAGACTTTACGGTTATCAAGTCGGCCACTATGCGATTTCCTATATCCTAGGTCTGTATTCTTCACTTGCGTGAATCAAAGGGCATGCATGTCATCAGCATCGGAATCCATATCTCAAGCCCCTAGCAAACCATTACCATCGGAGAACCCCTCTCTGACCACTGAGCAAAGACGATATTTAGAAAGCGCTGTACGTACATGCCGCACACAAGCGGACCCTGACTCACGATATATAGCTCCGCGTCAACCAGGCAGGCGAGCTCGCCGCAGTCTTAATCTATGGCGCCCAGACACCACCGATAGTCCGCGCACACCCGCATCTGCGCCCTCTGATGAAGCATATGTACGACCAAGAAGCGGGCCACTTCACGAAGTTCAACGAACTTATATCCAAGCACCGGATCCGACCGACCGCTATGTATCCTGTATGGACTGCAGCTGCTACAGTTCTAGGCTGGGGCACCGCTATTATGGGCCGCGAGGCCGCTATGGCTTGTACCGAAGCTGTTGAGACCGAGATCGGCACGCATTATAACGACCAGGTTCGCACGTTGCTCGACTGGCAGGAGAACCTGAAGCAGAATGGACAGAGTCTCGGGCCGGAGCTCGAGGAGCTGTTGACTGATATTCGTAGGATTCGTGACGAGGAATTAGAGCATCTGGACCATGCTGTTGAGCATGATGCTAAAGAAGCACAGCCATATGAGGTCCTCACCAATGTCATCAGGGGAGGATGTCGCGCAGCGATATGGGTAAGCGAACGTGTGTAGATTACCGGTGGCAACCAGGAATCATGTATATTATGTATAATGTATCGGAAAGCATGTCTAACGTAAGAAGACAGAGCTTGGTATTACATTGTCCTGCAGGTTCACTTCAATAGTAGTGCAGATCCCTCCAAACGTATGTTCTAGCTATCTCTACTGACGCCAATCCGATTGAGCAAGTCAACTGAGCAGTACCACTTCTGCTTCCGGACTTTACTTCGTAGCAATAGTTATCCCTGTTACGCGCCACATCTCGCACTCTACTCACCTTCTCCATATCTCCCATCCTTACAAATCAGAAATGAACCCTAGGAGTCCCCATACCAATAACAGGTATATTAGTATCCAGGTTCGTATTGACGGCAAAGTGAAAATTCGTACTGAAATCCGGGCCCTGGGATGTGTTCTAGAGGAAGTGGAACTGTGATATGTCGACGCGGTCATGCACCTCTCTACAGGGATATGTGGGTCCTGTCGTAAGTCTTTTTATTTTTTTTCAAAAAAATCCGTAGCAGCATCGGACTACGAGTGTGGAATCTGCGTGACCACGGCTCTGGGGATCATAATTATCTCCCAGATCTCCACGCCCGTATATAGATCTTCAAGCACGGTGACGAAAGTGCTTGGACCGCGCATCGTGACAGAGAAGGGTTGTACTGACCATGTTTTATATGAGGATAGCAGGGAGAGCTCCTCGAGTATATTGGTGACTTGTAGGGGCTTAGGCCGGCTGAAGATATGATCAGTACATAGAATCGTGAGAAATTGTATGCTTATCGTGGGGTTGGAGCATTAGGAGCAGTATCATGATTGTTGCGTTAGATTCGCCTGAAGATGGTAATAAGTATCAAAGGAGGACTATGCACGTCGAATTTATATGCATATCGCATGGTAACTATATTAAAGGGATAGCAAGCAGGCGCAGCGCAGGAATACTCGAAATGTATCCAAAGTCCACAACCCTCCAATATATCTCACTTTCCTTGCACATCTCCGATAGAAAGCTTTAGAGTGCAGATCATTACGTGACACTTTTTCGATCTAGTTGTTGAGGTCGTCGGATAATCCTAATTATCATGCGTTGGTCTTTTGTTTGAACAGATTCTATTTTCTTACCAGTTGGACACGTGGCACGATCCCAAAGTAATCACTGTACGGCATGATATAATTAACCAGTATTCAATTCATACACCCATTGTATATTCTAGTCAACTCTGTGCTTTTTGATGTTGAAGTCTTGTCCTCACCCATACCACTTCTATTGTCATTCTCACTTGGAGACACTGGTCTCCCGTGCTCATAAATCCTTCACATAGAGCTTTCATCGACCGTGGTCGTCAAAAAACCTCATGACGATCGGTTCGGGCTTGCTCCCCAAGATTTCATCGATCTCTTTCATGATCTCGTCCGTCAACTTGGGCAGAACTCCCAGAGCGCGAACAGTCTTTCCAATCTGCTCTGGCCTGCTAGCACCAGTAATGGCACTACTAACATTAGGGTTTTTCAGGACCCACGCCATAGACAGTGCAGCACGGTCAGTATCCAACTTATCAGCAACAACCTTGAGCTTCTTGACCTTCTCAATAGTGACCTTCCACTGCTCGGTTTTAACTTCCTTTCGTAGACCTTTAATGTACTTGTCTTCCGACTTTGCGATACGTGAATCCTCAGGGATACCATCATCGTACTTCCCAGTTAAAACACCACCCTTAAGTGGCGAGAAGACGGTAAGGCCATATCCATATTCCTTGTAAAGGTGGAAGTACTCCGACTCGACCCTTTCACGGTCGAAAGCATTGTATAATGGCTGCTCGACAATTGGGCCGATCAAATTGTGCTTTTCGGCAAGCTCAGTGGCACGTGTGATCTCGTCGGCGCTCCACATGGATGTACCCCAGTAGAAAGCCTGACCAGAGTTGATGATGTAGTTCATGGCACGGACTGTCTCCAGGATGGGTGTGTGGCGGTCAGGACGATGACAGTATAGTATGTCGACATAATCGAGTTGGAGCCGTTGAAGCGAGGCCTTTGTTCCCTCGATGATGTGCTTACGGGACAGGCCGCCATTGTTGACATTTAACTCGCCATTGGCGGCGCCCCAGTAGATCTAGATTGCTATTCAGTCTTGTGCTCAGAGTGGGTACACGATCTGGGGCCTTTGGGGTTTACTTTAGTGCTGACAACAATGTCGTTCCTTTTCCACTCAAATTTCTTGATCGCCTCACCCATAACTCTCTCGCTCTCGCCACCTCCATAGCCTTCGGCACAATCGAAAAAGTTGATACCAGCGTCGTATGCAGCTTTCAAACAAGATTGGGCAAGCTCTGTGTGGATTAATTACATACTTGTCCAAGCCTGTATAGACGCAGCCAATAAGGGATAGACTGTACCATTATCGACATGCCCTCCATACGTCAACCAACCACCTAGTGAGATAGCGGAAACCTTGAGCCCAGAGCTGCCCAGAAATCGGTACTGCATTTTGGGCAAGGCTTCTGACCTCTCGGACGCCATTGTTGTTGGATGGAAGGTGTAGAGATGATGATTGTCACGAATGGAAGCTATTGTAGAGTAAGGAGGAACCCGACGTCAAGGCAACCGCATCTTACGTTATCATAGGAATGTGATGCGGGGCAAAATACTAGTGGCGTAATCCATACCCCATAAACTACACCAGGTCTAGGCTGATGAATATCGACGAATGTGACGGTGGTAGAAGGTGGACAGTGGTTACCCGTACAATCGTAGCTCATGTGCTGACTTGCTGAGTACTCAATATTCTCCATTATCTGTTATATGCTTGTCGACTGAAAGAGCTGCGCCTTTGTATGATACGGAGGATATCATTACTGCAGTCTGGCTCGTCATACGATACCTACCATATGGGCGTACAAAAGAAAATAGGAAACCTGAAAAGCTTTACTTTTGCCAGTCTGCTACATATAATGTTATGTAGAGCTCACCTCCTTAAGCCGCGCCCCCTGCTGCATGCGCTGTAAGCCACTGGGCAAATGCAGTGGGATTCCTTGTCTGGATGAAAACAGTTCCGGGTCCTATAGTATTTTCGTTATTATATATAGCTTTGGAAACAGACGCTGATAGACTTGCCGGTGAACTTGCACACAAGCCCTTCTCCTGAGGATAGTCCTGAAATAATACCACCACTAGCAACGCGTTCCAGAACGTATTTGCAGTTCCACGCTACCAGATGCCCATTATCAACGATATATTTCTCTTCTGGTGCGAGCTACGTTTGCTTAGTAGATGCTTCCGCAGCCACATTGACTGAAAATGACTTACATCTTTACGGATAATCGCGCCCAAACTCGTGACCCAGAGGATGCCAGAGCCAGAGATTCGGTATACGAATAAGCCTTCGCCGGAGAACATGGCCTTTCCAAAGCCTTGACTCTTGTATTCTTTTACGATACCTTGAGTGCATGCAAGGAACGCATCTTTGCCAACGCTCCATTGCTCTTGCCCGGACAATCTGATATTGGAGATATCACCAAGAGCTGCGGGAGCAAGTAATAGTTCGCCCGGTCCTGTGTAAGTCGAAGTCGCCATTTCACCTCCAGCGATTAATTTCTTCATACTGAATTTGACGCCCCCCTTCAGTGTGACTGAAGGCGACATCGCAATCATAGCACCTGTACCACTGGTCAGCAATCAGCAATCCCATTCAGTCTCTCGAAAGCGCCCTTCCAGCGTGCATAACAAGCGTAGTAGAGCCCTTCTCACCTGGCTTAGCAACCAATGGACAACCCATTGCCAATTGGACAGTCAAGATTGTGTTGGTGTCACGGTGACTGACTCTATAGCTTCCACCATTGAACGTGCCAACATCGTCCTGAGTAGTCCCGGCGCCTATGAAGTGCGATTGTGAAGGTCCACCACCTGGAATCTGTGTGGCCGAGTTCGCATTCAACGTTGGTTGTGGAGATGGGGAGGGCGCGACACCTTGGCCAGCGCCAACGCCCGATTGAGGAGGTGCACTATGCCCTTGGTGTTGTCCTACATTGCTTCCTGGTGGAGGTGGAGCAGCAAATTGCTGTTGTTGCCCAGGATGTGGAGGCTGCGCAGGAGGGGGCGAGACGGGAGTTTGGTAGGAGGCTCGGTGGGGATCAGCACCGTAGCTCTGTTCTGGCTTATACTGTGCTCCACTGGGAGGTGGAGGATAGTACTGCTGGCTGCCTGGTGGAGGTGCAAACTGTTGCTGCTGTGCTTGGCCGTGTTGCTGGTCTAATGGAGTTTCAGCCTCGAGTATCATTGTGGGAAGGTTTTGGACGATATACCCTGAAACCCGCTCTTTTCGGGAGGCGCTACACAGTCTGTGAGATAGTCTGAACATCTATGAGTGCATCAAAGACATACGTGGGTAGTATTGCCCATGTGGAGGAGGACTGTTTGGCGGAGGGTAAGACATGGTTGTTGTAAGCCGGGGAGGTCGTAAGAAATGGGCAGCGCAAGGCAGAGGAAATTCACACAATGCAAGACTGATAGTGTGCCGCAGAAGGTGAAATCTGGATGACTAGATGAAGGACATCGCTGATGTCGCAAATGCTCAGCCTCCTGTCATTGGTGCTGCGTGCTGAGATGCGGTACGCTGTGGTGCCGCCCTCACGCCGCATGCGCTTGGTTGCAAGCAGCCAACAAGCGGTGCGGGGGTCCAGCAGCATGATTGGGAGCTAAATTTAGAAAAGAGAACTGGAGCTGCAGTGTGATTCTGGAGGTGAGTGCATGGCGCTAATTACCTAGAACATCTACGTAGTATCACTAATTATTAACTTTCGCGACCGGTGCAGATCAGCCTTTGTCTTCTGCCTCTCGTTGTCCTCTGTCTATAAGCAAACAAGGTCCCTCACGAGAGCTTTGGAAGCGTGTGGATATATATATATGTATATATATATATATGTACAGTCGTCAAGTTGCTCCACTGAACAGGCTATTATCCCGTATCAGAACCAGCAGTGCAATGCAAGCTGGGTTTTTCAACTCTTGTCGCAAACGACACCATACGGAATGTCCAGGTAGAAGGCGCCAAATTCAATCCATTTAGGACAGCGACTGCTGAAAGCCCTCTGGAAGTCGCGAATTTAACCTTGCTGTCTCTTTCTCTTCCCGATCTGTGCAGAGAACCCAGTCTTGATGGCAGTAACACTACGTCGCGAACCGCAAGAGTTACAAGTGACGAAGTAAAGACGATTTTCGCCCTTATTGAGTTCGGTATCGGGAGATCTGCAGGTCTTGCAAGTAACATATTCCACTGTGGCTATTTAGCATGATTATAAAAAACCGTAGGCACAATAAGTCTTACTGATATAGCGCCTCAACACATTCTCGATCTGTTTCTGCTGGAAACGACCCTTGATGACGAGTCGTTTACTGCCGTCAACGCTGCCACTGGTTCCGAGTTCGGCAAACAGAAACTGGGTCACGTGTTCATCTGAACGCTTCATTCTCTTGCAGATCTCGGAGATGTTGGCGAAAATAGTCTTCCGGTTGCCTTCGCGGAGACATTGTGGAGGTGGTATCTTGTAGCTCTTGGAACCTGTGGAGGCGAGGTCCGGATGATGCGAGTGAAGTTGGGTGAAGAAACGCTTCAAAAGATTGTTATATTTGATTGGCGTTGTGGCATCATGTGCCCAGATACCGGTGCCCTTCTCCATGTCGCCTTCTTGTATCGGCTCTTCAGTCTTCTCTTCTTCTGCATCTTCCTTCTCCACTGCGCCGACTTCAGCAAGCTTGGCCTCGAAATCGTCTGCGTCCGTGGTCTTGGGCTTCTTCTTCTTCTTCTTCTTCAGCGCCGAAGGGTCGAACTCTCCATCGGCAGCGGGTGTTTCTGCTTCCTCGCCCTCTTTTGGCTTCTTGGACTTCTTCTTCTTTTTCGCGAGATCTTTGAACATATCCGTAACTTCATCGACGGCCTTATCAGGTTCGCCATCGTCTACAGATAGTCAGAATTGGAGTCGCAACATAGCAAGAGGAGCCCAACCAAGTGAGGCACTAGGCCCCTGCTCTGGATGCAGATACATACCAGCCGAGTGGCTTTCAGCACTGTTCTTCTCTCCTGCGGACCCGTTCATTTCTGTTACTTGGCCGGTGCCGTCGACCACCGTTGCTCCGTCACTGAAAGCGACTGATTTTCTAGGTTTCCTTTCAATCGAAATGTCGGCCTATAGTGTAAGTTGTATGTTAGTGTGTTGTTGTAGGCATATGAGATTTCGCCGGGTTTATCGAAAAGTGCGCCACTAATGAAGAAGTGGTGTGGGATGTGCAGAGCAGGGGTGTGACGTACAACTTCGGCCATCTTCAAACCCCTTGTCGCTGTGTTTGTATCAGTATTGACTGAAATAAGACGATTTATGGGTGGTTGTGCGTGTTGATTGTGAAGAAGTGGATGTTACAAGACAAGGCATACTGCACGACCATAAAGTAATATCCTTATTCATGAGTCAACCCTTTCACGTGATTAGCGCGCCCGCAGCCAAACACTCGCCTGTAATGAAGACTTGCTGAACCCGCGGAGCTTGATAACCACCATGTACATACCATCTTCATCGTTCGCACTGACCACCCGTCCGATGCTCGTGGCATAATTGCGCTGAAAACCCCTTCACTCAACTGGGAAGCACGAAAGCACTTACAAATGTCTGCCTCATCCGAGTCCTCCTTTATTATGCCCTCGCAGCAACTCATAGACTCGGATGTGGACGATGACGACCTTGACTCATTACCTTCGGAAACCACTGAAGACTCATCGCATTATTCAGATGCAGAAAGAGAATGGAGAGAGTCATTACAGCAGATAGAGCTGCTTCTGACAATGATTTTGATACCCTACGTCGGGAAGTACTTTGGAAGGAAGTGTGCATATTGGGGTAAGCTTTCCGGTCAAGTGCGTATTGCACGATATGCTACGGGCAACAGCTGATGAAGGGTAGGCTGGGCCAAATACATGGAATGGCAATATCCCGTCGAGATCAAAGTTACGAGCCCTGGGATGTTCAGAGCAGCTGGCATGGTAGAAGCAGCTGCCACACTGTGAGATTCACGAAGTATCACTTCACCAGATATCCCATATATTGCATTTGGCGGTGGCGTTGGAGACATATACACAGGTCCTTTGCAGCGACAGATGGTATGTCTGACTCTGTCTGACAATAACATAGACCACTTTGAGAAAAGCGGGTTTACTTTGGGGTAGAAGAGGCTCGGCACCCAAAATGTCGATGTATATACATATATCAAGTCATGGCGATAATCATGACCAAGTTCTAACGAAGACAACTACCTGCGGCAGAGCAGGATCAGTAGCTGGCGTCTTCCTGTACCGACTTGTCTTTCCCATATCTCTTCTTGTAGCGGGTTGCCTTGTCTTCTGCAAATTCACAACGGAGATTTCGCCCTTCGATCTTGTTGACCCACCACTTACGTGGTTTGGGTTTCTTCTTTCTCTTGGCATCAGACTGCTCCTCGTCTGGCTCAGCTTCTTGTTCTACATCTTTGAAGCCATATCCACGCACAGCTGCTTCTGCGGAAGGTATATCACCGAATGTTATCCAGCCATAACCTCTACATTTTCCAGAATCCTCAAACGTTGCGAGAAAAACATCTTCAACCTCTCCACAGGGCGCGAAGTGCTCGAAGAGTGCTTCGCGCGTTATGTCAAATCCTAGATTACCAACGAATATCCTCTTGTTTGGCGATTTTTTGTTGACGGCTTCAGTTTGGGTCGTCTGGGACTTCTCTGGTCTGCCTACAAAACTCTTCGCATCTTTGATCAAACAGTTCCGACCATCAATTGGAGTCTCACTCAGCTCTATAGCTATCAACTTCTTTGCTTCAGAGACGAAATCCACATAGGCGAAGCCGGAATTGTTTGGTTTTATCCGCAGGGTCGGGGAGGGTTTCTTAGGTTTAGGCATATGAATCCGCGTAATGTCGCCATCTTTGATCTCGGAGTTCTCTGTGAAGAATACCCGTAGGCCCTCTATCGTTGCTCCCCATGGTAGATTGCCAATCCAGATACCATGGTCGGTACGTTTCTGGCATTCCTGTACGGATACCTTCGCTATATCCTCTTTGGTGGCGCTGGCTGCCTCTGCAGCAGGTTTTGCCTTCTTTGCTTTACGTAAAGCTTTCTTTGACGGAGGTTCTGGAAGAGCTAAGTCAATCTTGAGCTCCTCGGCAGAATCATTGGCATCGCTTGTGCGCCTCCGCTTCTTCGCGCTCCTAGAGTCGCTCTTGGAATGGTTGGCTGCCCTATGACCTTCCGGAGACGTCTCTCTCATAAATTTTCGCGATTGCTTGTGAGTTTTTGAGTTCTTTGATCTGATATGTGTGGTGGATCCATCGGCGTCAATGTTCTGATCATCATTTGATGCTTCGTGTTTTCTCTTCTTGCTTTCCTTGAATTTGTGTTCGGATTTTGCTGGTGAAGGTGGCTCTAGGATCTCGTTATCGCTTGACATCCTGGAGATTAGCGTACTTAGATACTCAGCATTAATGATTGCATGAGGTCGTAGGCTTGAATTCGAGTAGACATAAATTTCATCGGCGTCGGCAATCGAAAATAGAGCGGCCGAGATAAGTCCGGCTTGCGAGCGAAATTGATGTAAAGTTCGCGAAAAAAAGCTACGCGTTCAGAACCAACCCTGGGCAATTGAGCCGCCGTGCCTCGATTCATAGCGCGCTAAGTCGCCATCTGAACGGGATTGTCTTGCAGTCACGATCCTGTTCATGGCGCGCGCAAAGACCAAAAACAAAACTGCTCGAGCACAATTGAGCGTTCGTGATGACGACACCGAGTCTCGGACTTCTGTACTCGGCAGAAAACGACCGCAGACTTCATGCGAAGGTTCGCTATCCCATTCACACTCCTCTGCGGAAGACAGTGATAGTAGCCCCGTTACCAAACGACAACGAATCGAGGGAGCAGAGCATCGTGAGACTTCGAACGGCTCAATACGTCGATCCGCTAAGTCCAGAACGACTGTAAGTAGCGAGAGCAGGGCCAACGTCGAATACACGAGTGCGCATGTGAACATGCCTACTGCGGTAAAACAGGCGGATCCTGAAACCAGTGATCTACTATCCAGCCTTATAGATGCTCGTCGGGAAGAAGAGCCTCTGCTATCTATCAGCCGTGATTCTGGGCAGGAACACGTAGGAGACCACGCATCGAGTTCTGAGAAATCCGCTTTACCAAGAACCCATACCAAGAAAATTGTCACCGATACAGCAGATAGTGCGGATCCAAACGTAACGATTACAAAAATGCCGAAACGGCACCTGAGAAGTCTGAAGAATAGAGCTAGGAAACCAGGATCGAAGAGTTTTAGACGGTATGTCATGGCTTTCGAGACCAATCGGGCCATTGATATGCTTCTATCAAGTTTCGATCCTGCGATCGTGCCGCACATCCTGGATCAGCAAAATGCTGTATACATACAATGTCGCATTGGTCAAGGTGACAAGGCCACCGGGCCGAGTGCCAGACAAATCGGCCGATCATTGGACAACTTGACAGCTAATCATCTATACGAAGGCCTGATCAATTCATTCTTTCATGAGATGCATCTCGAAGGAGTGGAGGAGCTGCATAACTTGCTTGTATACTCTAGCACCGGACTGGCAGTACAAGCTCTATCTAAGCTACAGGCTAAAAGTAGCAAGATCAGGAACATCAAGTCAATGGAGATTCTGAAATCTCAAAATTCTATCGCAGATTGGAACAATATAGTTCCATGTCTACACAATGTCCACGAATTCGCGGTGCAGAGGTCGTCAATAATCAATACTGCTTTACGAACCGATGACCAGCTGACCATTGAGGAATACGGAGCTTTCCAAGACCCCCCAAATCTCAATTTACCTCCTCTGCCTCGGCCCAGATCTGATCAGCATCAAATTCGCATCACTTGTGGAGAGAACAACGAAGTCGAAAATCAGCACAGTAATAGCAGCGCGAACCATCATACGACTCCCAGCACCGATATGGTAGCAGCTGATTCGTCGGAGGGCGAGATATCAGAGGGTGAAATGGCAGAGTCTACACTAATTACGAACGTGACGGAGGACGCAATCATGCATGATCGGCCACCAGAACTACCTATTGATCTCCAAAATCTGCGAAATCCTTCATCGCATTACATGGACCTTACGTTCCATGTAGCTGAGTCTGAGCCGCTGAGAGTTCATCAAGTTTCTCATGATGAGCAACAGCTGCAAGAAAGATATTTTGGTCAGGCAGATAATAACGCTATAGTTCGTTGTCTCATATGCAGCCATGAAAATCACTTAGAAAACGCCTGCCCCTCCCGAGTATGTCCATACTGCGACGTCCGAGATGACCATTTCGGACGAGCTTGTCTTCGACGCCCTGATCGTTCCGAACACATCCAGACTTTGTTTCCAGATGTTGGTCGAACGTTCTTCCCTGATAGTCTAGATGTCTTACAAAAAGTTCGAGCATTGAATATAAGCTGCTACGAATGTGGCAGCGCCAAGCATTTCGGAGGCGATTGTCATTTTACTCAACAGCTAGACAAGGGTAGAAGCCCCTTCAACCCATGGTCAGCCAGAGAAGCAAATAAATACCTCGTTGAGCCCTCGGATACCTCACTGCTGCCACTGCCAGAAGGCATTAACGGTCTGCCTCTCCCACCCGAACCACAACATAAGATGTTTTCGAGAGTGAAGCATAATCTTCCGCCAAAACCGGTGCAGGAAGATAAAGGTATGTCAATCAGAGGTGCCGCAATGAATAGCGACAGTACCAATCTGCCCGACGCACCGAGACAGAACGGCAAGGGACGCATGCAGATGAACATCAACCTGGGCGGACGAGGTTGTAGTACACAGAAAGGCAAACCTCTTGCACCGATTTCTGGGCAATATCAACGAGAATTGTCACCAGGCTACGAGGAATTTCTGCGTCGTGGACCTCCTGGTGGAGGTAGTCGTGGTGGTCGTGGGAGTCGCGGTAACCCTGGCGGCCGGGGTAGAAACCCTGATCACAAGGTTGGCAAGGGACCTGGGCAGGTAGGTGGACGTCACGACTCGAAATCCGCCCGGTATAATCAGAGGGGTGATCCTTCGCGCCAGCGAGGGGGTGGAGATGCTGGGGCAAAGGGCCGTGGTGGAAGAGGGAAGGGACGAGGCAAAGGCAGGGGTAGGGGATCATGAAGCCCTGGTAGAGGTTATTCTTGGCTCATATATTGGGTGCTCTGACCACAACCTGGAATGGCGTCTTATAGTTGGACACCGTATAGGTCACATTGAGGGCCCTGCTTATATCTAGCGGTGGCCAAGATTTAATATTAAAGAGCCTCGAACTCCAGCAAGCAGTATGCACGAACGGACGCTGAAGGCCGTTGGGCTGTCAAAAACATACCCTTCAATACTTCTAGAAGCAAGACTGCTTCTCTACAGCGCAAAAAGTGGCTAGACAGAGCAGAAGTCTTTGCAATGGTTCTTTACTCGACACATGAAACTATAAGTCTAAGTCGAACCACTAGAAGAGCTCTACGCATGCAACTATCCTTCGCATATCAAAGACTTCTCACATTCCTCCAGACTTATCACAGTACGCCTATAGAGACACGTATCCCCATCCTGATACTCCTGACCAAAGGTATTACCTGGACAATGAAAAGCACTCACAGCGTAGGGCACCTAGTCTGGTCAAGTAATCGACATTCCTTTCGGCTGCTGTTGATTCACATGCGAGTGGGTTCATTATGAAACTACATACCGCTCGACATAACTCTCTCTGTGACTGATTAGGTGCTATTTCACAACATAAACCCTATTGGTATGACTTGTCACATAGTACAGCAGGTTGAGGCTCTTTGCAAACAGGTACTGACCTAGAAGCAATACACGACTAGAAAATATGATCAAACCAAGTCATGGTTCGGACCATCTGGTATCAGCATACCACTCCGATGTGATAAGTCATGCGACTTCAGGAGAGGTATTGAGGATGTCTGCAGATCGACCCGTGCTCACACAGGAGAAGGAGTCTTCTTCTCATTCTTACTCCTGATGTATTGTCCAGATACCAAGGTGGCTAGACGAGGTCTGCTAGGACCAGACAATGACTGCGAAAAGACAAGTGGTAGGAAAAAGAACTCGTTTCTTACCCTATATTTCATCAATCACCAAAAGCACAGAGCAGCGAAGAACTCCAATCATGCTTTCGATGAATTTATATACTCGCGATTCTCAATGGCTTTGAGGCTCAGAACGATTCGCAATATCCCTCTAGACTAACTAACAAGTCTCACAATATACTCATTCGGTAGCAAGCTTGTAATATAAGTGGTTGCTAAAGTATGGCAAAAATGATAGTTTCTCCCCTCGAGTGAGCACATGGTGTTTTCGTCGAAGAAGATATACTTCACTAATTGAGCACTGGAATCTAGTTTACAAAACGGTTTTTAACACGGCCTTACTAGCATGAGAAGACTGATAATCTCATAATTTCGAGTTTACATATTGCAGAAACAACCACTTGTCACTTTCCCAGTACCCATCCATAGAGTCCTAAGACTGTCCTGGCTACCTAAACCTCGGCCCCCTCCGCCCTAGTGCCGAACATCCCTGCCACACATCTGTACCCGAGTCTCACGTATGATACATATACATACAAGAACACCACACTGATTATATGTTCATTTCCTCCTCACAGACATACCACAATCTGTACGAACGCATCATACACATACACCAACATGGCAGAGACATATGAGTACGCAGACTTCAAAGTCACGTTCCTGGAGCAGTATATTGCACATGTCGAGATCAACAGGCCGGAGAAATTGAATTCATTCACGGACTCGTATGTAGAGATTTCAGTTTTTACTTTGGGATTTTGAGGGGGAAGGATATTCATCTTGGTGGTGTCGTGTCGTTGTATTCGTCTACTTGCAATACTTGGAGCGCAGGAACGTTATGGAAATGATACACCAACACATACACGTATATCGCAAGAGCGAAGGACATGAACAAACACAGTCCCCCTCCTCTCGATCGACATTACCAAGAAAATACCTCCCACTAACCAATGCGAAACCAGCATGTTCAACACCATCGGCGCCATCTTCACCCGCCTCTCAACGTCCCCGGACGTCCGCGTCATTCTTCTCTCAGGTGCCGGCCCAAAAGCCTTCACCGCAGGCCTCGACGTGACCGCGGCCTCGCAAGGCCCGGTCTTTTCGCCCTCATCGACACGCGACGCTGCACGCATCGCCTTCTCGCACAACGCGCACATCGCGCACTACCAAGCCTGTGTCAGCGCGATAGAGAAGTGCACGAAGCCTGTGATTGCGCTGCTGCATGGGTACAGCTACGGGATGGCGATCGACCTGAGCACGGCGTGTGATGTGCGGTTGTGTGTGGCGGATGCCGCAATGTGTGTCAAGGAGGTCGATATAGGGATTGCGGCGGATGTGGGCACGCTGAGCCGGTTGCCGAAGGTGGTCGGAAGTGCGAGTTGGATCAAGGATGTATGTTTGACGGCGCGTGTGTTCGGTGCTGAGGAGGCGCTGCAGCAGGGGTTTGTAAGCCGTGTGCTGGCGAGTAAGGAGGAGGGTGTAGAGGTGGCGTTGGGGTTGGCGAGGGTCATCGCGAGTAAGAGTCCCGTGGCAGTGGTTGGGACAAAAGAATTATTGAATTATTCGCGGGATCGGACGGTGGAGGAGGGATTAAAATATACGGCGGTGTGGAATGCGGCTATGTTGCAGACAGAGGATGTGAAGAAGGCGATCTTCTCCGGACTGAAAAAGGGGAAGACGCCGACTTTTGAGAAGTTGTAGCGCATAGGTTCATGGACAGCACAGAATATGAGTTGAAGGTCACGTTAGACTGAAAGTATCAAGCACTCGCTTCTTGAAGTGTTGATCATTTTATTCACTCCGACGCCAGAGAAAGCTACAGCTACAGCAGCCCCTAGGTGCCAATAGAATTCCTCAGAAATGCCATACCTAATTCCCAACTCTCCTCGACACATTTAACCTCTTGACATGACGCCCCATGCGCGAATCTTGTTATCAGTGTATCCAGCGAACAGAGTCTGGCCATCAGGGCTCCATGCCAAGCTGACACACTCGGGTGCCCGGCTTTTCTTGCCGACTTCCATGAAATCAACCTTGAGCTCATCCACCTTGCTCTTCTTCTCGAGGTCAAAGATGATGATGTCACTGGCGGTGGCGGCGCACAGCCAGTAGCGGTTAGGGGAGAAAACGAGGGCGTGGATCTCGTCACCAGCGGTGAGAGAGTACAGGTGCTTTGACTCGTTGAGATCCCAGAGCATGGTGGTGCCGTCCTTGCCACCAGAGGCACAGAGAGAACCGTCAGGGGAGATGGTGACGGTGTTGATGTAGCCGGTGTGTCCAATGTGGTCCGTCTGAATGCGACAGGAAGCGAGTTCCCATACCTAAGCTGACTATTAGCACTATGTCGCGTGTACGAGCTGCGATTCAAGTTTACGGGGTAAAAGGTAATCAGGGCAATAGGTGAAGATTGGTCTCATGGCCCGAAGGCTCTGAAGTAGCAAATACTAAAAGTGCAACATCATTTGAATAGGGGGAGTGGGCGCTCCACATATAGAGTCCTGATAATCCACTGACCTTGACCATCTTGTCCCAGCCAGCGCTGACGATTACCGGGTTCTGGGGGTTCGGGCTGAATCGCACGCATGACACCCACTCGGTGTGGCCCTTTTCGGTGATGGTGTATTTGCAGTCTCCGAGGGTGTTCCAGAGCTTGATTGTTCGGTCGCGCGATCCAGACACAATTTGACGGTTGTCGGCGGAGAAAGAAACGGAGAGGACATCGTTGGTGTGGCCGACGAACCGGCGGGTAGTTGCACCAGTGGACAGTTCCCACAGACGCAGCGTCTTATCCCAGGAAGATGAGAGAGCGTAAGCGCCGTCCGACGAGATGACCTTTAACGCATATCAGTACCTAATCTTCCTCCCGATCCACAGTATCAACATACACAGTCAGAAACGATGTGGGAGTGGCCGTGGAGGCTTCGCTTCGGGTAGCCGTAGGCCTGTTCGTCGCGGGTCAGGTTCCAGATGATCAGAGTCTTGTCGCGACTTCCGGAGAGGAGCATGTTGGGGCTATCATAGTGTCAATTCGACATGCTCTTTTTGCTTGACAGCGAATATCTCACTTCTCGAGGGAGGTGGCTAGGGAGGTGACCCAACCGCTGTGGCCCTCGAGGGTGCCACGGAGTACCAATTGCTCAGCCATGTTGGATCGAGACTGCAGCAGGAGAGTTGGTGGTGTGAGAGAGCAAATGTGTCGGGTGGTATTGAGACAGAGCAAAGTTCCAATCCTCACTTCGGCTGCCGCAACGGTGTCGCCGACGAAAATGTGCGTTCTAGTCCCAAAAGAGCACGTTAAGCGATGGTCGTTCGTGAGGCACCAAGGCAGAAAGGAAGCTTAGATTCTACTTAGATAATTACCTAGGTAGTAGTGGCCAGTTAATGCAAAGCTGCAAGCACAGTCAACCCATCTTGACGCTATACTATCATCATCGCACTGTGGTGTGTGAACCTCATGTAGCATTAAAGTGCTTGTGCTACAGAAACTCGTATAACGAAGGTCGAAGCTACTACATCCTGTCCCCTTCTCTCAGCCCGTTATGATTCCAGCTTTCGCAAGTACCCTTGTCTCACAGGAAACGTACACCATACCGCTGCCAGGTTCATTAATAGAAAGATAATCCCATGTCTAGCGGTGTAGATTTGCATGCCTGATATCCAAGATTCCAAATACACTGCGCGTCCGGTCCGAGGCAGTGTCTGACGTGCCCTTCCGGCAACCCGGGGCGTCCCTGACCTATCTTGAGCTGTAGCTATGGACCATAAGCTAATTGATCGGGCCTGGCATCGACAGGATGGACACCAGAACTTACGGATCTTACCCCGCCCAGGCCTTCTCCACCACACAGCCGTAAGCTCGCCGAAGACTTCGCTATATAAATAGGTGTCAATTCGTTTCAAGCAAGTATTCCATACTTTGTTCTCCATTCCCTAACATTTCACACTCCAAAGAAACTACTTCAATATGCCGACCGGATCTTGCTTTTGCCAGAACATCAAGTACTCGTATGAGGGCGACCCAATCGCTAAGGCATGTTGTATTGATGTGACTGAATGACTGTGCTAACATCAAACAGGCTTTGTGCCATTGTCTTGATTGCCGGAAGATGTCTGGGTCCACCTACAGCACCAACATCATCGTGCCTGGCGAAGGCTTCAAGCTTATCTCTGGTACGCCAAAGACGAAAACCGTAACTGCTGACAGCGGTGCATCTCCGAAAAATTACCTCTGCGGCGACTGTGGAACCACGCTCTGGAGAGAAACCGCTACCTTTGGCGACGCTAAAGTCCTCAAAATCGGCACCCTCGACGACCCTAATGGATTGAACAACTATAAGCCGGCTGTGGAGCTTTACACGAAGCACCGTGTTGAATGGCTGCCTCCGATTGAGGGTGCTGAGCAGAAGGAGGGCATGCCTTGAGTGATGTTCGGCTGAGGACGATATGTATATAGTTGTCAGGTAGCAGAACTTCGAGCATTCGACCGAATAATGATGCATGAATCTCATTCTGTGAGCGATAGTCCTGGAAAGGTGTGAAATATCTGCCCCTGAAGACTAGAACAGGCCTGATATGGTCCTGGCGCATGTTGTGATTAATCTGAATCAGATTCTTCGGGATATTTGAGCGTGTCGTCTAGTTGCTATTTTGAGGCCGTTACTAGTGTGATCACGCTGTGCACTCAAGGAACCAAAGCTTACCTTCTTAAGCAACATTTGGAGTTCTTTGAGTTTGTTTTCCTTGACCAAGAGGGTCTCGTCATCCAGCTCCTCGATGATGAAATCGCTGTTCCCCGCGTCAATTTTGAGAATGATTGCTTTGATCGAGGCATCGCATTGTACGAGAACACCTGGAAAGGTCAGTCAAGAGCCGATATTGTGCCTCGATATCCCGAACCTTTTGTAGCGCGAACCATGTTGTGAACAAGATAGCAATGCTTATTCAGAGTCCGCGGTGATTGAATTGCCTTGCCGAGTCGCAGTAATGACGTCGTTGGGACAGGTGCGAATATTCGAAATATTGTGTAAAAATATCGGTCAGATAGGTCAAGATATTAGACAGAGTGTGTATCTGTAGATGGATTGAAATGGGTTGACGTTGGAATATTCAGACATCAAGGTACTTGATCGATACTCCGACAGTTCCGGCATCCTCGAGCATGGACCACCTCCCAGCGCAGAGCAATCACCCCACAGAAAACAAGATAATCACTCCCAGAGTGTCAGGATACTATTACTGCACGTCATAATAGATCCCAACAATATACAAAACGACAATCTATGGACATACTGGTATATAATTATCAAGTCCTGAAAATGGCTAGACATATCCTTATTTTGTATGTAATATAAGATGATGAGGCATGATTGGATGTTCATCTGGTGGGGAACTCACCAATCAGACGTGTTCACAGAGCTTTGTCACCCACTAATTATGACCGATAGGCTTGAGCTTGTCTGGTTTCGTGGTCGTTCGAGTATCTTGTCTACGATTATAAATAAACATGCCACTGCAATAAGCTTCACCCGCCGGCGTTGCATATCCTTCCTTAAAACCAGAAGACGTGGAAGTCTCACTAAACATGTAACAAACTTCAGTCTCCTCTTAGCTTTTGCACGTCTTCTCCACCTTCCTTATCATCCAGTCCGCGACTTCCGAGCTCCATCTGCATCTCTGCTTGTACCAGGTCTCTATCTATACTAGGTACGACACGTCCTACCGGACGACCTTCGGACGACTCCGGATCGCATCCAATATGGCTCTCTCAACGCATTCTTGTAGATGCATATATCAAAGTTCATCGCTCGCCGCGCTGAGCACCCCAATGCTCTTCCTCTCGATGATATTACCACGCTCCTCCTACGCCCAACTCATCTCCTCAAATACCGTTGCCACGACTCCCCGATCAAGTATCTCCTTCACTAGCTCTACACTATCCACAACGACAGCTAGCTCCACGCTGAGCGAAATCGTGCAGACACCGCGACCCTCTCCATCCGCACAGCCAAACGCAATTGGTAGCACGGGCTCGTACAACGAGGATCCTGTGGACAAGCAGCACCAGAGTATACTCAACTACTATTTCGTCTTCCTCGTCCTTCTGGCCATAATTGTAGCCGTTGGTGTTTATATTCTGACAAAGAGGAGGAGACGGCAGAAGCTGGAGAATCGCAACACGAGCACGAGCGTTCTCGCGAGGGATCTTAATGGCTGGTCGAATTCGCGGCGCTGGATCAATGGCACGAGGGCGATGCGAACTGGAAATGCAGGCAGGACGAGCAGAGAAGACGGGCTGAATGAGCATGGAGAAGCACCACCTCCGTACGTGCCCAAGGTAGAAATTCCGCCAGGCAGTGAGGGGAATAGTTTTGCTATGCCTTTACGGACCCTCACTGGGGAAGGTCGGACAGTGGCGAGGCCTCCGGATTATGCAGAGGCATTGAGGACGCCAAATGAGAGTATCATCGACCCGAGCAGGCCAAACACAGCGGCAACGCATGGTGGCGAGTCGTCAAGAAGTATTCTAGGGAGCGGATGAATTTTCAGAAAGCTAGGCTACTTGATGGCATATATCTCTGAAAAGGAAGGATGATGCATTTCATCCTGGAAGCCCGAAAACAACCTCTGGGCCTGTCTCAATGTGCTTGTGATTCCTTTCACACTGGCTTTTGCCTGCTCAAGATGTCGTTCTCCTTTCCACAGTCGGTTTCAAGCTCATTCGTTTTAATGCATACCCAATCTCCATGCCTTTTCCAAAGCCCTCATCCTGTTCGTCGTCGGAATGTTCCACAGGCCGATCACTTTCCGATATTAAAGGCGATGAGGGCATATCGCCGCTCTCCTCGTTATCACTGTTGTCTTGGAATGGGTCTGGCAACGGTGTCTCAGCCGTCACTGTCTGGCGGCGTCTGGTACGCGGCACTGCCAACACCAACGGAAAGGGAAAGCCGTCTTTGTCCACATTCTTCCGCTTTGGACCTTCTGGAGCCTCCTGAGACCTCGAGTCAGCTGAAAGAAGCAAGTGCACATAAGCTCGACTCACTGCCATTTTCTCCTTCCAAGCATTCACCACATCAACAAGATACATCAGCCGCACATTCTTCAGATCATGCTCCAGCATTGCCCAGACCCTTACCGCAGCCTTCACCACGCCTGTCACAGCCCCCTCCGCCCCTGGACTCTCATCCAACCTCCTCAACCCATATTGTAATAGCGCCTTCAACCGCAACAGCGTAGCATCATGGACCTGCCCTCCATCACCATCATCAGCACGCTCTTCTCTCTCCTTTCCCTCCTGTCTCGCACACACTTACTCACCTCATACCCCACTGCCAATGCCGCTACGCCCCACGCCCATTCCCGGCCCCCAAGCCATCCTTTCAATCCCATCCTCTTCGTCTTCGCCACAATACACGCCGTCTCCGCAGCACACGCCCGCAGCTCCTCAAACACCATCAACTCGCTCTCTTCCGCGTTCTCCCCTCGCTCTCCGCTCGCAAGATACCACCGGAACCGCCACCGCGCCGTTGCGTCAATCTCGTCGTGCTCGTGCTTGTGCTTGTGCCCGCGTGCCAGCCGGTCGTAGTGTGTGTAGCCGTCGTCGCGGCGCTGCATTGGATGCAGGCGTGGATCTGTATGTGTGCGCGAAATGAGCGTGTCGGCGTAGGTGCGGAGCGAGGTGTGTTTGGCAAGGAGGGAGGTCAGTGGGTCGGAGGTGGATGATGATGCTGTGCTCATTGCGGTGGCGGCGGAGTGAAAGAGTGCGCTGCGGTGGGCGGATTGCGAGCGGATGTACGTGAGATGGGTGTCTGAGTTTGAGCGTTTGCGTCGTAGGTGGTGGGTGTTATTTGATGGACTGGGTTTAGGAGTAATAGCGATCGGTGGGTTTGTTGTGGTGGGCGACGGCATCGTGAAGTTAAGCTTGTACGATTTTGCGAATGGTAGGTGTTGAGTTGTGAACGGGATGATGTGAGTGGAGTGAATGTATGGTGTCAGGGTGTTGTGTGGTGTGTTTGTGTTTGCGAGTGCAAGCTGATCAGGGAGGGACGGCTGAGGATGTTCGAGGCTGCGGGTTCACTTTGGAGCAGTTTGTGGTTATCACGACCTAGGGTGTAGGAAAGTCCAAGCTTTCACTGGTTGTGCAGAACAGACTCGGGTTCGGGTAGGTCTGCCAGGGCTCATATGCCGTAGTCATTGTCAGTTGCTGTGCTGATCAATTTGCACTCTTTTAACATTGAAGAATAACAAATCATGGGAGATAGCCATTCTAGCTATCTAACACGTACATGTGTTTAGACAAGATATGAATAAGATGAGAGACCCTTATGTTTCTCATTACACCAACCTCAATAGTCCTGGAATCATATAGTATCAAGCATGTCTTGGGAGGGTTTTACGCAGCTTCCCGAAGCTCTTCTTTCGTGTCCAAATCCTCGTATAATACGCCGAAAGTCTAGGAAACTTCTCCGTGCTCCAACTATCCCAGTTTTCTATTATTGTATCTAGCATCGGCCACATTGCGCAATCTGCAATACTCAGACGGTTGCCGGCAATGTAGTCTTGACCATGCATGTCATTGATATCATCAAGCTCATCCAGCATCTCAAGGATACTGTCAGGTGTTTCTTCTTTGTCTTTCAAATTCGTCCATCTTTGGTGTAAGCTTTCGACCTTGAACAAGACTTGATAGGCTAGTGCTGTGGCTGGCTTGCCTTGCTCGCTGCGGTCAAACTGGTGGTAGCGGTCCAGGTATAGTAAGATGGGAACCGCACCAAATATCTCTGCATGACGCGTATCCGAGTCACGATACCCAATTTGTACAGTCGTTGTCGAGGCTTTGTCGAATGGTGGTGGAGGGCTGTAAGTTGTGTGCGCTATATCGAGCTCAGATAGACATACTGCGACCTGAGAGTTCGCAATGGAATTGTGTGACGTGAAAAATATTGGTTCGTCGCGTGGTGGTTTTCGGAAGTGTAGCACGTCGAACCCTCCTCCATATACTGCTTTCCAGTCAAAATTCGTACTCTGATTCTCCGTGCCAAATGCCCGGATGATCTCTTGTGTTTTCTTGTCGTCGTTGTTGATAACTTCGATAGCTTCTTCGCGAATCTTCGTAGTAGCTCCCTGTCCCCAAATGACGCTCGATCTTCCATCTATGAATGTGCCAATGTGTCTGAATGTCAATGATATACGCATCCCACAATATGCCTTTTCTGCGGCACTACGCTCCTCATCCAAGCGCTTGTCTGGTAGTATGCCATGCAGCCAGCGTTGGTTTGACTCTTCCCCAAGAACAAACATCGAGTTGTGAGGCATAGGAATTCGTTGCGTAGTCCTCGCAGCTTCAACAGTACTTTTGTCCAATTTGGCTGATCTTTTCGTCCTGAGACGCATCGTTCGTTGCGCTCCAAAACTGACGTTGACTATGCTCGAGCCTCGGACAATGTCCAACGTTTTGTCCGAGTGTTCGGAGATGCAGTCGGTCCCTGAACGGTACAACTGGATCAACACGTGATTAACTGGATGCTTTACGATCTTTTGAACCTGCTCTTTTATCAACTGCACGGACGGCGAAAAGTGCAGTAGAGGCAATGCCGTATCGGATGGATGTCGATAGATGGGCATACTTCCGTCTTTCCCAAAATCTCCTTGTGCACATACAAGCCTCGGCACTTCGCCTTGGGCATGAAACATCTTCTGCCATTTGACTTCATTATGCAGTAGCGAGAATATTTCATCAGAAATAGCAACCTCAGATCGAGCAGTACGTTTGAAATTTTCAGGAAAGAAGTGATAAATGATGCACGAGTCTCCCTCACCAATGCGATCGTTTGGTCCGAGGGTTGGGAACGTTGCTAAAGACTGAGGTTTCTTGGTGCTAGTCATAGCTGATAGACTATGCGGACGCGCTTTGTCTTGTTCTTCTTTCACAGACTGTGATCCCTGTGCAAGTGCAAATGATTTTGGGCGAGTTGGTGTGACTGGCGATCTTGCTGTCTTGGATTCAGTTGCTAGTTGTACTTGGGACTTGGCAAGTTTCAGAGACGGGAACACTCTGGAAGCTTTCTGACTCAACGTTTCTTTCTCCTTTTCCGGTGAAGTTATGCTGGTGCTTGCCTTTTTGCTGGATGACTCAACGGCTGAACTTGGTCTTGGCCTGGAAGATTCTTTACCAACTCTCAGATCACTACTAGCGGCTGGGTCAGTCATAGTGTCCTTCTTCTCATCGAGTGGCTTCTTCCTCGACCGCATACGGATTTTTGACTTCGTCATGCCTGATGGCGGCTCATCCCCTCCACCTGAGGGTGTCGAAAGATTAGTGCTCGAGCTCTTAGCCCTCTCATGAGAATGAGCAGCTACTGTCGTATTCGCAGCGTTGGCACTAGCGTTTGGCATAGGCTCTTGCTTGCTTGACGCTGTTGCAAGTCTAGTAGCAGCTTGTCTCAAAGCAGCCAGTGATGCCTTCTTCCGAAAACTGTTTTCTGGTGGCGAGAAAGGGTGTTGATTGAGGCTCATATTTCCTACAAGTTCGTTTAGATCTGTATCTTCTTTCGATTTTTGGGTCTTCTTTTTCTTGCTTCTCGAACTCTCGATTTCGATTGGAGCTGTCAAAACTGTGGTGATCTCTTCACTTGATATGAGATTGGCTCCCATGACTTCTGTCATTTGCTTTAATGCTTCCTCGTGACGCAAGACCTTCCTATAACCAAGACAGTCATGGACTATATTTATAGCAATACCGTGCCGGGCAGCATCCAGTGCGGTGGCGTAAACAGAGATATTCGTAATACAGCCGCATATGTAGAGCTCTGTGATAAGCTTGGCACGAAGATTGATCAAGAGAGCAGTTGAATTGAACGCGGAGTAGTTCGTGGCCACAACGGTGAGATCTGCAGAAGAATCAATACAGGCCTCGACTTCCGGATTAAATTTTGCCCCATCAGTGTTAGGTATGCAACACGCCGGGTGAGCAGAAGTGTTTGACAAGAATGTCTCGTCTTCCTCTACTGGCACCGAAGACGGTTCTCGTATAGAGTGCCTGCGTGATGACATCTTCTTGAGCAAATCTAAGGCACGGCTCTTGTGTCGAGAAGCACGTGCTTTGGATGCAGCAGCAGAGGCGTCCTTGACCTCATCGGCACTGTCGTCTGACTCCTCTCCAGCAGAGTCCAGCATGTCTAAGAGGATGACATCGCCTTCACCCACAGGATCGTTCACAATACGATCTTCGTGGTAGCATGTCGATATCCAGACAATGTCGCCAGCATTCTCTCGGAATATTGGAACCATTTCTTGGATTCGCTGAACAAATCCGGAGCTGGTGTCAACAGGTAGTCTCCCGCTCGGTGAGATGAAGTCATTTTGGAGGCCAAGGACCAGTAAGGCCTGTCGTGTCTGAAGACTCGGCTGGTTCTGCGTGAGCAGATCTAAGAACGAGGTCGCCATTCTCGAACATCACGTCAATCTCCTGTTTCTGCGCTTGCTCGCAGCAAATAAAGTGTGGTCTATCCTCTTCTGCGGATCTGCGATATGATTCTCATTTTCTTAGCCCACAATGCGAAGACATTTGGGCCAATATTCCGGAGGAGATATATAGCAGAGAGTCAGGTTCCAATAAAGCGATTGTGTGCAGGTGCAAGTAACGGAATGTTGAGTGGGCGAGAAGATCTATGAATCGACGCTAGCTAAGACTAGAATTGGCCCCCAACAAGCCTCATGGCACATATATTAATAACTAGCCGATAATTCTCACTCCCTATACATGCATGTTAGCAGTCTCAGGATCCTTGCCCTCTATGTCATTGAACATGAGAGTCAAGTATGCCCGGATATTGGGCTAACCATCTCCGGTCTGTACATAGTTTTCTCGCCTATAAAGGCACCCCCGGTATTCTGGGGAATAAGCTTCAGGTATGCAATCCTGCCAATGTCAAAAGGTGCACCTGGGACCGTAATAGTCTAAAAGGCTCGCATACTCAGGACAATTTGGCCAACGTGGATTTGTATGATATGCGAAAGCGAGAACGTGGGGCTTTTGTGGCTGGGACCTGTGAAGGTGTGTATCATGCAGAGTCCTCCACTCCGCACATCACTTTCCGAAGAAGCTTGTGATCTTCTTACTACCAGTAGTACCTGGCTTCGCTTTGTGGTTCTTTGCTGTGGCTGGTGACTCTTTCTGATTTGTCGTCGAGCTTCTGGTTTTGTGATCTCCTTTCAGAGAAGATTTTGCTGGTGATCTGCTCTTGAGAGAATGTTGGTCTGATAGCCTCAGGGACTTTTGTTTGGGCTCCCCTGTATTTACGTCGATTTCGGCTTCTTCGTGGGTACGCTTTGAATTTGCCGTTCCAGCATTGTCTTGAGGAACAGGTAGAGGCGCATTGTCTTCTGTACTTGTTGTGTCCTCAACGGTCCCGCGTGGCTCGTCTGAATCTTTCTTCACTTTGGAGTTTGAGGTGCTTGATGGAAGTTGTGCAAGCTTCTTCTGGTTGTCGAAGAAGTTTGCAATATTGCTCTTGTTTTCAGCACTGTCGACAGGAACAATGAACTTTGAAGAGTTATTGCCAACTTTGCCGACCTCTTGGCTGACCGGGTAACATTCAAGTTCTCCATTGTATGGCTTCAAGAGAGATTGCAGGTCTTTCGTCCATGTTGTCTGCTTTGGATCCAGCCATTTGAACAGATCATCTGATCCGTTATCGAAGACCACGGGCATCCGATCATGAAGAAAGTTCAATTGCTTATTACTGTCAGTTGTGATGATGGTGTATGTGTAATGCTTTTCGTCAGACCCTGTGTCAGAGTCAGTAAATTTCCACGCGGCCACCATATATACGCTCACCTTCATACTGGACACAGTCCCATAGCCCAGCAACACACATGAGCTGACCATCTTTACGCTTGATGAAATGCGGTACTTTGTGCTTACCGCCATCCTTCTTGAGCCATTCATAGAAGCCCGAGAATACCACGACACATCGTTTTCTCATCTTAGGTACAGTCCAGATACCTCGATTGTCTAGCAGCGAATCGTCCCTACAATTGATAGTCTTCATCACAGACCCATAGTCCGGATTTCGCTTGGTAAAGAACGGAACAAGTCCTATCGAATGTCAGTTCACTATTTTAGCAATGCTAGATACAAGATACGCACCCCATTTCATAGCTTGAAGCTTGTAGGTCGCTTCTGAAACATCCTGGGACTCGTTGTCCTCTATATTCTCAACTTTAATGTTGTCACCGTCGCTGTCGCCTCCATCATGCTTGCTGCTGCTGTGGTTCTGTGACTCAGCGCCAGTGTATGGCACATCTGCACGATATACCAGTCCAAAGTACCCAGGAGCGAAGTTGTACGTTTGCCTTACTTCGTCGTCTGCAGGAGTCTCCTGGGAAGGCATTTGCGCATTTTCCAATTGATCTCGAACCTCAGAGGGCCGCTTGCAGATTTCAGCGTCAGCATATTACTACTCAAACCATCCAATATGAGCTGAGCTGAAATGAATTGCTTCTTGCTAATTGTCGATCGATGTAGAGCACTGCGTACATTACGTCATGACAGCGCGACGAAGCTCGAGAAGGGAGAAGCAAAGAAAAACACTTACAAGGAAGAAAGCATAACGACCACACATGATGTTTAGTATACGGGATTCAATCGAGCAGAGATCCTCTACGGACGAACAACATCTATGACCGCAGAAGTTGTGACAATGGAGATCTATCAATACGTTGTACACTTGTACTGGACAACTTGGGCGGCGGATACGGAGCAGCGCCGCACGCTGAATCAGCAGAGAAGAAGTTCATCATCAACTTTGAGCAGCTTCGATGACGTTACGGTACCTCGTAGTCAACAATGTTATCGAGGCATATGGCGAGGGCGCTTGCCCGAACATCCACATTCAGTTTCGGAATCCCCAATACACGACCAATTACCAGTTGTGCAAAGCGACCAAAAGCACCATCATGCGTCCCACGTATAACTCGAATCCAAATGCACCAACAGCGGCACCGAGGCACGCTCGCAATCCTCAAAGCGCAATACCAAAGGACCCCTGGTCAAATGAGTGTAGCCATCGTCTTGTATGCTCACCCTACTCATTGCCTATGCATGCCATTGACCATTTCCCAGACTCGGTGTCATTGCTATAGGCATAGCGATATTTCCTTACATGGCACTCAAAGCATACTTCTGGCCATATCACAAGTTCCCCGATGAGGTCGCGGCGGAGCTACGCAAGGCGATATACTTCCATACCCAGAGCTGGGATCCCGAGAAGGCAATGCAGTACTACAAGGCCGCGCTAATGAAGGCACAAGCGCTCGGCATGAACCCGGTGAGCGACGAGATTACAGGGACCAAGCTTTCGGTGGCGGAGCTGTTGAAGCAGTGTGGGCTTGTTGATCGGTGTATCGGGGTGTATGAGTTGGTTCTGAAGGACTGTACGAATTACTTGAAGGACAAGGGCGAGGAGCATTATGAAGATGGCGAGAGGACGCGGTTGCTCATGAAAAGCGTGTCAATCAGCATGAAGCTTGGAGAGATGTATGCATCGGACTCGGTACTAGACATCGAGGCTGCTGAGCGGCATCTGCTCTGGGGTGTCGAGACTACGATGAAGGAGCGCATACGACGTCAGAAGGACGGCGTGAAAGAAGGCGAGGGAGATTGGTTCACAGACGAGCAATACGGCGCGTCGTGCGAATGTGAGCATTGCCTCCTCTCCATTCTCTTCAAACCCCAAACCAAACTAATATTTCAACTAGCCCTCGCGCTCCACTACGAGTCCAAAATGCTGCACTACCTGGCAACCCCTCTCCTCCTCCAAGCGCTCACAGTCTCCCCTCCGAAATCCTGCCATTCCGTCGTAATCAGTATGTTCTTCTCCACGACCTCCTCCTTCATTCTTCCCAACCCACTAATCCCATCCCTCCAGTGTCCAACCTCGCAAATTGCATCTTCCAAACAACTCCACCGCCTTCACTAACCACAGCCAAACCTCTACCTGCCACCTCTTTCAAACAACCCGCCTCTACCTCCTCCCTACCCCCATCACAAGACTCCTTCCCCACTACTCCACATCCAAGTAAAGAAGTGCTCCGCACACAAGCCAGCGCCTGGGCGCGCAAAGCCCTCGCGCTGTCCACCAGTATCACGGAGGGACGCACACAAGAATGCGATCTGGGTTGCGCTGCAGCGACACATGCGCTAGGTGAATTTGCGGAGGCGGGTGGGGAATTTGATGTGGCGAGGAAGCTGTATGAGGAGGCGAAGGGGAGGAGTGTAGGATTGGGATTTGAAGAGGGTGTGAAGAATGCGGAGATGGGACTGAAGAGGATCGAAGAGAAGTCGGGGAGTGAGGAGAAGATGTAGATCAATTTGTTTGGCAGAAGAGAGGAGAGTGTGTCAGTGATAGAGACAGGCAAAAGAAGCGTAGTGTAAAAGCATCATGATAACACTGCGGCTACAGAGTCCGCGCGGTGTGATTTGAATATCTTTATTCTTTCCAAATTACATTACGCTCCCGTCGGGACCGCCACACGGTTCACGATGGGTAGACAGGAAGATGATACAATACAAAAGTATCCCGAGTCGGGAAACTGTGAAATGCGCCTAGGTGCCGTGCCATATCGTCATGAAGATGCTCATTGGAGCAAAACAAATACCCACCCAGCGACGAATTTGTACATATCCCAGGTATAATGTTCCATGTCTCAACCACATATACATCGTCTAAGTTGCTCGTACCCCTTCATGCTCCTGTTGCTGCTGATTTTCGTATCATAGATCTTACACCGTGAATAATGCTCAAAGCACAAAGGCCTCAGAGAAAACCACAATGTCTTTTATACATTATAGTATGCCTCATCGAGTATCGGCTGGTATTATCGTCGCCGTGCTCGCCGTCCGCCTACCCCATCCCCAAAACCCGCCTCCTCCAGCAATCGTACTGCTCGGAGGCATTTCCGTTTTCGGCGTCTGTGGCATGTTGGCTCCTCCTCCAGCAATCGCTCTACGTAGCGATTCAAATTTGTTTTTCAACTCTTCAAGCTCTTGCCTTGCACTGGCTTCTGCAGTCTTAGCGCTAACCAACTCGACAAGGAGCGCGTCTTGGTTCATTGGGTTATGATTTTCGCTCGCTGCAATCAGAGACGAGCCTCGCTTGGGCAAGTTAGTAATACCTTTGGCGGGCTGATTGACAGAGCCTGCTCGACCTAGCTTAAACTCGCGTAGCCCTCCAAGTGAGGATGTGGTAGAATCACCAGTGTCAGCACGGCTAAGTGGTGGTGTGCTACCTTCCTGATGGGTGCTACTAGGTCGACGGTCGTTGCGGCGTAAATCTTGCACTGATTTCTCGAGATTATTGCTCCTATTGTAAGAGTCTTGTAATCGCTGGCGAGTTTCTTTGAGTGCCTCTTGAGCTGCGTGTGACTGAGACTTCTCTTCACTGAGCTCCTGTGAGAGGGCATCGCAGAGGGTGCTTTTTGCGTGGAGTTGCTCTCTGATTCGGCTGAGAGCATCTCGTAGTGACGATTTCGTTTCGAAAGTCGAAGATTTTCGAGCAAGTTGGGCGTCGTCACTGAAACGGACCGACATATCGTGTATCATGGTTTGAACGTCATCGGGTAGCTCGACAGAGAGAGACGAAGGCGTAGTTATAGTAAGTAAGCCTGCCGACACAGTCGTCCTGCGACGCGTAGGCTTACCCTCGGAGGGCGATCCTGGTGGTGAGCGCGGCTGTTTTAGACGATCCAGTAAGGTCTTCACGGTGCGCTGGTCTTCTGCACGATCTTCGTGACTTTTCTGAAGTTGAGAAACAAGTAATGCGTTTTCACGTTGACGCTCGCTCAGTGCCATGAGCAGTTCCTCGATCTCCTGATGCATTTCCCGATCTTTGCTTGGTATGACGTTGCGGCCTGTCAGAGTTCCGGACTCTGTTGGTGACTTGATTGAGAGCTCGTCTCCGGAAGAATGTCTCGATAATGATGTAGCATGTGTAGCAGCTTCACTGATAAAGCTTGTTGTTCCATCAGACGGGACACCCGCCGAGTTGATTGTTGAGGTCAAACTTTGTTTAGACGTTGTTCGACGAAGTAACATAAATCCACTCGAACGCCGATTCTGATTTTGGTTCGGTATTCCAGGACTTAGAGATTGTGGCTTGGCGATCGTAGAAGATGTGACCCAGAGACGACCAAAGAATTTTGCAGCTGCAGACTGGATACCTGGAGACGCTTCTGATCTAGAACCACCGATTGTCTGGGCCTCTTTGAAGCTTGCTTCAAGGTTTTCGAGAATGTCTTTCGTCACTATGCCTGTGAAGCTAGTGAAGTCGGTAATGAGTTCATTTGCGGCCTCAGGTTCATGCCCATATGGTTCCCAGACTTGCGGGCCTAGAAGAACTGCCATGGCTTCTTCGTAGTCTGCTTTGAGAAGTCTTTCTTCGTTCCTGCGCATGATCGATAGAGCCACGCGCATAATGGTCTCTGAAGCGCCCTCAGCAAACATCACATCGTATATGCGGAAGAGCATCGAGTCAGGACAGTGTGCAGCGAATAGTGACAAGCACCATTGCGTGAGATAATCAGCCCCATTGATGGATATCTCGTCAAAGTGTGACGCTAGAATGGGAAGGTGCTGTCGTAATAGTTGCTGGAACTGATAAACTCGTAGGTGAAGACCAGGGAGCTCTGGTAAGAAGCAGCTACGGAGGTTGTATTCATTGATAAGCCTATAAGAAATTAGTGGTGTTAACAGCACTCATATGATTCAACATACCGTACGAGGACGCAGAATGCTTCTCTCTCACTCATATTCTTCAGTAAAGTCCCGACTGGAAACCCAAGACCTTGACAGTACCCTATGTCAGAATCATATATACTGAAACACTTCAGTACGTTGGACAGGGCTCGTTGGCCGTCACTTTGTGGGGTTCTAAAGTATTCATGGTTTGGAAAGCTCCGACCCACATCTTTGCTGATCTGTGGCTCGTGTGGACTTGACTCTCTGCAGAGATGGTTGTATCTCTCCTCTAGGGATGGGTCTCTAGCACCAGCCATGCTGAGCCATATTTGGCCGCGCAAGGGATCAGGAACACCTGCACGAATCTTGTTGGATGTGAGAATGGGCAATCGAAGGGCGGTTTCCGGGTAATTGCTTGCTAGAGCCGCCCAGAATTCTAATTCAGTCATTGGTGGAGGAGAGGGAAGGTAGGAATATCGGATAGTAGAAGGGTCTTGTTCAAGCATCTTCCGCAACTGTTGCATTGATGGTGGTCGAGACTCGCTGCGTTCGCGCCTCTTCAAGCCAGATTTGGGGTCTTTTGCGAGGCGATTGTTCTCTTGGTCCAGCCGCGCAAGGAGCAGAGCCGTAGCCTATATTATTACGGTCAGCTGAATGTTTATTTGTCCACATGCGGTAGTATACATGCCTCGTCTGAACGCTCATCTCTCATCTCCTCACTCTCTTTCTGGTCTAGGCGCGCCCAATCTACCTCTACTGTCGCTTCAGGGATGGAGCTAGCGGGACGGGAGCTGTTGCTATATAGCTCTTGATGATCCTCGACGGAGTTTGTGATGACTGGTATGGAGCTGATAGAGTCCTCTCGTGAGGCATTGTTTCTTCCTCCATCGTTGGTAGCTCTCATACTATCGAGTCCATCTGAAGCATCTGATATTACAGTGTTACGTTCCGATCTTGGCTCTGATAGGCTAACGGTGACCATAGAATCAGTTGGTAATTTGCCGCTGTCGACATGTGTCCGAGGACTACGGTCTGGGCGTGACTCTGTTGAGTCAGAGCTAACATCGAGAGGCTGCTCCATTTCGAATTCGAATTGTGGGAGGATCAGGTCATGGGCATCGATCCGCGGCTACAAGTGCAGCAGAAATGTTGTTGGGGGCGCTTTGTGATATGAATTAATGCTTGTTCGTGCTTGCAACAATGAATTCTGTATTTCTCCACCAAGTCGAGAAGAATGTACACGACAAAGCGACTCGATTGTCAACAGCGTTTTAGATTGGTCTCAGTGCGGTCAAACAAGGTTTTGTGTGGGATTAGCACGGGCTGGGACAAGGATAAATAATGATAGAGAACAATGAGAGTGACTGCGTGAGGAGGCTGCTACAGTCATAGAACGAGCTAGAGGCGAGGTGGAGGTGTAGGGTGGAAGTTGTGCGCACGGAGAACGTCGAGGGGAAGCTTCAGGAGGATGGCGATGGAGATGAAGATGGAGATATCCTTGTTAGGTATGGTCGGACCCTGAAGCCCTGAACACAGGGGCCTGCAGTCGCGCTTGCTGGCTGGCTGGTGGTAGTTCCCTATGGGTCCCTAAAGTCCTTGTGGTCTGGCGGGTCGTCTGGCGCGCCATCTCGCGTGGGCAGCTGATTTTTAATTAACCACTAATCAATACACTATGGATTATTTAATCAACCGCCCTTCCTCGATTCTGTCGCAGACATTGGAAAAATCTATTCACATGTATATTGTAGAGTTCTACACCCATCGATCTTCACATTCTCCAGAAGCGGCACACTTGTTACTTACATGCGGTCAGCATAAACTCCATCGGAGCATCTTGTTGCAGAGGGAAGAACGCATACGCATATCGTGCATGGAGGCAGATGATGATGACCAGTCCCCACCACCAAACAGTCTCTTCTACCAATCACAACCACCTCTCAGTTGACCTCATATACTACTTGCTGGTTGGATGATATGCCCGATCTTTCTGCCTTTGTTTTCCACCACGCCAACCACTTATTTTGTTCTGCTCACTCCTCTACTTTCCTATCGCCACCGCATTCCTATCATTTTCCATTTCCACAAAAGGTGCCGTAGACTGACTGGTGTGCCGCATTCATTATCTCCTGTCACGCACCCTTCTTTTGAAATTACGATGCGAGCCTCGAGCCAAGCAAAGTCTTCTGGAGCCCCTATTCGCCAAATTATGATCATCTACTCCCGCTGTTACCAAGATAGGTGACCAACGTGTGCCACCACAGCTAGATCATTTGGCATTACATGGGACTGCTGCATACAGTACTCATTGCCCCTTCTCTAGATGCATTTTACTTACTGTCGCTGTAAGGAAGCTGAAATCAACTTGAGTTAATCTAGCACAGTCAGAATCCGAGTGCGGGTGGTCTAACCTATCTAAGGTTAGCGTTTCTGGTGAGGCCAACGTCTTCCAGATTCGCAGATGAAAACAATACAGCTGCACTCAAGCGATGGTAGCCGCGCGTGTTAAATCGCGAGAATCAGACTTTCCATCAGAAGAATAAAGTACCATGTTTAAGGCAGATCTGCGGATCGAGAGGTAATAAATAGGTCTTCTCCTGACTAAACCGCTTTCTTTCTTTTCTTTGTACTTGTCAATCTTTGTCTCTACAACGTCTATGTGAAATGCAGTAATCCGCTTCTCCTTATCGTCTGTCTAGCAAAAAGCTCTTGCATTAAACGAACATATAGATAGAGGACGAACCAATGCATTCTTGCAGGAAACCAAAAGAGAATGGAAGAGCATAGAGAGAGATGAATATCTTAGAACCTCGTTTCATAACGTCAAAAGCCAGAGCAAAACTACAACCCCCGGGATTTGAACCGGGGGATCTGCAGAAAGTCTCCATGGTAGGACTTTTTTGGTCTTGATTAAGTGCGCGTTGTTGACTTTACGCCATAAGTGCCGCTGACTGAACTCTCGCAAATTTCACTGGCATATGTTGTGCCAAAAAAGAGACATAACGTGACCTGGACGTCTTTGGGTTCGAGAATATCACTTCTGGTCACGCACTTCACGCTGATTTCCAGGAGAGGCGCAGAGAACGAGCTCGCTTAGCAGTCTCGATGACGACTGTGAGCTAGAAACGAAGCACATGGAGACTAGAGAGCTGATTCGAGCCGTTTCATGGTTTAAATCAAATGTCTTCACAGAGTGTAGACATTATATCATGGACCTGGTTCGAGCAAGGGATCTTTACAGGTTTCTGAAACCTCTTCGATGTATGGACTCTTTGGGATCCAAAGAGATTCTAAGATGTTCCTCGGATGACGCAGGTCCGCAATGTTACAACATCGTGCTCGCCAGAGCTCGCATAATGTTATTCATCTATGTATGAAGTACGTCCCGACGAAGCTACCTGAACAAGAATATTTGCTGACAAGTTCATTTCGACAGCACCGAGATTCTACCTGTGTAGATAAGGACATGGCAACACACGCAGTTTCGTGAGCCCTTTCACTCATATCGCTGCTCTCTACAGGGGGTCTGTGCCGCTTGCCCCACTCCGAGTGTGTTGTTTCACGTTGTTCGTCATTGGATTGGCAGCACAGCTCGAACTGTGTTGACGTCAGTCAACCCGCTTTCGACTTCCTGGGCTTTGGTCGTCTCAATGGCAGCCTAACGGTTAATATTGCCTCACACTGTTCAAGCCTAGCTCCTCAATACTCGCTCACTTCGTGGCCTGTCTTCGGCGCATCAAAGTCCATCGCCCCAGGTTTGCTCAATAGAGCCCTTGTCAGTCACTATAGGGGCATTGATTGATTGGTATTCAGAGGTGGGGATAGTAGAGCTCTCCGCAAACAGTAGGGCTACTGTGGTGTACAATAGAATGGCTCTGCGTCGCGTGTTGTGAAGTGCTGACGTTGAAGCACGCTAGCAATGTTCACTTGTTTACGAGCAATCTCGCGGTGACCACGCTCGCCCTTCCACCCTTAAAATCTCTGTCGGGTCTCTTTCTCCTTCATCTCAACTACATCTCTCTGCTCGATCTCCTCTCATCGAGCAGTTTCCCTACACACTTCCCAATTACTTCAATCAACGTTTCTTACTCCCACTCTGACTTGCTATTCAACTGTAACCATGTCTGTCACTCCTATGGAATCCTTTGGTGAGTCTCACTTTTCAGCAACTTTGAGACGTGTTGTGAAACTGACGTTGAACGCAGTTCGTAGTAGTGCGCCCTCCGGTGACCTCAGCGAAGCAGTTGATGGCCAGGGACAGTCACTGTCTCGGAACACCAGCTTTGTCGGGACTCCTGGTAGTGGCTACTTTGGTCATATGTCCAACGTGTCTACTCTCAACGCAATGTTTCCCAAGAAGGATTTCTTCGATCCAGCTAGGAACGCCTTCATGAAGACTGACAGTCGTCGAACCAGCAATGAGACCAAGCAAAGCCAGGTCTTCACGTCGTCTTCATCTCTTTCGTCTTGCTCGTCAGACAATGACAGTGCTGTGTTCAACACTGGCTTGAAACGCTCTGAGTCATCCACAATGGATGATAAACTCTCCAGCGGTGTCCAGTTCCTAGGATCGTCTCCTCAGGAGAAGGCCAAAGCAAAGACTCTCAATGTGCCTCAGACGTCTACCACTAGACGCACCCGCAACGCCACTGCTGTCGCCTCGCAAAAAGCCAGGGATTCTTCCGCAGCGATGATGGAGCGTATCTTCGCGTACTACAACAAAATGACTCACGATCAGAAAGTGGCCTCGTGTGATTACATGAGGCGTCAGGTCGAGGATACTCAAGCACCGAAGGACAGCAAGCCAGTAAGTCAAACTGTTCCTGAGCACAAACCTTTGCGCTGACAGTCCAGCAGCATGAACAGACTGTGAAATCTTATGGAAGTATGCGCAAGACTGGCTATTCGGAAGCTGACGCAAGTGATGCTGAGTCCGATGTTTCTGAGTACGATCAGACTCCAGCTACGGGTAGCAAAAGGCAGCTCGCTCTTAAGGTCAGCAGGTCTTCAAAAAGACAGCAGAGAATTGCCAATTCTTCCGTAAGTTTTCACTTCGTAGAGTTGGTCCTAACGACGTACTGATTGATATAGCAGGAAACATCGTCCGAGGAGCAGTCCCATGTCAAGGATGAGGATTTCGAGGAGACAAAGTCTCGTCTTCCAAAGTCCAAGCGAGCCCAAACAGACCGTACCCATTCTCAGGCCATTCAGGATACTAAGCATCTCTTCATGAAGCCCCAGGATGCTGGCTTGCCCTCTTACACCCCTGTCGGTAGCATCACCGACCGCTACCCAAACCCCTCTACCGACACCACGCAGTTCTACACTGGACGCTATCACGACACTGACAAGGGCGTCAGAGTCGATCAGCAAGCGAAGTTGGTCATGAAGATTCCTCATCCTGATCCAAACAAGGAATCAAAGATCATCTGGCACCACGTTCCCCGAAACTGGCAAGATCCTCACACCATCACTGTCCTCAACCGCTGGCGTTCCCAGGCCATCAAGCGCCACACCGGCATGAAGCAGCGCCAGAAAATTGTCCGTTACGATTATGCGGAGCGTGAGTTTATCCGGGACGTTGTCCTCAATGACAAAGACTTCAAGGACGCCTCCACCAAGGAGCGTCCCAATGTCCTCACTAATAAGCTCAATGCGAAGTTCTTTGGCGTCAGCTTGACCGGCCCTGAGCTTGATGCATACCGCCAGGCTACCACTGATGAGCAGCGTGCTCGTATCAAGCCCAGCAAGAAGCGTGCACTCCGCACCAAAGCTTCTGTCGCGTCTGAGTACAGCCGTCACATTGATGACTATGCCAGTGGTCGTATCCCTGAGCGCAGACTCACAGGTTGGAACATTGACAACCAGTCTGAGGATGAGGATGTCGACATGGAAGATAGCAAGGTCGCCGTCAAGGACAATGATGAAGTTGAAGAAGATGATGTCAACAAGGACGACGAAGCCGACAATGCCGTCAAGGAAGATGATGAAGCCAATGACTCTCTTGTTAGCGGTAGTCTTCTCCTCACCGACACAAAGGATACCGGTCCTATCAACAGCTTTGTAGCCATCAACGCCAACGCTGCTGGGCCCCAGAAGATTGAGAGCGAGGACGATGAGGAGCTCTGAATACTTGACGGCAGGGAAGTCCAACTGTGAACATTATTACTGACAAGCGATTGGCAATGAACGCCATACTACCTGTTACCTACGCGATTGGCAATGCGCGCCATACCCACCACCCTCTACGCGATTGGCAATGCGAGCCATACCAAACACATTCTACGCGATTGGCAATGCGAGCCATAACCACCACCTTCTACGCGATTGGCAATGCGTGTCATACTCACCACTTCCCCTTTGCACAAGCGTTTGATCATGCACGTTACACTATCCCCTTGCGAAAATGAACGTCACACTACACTGAACGAGTGATTGGCAATGAATGTCACACCATAAATTGGAAAAGCCATTGGCTAGAAACACCACTTTGCATTTTGTCACATGTCTTTTCTTTGATCACCTGTTTATTTCCCATGGTCTTCCTCGCGGTCTTCACACAACCTGCGAAAAGTCCTCATGGTCTACACACTTAACTTCTTGTACACAGCGATTTGTTTTCTTTCACAGCTTTATGGCCTGTCTCTCCGGGACAGCCGATTCAAGCATCTTGAGTCACTCATCTGCAACCTCATGGTCGTCAACACTCTTCACACGATGTTGAACACGTCCTCATGGTCAAGCAGATATCTTATTGTACACGGCGTGTCTTTTTCTTGTGGCAAAGTTCATCTTGTTTATTATGGTCTGACTCCCGGAGCAGCCGACTCGTATCGAGTCCCGTTGGCAAACAATATTGTCAACCCATCACACTCACGTAAGCTTGGATAGATCCTATCTGCTATGCCGGATACTTGGTATCTGGCTGCAGTCTGGACACGGTCTCATAGCTTACTATCTGCGAAAATAAAAGTGCTTTTACTGTATCTTTCATCCTGTGATCTTCTTTGTGACTTCTCTGTTGTCTTTAATTTTCATAATCTGTGCGCTCAGTTCAGAATCCTCTCTTCTCTTTTTTCGTTTTGAAGTTTCCGCCTCTCTCATAGCTTGGATCGTACACTTCACAGCTGCGAGATTCGATTACCGCCTCGTCCGCTACGGCCTAACTCCAAAGGTTCACAGCCACCAGAAGCAAGTGACAGCTATATTTCTAAGTCAAACATCTTGAAGCCGCTATAATCGCCACATGATCGACATTTCCCAGTCTTGTTGGCACCATCCACTTCTCTCTGGAAGAGATGTCAATCCCAGCCTTGCGTAACGAGTCTCTGTTCAGATACACTTCGATTTTTATTTGCTAGCCTAGGTTCTAACCTTCATTCATCATTTGCTTCGTCGGTTACTCGCAAGTGTAGATGCAAATACAAATCTAAAATCATTATTAATTGACTCGTAGGTCAAAGCTGGTCAACTAATGAATTTTCTCAGGCACTAAAATTCGATTGTTAATCGACCGCACGACGACTTGGACCTAACTTGGTCACCTCATAAATACCACCACGCCGAATGAATCCCTGCAATGTGGTCGACCACTCGCAAGCTCATTAGATATTAAAGAAATGCTTCAAATCGTGTGCGAAGCTTCATCTTTGTGAGATACATGATGCTCTACAACACATAACGCTTAAGCGGCAACGGCAAGCGTGTGCGAACACTTCGCCAGGCGCGATAGGTTGTGAACACCTGTATGCAATGTTATTTCAGGTAATATAAATCCCGCGTGAAAGATGTATGTCGCGCAGACCTTGGCTGGTGGAAGATTCTCGTACCAGGTAAGTAAGCTGCGATCACCTCATGGCGAAGTACTGGAATTGGAGGTTTTCCTCGAGCGAGATTGATCGGCTTCAAACACCGTAGTGTGCCATCGTGAATCCATGGGCTGTTACCCAAAATAGCCAACAAATAAAGTTCATTCAGTGCCTTATGAGGAAACATCTTGAGTTGGTATATAGGCTTTCAGGGTGTCGAAATCAAAGAAATTGGATTGCTTAATAAGAGGACTTTTGGAGTATGTATTGGTTCACGGTAATCACTATACATAGCAGATTCTACCAAGGTCTCTTCCAAAATCTTGGATTCTTCATTCTCCACAAATAGTCCAACTTCTCTGGAGCAGGAAGTGCATTTCTAGTCATTACAGTCTACGCCATTGTCAACACACACTATACCTCCTTTTTGGCTACTTGCTGCCACGCAAGCTCTCCAAGATCCTCGCTGCCGCCACGTCCTCTTCCGTCAACTCCAGCCCGCGAAACTCTACCGCCGCTGCATCCATCGTCTCAGCGGCATCCCGGTCCCTACCTCTCTGTCTGGCCGCCAGACGTTCCTGCACCTCTCTCATTGCGGAGGCCACCGGGGCACGAGTAGAGGCGCGGGCCGGGTCATTCCGACCTTCGTCAGCATCCAGGAGCTCTAGGAGGCTGAAGAGCCGAGCGTTTGAGATGTGCCCCCAGGGCTCTCGGTCAGAGACGCCACTGGCAACCAAGGCGCGCCTGTCAAGCTCGTGGCCGGCGGTACGGATCAGGTCAACCAGTGTGTCTGGGCTCATGTATTTGTAGTCTGGGTGGACGAGGGGAACGAGGTGGTGGGTCCAGTGGTCGTGCTCGTTAGGCTTGATGTGGTTGTCGGGGCTATAGAGTGCCTCGTGGGCGTTGTAAAGGAGGAACCCGTGGGAATGGGTTGCTGAGGGAGGAGTGTTGCCCACGTGAGGCCCGGGCGTGGGCGCTGCATAGGGGGACGGTAGACGGGAGAGGGGTGTTACTGGAGCTGGAATTGCGATTGGGTAGCAGGAAGATCGTGAGCCAGAGGCAGCATCTTTAGTGTCTGACATTTTGCTTAGGAATTGGGGTGAGTTGTTTGAAGTTTGACTGTAGGAACCTCGCGATTAGGCTGAAATCTGTGAGCTTGTTTGCTCACATCCAACAACTGGCAGAACCACAGTGACCAGAAGATGGTGATAGAAATGATTACATACCTTCGTAGTAGAAAGACTCAACTCCTTGTGTTGCCTGATCGTTGTTTGTCTTTAAATATGCACTGATACCAAGACAGAGGATTGAGTAAATAGCAGAGGTGGATGGTTGTTCGCACAATTTCATCGATACCGCAGGGAGTGGTAGACTCTTGTGACCACGGCCAAGTCACGTTAAGTCACTCAAGGTAGTAAACTTAACTTGAAAATTTGTGCGAGGAGCCTAATCACTGAAGTATTCACTCAATACCCGGCGGTCTCAGCTCCGGAGGGCAAATATGATAATAACCTTGACCATGAAATATTCTTACGAACTCTTGCCATTCTGCATGGATGGGGTTTGATAGAACCCCAATCCCCAAAGTCACTCCTATCATCATTTTTTGAGACCATTCGACATGATGACGTACTGTATTCTGCCATTATAAGAATCCTCTCCTATACGCGGAACTACTCTACTATTCAATCTCCAAATCAAACCCTCTTTATAACCACGTCAATGAGGATCAGATTTGCTGAAGATTTATATGCACTATCTGTGCTCCGACAACTCCCTATTTGATCACTCCCGTTAGTGTCAGCTTCTGAAGAACTTGCATGTATTGTTTGATGTGATAGACGAAAGCACAATGTTATAGATCGATGCCTCTTAACACCCCGTTACCTTTGTTCTGAAATGCCTGTCTTAACAGGAACCCTTTGTTATCGTTTAATGTATGTATACTGAGGTGAACGCAAAAGGACACATAAGATCACTTAGAGATCACTTGAAGTGACCTAAAATTCCAATTCTTGCCTTGCTCAGGTTCATTCAGAACTCGTGATTTACCTCTTACAATACTTTGCGTCCGTATACTGCCCTCATGAATGACGGCAGCTTGAAGTGTTCTCCGTCATTCATGTAAAAGATTCTCTTGCAAGATCAACCACAATATCAACATTTCTTCAGCTCTCGGGCATACGCCCCCTCCTAACAGTCCAGCACTATAGAAAATATCCACTGTTTCCACAGACCACACTAACCACCCGATTATACCATGCCTTCCACTACAGCAGTACACGAGTCGAGCAGAATCTGTTTCAATGAGGCGAAAAGAGTGGCCGGTCCCTCAAATGGGTCCAACGAGTCTCCCTCAACGCAACTAGACCCCAAGCACTCCGTACCCGACATAATCATGAATATCAAAACCAAACTGTCGAATACCCGTCTTGGCCTCCAGTCTAATCGAATTGTTTGTGACGATCCTATCGCCGGCAAGATAGAAGTGCTGGCGTCCTGGTGCCAGCCACCCTTAGATGACCAAGACGACCTCGCGCAACTCGATAATAAATATGCCTCGCCTTTACGCAACCACCCAAGGCCGCTCTACCGAGGCGAACATAGATCACCCTGGACGGTGTATCTCGATGCCTACTCTGTTCGCCAGGAGAGGCACAAAAGGCTTTATCCCAACGGCCCTCCCTTTCCCCCTATACCAATCAGAACTGCGGTCAATTCGACCGACTCCGACTACGCACGTGGCCAGACTCAAGCTAGCCACACATCTGATCTCCTCTCACATACTCCTCGCGATCTCGCACTCTTTGGTGTTCCTCAAGACCCTATCACACACAAATTCGACACGAGCGCTTTCGAGCTGCTGACTGCGAGATTCAAGCCGGTCTTACGCACGAATATCCTGCAAGAAAGATACAAAGGACAACGCGATAGAGTAGGCAAAGGGGAAGAGTATGTGTTCTCCCACTTCGAGCCTGTGGAAGATGGCGCAAAGAAGAGGAAAAGAGGAAACCCGAAGACTGGCGCATATACGTACACGACAAAGAGAGCTCTCCTAAATGACGACGCTGTCTTCCAAACGCGCAATACGAGCGTTGGCGTACGTCGCTCCACACGCTTACAGGCAGCCCAGATAACATCTTCTTCTGCAGAGTCTGTACTCTCTTCCTATTTGCTTGAAACAGGGACTCCGCCGCGTATACAGCCAGTAGCGCATATCACATCCAGTCCGACGTCAGAGCCACGCCTCAAGACAACGCCAACAGTGGACAAAGCAGTTCTACCTGCTGAGCTGCGTGACCCATCACCCATCTCCAATGCCCCGGAGAAGCATGGTATGCAGCAGCGTACGTACGCCCAGACCATCCAACGCTCACAAGATTAACATATCCATAGTTCCTTCCCGCCGCTCTTCACGTCTCCAGAACCTACACTCCCATCCCGCCCCTCTCTCCCGTCTTCCCCTAAAGCCCACACACTCTAAGCCAACAAGGAACGGAGGCCCAGCAACTGGCTCATGCACACTCTCCTCTCGCCGCGTGACAGGCCGTCGAAAACCCCGAAAAACTGCTGATCCACCTCGATTCCCGAATCTCGTCCCCCCTCTAACGCACGTGACGCCACCAGCCGCGACGAACAAATTCGTTGCCTATAATCCGATTGCACCTCCTGCCACGCCAACACATATTGATATAAAGCCTCAGTATAATTCAGATCGCAATCGAAGCTGTTGAGCCCGTGGCTCTTCACGAGGACACGAATTCGTCTTAGACTTAGCAGATCGATCAAGGAAATATTGAAACCATCATGACTGAGAAAATTTATATGCACACTACCTCCTCGGATCAATATTTCCTGCTCTCAACTCGAATCGACTACCTAATGCCTCGTGGACGGTGTGTGGATTTTTGGGTGTTAGTATTCCACTGTCGAGGAGTCCCAGTGACGAGCTCTCTTTTTCTCATCGCAGAAACAACAAGCACTCCGGTCACATGGAGTGAAAATCCCGAGATATGTGAATAAGCAAACAATGCAGAGCGAGTCATGAATGAGAGTCTTGGAGAGCACAGCATTACTCGCGTGGAAGATACCGCTAAGGCTTGAGGCCGAGCACCGAGGAGTCAGACGATTGAACGCCAATCAGCGCCACCACATAAAGTAACCATCCACAACGTCGGCCGCGTCAAGACTACTGCAACTCACCATCTTGTCTGCAACACTAAGAAGTATCGAATTCGCCAAGTCGGAACTTGGACCGGCTTGCTTAAGCTCGGCATGGATGCTCTGAACATGAACACGCCATTTTCTTACCCACTCCATTTTTGTAATTTGCGTCTTACTCAACCAGAAACCATGTGGTGTTGGCCATGTACGCCAACTCATCTTCCTGTAATATGCCGTCTTATTCGCCTGGTCAGATATCGTTCATGAGCCTGCCGATGAACTCTGTATCAAGTCTTCTCCTAGAATCCTAGTTTATATAGCCACGTGGGTCCCACGATGCCTTATTGCTAAAGCAGTCGTTGATCTCTTCAAAGGTCGAGCAAATTGACCCGGTGATTCTTCAAACTGGGACCAACATCATTTCGAAATTCCTAGCTGTCAATAATTCCCACCGGCCCTGGGCCATGGTTCAGTGGCAATTTGTTTCGATATGCGTTTCCCTGGCACTTTACGCGAATGCCGCCCCAACATGGCCGTCCACTATGGACGAGCTTGAGGATATCATGTTTCTCAACACTGGCTATCGAGCTAAAGGGTTCTCAACTGAAGTCACACCCTGTTCGTTCTCGTCCAAAGGTCCTGGCCGTATTACTGCCGCCGAATGGATCCGGACTGCATTTCACGACATGATTGCTGGTGTCGTTTCTTCCACTGCTGGGGGTATGGACGCTTCAATCATGTACGAAACGAAGGCCTTGGAGAACATTGGGACCGCTTTCAACTCGTCTCTCCTCAACTTCGCGCCATTCTTCTCTAGCAGATCTTCCATGGCTGATCTGATTGCCATGGGCATGTACACCGCTGTTCGTTCCTGTGGTGGCCCGGTCATACCAATACGAACCGGCAGAATTGATGCTACGAGATCTGGTGCCACAGCTTTTGTACCACAACCTCAGAACTCTGTTGGCACTTTTCAGAACCAGTTCAATCGCGTTGGCTTCAACCTTTCCGACATGATTGCTGTCACAGCCTGTGGTCATACGACTGGTGGAGTACATGCAGCCTTCTTTCCGGAGATTGTGCCAGCCGGAACAGCTCCTGACGATTTTGCTCAGTTCGACAAGACTGCCACCTTCGACACGAAAATTGCCACTGATTTCCTCGCAAATAACAGCACTGATCCTCTCGTCGTGGGGCCTTCGACCAAGAACACCAGGGATTCAGATGGGCGAATATTTAAAGCCGACAACAATGTAACCATCACCTCGCTGACCAATCCTGACACATTTCGATCAACCTGCGCCAGGGTCTTGCAGAAGTTGATTGATGTTGTTCCAACAAGTGTTAGGCTCACAGATCCACTCATACCCTATGAGGCCAAGCCTATAGCATTACAGCTACGCTTGCTAGATGGTGGCTCGAGTATGGCTTTCACAGGAGAGATTCGCATTCGGACAACAACTCGGTCTGCGGCTCAAATAGCGAGCGTACAATTGGTTTACAGGGATCGTACTGGCGGGAACGTATGCGGAGCTTGTACTATCGATGCTTCGACCGAAGCTGGGAGAGCTAATGGCTTCGATGACTCCTTTTCCGTATGTCAAGTCATTTCTTGCGGCTCTTCAAAACTGACTGATGTCAGTTTTTCAGTTTTGCAAGCCAAATCCAGGCAAATTCATCGATTTCAAGCTTCAATATCGCTGTTACAAGAACGGATGGACAGCAGGAGATTTTCGACAACAATGGCGCCGGATATCCCGTGCAAGACTCTATCATATTGCAAAGTCCTCAAAGTTGCATCAAAGACAGCGCAAGCCCTGACAAGAAGAACATGACTATTGTAGCAGCCGTGAGAGTCCACTGGCATAAGATGCACATCCTAGATCTTTGGCTGATAACGATTAGGTCCGTGACGAAACAGCTACTCTGCCTGTGAACACATCCCTCGTCTTCAAGGTTGCGCGACGGAACGTGCCCATCGATATCCCAGCTCTTTCGGTTGAATCTTACACCATGAGCAAACAGTACACTGTTGGTCCATACAGCCTCTATGCCTTAGCATATGCTTTGAACACCAGCCAGGCTCTCAACACAGTCTTTAATGTGTCAGCGGGAGCTGGTGCCAGTCGGTTGACCGATGCATTCAAGCTGACCAGTGATCTGCCCAGCGAATGCGTCCCGCTACAGAGCGTTGGAAATCCTCTCGATTCTCCACCAGCCTCATTGTCAGTGTTATCATCGTCATCACCTAGCTTATCGTCAACGCCGCCGTCAACTCCAACCACGATACTCACCTCAATCATAAGATCAAGTGCAGCTTCTTCAACCTCGGACGGGTCATCTTCTGCTGGCTCTTTTACCCCTACGCCCACGTCTATCATAGAGACCGTCACTCCATCGATACCGTCTACCAGCGATATTTTGGATTCTGCTTCTTCGGCTGTCGATCGCTTAACAATTTCATCTTCTGCTGATTCGGCTTCTTCTTTGATCTCGTATGACTCGATGTTATCGACTCTCCTCTCCTCGTCTGAAGACGCCGCACCGACCCCTACGCCCACATTCGCATCCAACTACCAAGGCTGCTACATTGACTCGGTCAGTGGTCGCGCCCTCAACGGGTCCGCTACGAATGATCACTTGACCCTGACCCTCGCTAATTGCGCTACTTTCTGCTCCGAGTATAGCTTCTATGGCCTCGAATATACGTATCAATGCTTTTGTGGCAACACGCTTAACTCAGTACTCGCTCCCGAGTACGATTGCAACATGCCTTGCTCCGGCGATGATAAAGAGATTTGCGGTGGCCCTGACCGCCTCTCAGTATACCAGAACGAGGCATATATCGCACCAGCCAATCCACCGATTGAAGGGTATGAGTATAAGGCGTGCTATGTTGACATGAGAAGTGCGCGCGTGTTAGGCCCAGTTGTGATAAGCGACGATACGGGCTTGACGGTGGGCGAGTGCAAGGACTACTGTAATGGGTCTAGGTATTTTGGTACGGAGTATGGGCGGGAATGTTGGTGCGGTAATGAATTGGGCCCGTCCGCGACTGTTGCACCGGAATCTGATTGCTTCACAAGGTGTGCGGGAGATAGAGCAACTCTTTGCGGCGCGCCGGATCGGTTGAGTTTGTATCAGTGGGTGGATGCAAAGGCATCACGAGACAGATAGGTATACCAGCAATGAGCGCAGGCGTGTAAATGTTTGTGCCAGGTACATATCGGATGGGAACGCAGTTTTCGGGGAGTCTGTTCGCACAAGACGTCTAAGAACGATAACTGTAGAAGACATACACTTCGAGCTCAGGCTGGATTGATATTATTACTAGTCTACATATCCAATCAGAACGGAGAGCAGCTAGATTTGGGAGCTTGGGCCCTCAGCCCTATTACATAGGTTCCTCGAGTCCGTACTTTCAAAGACCGAATTCTGAGACGTATGCCATCCTTCTCCTCGCTCTCTATTACATCTACAATACAATAAATGTATGCTCATCTTCATACACATTGAAGACCGCTCCATAGGTCCACAACAGCACCAAATTGCACCCGCGTAGCTCATTCTAGGAGCGCACACTCCCACCCTAGCGGACGCTGCTATCATTGCAGCGCTATTCAGCAAGAGACACTAATAACTACTCTCCATCTCGGCGTATTATCGTGCTCTAAAGAGCATGTCAAAACAACAAAGCGCCTACGGCACAGCTGCCGGCGATACCTCCTTCCGCAAGACCTGGGACCGCGCCGAATATGCCGAAAAGGCCGCAGAACGTGATGCCGCCCGCCGCGAAGAAGGGCGCGAAAGGTACGAAGCCAAACTGGCAGGCAAGAAATATCACAAGCGCGCGGCAACACCCCCAGATGCCAAAGACACAGTTGCACGCGCAACACGTTTGGATTTCGGGAGTATGGTCGGCAAGACTCAGATTATTAGTGCTGGAGCAGCGGTTGGGAAGAGGGGCAGAGGAGCTGGCTTCTATTGTGAGGCGTGTGATCTGACATTCAAGGATAACATTCAGTGGGTGGAGCATCAAAATAGCCGGCAGCATCTAGTCGCCGTGGGCGAGACTGGGGATGTGAGGGAGGCAACTGTAGAGGAGGTGAGGGAAAGACTGAGGTGGTTGAAGAGGAAGAAGGAGGAGGAAGCAGAGGAGGGAGTTGTGGATTTGGGTATCAGGCTGGAGGTTGCGGAGCAGAGAGAGAGAGAGGAGAGGGAGGAGAAGAGGAGGAAGCGGAATGAGAGGAGAAGAAAGGGACTGCCGGGTGGGAAGGAGAAAGTTGAGGATGATGCAGATAATGGGATTATATGCTGATGGAAATACCCAAAGGGATATCTTGTGCGGTCTCTTGGAACACAGCCTTCTGTCTGCGGCGGCGTGCACATTATGGGCGTTATGGTTACTACAAAACGGAGATACCCAGGAAGGGCGGCATTCGTCGCTGGCTCGTTGATTTGATATTCTTTTTTGGTGAAGCCTAACGAACTCTACACAAGTGATTCAACCAAACCTCAACGGCTGCAGGTTCACAGTAGAAACAGTCAAACAGCTCATATACACTCCACAGCCTTTGGACACTGATGACCATGGAGGAATAAATTAAAGGCAAATATCGGATCACCATTCGACCCATTGCAAAACCATTCCCACGGGTCAGCGGCACTCAGAGTGAGCGCCACACGGGAAATACTAGCGTCCTTGCAAGCCAGGCACGTAAATTTTGGCGCAGCCAGGTTACATTCAAAGGTCGATCAAAGCCCCAACTTAGTCAGTAGGGCCGATAATAACTACCTCAGCGTCAGATACTCATGTCTCTATTCGTATACGTTGGCAGTGTCTGCTGATATCGTATTTCTTGACACGTCTCGCAGCTATCGCGACTGAATACATTTAATCTTTTGTACATGATGAGGACGCGCCAATAGGCAAACTACGGGACCTCTCAACATTGCATTGATCAGGCCTGCAATTGCAAAGGATTGAAAAGCCATGACATAAAGAGTAAATACTCAACACGTGGAATCGTTCCTGTCGGGCATCGCCCTTTCTGATATCATGAGCCACCTTCGACGAAGAAGAATCAGCGGCACTTCACCAGCTTTGTTACCCACTGGCCTCGCCAGTTTTGGTACGGCTCAGATCTCTGTTGTACTACCGAAAGGAAGACTGACTAGATACAGTCCAAGTAGACGTTGAAGGACATCTGTTTGACGACAATGGCCTGTGGAGAGAAGCCCCCGTCTTCAAAGGCACCACCAAATTCGACCCCCTCCCCGACATGAAGAACATCCTCGTGACCGGTGGAGCAGGTTTCATGTAAGCAATGCCCAACTTAAAGGACGACAGTCAATAATATCATACATAGCGCATCGTGGGTAGTCCGCCACCTGACTCTAACATACCCTGACGACTACAACATTGTATGCTACGACAAACTCGACTACTGTGCCTCCATGTCTAATATCCGCTCCCTCGGCACCAGCAACAACTTCAGATTTGTACACGGTGATATTACCAACCCCTCCACTGTACGTGCGTGCCTGGTCGAACATAAGATTGACACCATTCTGCATTTTGCCGCGCAATCACACGTCGATCTATCTTTCGGCAACAGCTACGAGTTCACAAACACAAACGTATTTGGCACACACGTGCTGCTCGAGTCGGCGCGCGAAGTCGGACTGAAGCGTTTCGTGCATATCTCCACCGACGAAGTTTATGGCGAGGTCAGTGATGACGAGGAGGGGTTAATCGAGAATACGATCCTGGCGCCGACAAATCCATATGCGGCGAGCAAAGCGGCGGCCGAGATGCTGGTCAATGGGTACTGGAAGAGCTTTAAATTGCCCGTCATGATCATTCGGAGCAATAATGTATACGGCCCGCACCAATACCCGGAGAAAGTGATTCCGAAATTCACGTGTCTGCTGAACAGACAGCAGAAACTGCTGCTGCATGGGGACGGAAAGCATGCGCGCAAATATCTGTACGCAGGAGATGCGTGTGATGCGTTTGACACGATTCTACACAAGGGCACGATGGGGCAGGTTTACAACATCCCGTCAAACGACGAGATCTCGAACCTGAATTTGTGTTCGCAGTTGTTGGACTATTTCGGGTATCCGAACTCGACAAGCAGCGAATTCTACATGTGTGTGCAGCACACGCAGGACAGGCCCTTCAACGATCGGCGGTATGCAGTAGACGGGAGTAAACTGAAGCAGCTAGGATGGTCGCAGAAGACGAGTTGGGAGGAAGGCTTCAAGACAACTGTGGGTTGGTATATAAAGTACGGGGAGACTTGGTGGGGAGACATTGAAGGAGTGTTCACGGCATTTCCGACAATCACTGAGGGTGACGTTTCTACGGTTGAGAATGTTTATGAGAGGCCGGAGAGGCTCGGAAGTATTGATATTGGAAGGTTGAATGGTGTCATCCCGGAAGAGCCTCGTGCTGAGGATGCATCAGATACGCCAGTTCATGAGGCGATCGAAGATATCACACCGATGCCATTACCCGAGGCAGCGCATAATACGCAGGGCTTTGCCCTATAGATATTTCCTAGATATGGATAGAAATCTGTTTTGAACATGAGATGACGATGAAAGCTTATCTTGCCATAACTACGACGCCTCTTGGTGGTGGAGAGCAAAGGCTTGTTAGTCGTACTGTAGAGCAGAGGAGTTGATCCTTCTTTGCGCAATGAATATACTCAGGATCAATTCAAGGGGTTGTACGGCGTCGAATGGAAGTGAACCCTCAAATACTAAAATCACCACGTGACCCCGACCATCCCATGAGTGTTCCAAGGCTGGACCCTGGATTTAGCATGTTTACATTGGCGCCATGTGGTCGCGTCGCCCACTCACTACAACAATCCTCTGTCCTGTCTTTGATGTCTTCCGTCAGGAACGTAAGCAAATAAGGGCGGCACATTCTACATATTCGTCTCAATCGAGACGATACGGCCTCCCAGTCAACCTTTCTGCCTCCAGCATGAGCGACGACTCGGCTTTCGACTTTGGCGCGGACGAGTCCGACTTTGAGGCCGCGCCCAAGCCTGTGAGAATTGACACAGACAGTCCAGCTTTGTACTCTCAGCTCACAAACCATATTCTAGAAAGTCAAAGCTCCGCCAAAGAAAGCTGCAGCAACAAAAACGAAAGCTCCGCCCAAGAAGCAAAGCACGCTGAAAGCACCCAAAGCCCCAAAGGCCGCCAAAGCCGCGCCAAAGAAGCGCGCAAAGCCTGTTTCCGATGACGAGAATGATGATATAGATGTGGTTGATGATGATGCTATGAATGATGACTCTCTACTGTCCGTTACCCCGCCGAGTGCGAAGCGTCAAAAGAAGGCCTCTGGGCCAAAGAAATCAAATGGAAAAGTGCTGGCCGAGATTGACAATGATAGTTATGACATGGACAAGGAAGAAGCACCTAAAGCCACTGGAGGATCGACTGAGAAATATCAGAAGGTAAGCTAGATCACAGTTAGCAGTTTTGCCTGTGTACTAACAAATACCTCCAGCTTACGCAGCTGGAGCACATCATCAAACGTCCTGATACCTACATCGGCTCTGTCGAACCTACGAAAGCTACAATGTGGGTGTACAGCTCTACTACACAGGCTATGGAGTCCCGCGAGATTACATATACCCCCGGCTTGTACAAAATCTTCGACGAGATTCTGGTCAATGCTGCAGACAACAAGCAGCGTGACCCAAGCATGGACACAATAAAGGTCACCATAGATCGCGAGCAAGGAGAAATAAGTGTACAGAACAACGGAAAGGGTATACCTGTTGAGATTCACGGTGTAAGTAGCCCATTACCTCCTGTTTGCGAATGGGCAACAAACTGACTCTGAATGAAGAAAGAGGGCATGTACATCCCTGAGATGATATTCGGTCATCTTTTGACATCCTCCAACTATGATGACGACCAACAAAAGGTCACTGGTGGTAGAAATGGATACGGTGCAAAACTTTGCAACGTTTTCAGTACACAATTCACACTAGAAACGAATGATTCCACGAACGGGAAACGATACAAGCAGACATGGACCAACAATATGAGCAAAATGGGCAAGGCCAGCATCACTACAGCCAAGGGCTCTGATTTCACAAAAGTTACGTTCAAGGCAGACTTTAAGAGATTTAATATGGAAGCCATGGACGATGACTTCGAGGCTCTTGCAAAGCGTAGAGTTTACGATCTCGCAGGTACATGTAACGGTGTCAGAGTCTGGCTGAATGGTGAGAGAATCGCTGTGAATAGCTTTAAGAAGTATATGCAAATGTACACCAAGGCCATCCGTTCGGAACAGGCCCGTGAAGAGGGCGAGGAAGAGGCCAAGAAGATGGACGTCATCCTGACCGACGAGCACGATCGATGGCAGATAGGCTTCGCTGTGTCCGATGGGTCTTTCCAACAGGTTTCCTTCGTCAATTCCATCGCGACAACTACCGGCGGAACACACGTCAATTATATTGCAGACCAGGTTGTCGACAAGCTGATGGACATTGTCAAGAAGAAGAACAAGGGTGGTGTGCAACTTAAAAACAACCATATCAAAAACCACATCTTCCTCTTCGTCAACTGTCTCATCGTAAATCCCGCCTTCACGTCTCAGACCAAGGAGCAGTTGACTACGAAAGTTAGCCAATTCGGTAGCAAAGTCACAGTCAGCGAAAAGTTCCTCAAGGAGATCGCGAAGACCGACGCTGTCAAGAACATTATGCATTTCGCACAGCAGAAGGCAGATCAGGTCTTGAAGAAGTCCGACGGCGGGAAAAGACAGCGCATGAACAATGCCAAGCTGACTGATGCCAACAAAGCCGGTACCAAGGATGGTTATAGATGCACACTCATCTTGACAGAAGGTGACTCTGCCATGGCGCTTGCGCTTGCTGGACGTGCTGTCGTCAATCCTGATCTTTTCGGTGTGTTTCCACTTCGTGGTAAACTGCTGAATGTTCGGGATGCTTCCATTGATCAGATCTCCAAAAATACGGAAATCCAGAACATTAAGAAGTTCATTGGACTTCAACATAAAAAGGATTACACGGATACGAAGGGTCTTCGATACGGTCATATAATGATTATGACCGATCAGGATCATGATGGGAGCCATATCAAAGGCTTGCTAATCAACTTCTTGCAAGTTCAATTCCCGAGCTTACTCAAGATTGATGGTTTCTTGATGCAGTTCCTGACGCCCATCGTCAAGACCTGGAAAGGTGACATCAAGAAACCTACAAAGTCTGTCTCTTTCTTTACCATGCCAGAGTACGAAGAGTGGAAAGAGCAGCCCGGGCATCAGAAGGGCTGGGATCACAAGTACTTCAAGGGATTGGGTACCAGTCGGCCTGAAGACGCTCAAGTCTACTTCCGTGATCTCGATAAGCATCTGAAGGAGTTTCATACTATGCGTGACACTGAGGTACCCCTGATTGAATTGGCATTCTCGAAAAAGAAAGCCGACGCTCGTAAGGAATGGCTGCGAGACTTCGTTCCAGGCACGTACATCGATCTAACCACGCCAAAGATCTCGTACGATGACTTTGTCAACAAGGAGCTGATCCTGTTTTCCATGGCCGACAATCTCCGCTCGTTGCCTTCACTGGTGGATGGCTTCAAGCCAGGCCAGCGGAAGATCATTTACACCTGCTTCAAGCGTAATCTGAAAAAGGACACCAAAGTCGTGGATCTGGCGGGTTCCGTGACCGGTCTGACCGACTACGCATATGGCGATGCGTCCATGCAGCAGACCATCACTGCACTGGCGCAGAACTTCGTCGGGTCAAACAACATCAACATCCTGGAGCCAAGCGGTAATTTCGGGAGTCGTCTTCAGGGCGGTGCAGATGCTGCCAGCGCTCGTTACATCTATACTAGACTTTCACCTTTTGCCAGGAAGATCTTCAACCCCGCCGACGAGGCGCTGCTGAAGTATCAGGTGAGCGATGGCAATACGATAGAGCCGGACTGGTATGTACCGATTCTGCCCATGGTTCTGGTCAACGGAGCGGATGGTATTGGCACTGGTTGGAGCACGAACATACCCAACTACAAGCCCGAGGACATTATCGACAACCTCAAGCGACGCATGGAAGGAAGTAAAGAGGACATGGTGCCTATGACGCCTTGGTTCCGAGGGTTCACAGGAGCGGTCGAAGCTCTCGAAGAACACAAATTCAAGTTTACTGGTACCGTGCGACAGATCAGCGACACCGAGATTGAGATTACAGAATTGCCAATCCGGATGTGGACTCAGGTTTTCAAGGAGAATCTCGAAGATATACTTCGCGCCGAGAAGGTCCCTTCCTTCATCAAGGATTACACCGAGTACAATACCCACGAGAAGGTCCATTTCATCATCAAGATGGACGATAAACACATGGCAGCGGCCTTGGCAAAGGGTCTGGAGGACACGTTCAAGCTCGTCAAGACCATGACTACTACCAATCTGGTTGCCTTTGACCATCAGGGAAGGATACAGAAGTATGCCACTACGCTTGATATGATGGAAGAATTCTATCAGGTCCGATTCAAGTTCTATCAGATGCGCAAGGTATGTCGTTTTTCTTTACATGCTTGATGGTGAACATGCTAATGGGGACTCTAGGAACATTTGCTTAGTGAGATGCAAAAGGACCTTGACAAGCTGAGCAATCAGTCTCGATTCATCAAGATGATTATCGACGGTACTCTTGTTGTCTCCAAGAAGAAGAAGTCTATTCTCGTCGAAGAGTTGACCCGGTCGAAGTTCAAGCGATTTCCCAAGGTTTCCCAGGCAAAGAAAATGGGTGAGATGGAGGACGCGCAGGAGGACGAGAACGATGTTGACGAGGAGGCTGGCTTGAGCGATTTCGATTACTTGCTAGGCGTAAGCACCATCCGCCCTTGTATCAAACCAACGCTGACCACTTTTTCTAGATGGCTATCTGGTCGCTGACTCAAGAGCGCGTTGACAGATTGCTGAAGCAGATCGGAGACAAGGAGGTTGAAATCGACACATTGATAAAGTTGACGCCGAAAGATCTCTGGATCGCAGATCTCGACGACTTCCTCGATGAGTGGCATACTGTGCTTGATGAAGACGCGAAAGAGTCGAAGAGGATCGCCAGACTTGGTCGTCGCACCTCTACCAAACTTGGCATCGGCGCGTCCAAGGGCGGTAAGGGTAAGAAGAGAAAGGCCGGCGACAGCGACGAGTTTAGCGACTCGGACTTTGAAGTCAAGAAACCGAAAAAGGCCGCGGCGAAACCGTCAACTATGCTCAGCTATCTCAACAAGAAGCCGGAGCCCGCGAAGCCGAGTGGCTCGAAGGCATTGATTAGCGCTTTGGGGGGTGAGGCTACAAAGAGCTCTGCAAGTTCATCAAAGGAAGATGTAGACATGGTTGATGTCGAATCTGACGCGCCTGCGCCTGCACCTGCACCTGCACCTGCCAAAGCTGCAACCAAGGCCAAGAAAGCTGCTGCGGCACCCGCAAAGAAACCTGCAAAGGCTGCCAAGAAAGTCGAATCTGAAGATGAAGATGAGGACGTGTTTGCAGATCTGGGTGAAGAAGAGGAGGAAGAAGAAGAAGAGGTGGTCACAAAGAGACCGGCTGCACGAGCAGCCGGCCGCGCCGCGGCCAAAAAGACAACCAGCTACGTCCTATCTGACGACTCTTCCGAAGACGGCGCCGATGACTTTGACGTCAGCAACCTGGTCAAGGGGATTGGCGCCCGCTCCACAGAGACCACGACGCGCCAATTTTTCCCGGAAACCTCACGTCCGTCCAGCAGGCAGGGTCTACCACCCAAGCCCCTAGGCCGCGCAGCACCCAAACTGGCCGATCTGTCAGAAGACGACATGGATACCACCGATTTCGCCAAGCTCGTTCCGGAAGCCAGCCCTGAGCGCCCTGTTGCTCGCGCAGCAGATACCATGATCTCGGGCAGCGACGACGATGACCTGCCCGTCCTTTCGAAGACGAAGATCAACATCAAGAAGCCTGCCGCCAGCGCGAAGCCAGCCCCGAAGGCTAAGCTTGTGTCGAAGAAAGCTGCGGCGGCCGTGGCGAACAAACCCCTCACATTGAGTCCTGCTGCGAAGGCGTATGCGTCGAAGCAGGCAAAGGCTGCCGCGAAACCAGCTGCGAAGCCTGCTGCCTCAAAGGCTGCGCCGAAGAAGGCGAAGAAGGTCGATAGCGACGACGACGATGATGAGGAGGGGTTGGACGAGAGTGCAGATGTGCTTGCAAATGATCTCCTCGATGATGATGACGACGAGGATGAGACTATTGTCAAGCCAGCACCTAGAGCGGCAGCGCGCGGCAGACCGGGACGGGCAGCGGCGACGAAGAAGGCGACGTATGTAGTGGACGACGACGACAGCGAGGATGAAGAGGAGGAGGAAGACAGCTTTGTGGTTGATGACGATAGCGATTGAGTGAGTGTATAGGGAGTAGTTGGAGAGGTACTACTTTGCAGCTCTGGAGCTGGTTCTTGTGCGATACATACGACAGAGGAGAAGTTAAAGTGTCTTATTGAAGCCAGGGCAGGCTTGGATTGCAAAATGTTTCATTTTTGGTCGGAAGAGTTCATTTTGGGCCGGTGTAGCTTTCTACTTTTATTTTCCACTAGATACCGCGAGGTCGAGGAAGGGGTCTATTGAAGGAGACTTTTCCGATTTCTTTGTCTCGCTGCTTGTGTGGTGTTATTTATGTGTATGCTCTTGTCTGTCTGTCTGTCTGCGTGTCTGTCTGTCTGTCTGTCTGTCTGTCTGTCTGTCTGTCCATGTATGATGTATGATGTGTTGTAGATGCCCACCTCCTCAGGACCAGCAGCTCAAGTTCTTTTGCCAACCTCTCTTCCGGGGAGCGTATGTTAGCGGACATGTATCATCATCATGCAGGAGTCTTTTTAGTGTTGTTGGCTGGTATTTCCATTGGCGTTTGGTAGGTATTATGGCAGGACTCTGGTATTCTTGTTGGATTGTTGGATTGTTGGATTGTGGGATTGTGGGAGGGCTTTGTGGGAAGAAGGTGGGGTGGGAGGGAGAGTGGTGGGAGGGAGAGTGGTGGGAGGAAGAAGAAGAAGCTATTTGGGAAGGAAGTCTTGTAGGAAGAAGAAGTCACGTATGAAGAAGAAGGCATCTAGACAGAAGAAGCTATCCAGGACCAAGCAGCCACAGAAACAAACAGCCACACACACAAAGCCACACATCAAACAAGCAGCGATACATCAGCTCTCTCCCTCTCTCTCTCCCTCTCTACATACCGACAAACCCAGCACCAAAAAAAAACACATGGCGGGGTATCAAGTACGTACTGTACTGCACTAGCTACCTTCCTACCTACCTACCTACCTACCTAGCTACCTACCTACCTACGCAATAAAAAGCCAAGACCAAACAAAAAGTCCGCGGAAAAAACGTGCAGACAGGGGGGTAATATGGATTGAGTTGTAGATTCGGCATGGGGCCAGCTTGTGCCTATGCATATTGTTTAAGAGAGAGAGAGAGAGGCAACAAGGTGGAGAGAGAGGGAGAGGTATATGTTAGTAGGGGGAGGGGTAATTGAGAAAGATGTGGAGAGAGTGTGTGGAGAGAGAGTGTGTGTGGATCGGCATTCATGCGGGGGGAGAAGGCAGTGCATGGATGGGAATGATTCCGAAAGTGCGGGGTCTACATACATACAGTACTGTACTGTACGACAAACAGTATAAGCTGTGACGAACGGGCGGACAGGGAAGAGGGGTTCAGTGGTTGTAGCAGCAGTACTAGGTAGAGGGAAACGGCTGATTGTCATGGCGCAAGATGTGCCTGGTCGAGAGAGACTGGCACGCACTATACTCGGAGTGGTATACAGTCGGGTGACTGCCTGCCTGCCTAACTAACAGACTAAGCATAGGGCACGGCGATCATCATAGCAATAGTAGGATGAACCTGTACTAATACGTACTTTGGAAGTAGTGCCAAGGAGCTCGTATAGCAGCATCCCATACGGTAGAGGCGGCGCAGAGAAAGCGAGCGCGTGATGAAGAAGGATTGGGGACAGCTCGCGAAACGGAATGGATGGGGATTGAAATGCGAGGATCGGTCGGGAGGGAGGGGGCAGGTTTGGTTGTTTAGCTAGGCGAGTGGTGATGGTGCGAGGGTATGACGGGGTGGAATTGGTGATGATGATGGGGTTGAGGATGATGATGGGGTTGAGGATGCCAGAGGATGAGGATGAGGATGAGGAGGTAATTAGGTGTAATTACACGACATGATGTACTTACACTGACATTTGCACACGCACGAAGATCAGTAAGCCACATGGAATGAGTGAGAATGGATGGAAGATGATTAATTAGTTGGAAGGCCGAAGCCACTGTCCACTGTCCACTGTCCAGGCGATGCATGGAAAAAAGCTCGGATGGGATCCCTGGAAATGGCGGGGGCGGCAGCTAAACTTACACGGTAGAGAGGTTGGGTAGGTAGGTAGTGTAGTAGGGTGGTCCTAGGGTTCTTGTGACGGTCGTCTGCAGGGTGGGTGGGTAGTGGGTAGCTAGAGAGAGGAGAAGAGCGAAGAAGAGTCAATTACAGTTGCAGGATGTATGCATGGATGGAATGACGATGCAGTATTGATGGCAATGTGCGATGATGGGCGATGATGGGCGATGATGGGGTACTAATTACTATCCATGATTACTGTCCCGTAGTGTAGTGAGTGTAGTGTATAGTCTGTCGGCAGGCCGCGGTGATGTGCGTCTTCCCCGCAAAAGCCAAGAGACTGATGGATGGCGCGCTGGGTCCCCCCCTGGTCTGGCGCCGGAAAGCCTCTCCCAGCCTCCTAGGGCCGCCCCAGCTTGTTGCAGCACTCCGGGGGGGGGGGACTTGGAGGGTGAGTTTAGGGGACTCTGGGGGCTCTAGGGGAGCTCTAGGGGGGCGTTCAGGGTGGTGGCCCCCCAATATCCCAGGGCTTAGGCAGCCGACACCCGCCAACAGCGAGCTAGACGGGGCCAATAGACTGCTGGTTTGGTTTGGTTTGGCAGACAACAGACGGGCAGGCGAGCTTGCTAAGGCCCCTGATCCTAATGCCCATCCTTCTTCTGCTTCTTCTTCATCTCTCATCCATCTCTCATCCCTACTCGTCGTTCACTTACTAATTACTTAGACGTACTACTCACTCACTCACTCTCTCACCACAAACACCCTCATCCTCTCTCTCCTCCACAATACAATCCCGGCACCTTGCCCCGTGGCCCGTGGACCGTCCTTGACTGTGGACCGTGCCCCCCTGCAGACGTTGTTGAGAAAGAGGCCTGCTCTCTCTCTAGGCTCTCCTGGTTCTGAAGCTCGGAGCTCTTCCTGCTCGACTGCTCTCCCTGCGCGCTCTCTCTCTCTCTCTCTCCTGCTCGTCTGCTCTCCCCTCTCTCTCTCTCTCCTCATCTCATATCGTCGTCTGGTGCGCCGCCGCCGCCTTTTTTATCATGTCTCGCCCGCTTCGTCCCTCTTCTTCATCTTCTTCATCATCATCATCCTTCTCCTCATCGTCTTAAACCCCTTCGCATTCCTCTTGTCGCACGCCACTGGCTATTGCGACATCCACATCCACATCCGCATCAACATCAGCATCGACCTTGCCATTCAACCACTCAATCCTCCCTCGTCAACATTCTCGTCGTCTTGGCCTGATCGCTGCTCGGCCGCCGCTCCTCCTAACCCACCACCGCTTACCTTAGCCGCCTCCACACAAACCACCATCCCGTCCTTGTCCTGCCTGCCCTTAACTAGCTTGCACCCTCTGACCCCACCCAGACAGACGTCGCGTCTTCTTCGCATTCAATTTCTCCTTCCAAAACACCATCCTCCTTCTCTCCATAAACCCTCCTCTTCTCCAACCTTGCCGTCCCCTTCTCGACATCCTCCACTCTGTCCCCATTTCACCCTTCGGCTGTTGTGGGCGCGACAATGCCACACCTGTAACCGGACATTCTCCACTACCGGCAGCTGCTGCATTCCTCCGCCCGCCCATCCTCTTCTTCTCTCTATCCACCACCACATCTTTGCCATTCTTTGTATGCCACCATTTATGCCATCCCGACTACTTTGTTCCCCTTTACGATTTCGCGTTCTTGAAAGACTAGGGATAGATCGACCTCGAGAGTTTGGCGCACACCCTGCTTTGCGCTTTCGCCAGGTAATATTGCCCCATATATGCCCACATGCCCACATGCCCTCCACCACTTCTTTCCAAAAGGACCTACCTTGCTCATTGCCTGCGCAGATTTGTACGAGATCCAAAATATTTGCCGCTTTTCGACGCCGCTTGTAATAGAAAATTGCCACCATAGGTACACTTCTCCCAATGCTCTTCTTCACCACCTCCTTCTTTCTTAACTGTCTTACTAATCCGGCCGCAGATAGAGAAATCGGCTTCGAGAGATATCCCCAAATTCGTATATCCTGGTAAAAGCGCTTGTAACTTTGGTAAGTCTTTCATAGATGCCACTTGAGATGGCTGGTGCTTACTGTTCCTTCGTGATTCAAAAATATCCTTACTGGTGCTTGTGCTTGTGCTTGTGCTTGCGCTTTCTGCGATATGGGAAGAACACTTATGCTGACCCCCCGGGAACAGTAATCTGGAACGCCCATTTACCGGCCGATCTGCATAGTTTTCGAAAGACCATCACGACTTGGAACGACATATACATCATTATTAAATATCCGGACAGTGCTACATACACACACTTAATTAACGTAAGTTGACATGGCTTGACCTCCTCTCATTCCCACAAAGTCTTTTTGTCTCCTGGTAGTCTGCTTCAGGGCGAGATGTTTGCTGTGCTTGCAGACAGCTAGTTGCACCAGACGTGTATGTCTTTGCTTTTACTACGCTTCATCAACGAGTCTTTGTCCATGTGATGATTTCCCTCTCTCTCCTGTCTGTCTCTCGTCTGCTTCCGTGGCGTGGAGGAGCGACGAAGATGTGCTCTCCACTGGTCACTGCTCCCCTCTAAGCCGTTCTCTCATGTCTCTTCAACTTACTTCTCACAATTCATACCACGCCACGACTTCGTCATTCATCGAGATACTGGCGCGTCCCAGATGAATGTGCTGACTCTGCTTTAGCACCAAGGCCTTCGTAACACTAGCGCGCTTGCCCATATCTCACCCTCCATACCGCCCAATCCTCTTCGCTTGCATAATATTCACCGTCTGGCCAAATGACCAGCGCCATCATGAACCCCTCGCCGTCCACGCATTCGTCCCGCAATGGGAGAGTGTCGTTTGGCGCGCACGGCACCACCCATTCCCTCTTGCTCGAGCGGACAAAGGCAAACACGAACAGACGGCCGACTCCCGACAGCGAGGTCATGGTGTCATCCGACGAGGAGCACTCTGGCAGTGCACATGGCCAGCAGTCTGCTCTTCGAAGGGACTCAGCTTCGAGGCCCGCAACCTCGTGGTTGAGCGATATTGGACAGCCGCCACAGGGTCGTAAATATTCACTAGGAGGCTTGTCAATAGGCTCGAACAATTCGCAGCCGCCCACGCCCTCCTCCGAGACCACGCCACGCCTCACTACAACCGGCCAAGGCCGTTCAGGCTCAATCACTTTCACTGGCAATATATGGGCGCCTGATCGCAACAACAATAGTCGCTTTTCCGACAGCCCGGCCTCTCCCCTTTCTCTCGCACCACTTTCCTCAGAGCCAAACAACAATTCGTCATTCCAACGAGACCGTCGTTATAGCGGCATTGGCGTCGACATTCCTCTTAAACCTACCTTCAAGCCCCAGCAGCAACGAGCAATGAGTTTCTCCGTTGCCCAGCAGGTCTCCTCGGACGATGAAGATCCCATTCACCCCTTTGCCCTCAACCGTGTACGGACCGGAGGACAGCTGTCAAACGTACAACGCAAGGCTTCACTCTCGCAGGTCCGTGAGGATGACGATGACAGCAACCAGGGCGTCAGACTTCACCCTGAAATGGACGCTGGCGGATCGCGCGATCTTTTAAAGAGAGCTGTTCGTCATCGTACTTTCAGTTCCAACGTTTCCGGATACTCCGATCTACCCTGGCCAACTTATCAACGACGCTCCACGACACTACCGGTTGCAGAGGACGCTATTGAGGATCTCGAGGAGTTCACCATGCCAGAGTCACGACGTCACTCACTTGCCCACGTGGCAACGAGGCAACAGAGCCAGCCGATTATCAACAGTCGCTCATCCTTTGATCGTGGCCAGATCCTTCAGTCTTCTGGTCCCAATACCACGTCCGCGAACAGAGATCATCCAGGCTTTGGATCCTCCTCCGACCATTACTTCAACACCCTTCCACAGAGCTACGAAAATCCCCAATCTCGCGCCTTTGACATGCCGTCCAACAATAACAACAATAACAACATCACCTCGCCTGAAATCGACGCTGTTCGAGAGCAGTACCTTGCTCGTGAGGCTGCTGCCTCTCGTGAACTGTACGACTTGAAGCGTAACTACGCTACTCAGACTACAAAGGACGTGAACGCGCCTGTCTATGCCATCCACCGACAGCTCAAGACGCAGAATGATCCTGTAGAGCTTGTCACACCACTCTATACCCACAATGATAGTAGGTTAAATATGTTTCTCTAGTCAACATCACTAATTTCTTTTCTTCTCTCTTTCTTCTAGATCAAGAGGTGTTTGGATTTCTGATTCATACTTTAGGCTACTTCAATGGCAGTGGCGTCGCGGAGAGGAACAGGCAAGAGATTGCTGCCAATCCGCGCCCGCAACCTGATCCCATCGTTCCGGACAGACAGCTACCTGCCATGCTCAAGGGTTCCGAGCGAAAGACCTTGCACCTGATCAAATTCAAGTGCGAGCGGGCTGAAGTATACTACATGCCGGAGGGCACAGGCTTGCAGCTCGTCAAGGGGCAGTTGGTCATTTGCGAAGGCGACCGCGGCTACGATATCGGCGAGGTCGAGAAAGCCAACATTGAACTCAGTGACGTCAAGCCCTTGCGCCAGATGTACCAGGAGAAGCATTTTATCTGGCTCATGATGTTTTCGCACGCACGAGAGACGAATCCTACGGTACGCTGGGCACTCAGTAAACTTGATCCCCACAACGCTTCGGCTCGCCATCCAGAACACGAAGCCGAGCCAGAGGGCCGCGCCCAGAACTTCAAACTCATCAAGCGCCTCGCCATCCCAGTCGAGTTTGCGTCCTTGCAGGAGAAGGAGGGAGACGAGACCAAGGCAAAGCGTATCTGTCAACAAAAGGTCATCGAGCACGGCTTGACCATGGAGATTCTGGATGCTGAATTCCAGCTGTATGTTGTCCAAAACTCTAATGATGGGAAAGATTTCTTGTACTGACTCAACCAAGCGACCGCCACAAGCTGACTTACTTTTACTACGCCGAAAAGTACATCAATTTCAACGAGCTCGTCAACGATCTCTTCAAGATCTTCAAGACCAGGATCTGGATGTCTGCGGTCAACCCTGCGTCCTTTGCACCCCAACCACACCATCGTGGCCACGGTCCACCATCTCCTCAGCAGGCCGGCGCCTTGACTCAGCCTCCGCCGTATGGTGCAGCAGCATATGCCCAGCCGAGCATCGTTCGTAAGTCAACAGTTGCAGATTTGTTACCGGACCTCACGGTTACTAAGCGCATACAGACCACCGCAACGTCCAGCAAGCACAGCATGAAGCGTCCACATCTGCCCAATTCAACAGCCACTACAACACTCAGAACAACGCTTACGCGGCCTCGTCTGTACCTCCAGCATTCGGCTATCCCGCTGCGACTCCGGCTCCGACAATGAGCTTCAATCCATACGCCCAGCCTTACACCGGCAGCTCGGCTTGGGGTGCCCCAGGCACCTTCACTGCGGCCTCTGGTACTTCAGCTCCCTGGGGCGCCTCCAGCGGTGCTTCATCAAGCTTTGATTCAAGAACAGGATCCGCTGCCGGAGCTCGTGCTGGGGGTCCTACTACTGGCAATCCGCGTGGCGGTACTCAGCAGCCGATCGATCGCCCTCGTCACCGTTCCTCGAACGAAGATGGACGCGATGAAGCAACCCGCGCCGCTTTCTATTCGGCCGTCACTGGTGGTGTACAGGGCATGTCCCTCGGTGGATCTGACAACCGCAAAGACTCGATGAAGTAGATTGACCGGGCTGCCTCAAGCAGCTACACTCACTCAACCAAGCACGTCCCTACACTTGCCTTTTTTCTTCTTCTTCATTTTCACTCGTTATGATTTGGGTTTACAACAAGATTCTACCACTAGAGTAGACGCCAAGACATCTACAATACTTGGAAAAATACCTACTACACCTAGGTTATGAATTCTTTGGGCTCTCATCTGATCTATCCTGGCTGCGTAGCAGCTAGACTTTGTTTTGTCGAGAAGAATCTACCTTCTCATCATCCGGACTGTTGACGTCCACCACGTTACACACATTACACGGAAGCGAAGGTTTGGTTATTCTAAGGTTATTCAAGGCAAAGATATCGAGCAGGATGGATGGGATTGCATGCAAAATTTGATTTGGGGATTCCGACTTATGGTTTGTGCATGTTCTGCTTCTTCGTCATTCAGCTACCTAGACTCTCTATAACGGACGAATGGACGAACGAACGAAATAGCACACACACACGCACACATACTCTGTCTTTACCGGGTTTGCGTATGGCGTTTTTTTGGAATTGAAGGAGGACACACAAACACAGAGACGGACAGACTATACGGTCATTAGCTGTAATTTTCAAACCAATCGAAATGAGGCTCATGATGTGATTGATGATGTGCTGCTGCTGCTGTTGCTTCTGATTTATCTTTGTGAATCCTTCGTGTGATGAGATGTGATTATTCAGGGATCTGCCTGTTTGGTAGGCAGTCTTGTTATACCGATTGAGTGACGGCCCGGCTGGGTGAGGTGATCCGTGCTGAGTCAGCTGACTCGCTTGCTGGTGTGGCAGCGCCAAGAATCCAGCCCGCCCACAGCTCGAAAATCAATTTTCGTGTGCTTCAACTTCTCCCTCCAGACGACGACCCATCACCACCTACTAACGAACAGCCACACCACACCGTCAAGGTATGTCTAAAATGTCCAACACCACGAAGCTCTCCAATTGAGTTGGCCAAACGTCGCTGTGTCCGCAACAGCAGATGAAAAGACCATCCTCCCTTCATCGATCATTCAGCTAACCGCTCTCGTGACAGATGGGTGCCCTCAAATACGTCGAAGAGCTCCAGAAGAAGAAGCAGTCCGATGTGCTGCGCTTCCTTCTCCGAGTCCGCTGCTGGGAGGTATGAGTCCAATCTCCCCACCGTCGCACCCACGAGCGTGTCGTTGGCCGGCCTGCTTGGTGGCTACTGGCCGCGCTCGCTTCTGGGGCCGCGATTCCCTTGATTACACTCGTTGAACTTTGCTGAGAGTGAATCAATTTGCAGCTTCGCCAACTGAACGTCATCCACCGCGCCTCCCGTCCCTCGCGCCCCGACAAGGCTCGCCGCCTCGGATACAAGGCCAAGCAGGGCTATGTCATCTACCGTGTCCGCGTCCGACGAGGTGGTCGCAAGCGACCTGCGCCCAAGGGTGCCACCTACGGTAAGACATAGACTACATGAACTCACTCGGCAGAAGAAAGACAAGACTGACATTCACCCTCCAGGCAAGCCCACCAACCAGGGAATCAATCAGCTAAAGTACCAGCGCTCGCTCAAGTCGACGGCCGAAGAGCGCGTCGGGCGCCGGTGCGCCAACCTGCGCGTCCTCAACTCGTACTGGATCAACCAGGACTCGACGTACAAGTACTACGAAGTCATCCTCGTCGACCCGCAGCACAAGGCCATCCGCCGCGACGCCCGCATCAACTGGATCGCCAAACCGGTCCACAAGCACCGCGAGTCGCGCGGCCTCACCGCCACCGGCAAGAAGAGCCGCGGCATCAACAAGGGCCACCGCTACAACAACACAAAGGCCGGCCGCAGACACACCTGGAAGCGCAACAACTCGCTGTCGCTGTGGCGTTACCGTTAAACAAATGGGGGTTGGTTGGGGGAAGTGGTTTGCTCAGGGAGAAAGGATTGGGCTGTTCTTTGTTTTCTATTTTCCGTCTGGTACTCTACTCTGTGCCCCGCTGTGGTATATGGCATACGGCATATGGGCTGCCTATGATGATAGCAAAGGCGCAAAAAAAGAGACAAACTTTATTCTGCTCAAATGTCATGTTCATGACGAGCTTTCAAAGAACTAGACATCCATCTTCTCATGTGACTCTTTGATCCATCACACGCGAGAGTTTTCCCCTTGTGACAAGTCTGTTGTTCCTGAAATGTAGTAGATTCTCCGACGACTATCCGGCTGTCATGTGGAATTTCTACATTCTATCTGCGTATATAGGTAGGTAGGTCGCAATGTAGCCGCCCGTATCATCATGCCCAGAATACTATCACCCGTCCGTTCGGTCCAAAAGAACCAGCAGACCAGCAGACCCAGCAGACGCAGAAGCAAGCGGCAGCAGCATCATCAGAAAAAGAAAAACACCACACACACACACACACGAGGAAGAGGAGGAGAGAGGGTAAGTGGTAATTAACCAAGCAATGAAACCGTCCGTCCTCCACGAACCACTCCCCTCCCCTCCCCTCCCCTCCCCCCAACCGCAAAAAAGAAACAACAACAATCGCCCACCAAGGATAATAATGAAGAAGAAGAAAAAGAAAGAGAAGAAGAAGAAGAAGAAGAAGAAGAAGAAGAAGAAGAAGAAGAAGAAGAAGAAGAAGAAGAAGAAGAAAGAAGCAATCGAAGAGAACGGAACCGGGAGTTAGGTTAGGTTTGGTTAGGTTTGATCAGGTAGGCAGAATAAGAACTCCGGAATTTTTTATTTTAAGTGAAAAAAAAAGACCGCCCCAACGGATATATTACATACATACAGGTACTTGCCTGCTTGATAACTGCTATATAACATATACGCCGGCCCGCTGCAAGACTAAAGAAGTAGAGTAATTTGTGAGGAGGAGAATTACAAAAACAGAAAAAGAAGAAGAAGAAGGCGTTGTCCAAGACCCATCATGTCATGCATACGTGTATATATATATGTATAATTGGGGGCGAATAAGACAAGGGGTTTTTCTGTTTGAAGAGACTGGGAATGGGGCGCCAAAAGAATTCGCCCATTGCTCTCTCCCACTCATCACACATCTGGCAGCCGTCCGGCCTCGGCCTCTCTCAACACTCTCTCGCGCAGGCCTAGGCAGCGCTGCATGCACGCGCGATGCTTGTCGCATGCCACGGCCCAGTGCTCCCGGACTGCTTCGTCGTCCTTCAGGCCCTGGAGATAGCTGCCGAACCCGCCCTGTGCAGTATCGCCGACGGCACCTAGCCATGCAAATCTTCCCGCATCACGTAAACCCGTCATGTTGCTGTTGTTGTGCGGATCCGCAAAGGCGCGGCAGATGGTGTCGACCTCGGCTTGACGCGACGCGAAGTGAGATACCATGGCTGCATCGTATTCGGTCCAGCGAGACATGTAGCTGGAAAGCTGCTTGATGTATTCCGTCCAGCTGGCTTTGCTTATACGCTGCGGCTCGGGAGGGGTACGTGGTGGCCCCGGGACCATGATCTCATCCTTGCGCGTAAACACTCGATGTGGTGGTACGGGGGCTGGAGCAGATTCGAAGGGAAGGTCAGCTCTCAAGTCGGATACATGATTGAGACCACCAGCAGCACCGTGCGGTCCGGCTCCAGCACTGGCAGTACCGAATGGTGCGACGTGAGAGAAGCTGCCCATGCTAAAGGCAGAGCGATGACTGGCCCGAGCCTCTGGGTTTGATGTGGACGTGGGTGGCGGAGGAGGTGGAGGTGGAGGGTTCATGTTTCCATGTATGTCTCCTCTCCATTCGGGCTTGTCAGGGGTGACAGATACTTTCCGCGGACTTTTACTGCCATTCGACGTATGGCTGGTTCGGCTTGCATGACTTGCATGACTTGTGTGACTCAGATTGCTGCCGTTGACAGGAGGGATATCTTCGTCAATGTCCATCGCGCTGCCGTCACCACTGCTTTCCAAGCTATCGGCACTGCCATTCTGCTGCAGCTCGGGCTCTTCGGCAGCATCGTTGACCGTGGCAGCCTTGGGGACTTTACCACTGCGTAATTTTGATGCCTTCATCGGCCGTGACGGCACCTGAGGACGGCTCGGAGACACGTCAGGCTGCGGGTAAGCCCATGAGGGATCTTTGAAGGTGCTCTGCCACTGGGAAGGACTGAACTTGACGGGCGGAGTGTCTACAGACTGACCGCTTGCTGGAGGCATTTGTGAGCTCATCATGCCTGGAGGAGGCATTGAAGGGGGAGGCGGTGGCATCTTGCCCACTTGCGGAGTTGGTGAAGGTCTTGCAGAAGCCCTACCTCTAGTCGGTGATGTCTTCGGACGGCCATTGGAGGAATCCGGCGGCGGGGCGAAGTAATCGGGCGCACCTTGAAACTTTCCCTTCCAGCCATCGGGAGAGAACTTGGTGTTGATGCTTTCGCTACTGCGACTCTTGAACTCTGGCGCTTTCGTGGTAAACGTCTCGTCGGTGATTGGCATGGTGAATCTGGGAGAGGTCATGTTAGCCTTGATTATCGAGGCCATAGAGAAATGATCATCAAATGCAAAAGGAGACGTGACTGAATGAAGCGAAGCTGACGACTTTTTGCTCGAGCTGCTTGGCGGAGCGACCGATAATGGGTACAGCCAATGCGCTGGCTTGCCCGGCTTATACGTGGGTTTTGCAGATATCGAAGACTCGAGAAAAGCCTTCCATCCATTCTGGTGGTGGTCTCTTGTCGTTTTCTCGGCCGGCATGGCAGCTCGCTTTGCGCCGGCAGCTTCGGGTTGATCTGGTTTCTTTGATCCAGGCAAATTGAAGTTGACTTTGAAAGTGGAATGTTTAAGGGAATTGTCATACATTGAACCTGGTTGCCGGCTGTTCGAGGCAGCTCTTCCATTGATATTGCTTGTGTCCGCTTGTGGATGTGGGCGCTGCTGCGAGTGGAGTGTCGCGCCTGACGTCGTTGCTGGTGGTGACTGCTCGTCCTCGCTTGATGCATATTGATCAAAAGCGAAAGGGCGAGTTGCGTTACCGGCCCGCGCCTGCTGTCTTGAAGGTGTCTCCATACCTCCATCTCGAGCTGGAACTGGTTTTCTGTTGACTGGACTGGCGCTGCGAGCTGGTCTCGCGCCGCCCTGGCCTGCGAAGTAGGCTTGTTCGGAGGAGACTGGCCTGTTTGGAGAGGCTCGAGTGCTTGCTGATCGACCTAGCGGTGAAAAGGCACTGCGCTGTGCGTACGGTGGACGTATGTGACCTCTCCCATCGCTGTAAGGAGCATCCGATCCAGGCGATGAATATGCAGAGGTAGTATTTGGCGACTGAGGTGGTACGTCTGTATACACTTGCGGAGGCGGATTGTCATGTCGCGCAGTATTGTAATAGCCCGAGGTGCCTGTAGCTTGAGGTTCATCTGCTCCCGGTCTTGCCGGATCGAAGCCTGCCTTTCTTGTAGTGCGAGCGGTGTTACTTCGTCCAAGATTGGGTTTTGGCGGAACGTGGCTGTAGGCAGGAGTTGCTCGTGGAGGCACGCTTGGAGGAGTACCAAACGGTCTATTCGACTCTTCACGTCGTCTAGCTTCTTGCGTCTGTTCGGCTTTTGCTTTGTGGTGCATCTTCTGCCAAGCACTAAAATTGTTCGCCCTTCGCTCCGCATCCTCAGTATCAGGACGTTGCGCGTTTGTTGCTTTGCCGAACTTTGCAAAGTCTGCCGCACCGAACTTGGTTCCTGTGCGAGGTGTATAGTCTGAACGTTGTCTGGTAGCAGAGGGGCCTGTACGTCGAGGCGGAGGAGGGAAGTTCGAGGGCGCGTCTCTGTAAGGATTTCTGGCAGGAGGTGCCGGTTTAGCACCAGCCCACGATGCCGTCGAAGGACCACCGCCATATGTTCGGCCTTGCTTCCGCCTATCGGCATCGTACTTTGCACGTTGCTGAGGATCTAGTAGGATTTCCGAGGCGGCTTGGATTGCTTGGAATTTGGGTACGACTTCATGCTCTTTACCGGGGTTGCGATCGGGATGATATGCAAGGGCAAGCTTCCTGAATGATTTGCGGATGTCTTCGGTGCCTGCATTCTGCGGAACCTCCAAGTCTGCATAATAATTTCGAGTGGGGTCTATCTGAGACATATCGGCCAATGAAGCCCAGACAAAACTATGTCAGAGAGGTTGTGTAGCAGAGCAGCATGGGGTTGTCTAGATTCGGAAGAAATGTATATGGTTGAAGAGATGTGGGCGAATAGTGTAGGTCTGTGTGTAGGCGGTCGTTCGTTGTTTGGGAGGGCGGCGCCAAAGGTGAAGCCGTGTTGGGTGAGAGAGGACAAACGAGTCGAATATGCGGACGGTAAGCTGTCATACGCGCGTGAACTGAGGCTGAGGTTCGTGTGACCTCTACGGAGGAGAAATTTGCCAGAGATTTGTCTTGTTTCGAGCTTGCGCAGTGGGCATCGCTTGTAGACAAGGCAAAGTGAGTGCTGGCAGAAAAGTAGCGCAGCTTGTGGGATTGTTCGGTTTTGGATGCGGAGTGTTACAAGGACAGGGTTTTGAGCGAGGAGGGAGGGCCGTCTGGGTAAATGGGAGGATAGGAAGTGAAGACAAGGAGGCCCGGACCTTGGAGGATGGGCTACAGTGGATGATGGAGTGTGTAGTGAGGTATTGATCGTACTGGATGTAATAGGTCCTGTACAGTACTGTTGTAGTCTGTTGATGAGGTGGTGGCTGTGGCTGTTCAAGGACCAAAGAACAAAGAGGCCCGTCCGTGTTTTAGCGGCAAAGGCGCGCGGTTGTTGGTTGTTGGCTGCCTCTGATGAATGGATCTCGAATCACAAGGTTGAAGGCAGCAACTGTTCACAATCATCATTACTGGCGTCTAAAGACTTGTAGCGACTGGCAATATCCCTGGTCGACAATCACTTTTAGGACGTTGGATCCGACGATGGTTCTTCTCTGAAACGCCACAGGAATTCGTCAACATTCAGGGTAGAACATCATCACCCACTCAAAGCCCGACGCGCATAACAACTTGAGCATGGTGTTTGCAATATAGGTATATTGTTATTGATTAAGCAAGTATTCCTGCATTGTCGCCTCCTCGAGACGTCCAGCTGCACCTCCAGCTGCACCCCAGTTGCTCCACACTGCACAGGTACAGCAGCCAGCAACGTCATCGTGGGATGGATGATGGGCAGGCAAAAGACCTTTCTGCCCAATCCCACGCATTCTATATCATCGTCCAAATAATCGCTTTTTTGCGGCGCCCATCTCGTGCCTAATTCACGCATCGGAGCATGTAGGGAGCTGCTTACACCTTTCTCTACGTGGTCGAATAAGAGAGAAGCTGGTGTTGACCGGTATGCTTGGTCGTCGTCGTCGTCGTCAGATACCTCCCTGCATCGATCGGCCTTGAACAGGCACCAGCGAGAGAGTGGCAGCCCGAAATGCTCCGTCATCTGCTCTCTACGCATTGTTCTTGTAACAATTACACAATATCGGCACCTCATTGTCTGTCCTCAGATCGACGTGGACCTGACCGCCCGCTACGAGCCGAGCCTCTGGCGTACCAATCCACCATCGCGTATGAACACCCACGCCCTATGCTGTGGTGCTCCGACATTGTCAGCTCTCAGTCATTGTCAGTGCTGCCTTGTTGCCGACCGTGATCGGCGTGGTGGACCAACGTCGGCCTCGCGATGTGGCCAGTGAAGAACAGATATGGTTTTGAGCTGAGTTCGTTTATCATTCGTGGTAGCTACCTAAACTTCGAGTATTCTTGAGACCACAGCGTAGACTGATGGAGTGTTAGCGTACGCGTGTAGTGCATCCATGGATGTCCCGTGGTAGAAGTCATGGTCGTACGGAGCCAGTGCAACAGAGAGGAGCAAGACGACTGGCACGAACTTGGAGTCATGGACCAATGCATCGTGTCAGAACTCAGATGCACTTTAAATGGCCAGGAAGAAGCGAATGTGAAGTTCTGAGAGGCCTTCTCCGCTTACTCAAGTCATTCTTCGATATAAGGTACTTGATTTGCACCGTATAATGGAAGACGTGCTCATCAAGCGAGAAACTGTATCTGGTTCGCGCTTTTTACCAGACTGTTGGCAGGCTTCTTCTATCTACCATTGTATGTTGGACTCGTAGCGATGGCATTGATAATTCAAGTGTCTACGTTGCATGAAGCTCGACCCTGACCACCCTCGACGGCTCGCATGTATTCGCATCAACCTTGTGGCAGCAGACCAGCTCAGATGTAGGCCAACTTATTGAAATATGAACAAGATGAATATTTGCGATACATCAAACAAAGGAGAGAGATCCAGGCCACTGGGCGACACGACAGAGAGCTCGACTAATTATACTAAGAATAAATTAGGGCTGTTAGCGACGCGTCATGACCATTCAGCGTGCTCCGTGCAGGCCAAACTGGGCGGGGTTGGCGGCTTGTTGGAGCTGGCAACAGGGGGTCCTTGCTCTGATTTAGCTGCTGGACCAGGCGGGACTTGGGGGCCAGAAAAGGCAATGGAACATGGGCCAGCCAGCCTAGAAAGAGAGCTGACTTAAGTTATCATGGGAAAAGGGTCAAATCTCCAACTCAGCCCAGCCTCAATGGCCTTTACTTTGTACTCACCTTCTCCAGGACCGTATCTTCACTCTCGCAACATCTCACAAACTCCTTGGCGACTTGTTTGCCATCTTTGAACAATCTTACGCTTCATTCGCAACTTCGATGCCATGAAGACTGCGTGGATCTCGCCTTAATCGTAATACCTCCGCCTCTCCACACATACCACTTCTTCGTCAACCGCTATTCCTGATGAGCTGAGAGCATAGTGAATTCGAGCTCGTTTTCCAGACCCTCCACATCCTCAATCCAATTCCTCCAAAGGCAGTCATGGCCATAACAGATAATTTTGGTGTGCTGAGCAGGCCGACTTTCGCCCCCGGCGGTCTTAGGGATGCTGCCTTACAGCTCCTGAACAGCAGAAGAGGAAGATGGGCACTGGTATTGGCCGTGCTGATGATCCTTCTCATCGCCATGCCTCCTCCCTCAAGCGTGAGTTCAAAGAGTTGCGCCGTTCATATACGCACACTGCTAATATCACTACAAGTCCATGTCTTCATATCGCGAATCATTAACGAAATACTACTACTCACAATCATCGAACTCGACGACGACGAAGAATTCTGCGGGTACGAATGCATATGCTCATCAGTCGCCGCTGGTTCTTTCGGATACTGCTGTAGGAATAGAATCTGGCGACAAGATAGTCCCCCAAGCCCTTCTCAAAGGCAACCCAGCCTTCCACCTCATAATTCCCCAATCGGAAGGGCAGTTCGAATTCTGCCAATTCTACTTGTCGTCTATGGTGCTTAATTACCCTGCTGCTACAATCACCAAATACGGCATCGGATACCCTCCGGGTCAGACTTACCAGAAGGACATGGACAAGATCAAAGGCGTCAACGAGTTTCTGAAGTCGAGGACGATAAACGATGATGATCTGGTCCTCATAGTCGAGGCAGACAAGACTTTGTTCCAGTTGCCCTCAGATGTTCTCATTAAGCAGTATCAGATGCTTGTGAGGGAGGCGAACGCACGCCTGGCGAAGCAGTACAAGAACGGGGTCAATGGCCATGCCTTGAATCAGACCATATTCTTTTCGCCTGCAAAACTTTGTGACGAGTGGATGAAGAATGAACCAGCATGTGCGGCAGTGCCAGAACCGCCTCTTCCACCCACTATCTACGGCACCCAAACAGACAGTGAACCTGGCGGATCTCGAAACCGACCAAAGTATCTGTCATCTGACAGCATCATCGGACCGGCAGGCGACCTCCGCAAGCTATTTGCAGCCGCTGTTCAAAAAATCACCGAGCACAGCGAAAATTCACGATGGGCAGATCGTTCGCATACATCCGCTCATACCATCTTCGCCTCTTTGTTCGGAGAGCAGGAATTCGCTCGTTCCATCAACTCAGGGCAGACCGACAAGTACCACTGGCCGGAATGGCTCTCAGAGAAAACCGGCATCCAAGTCACCCCTGGCGACCCATCTATCTTATCCCAAGACCTCGTCATATCCGCCGCACGCAACTATGAATTCAGTATGGGCCTCGACTACTACTCCATCCTCTTCCAACCCATGACCCTCGCCGCCTCCGACGAGCTAACCTTCCTCACCTACTCCGACACGCCCTCTCTCCGCGCCGCCTCGCACGCCGACCCCCTCCTCCCGTCCCTCCCCATCCCCCTCACCCACTCTTCCCCACCCTTCGAAACCGCCATCCCGGGCTCCCACCTCCTCCCCAAAGCCAACCTCCTCCACTACATCAACGAGCTCAAACCCGACCCCGCCCTCGACACTCTCCCGCCCGCAAACACCTCCTTCGCAGACCTCCCCCTCCTCACAAACACCTACCTCCTCTCCATCCCCGCCGCCCTCTCCCTCTCCAGCCCCGGCGAGGATCCCGCCCACCACACCGTCTCCCGCTCCCAGCTCTACACAACCCTCTGGTTCAGCCCGCACGCGCGCGCCCTCCTGCGCAGATACCTCCGCACCATGCCCCAGGGCCCTATTGCAATGCATAGCAGCTACGTCGGCGGCGACTGGCGCTGGGACACGCGTGGCGGGCTGGGCGGCGTGTGGACGGGCGAGCACGGCGATGTGTATCGCGAGTGGGGCCTGGATATTTGCAAGGATATGGAGGTGCGGGTGTTTGGCGATGATAAGGGGCCGTGGTTGAGGGAGGGCGAGGACCCGCAGGTTGAGCAGAATAAGCCGGTGTTGAAGCGTGGATTGGGTGGTGCAAGTGGTGAAGAGGGAGAACGGCGGAGGGGGATGAGTAGGAGGGAGTTGTATGGTGTGCCGGACTGGATTGAGACGGCGTAGAGTGATTTGAGGCGGACGGGCTTTTCTCAGGTCATGTGGCGTGTATTGGATTCGGTCAAGGGCGTTTTCGGAGCTCTCTGCTTTCTTGATTGTGGTACGGCTTGTTGTCTGTCTGCCTGTCTGTCTATCTGTCTAGAGATGGACTGCAGATGGATAGGTAAAAAAAATGGCCCATTGGGGTGCATATTAATTGCTACACATGGCAGGTAGCATCATCATAATCGTCTCAGAACCACTGCCCAATCACACACAAAGACACACAACACACGTATACGTCTCATCTTCCTTTCCAAACGCACATGCACACATACATCCATACACACGTCATATTTTGCATAAACCTAGTCATCCAATCGACTTAGTCTGTTAGCCCTCTTCCCCTCTCTCCTTCTCTCTCCTTCTCTTTAGCGAAAAAAAAGTAGTTAGCACAGACGCGAACACCACAAGGAAGTAAGTAAGTCATGGTGCAATTGTTTCAGAACCATACATGTATATATAACAGCAGCATTTTCCCTTTTTTTCTTCTTCCTCCTCCTCCTCCTGCTGCTGCTGCCCCCTTGCCCCTTGCCCGATTCATTCCGTTAAGCTGGCATAGCTTAGAGCTTAGCTAGATAGGGAGAGGGGGGAGGGGAAAAAACTGAACTACCTAGCAAGTTTTAATATAAGTAAGTAGTAAGCAAGTTACATACACTGCAGTGTCTTCTTTCTTTTTGTTGTCCCCTCCCCCCCCCATGATATCGTTCGTGAAGAAGAAAAAGAAGGAAGGAAGAACAAGGGACAAGAAATACACCAACACACATGCATGCCGTTTTTTGGATGGGTGTGTGTGTGTGTGTGCGTGTGTGCAGTGTGTGTGTGTGTGTGTGTGTGTGTGTGTGTGTGTGTGTGTGTGTGTGTGTGTGTGTGTGTGTGTGTGTGTGTGTGTGTGTGTGTGTGTGTGTG